GACGAGAACAAAGGAAGGCTGTACGAAGGTCAGTGAAGGGAACAGGAGACGAGGGACGAGCACGAGGGGAGCGACGAGAGGCCCAAGTCTGAGAAGGAGGAGGAGACAACGAAGACTGAGAACGAGGGAAAACAGCGGGAGAGGGGTCAGGAGGAGGAAGCGGAGGACCAGAGACGGGAGGAGAGGGGGAGGAGGAAGGAGAGGGAGACGGGAGACCAAGGGTCCGAAGACCCGAGACAGGAGGAGGAGACGGCAGCAGCTGCTGCTGCTGCTGCTGCTGCTGCTGCTGCCGCGGCTGCTGTGGCTGCTGCTGCTCCAGCGGCTGCTGCCTCTGCTGCTGCTCCTGCTGCTGCTCCTGCTGCTGTCGCTCCTGCTCCTCGAGCCGCTGCAACTCTCTCTCCTCTCTCTCCAACTCCAGCTGCTCCTCACGAGCACGGCGAACACGAGCCTGGAACCTGGTCGGGTAGGGGTGGGGGGAAGGAGTAGTGTCCGGGGCAGCGGCAGCCCCAGAGTCGACCTCCGAAGCACCAAGCACACCACCCCCAGAGGCAGCACCAACACCAGCTCCAGACCCAGGCTCTCCAGAAACCGAAGGGACACCCTCACCCCCAGACGCAGCACCCCCAGACTCCGCACCAGCACCCCCAGACTCGAAACCTCGACGCGACACCAGGGGACCCTGTCCAAAGACTGGTCGGTGAAGCCTCCGGCCGAGAGACGCGTGGCCAGAGGTTCAGCTGGTGCGCGGCGTACCTGACTGCGTATGGCCACAGGAAATGGGGGGCACGGGCGTGAGTCAAGGAGGTGCGGGCAATCTCCATGACCAGGCCTATGCGACGCTCAGCAACCCCATTCTGCTGTGGGGACTCCGGAAGCGTCCAGGACTGACGAATGCCCTGTTCGCGACAGAATCCAGCGAGAATGCCGGAGCGAAACTCGCCCCCGCGGTCGGAGTGGAGACAGCTGACACGACGACCACGAGTGTCCTGGGTGGTAAGCAACCACCTGATCAGCGTAGAAGTCACCTCAGACTTCCTCGCCAGGGGGAACACTGTGGTATAGCGGGAGTAGTCGTCAACGACCACCAAAAAGAAACGCTCACGCTCAGGGCCAGGGCAAGGAGAGGGGCCCCAGACGTCCAAGTGCAGCGTCTCAAAAGGCTCGGTGGCCGGACGAAGGGAGGAGGAGTGAGGGGTGGCACGCAGCCTACCCTCGACGCAAGGACCGCACGGTGGTGCAAGGGACGGCGGCAGCGACGGCAAGACACGCGGGAGACCTAAGACCAGACGCTGACTAGACATAGCACGCAGACGTGGAAGAGAAGGGTGTCCCATCCGGTGGTGCCACAGAACGGTGGGGTGGGCAAGCGACCGACAGGAGCAAGACGCAGCGACTGGACTGGACGCGACAACCTGAGGGGACGGAACCACCTGGTGAGACGCAGGGAGGAGACTAGGGGGAGGGACAGGAACTGGGAGGAGTGGCTGCTGCGACGGCGGCCGCTGTGGCTGCGGCTGCTGCTGCTGCCGCTGCTGAGGCTGCTGCTGCTGCTGCTGCAGTCGCTGCTGAGCGCGCGGGCCAGTGTGAAGAGTGTAGAGACCGGAGCCCGGCTCAGCAGCAAAAGTGGCGAGAGGCTGGTAAGAGTCCCCGTCAACACACACCGCAGTCTCTCCAGAAGGCTCAAACCACACACCCACGTGCTGACTCACAAGGGGTCGCACGCCCACCAAGTTCCGGGAGAACGAGGGGACGTGAAACCCAGTGAGAGACCCAGAAGGAGCAGCCGGACACGGCAAGGTGGTAGTGTGACGCGCGGTGACTGGTCCCGAAGTGGGATCAGCCAGCGCCACAGAAACAGGCGCAGGAAGAGGCGTAAGTGTCGTGCTGTCACGAAAGAAGCAGTGAGAGGCTCCAGAGTCCAGCGTGAACGACAGCGAACCGTCCTCTGAGGTAGCCGCTGGACTAGAGTCTACACAAGAACCTACACTAGCAACAGGCAACTGAGCAAGGCTAGCACCTAAGCTAACAACACCAGAGTAAGCAGAGTCAGAAACACTAGAGTCAACAACAGCATACATAGCATGAGGAGCACCAATCAGATCAACTAACTGCTCAGCAGACATGCCCCACAGAGCGGAGCCGTAGCGCTGAACCAGAGGAAGCCAGTCAAGGGCAGGACCGCCAACCCCGTAGGCCAACCGGACCGTGTCAGTGAGCTGAGCAAAGCACTGACCAGGGGGGTGAAAGCGGCCACAAGGGTGGCCCCGACGAGGACCTGTCAGGTGCAGGGAGGGTAAGCAGCACCACGCTGGGGCTGACGCAGCCCCGACCCCGGAGCCAGCTGCTGACGCTGCTGCTGCTGAGGCTGCTGGGAGGAGAGGGGCTGCTGCTGCTGCTGAAGCCGCTGCTGACGCTGAGCCTGGTACCACGCCGCTGCTCCACCTAGCGGGGCCGGCAGTACAGGAGACGACTGACGAGCTCGGGTGTCGCCACCACCAGCAGGCGCAGTGGAGTCACCAGCCGCTGCACGAGAGGTCTCTCCAGACGCTGCACTCCCACCACCGCCAGTCGCAACAGCACCCCCACTACCTCCGCTACCTCCGCCTCCACCTCCACCAGAACCACCTTTCTTGCCCCCCTTGCCGCGGGACCGCGACGCAGTCGTAACAGCAGCTGCAGTCGCGTCAGTAGCGGCAGTGGCAAGAGAGGCAGTGAAGGTGGGTAACTGCGGGACTGTGCACCCGTGGAAGAGTGGGGGGGGCACAGCACCAGAGGCGGCAGCTACCGAGCGAAGGTTGCTCTCGACGTCCTTGAGCGCAGACTCAAGGACCTCAACTGTCAGCTCACTAGGGTGCTTCAGCAGGAGCGCGTCACGTACGGAGGCAAGGCGGTCAGGGAGGCTAGTGGCGATGAAATAGATAGTAATCGCCATGGGGGGAGGAAGCAGTGCAAGCTGTGCCTCAGTGCAAGCAGCGCGGTAACTAGCGTCGAGCGAGCGGAGGTGAGCGATCAAGTCAGCAGAGCGCTCAAACGAGGCGAGATCAGGAAACAGGAACGGGAGGAAAAGACGGCCAAGAGAGACAGTAGCGGGAGTAGAGTAGCGGGCCTTAATCGCAGTGAGGTACGCAGCAGCGGTGCGAACCTGAGTGAAGTGGACCTCCTCTGACTCAGGGAGGAGGCTGCTGAGTGCGATGCAGGCCGCAGCGTCACGCGACGTCCAAGCCGTCCTGTCAGCGCGCTGACGGGCAAAGCGAGCCGTAGCAGCATCGTCAGGGGCAGGACCTAAAGCGGCAGGCTCGGGGGGCTCGGGGAGGTCACCAGTAGCGTGCGACCAGAGGGTCTCGCCCCCCTGGACTTGACTCTCTAACAGACGGCGAGCGCGAAGGAGCCAGACGGAAAAGTCAAGAGGTCTGCCGTCAGCGTCGAAACGAAGAACTCGCGGAGTCGCCATAGCGAAAACTAACGCGAACGAGCAGGCGAGTAACAGCAGGAGGTAAGAGGCAAATTAGGGTTCAGGTGGGACTTAGTCGCAGCGGAAGAGCGGGCTAGAGCGACGGGCCAGGGCGTAGGGTCGACGGGACGGGGGAAAGGGCGGGCACGATGCGACGGGGCAGGGCGACGCGACGGGGGAGGGCGACGCGACGGGGTAGGGAGACGGGACGGGGCGACGGGACGGGGCAGGGCGACGGGACGGGACGGGGACGGGACGGGGCAGGGGCGACGGGACGGGACGGGGCGACGGGACGGGACGGGGCAGGGCCGCGGGACAGGACGGGACGGGGACGGGACGGGGCAGGGGCGACGGGACGGGACGGGGCAGGGGCGACGGGACGGGACGGGGACGGGACGGGGCAGGGGCGACGGGACGGGACGGGGCGACGGGACGGGACGGGGCAGGGCGACGGGACGGGGCAGGGGCAACGGGACGGGGCAGGGCGACGTGACCGGAGGAAAGGGCGCGACGCGACGGTGGGAAAGGGCGCGACGCGACGGGGGGAAAGAGCGCGACGCGACGGGGGGAAAGGGCGCGACTCGACGGGGGGGAACGGGCGCGACGCAACGGGGGAAAAGGGCGCGACGTGACGGGGGGGAAAGGGCGCTAGGCGACGGGGGGAAGGGCGCTAGGCTCGGCACTAGGCGCGGTAACAACGGAACCGGTACGAACGAGAGGTAGGATCAGGCTCGGGAGATACGAACGGAGAACGGAGGAACGGGATCCCACAGGATCCTAACCTAACTGATACCATGTCAGAATGAGGAATGGATGATGCATTGATGTTGGTTGGGGTACATATAGCTAACCCTAAGTTTTGTACCCCCTAAGACAAACCTCACTATAGGCTACAACATTTGACACTAAGTGTACAGCTGTCAGCTGTGTACTGGACAAGATCGGAATCCACACGTTAGTAATGGATGATGTGATGTGATGGGTTTTGCTACATTATGATCCATTTGCATCAGGACATCTTTGCGAAGGTCGTGACAGAGCCGTGAACCGCATTGCACCATACTGTCCACTAAATAAATCCTTATGTACCTAGTTAGGGAACAAGGAATGGGACTGTATCTGTTTGATAAGTTTCCACCATCCCCTTGTTTCCTGTTGCGTGTGATGAGTTGGGTACCATACATTTGCTGATTGAACATTTGATCTTCTGGATAGGGCTGATTGCCCGGTATCTGGTGTTACAACCAATTGTTCCAAACTCTATTGTTGCCCCAGGCGGCCACAGCACAGACACTCGCCGCGTAGGAAATCTGTTTTGCATGTCTTCGGGAGCGCAGTCGGAGATCCACCTTGGTAGTCCATGTGACGTGGAATTGTGATACTTGCTATCTATAGAAATTGCGACATTTAAGGAAGCATTTGGTTGTTGTTCATAGTGATGTCCTGCAACTGTCCTAAAGCTCCTAGCGCTTTCTTGCAAGTAAGCAACTTCTCCATTAAATACGTATCTTGCACACAAACATCCTCCTCTCTTACCCAGACTGCCGTCTTATACCTTGCAGCCCAAGTTGACAATCGCGGCGCCTCTGTACCAAAAAAAAAAAAGAGGAGAATGGAAATCAGCCGTTAGTGAAATCGAGCAATAAAGACATTGCGGCTACAAGTGCCCATATTGAAAAAGAGCTGAAAGTCGAATCAAAAGCGTACAGTACAGTACGGTACAGGACAGTACAGTACCTGTTCGCCGGAGTGTGGTTGTCCAGGACCTTGGACGCGCCAGAAGCGGAATACGCCCACAGAAGGGTGTTCTTCGCACCATACTTCACGGGGACAGTACCCTTAGGACCAGAGCGGGTGAACCTGCTTGTACGGCCGAGGAAAGACAACGCGCGTGCTTAGTAACAGATGACAGATAAACGAAAGATCGACCGGCACGCGCCAAGGTTTCAACCTGAGATGTAGATTGAAGGATGAATAAAATTGAAGCAATGCAGTGGTTAAAGCCCGCTTGTACTCACTTCATGATAGTCCCCTGTGCGTTGGTAACCACGCTTGTCTTCGTAATCGCGAAAGCCGTCGTTGGTTTCACATCGGCCTTCGCAATGGACTTCATGAAGTACGCGCCAATTTTCTTCGGGCCATTGAGGTTGCCGATCACCGCATCTGCACCGCTCATCTTGCCCAACTTGGAGAATCCGACGGACAGCCAGCCCTTGTGAGCGCCGCTCGTGGTTTTTGCCTCTAACGCGAAATCGACGGAGCTTGGGCTGTTCTTAAAGTGGAGGAAGAGCCTGATCAAGCGACATAGTCAAGGGATGGTACAGCAAATGCCAGAGTAAGTTTGTACTGACAATTTCCTTCCATGATGTACGGAAACGGTTGGGCGAGCTATGGAATTCGGAGATACTAGGAAATCATGAAACGAGGGACAAGGTGAGTCGAAATGATACGAAGTGATATAGGTGAAACAAGGTTAGGAGGTACTAAATCTAAACCAGGAGAAGTCAACGGAATTTAGGAAAAACCACCAGCCCAGCACACATATGGATGGCCTGAGCATCCAAATTCACAAAACACATATTTACGGGCGTAGGGTACGGTAGGAGTGACTTCTGAGTTGACTGAAAAGCCACCTTGGTTACAACGACAGGTTAATGTCACTGGCATCGAGCGATGCCGCAATGAAATGAGTTGTGCGACATTGCTGAGGTTTGTCGCCATGCAACACAAGCTGCGCGACATTACTGCGTCGTCGCAACAAGCCGTGCCTGGATGCCGAACGAAACACATCGATTCATGTGACTTGACCTTACCCCCTTCATTAATCATTCGAGATTTCGCGAAACAGAACTGGAGACGCACATTGACCAGATTCGGAGAACATTAGACTCGACTTAAAAGACTGGACCTTACCCCTTTTTTAGAGTGACAACTGCGTAACCAGTGAAGAGCTTCGACTTCGAGCAGGTCAGAGCCACTGGCGCGGCAGACACAAGCACGCCATCTGAAAAGCCTCCGACCAAGATCAGTGCGAGTACGGCGAGGGACGCGAAACGCGCCAGACCATGCTGGTGAACTGAGGAGTGGAGTCTAGCCATGGCGGCGACGGGAGGACTCGATGGATGCGGAGGCGAGAACTGGCGGAAGAGAAACGCGAAACACCGCAGCACTGGGAAAGCTGAGCTGGTCGCAGGGAGCAAGGTGAAGCAGGCAGCTTTTGGGAGACTGGTGTGCTGAGTGAAGGCTCGTAAGGCTGTAAAGTTGTAAAAGCCCAACCATGATCTGTTGCTCTTGTGAGTGTCAACGGTGGGGTGCGGTGCCCGATTTTGGCCGATACCTGGCAAAAGCCGTGCCCGAGGCGCGTCGGCATGGGTGTGGCGTGTCGGTGACACGCTGACGTCGTGCTGAATGCGTGCAGCAGGGGTGTTTGGAGGGGAAAAACCCTTTCACTTCCACAAGGCAGCATCCGTTTGTCCCGCCGTTGTGCACTCGCGGTCGAATCGTTTATTGACATGTGGAAATTGACCTGGCGGTGGTTCACTTTGGCGTGAGCTGTAAACGACCACCGGCCTTTCCCAACATTCCCTCCCATCTGTCGCAACTTTTTTTGGCGAACGCGCTCACCGAAATTCTTCAGCCCATTCGTAGTGCTTGGTTTGGAAAACTGAGCAGTCAAAGCGACGCGACTGTAAACAACGAGCCGCGATTTCTTCCATCCAACGACTCTGACACAAGGAGTGATCAGCAGCTGGCCACCGACAGCTTCTCTCTTTCAAACCAAAAACTGTCGAGATGTCCACCCATTTCATTGGTCAGCAGAAGTCCGGGCACCGATAAGGAGGGAACTGTACCGAGCTTGTACACTTGATATGTTTCTTGCTGCATATCCCTTATAGCAAGTCAGGCCAAATATAGAGAGGGACAATATATAGCTCGACGTGAATATGAAAGTGGGGGGCTATGATACGGGTTTGGATGCACAAATTCCGAAGAAGATGAGAGGCAGTATCATAATTGATTTGAAATAAAATGTAGTCCACAAGCATTGAGTTGAGTTGTCAATTGTGCGTTTTTTAGGCTCAAAATGCGTCACACTATAATTTTATCTGTTATTTGAGCATTCATAGGCTTACATCATAAAGGCCCTGGAAAAGCCATCCAAAATGTTCCACGCAGGTATAAGGGCGTGTGTGATTTTGCCGAACCTGACAAAGTTCGAACTCAAACCGCTTTGCACCGTGGCAAAACTCTTCTAAATGTATTTTACCGTGACGAACCGTTATAAAAGTTCCAACTTTCAGTCAGGTTCGGCAAAATCACACACACCCTAAGGGTGCATTCCGGGCTCTGTTCGACCTCAGGTTATCCGCAGTTGAACAGAAGTTCGATGACCAGAACCCTCTGGTCAGAGATTTGAAGTGCAACGCTGTCGTGCGGGGTACGTTTTCCATCGCGCATCCAATCAGACCAGCATGTACGCATTCGCGAAACACTGTTGCGCGATCAATACATGCGGTTCAGCATTTGGTCAGGAAAAGTATTGCAGAATAACAAATTCTGTTACGAAAAACGAAAGTGAAAGAAACCGTGTTTGCGAGCATGAATGCACATCGAATCGACTTCTCTTTTGTTTGTGTTCTTGACTCGCTACTATTCGTAACCATTTGTGACGATTTTTGAACCGTGGAAACTGGATCTAAGATGCGTTGCTGTGACTGTGAAGGAACTTCACTGCTCCCATTTTTGTTGTCGCAATAGGTCGCATACGCAGTCGCTCGTATTCGCCATGCTTGCAGGGGGGATCGCTTTTGCTCGCCACCGAACGCATACCGTTCGCACACCCAAAACGATCGCTGACCAGAGGTTGGGGATCGCTGACCATAAGTGGCTGACCAGAACCTATAACTAGAGGTTTGACCAGTGCCCAGAATCAACCCTAAGACAGTGGCAAAAGTAACTCCCAGTTCGGGATTCGCGTTTCCCGCCAAACGGGTGAAGTTCTGGTGGTGACGGCGACAGCCAGTACCGTCAATATCCAAACCTTTTCTGGGTTTCACCGACAAGAAAAAATGAAATGGCACAGATTGGTCAGGGAGAGGTCACTTTTGGCAGGGAGAGGTCACCTTTGGCAAGGGTTTCATAAAAAGTCACCGAAGCGCGAATTATAAGCGAATCGCGCGACCGTTTCACAGTTGCACTTGAAATTTCGAGCACCACATTTCTCCCGCCCACCCTTTTCCGCCAACCCAGTTTCCCATAGAACTAGCCATCCAGTCGCCCAATGCTTCACTCACATCACGAGTCATGTCAGAATGGAATAACCAGCCGTCGCTTCTCAAGCACATAAGCTGCTGACGTAGTCGAAACGACCGCTTATCTTAATCTTCAGAAGCACGTGAAGGAACCAAATATTGCTTGTAGTCTCGAGAGCCAACTTCATTCAGAAATACGGGCAGATCACTTGGTTTTCGCAACTTGTTTTTTAGCTCTAACTGCTCTTCCGTATCTACGGTCACCTTTTCCCTGCCACGTAACGCACGAAGACACTTTCAGTCGAGAACCTTCCCGATGGCTTTCCGTTCATGTCGCCCGTCAGTCAGTTTCAAATCCAGCCCGTTCACCCTCGTATCTAGCAGCGCGTTGCTTCTCATACTGCTCTTGTCGTCCACGTCAGATATCCCAGCAACACCCGCCGGCCAGGAAACTCTTCACTCTGCCCGCAGCACCCGCGGATTTTTCCAGCTAGCTGAGGCCAGGGACTTACCGGACGAAACTCTTTTCGGTCGCCTAGGGCTACAGAGAGGGTTATTGGGTCTCGGGTCCGAATTGCATGAGGGGAAACAAGTGACGGCTGACGCGGGGGATATGGGAGCGACGGAGAGACTCGCAGAGGAGAAGGACGTGCGTAGGGAGCGATATCTGCTGGGAATTCGACCTGGATCGCAAGGGGGACAGCAGCAGCAGAAGCCGGAGAAGTGTCTTGCGTCGACCCTGCCGGGTTACACGGCGATGATCGCGCTGGCTGACTACGCAGGGTGCGTTCTCATCGCTCGCTCGACATCAAAGCCTTTGCCTCACTATATTCCGCCGCAGCATAATTGTGAAGGCTCTCATCCCTCCAATACCTACTTCCGTACTAGCTCCATTCTTAAGTGCGTGAATGGATTTTGATCCGACGCGATAGTCACTATCTCTCTCCCTCATTTATTCCTTGATCATGATGAATGGGCCCTCCTTGCAGGCTGTACTTTCATTTCAACGTGAAGGGCTCGACTCTCAAGGCAGCAGTGGAAGCGAGGACCGTTGCGAATGGAGGCGCCAGCAAGGGATGGTTCGCTATAGGCTTCTCCAAGACAGGCAAAATGACGGGCTCCGATGTAGTTCTGGGAAATTACGTTCCCTCCACCAATAAGAAGCTTCCTGTGGGCTCCAAGCCGGGAATCGGCGGTCCTCAACCAAGGCCCATTGCTTACTTAAGTGTCAACGGTAGTAAGAGCGGAAACGGCACCAAGAATGGTGGGACTGGGAAGAAGGGCAGCGGGGCTGGAAGCGGGAGTACGAACGGCACGAAAAGTGGTAACAGTGGTAACCCTGGCAGCGGTAACGTGGGCACGGGTGGCAAGAGGAAGGGAGGGTTGGTGGGCGCATTCAACATGAAGAGCCTTACCATGGGGACCTATGCAATGGCGGACAACTTCAAAATCGCGAACGCCTCCGTTACAGTCACGAAGAATGGCACTGTAGTGAGGTGAGCCTTGGTGCATCGATCGTGTCTCCTGTGACTGTTTTAAGACCAATTTGTGTCATCAATTTTTCTGCTCCTGAGCTTGTGTCAAATCACCTCCTGAGCTTGTGTCAAATCAGCTCCTGAGCTCGACTGCGTCAACCCTGAACACTACGCTACGCCACATCATGAACTTCTGACGTCTTTCCCCCGTTTAGGCGTGCGGTCACAACAAGGATGGGGCAAGCTTTAGAAGCTTTATGTCTTGATGTGCGTTCTAGCACATATATCTACAGACGAGTCCTTACTTCGGGAACCATTTTCGAATCTAAACTTCTCACTTCCCCTCCATTAACAGGTTCGCAAGGAGTGGGCCTGGTGGGTCAGTACCAGTGAAGTATGGTGGGCTCAACACGCTCATCTGGTCCTACTCCTCAACTGGCGCTACCAAGGTGTTTGGGGGACATATGAGACACAGGTAAGTGCCACAAGAACAACATGTCGACAACTGATTGCGTGGACCACATTTGTGATATGTTTACCTTTTTACTGCCACACTCTCAGCTTCGCTCTTATGGTTTCAAACATGTATTCCATGTGCGCCTGTTGCCTAAACGTCATGCAGGGGCAATGCAGTGGTGAATCTGGCGTGCAAGGTATGATCACTCATGCAATTGTTGTTCTAGATTGCAGGCGTTCTCCTCATGCATAGCCATAACTACGCTTCAAGATTAGCGATTGCCATATACATAGCCATAATTACGTCCCTACTTAGTTAGTTGCCGACAAGTTTGGTTGTTGACAGCAATCACTTTCGAAACATTACTTGGGAAGCACATGAGCTACAGTACCCTTGAAGCTCTTGTTCGAACCCTTGAAGCTCTTGTTCAAACGGCCCTTGAGTGGCCATTGGATTTATTAGTCCTTGCCATAGAGCACTCTGGCGAGTGCAGTCTTAAGCCTCACATTAACTGGGCTGCTTTACATTTCCAGGGACAAAGCACTCCCTAGTTGCGCCTTTTTTAGCAATTTCTTGCACGATGTCCAGGGTTTCAAATACCAGGGTAAAACACCTTATTGCACCTTTCGCTGCCACCCTTCTAAGCCTTTTGCCTTCCAAGCCTTAGTTAACCTCGCTATGTAAACATAAAGCAACCTTACATCATACTTGAGTCCATTTCAGTTCGCCTGTGAACCCTGCTCACCCATACTCTGGTAATAGCAACAACTTCACAGGTTTCACACATAGGAAGAACTTGGGAGATTACAGATTGGTGAATTTCCTAACCAAATAGAGGCAAGTCACTTTTGGCAAGCACAATAGCGAAGAGCAGAATCACCCAACTTTGAATAGCGTAAGCGAGTCGCGAATTCACTAAAGCAACCCGTTTCGCCGTCGAAATTGCATTTTGGTGCGTCTTTCTCCTCCCGCCCTTTTCCGCTCGCCCTCTCTCCCAACGAAATGCCCCGGCACTACACCACCAACTGCCACACAAGCAGCCGTTGTTGCTCAACGCCAGAACAGAATGCCATATTTCCTCTACATGGCCATCACATAGACTGCTTGCGTAATCAAATCGGCCGTTCATCCTTATCGATTTTCGTAACTACGAGAAGCAACTGGATGTCGCCTCATTCTCCCAGAGAGCTACCTACTTTCTGATATTTTTCCGCTTAGGCCATACACCTTTCCCGCTTCATGAAAAGTTGTTCCTCTCTTCTTTCACCCGTACCTTTCCTTACGGTTTTGTTTACGTTCATCTCAATACTTGCTCTAGTATCTGTTCCTGCACTCCGAATCTAATGTCACCTCCTGTACTCACGTATCGCGCGAAGACGTTTTCAGTCAAGAATCGTCCGGATGGCTTTCTCTCCAAGTCATCCGTCAATCAGGGTTCAACTCTGCTTGTCCACCCTTGTATCAAGGAGAGCTTCTCTTCTCATACTGCTCTTATCTCTCACGTCGGTTATTCCAGCAACACCCGCTGGGCATGAAAATCATCACTCTGCCCGTGGTGCTCGTGGTATTTTTCAACTAGCTGAGGCCAGGGACTTGACGGACCAAACGATTTTCGGCTGGCTCGGGATGCAGAGAGGGCTGCTAGGTTTCGTGTCCGCATCGCTAGGCGGGGAGCATGTGACGGTTGACGCGGGGAGAACGGGTGTGGGGGGGAGATTGGCGGAGGAGCGGGGCTTGCGCGAGACGGGGAAAAGGAAGCGAGGTTTGATGGGGCTTCGACCGGGATCGCAGGGGGGGCAGCAGCAGCAGCAGAAGCCGGCGAAGTGTGTCAAGTCCACCCTGCCAGGTTACACGGCGATGATCGCGCTGTCTGATTACGCAGGGTGCGTTCCCATCATCCTCTCCCGTTTCACATCGGATGTCCAGAATGGAGTCCATTTTCCCACAAAAGTGCGCTTCAGCGTGATCGCATGCGTGAAGCAGAATTCTCCAAAGCGTATCGAGGCTCTTGTAGGCGCCTGAAACTACGTTTTTTTACTGACCTAATCCCTGGTCATTCCTGGAACCCCCTTGCAGGCTCTACTTCCATTTCAACGTGAAGGGCTCGACTCTCAGGGCAGCAGTGGAAGCGAGGACCGTTGCCGATGGAGGGGCGAGCAAAGGATGGTTCGCTGTAGGCTTCTCCAAGACAGGCAAAATGACGGGCTCCGATGTAGTTTTGGGAAATTACATTCCATCCACCAATAAGAAGCTTCCTGTGAGCCCCAACCTGGGAAGCACCGGCGGTTCAGAGTCAAGTGCGATTAGTACTGCAACCGACAACGGCGCTGAGAGTGGTGTGACGGGGGAGGAAGGCAGTGGGGCAGGAAGCGGGAGTACTAACAGCACGGAAAGTGGTAACGATGGTGGTACCAGTAGTAACAGTAGTAGTTATCCTGTCAGTAATAACGTGGGCACGGGTGGCAAGAGCAACGGTGGGTTGGTGGGAGCATTCAACATGGAGAGCCTGACCATGGGGACATATGCAATGGCGGACAACTTCAAAATCGCGAACGCCTCCGTTACAGTCACGAAGAGAGGCACCGTAGTAAGGTGAGTGATAATTCTTGTGTTGACTCTGTCTCCCAAGCCCGTGTTGTATGAATTCCTGCGCTTGGGTTTCTATTTGTGTCATGCGCTCCTGCACTTGTGATGTGTGTTTCTGAGCTTGTTTTATGGGAACTCCTGTGCTTTCTTTTGGTAATTTCCTGAGCTCGTTTGCTTTGATCTAAGACTGCGCTTTGGTACCTTATCACGCCACCTCATCAGCTTCTCACACCTCCCCCCTTCACATATGAGGTTCACCAAGGATGGACCAAACGAAGCTCCCACACCTTGTACTGTGATGCACGTGCTAGTGATATATGATAGACCTCTAACGCTGTGAACTTCTTTTTGTTCAAATTATAAATTACTTCCCCTCCATTAACAGGTTCGCAAGGAGTGGGCCTGGTGGGTCAGTACCAGTGAAGTATGGTGGGCTCAACACGCTCATCTGGTCCTACTCCTCAACTGGCGCTACCAAGGTGTTTGGGGGACATATGAGACACAGGTACGAGGCAGATCTGTAGACCACGCTTGTAACATTTGGTTGTGCATAAATGTTGGGCGGGGGGGGGGGGGGGGGAGGGGCTGCTGAAGGAACATCTGTGTATTTATTTCCACGGCCACGCTTCCGGATTTCACTCGTCTGATTTTGTATTCCATGTGTGCCTGTTGGCTGAGCATCATGCAGGGGCAGTGCAGTTGTAAACCTGGCATGCAAAGTGTTACCGTTTGTGCAACTGCGATTCTAGAGTGCAAGGGCTTGCCATGTACATCTTAGCCACCGGTATTAATGCGTTAGTTGCCAACACGCTTGCTAGTTATTGCAGATACATTTGTACTAAAACGAGCGTAACATGTTGTGAATGGGGCTGGATGCAAACGAAGGAAGGAATAAATTGAACTACCCCATATGAAGTTTTAACTGAACGGGCATAAGAGCCATCTGATATCTGGTTTTGTAGTGTGAGATTTTTTACTCATCTAGCTTCCCAGAAACCCAAGTGTACATGAGTAGGATGTTGCGAGAGGAAACTTCTTCCATACTTCTTATCGAGGAAGCTTCTTGCATTCTTCTGCCTTGAGCTCACACCGCCCTTGTCTGTTTGGGTCTGGCCTGGACCAAGCGTGGTCGAGCTTGTGGGCAGCACATGCATTTTGGTTTGGCGCTCCTTCGTCTCTCGCCACCGACAGGTTGCTCCAATCATGTCCGCCGAATTGGCTCTTCCTGCTGGTTTGGCGAGCTGGCTAAAGCGTTTCGTCAGCGAGCGACTTGATCTGCAGTTCGGAGTCGCCTTTCACACCACTTCTGGCGAAACAGTCCTCTTCGCCATGCTGTGTGACCTTTCTTCGCGACATAGACGAAAGTTCAATGACGCTCGCATGCGCGTGGCCCGTGTTTTCCCAGCTCCACTCTTGTCATTGGTTCAGAGAAGAGAGACACACGAACCGCCACGCGCCTCGTCACAATCTTGGGCATGCGGTCCGAAGCGACCAGACATTGACCAGTCATTGCACCAAATTCCCAGCCAAGCACATTCATCACTTGGTTCAAATTCCCGAGCAAGCTTTACTCACTTCACCAATTCACAATTCGTCAATCCCCCTCATCCTCTCTCACAACCAGCAGCAAAATCCACGGGCCACAACGTATCCTCTCCAGTTTCATACCAAACATGGCTCGCTCGTTCCTCATCTGCTTGGTGATCGTCCTCCTCGTCGCACCATCCGTTTTCGCCCGCAAACATCCCGAAGGAGCTGGCCACCATAACCACAACGGGACGCGCACTGGAGGACACCACAAGGGCGGGCATCACAAGGGCGGTGGGGCCAGCATGTCGGGCCTAACCAGCAGCAAGGGCGTCACGGCGCGCAAGGCCTGCAGCAAGTCGTCGCTGGGATACAAGGCATCCGTCGATCTCACCGGAAAAGGGTATTTCGCCGTCCCCATCAATGTTTTTCGTCGAAATTCGAATACATGTGAAAGATCAGGACATTGAAACCGTTTATGAATATTATTGTTTGCGGCATGAGATTTCGTCATCTCCCTGTCTGTCTGACGTCATGGACACATGGAGACGTCACCCTATTACGGAAACGAATCGACTGGTCTTACTAGACTCTGTTTCGCGCCTTATCCCTTGTTCTTCTCAGGTTGCTTTTCCACTGGACAGTATCTGGTTCGAACCTCAACGCCGCGATTGAAGCCAAGTCCACCAGCGGCGCCAGCGGGGGCTACGTCTCCGTTGGCTTCTCTTCGAACGGGAAAATGTTCCCCGCGGACGCGGTTGTGGGCATTAACGGGGGCTCCGTAAAAGCGTACAAACTGAACTCGTACACCTCGTACACGCCCAGCAAGGTTTTGACCATCTCGCAGACCAGCCTGAAAGCGACCTCCAGCAGCCTTGTCGTCAAATTCTCCCGGCCGGCTAAGGGAGGGCTGGTGAGCATCAACCTGAACGGCAAGAACAACGTCATCTGGGCGTTCGGGAAGAACAAGAAGTTTGAGACTCACACTCCGAAAGACCGGTGAGTGCAATTCCTTTGAGATCCGCGTCAGGTGACGAACATAAGGCTGCCAGCCTCGTACAAAAGAGAGTGTGATGGGTGACGCGAGAAGATGTTGCTTTGCGATGCAATCTACGTAGTTTGCTCTAAAGATGCACTTCTGACTCATCTTGATGTAATGAGGTGCCTTCAACCGCGCCTATGTGTGCTTCCTAACTACCTAATACGGTGAGGTGAAAGGTGTTACATAATTAGGTCCGATGTTCTGTTTTGTTGACTTTCTGCTGCTTCTGACTATCATTACATCTCCCTTGCTCCTTTTTAACTGCAGCGGCTCCAAGTCCGTGGACCTCTCGTGCGTCGCCTGAGAATGGTTCAGTTCTGGGCATAGGAGGTTGCGCCAAACTCAAGATAAGGGTCCATTTGAGTGACCAATAGGTTCCTGCCTTGAAGTTGAGTATCGCATGTAGACAGCTTGAACGTTGCTAGCTTGGATAACAATGGTCAGTACCCACTGCCCATCAGAGTCATTCCGACTGTCGTTCACATAACTTGCTGGTTAAAAATGGCCAAGATTTGGTGCTGGTTTATCCTTATCAACAATACGCTAGTCTGTGCTAATGTAGTGCAAACTAGAGTATGTCACATTACCACATGTTTAGGTCGATTCCATTCACATGTCATTTCTGCCACATTACCCTCCTTGTAATTCCAGCAAGCCGTCCTCGATATAGTATGCTCTTGGTACACTTTGCTTCCTGCAATGTGTTCACTCTTTCTTCGCGGTCCGAAAGGTTGAACATTTCTCTCGAATGAATGTGCGACTTGAAATCTATTCCACTTTCAAGAAAGCTGAGGCATACACGCGTCGCGCGACCCGATTTTCATTGGGCTTGTAATTTTCAGCCCTACACATTTCCGGCGTGTGTTCCGTGGTGCTAGGTCGAAGACAAGCCAGCTTCTGCTGCAAGCCGGTAGTTGGCAACAGTGAGAACGAAGGAAAATTCCTTACCTGCTTGTCAGCCTGTCTGATCACCGACACCTCGCGCATCCACTCCCGCCTGATCTCTCCACTTCTGACAGGCATATCGCTCTTCACACCAAGGGTATAAATATTTCAACAATCGTCCTTCTCTCCCATCAGAGAGGAGCGCCTCCTCCCACACCCAGAATCGCTCACTCGTTGCGATTCTTTCCACAACTCGACGTTCGTCACGAGCCTTGAAACCCCGTTTCCGACCACTCGAGGAGGCTCTACATTTCGTCCCCGACCTAGAATTGATCGGCCGACCTTTCCGTACCAAAACCTCAATACCACCACCGTGTCCTGACTCCAACATCCGCCCCCCACCACCATGGCGCGCGCTGCTCTCGGTCTGCTGCTGCTCCTCCTCATCGCCCCATCCGTCGTGCTCGCGCGCAAGCGCGTGTCGCAGTCCAGCTGCGTCAAGTCCACGCTCGCGGGATACACGTCAGCAGTCGACCTGAACGGAAAAGGGTACGCTATCCGTCTTGTTGAAGCAGCTAATAGCAGAACAGTAGTAAGGTATAACTTCAGTTACAAGCAGCAATTTTCTACTCATTAACATGCAGTAGCATGTAGAACATGGTAACATGATCAAACCTCATCAAACAGCAATCCCTGGCACCTCCCCCTTTATCATCGTCTGTCTGGCGATTAATCAAGTAACATGTTGGCTCTAGTGAGTAGTGGCACCTCCCCCTTTATCATTGTTGTCCACTTTCTCCACCTCTCCGTTGCCCCGCTGCTTCTCAGGCTCATGTTTCACTGGAGGGTCTCGGGATCGACTCTCAACGCTGCCGTTGAAGCCCCATCCAACAAGGGCTCGGTCTCCGTTGGGTTTTCTAAGTCTGGCAAAATGTTCCCTTCAGACATTGCCACTGGCTATAGCGGAGGCTCCGTTGCAGCGTACAAGCTCACCAGCTACTCGAAGTTTTCCACCAGCAAAATCAAAGTCAGCAGCGTCAAGTCCTCCTCTGCCGCCACTGCTTTTAAGTGAGTCGTGCAGAGTTTTCAGTCGACTCAAAACACAGCTCACGAGCTATTTAGGGGGTTCCACCAGCAAAATCAAAGGCAGCAGTGCCAAATCTTCCTCTACCGCCACTACTTTCAAGGGATTCGTGCGGATACTGTGGAATCCTTTCGGCGAGTCGCGTAAAATTAACTGACCGCATAAAATAAAAAGTGAGTCAAGGTGATTCGCCACTAACCCCGCATTTCCGTCCGATATTTCCCTCCCGTTCGGTTCTTCCCGACCCAGGTTCACTCGCTCAGGCAATGACGGATCCGTGTTCATCAACTACGCCGGTTCCAACAGCATCATCTGAGCGTACGGCTGCAGAACAAGGCAACGCCCCACTAACTCCGCATTTCAATCCTATCTTTCCCTCCAGGTTCACTCGCTCTGGCAATGACGGATCCGTGTCCATCAACTATGCCGGTTCCAACAGCATCATCTGGGCGTATGGCGGGAGCGGCAAGAAGCTGGCTGACCATGGCAAAAATCGGTATGTATGCTGGTTATCTCGCCTGCATGTCTCCATCTTGTGTATGACAAAAGATCGTGAGAAGCTCCTCGCGAGATTCAACCAGGATCCCGTCAGGTCGTGGAATACACGCCGTTTATGTGGATGCCGTGAGAACACCCTGGTCCTCTTTCTCCTCTCACCCGTGTCTTGGCTATGGCTGGCTCATCTTTGTTCCATTTCTCCCATCCATGCTGTGTTTTTAACTCACCTCTGTCTCTCTTCCCAACCATGCTGTGTCTTCTCCTGCAGTGGTTCAAAGAGTGTGGACCTGTCTTGTGTTGGCTAAACAGATTCAGGCGTTCTACTTCATCCTTGGTCAAAGCTTCCCATCATAGTTATGCTTCGAGGAATAAATTAATGGATGTAAATTAATTAAATATAAAATTTGAAGGTAAAATTTGTGTTTTATGAAATGTGTAGAGATTTTGGCAAACAAGCTGAGCTAGTGACTATGATCTAGATTCATAAATATTTCCAGCAACCCCGGCAATATATGAATAATACCAACAGCCTTGTTTCATGTAGATTATATGGGAATATTACGGGCAGCAAGTGGTCAATCACCCCCGGCGTTGCAACTTGCCACACAAATAAGCAGTGGGGCAGGAAGCATTCGATATGGAGTGCAGCGTTACGGTATTCGCGCTGGAAGGGAGGTGGGAATCGAGAGCGAAACAAGAGCATTGTCGGCGGGGGACGTTGAGAAAGGCCACAGCCGTTATACTGTAGAGCTATGCCATTCGCTGGTCGGTTACTTTCGCCGACCGTCCTTCGCCAGCGCACACAGTTCGATTGAGAAGCTGCCGCATCCAAGCAAAGGCGCTCAAACCGGACAATTTTCTGGCCCTGCTCGACAGGCACGCAAACCCTTCCGCGGAACCATCGCGGCTGTTTCGAATTGGGTTTTTTTTCATCGGTCAGCCCGCAATTTGCTGTTCTTGGGTTTTAACGCAGGTAGCACGAAGTGTTCAGGGTTAGCCTGTCGAACGCGACGTTAACCCTCCCAAGTTCAGCCCCCCCGAAAGCTCCCTGCCCCTTCCCCTACGCGTAGAGTTTAGCCTAGCTCTAGCCCAGCCCTCCAAGCCCCAGGATGGAGTTCGGCCAAGAGCTAGGCTAGGGTTTCGTTCGGGAGGGAATACCCACCCCATACACTACGAATTTTTCCAACCAGAGCCCGTGCCCTAGCCCCTCCCATCTCTGCCCTGAAAATGTCCCCTCCCCTGCTCAACCAAACCAGTCACCAGCCACGCACCAATCTCACCTTTCCCTTGGGTTACCCAGGTTCCCATGCGATCACTGGGCAATTTTTTTGACCCTGCCCACGATCCCAATGGTGGAAGGAGGGGTTGAAACATCGCCATAACGTCCCCCTCCTTCCGACGAGGGGACGCGCTGCTTCCGATTTGGTGGTGGGGGGGATGGTCTAGTAGAAATTTCACGGAAATCTCCTCCTAGCTCTAGCCTTACTCTAGCCCTCCAAGGAGGGGCCTGCCTGTCGAACAGTACCTCTAAGAAACGCCCTTCCCTTCCCGTGCTATGGAAATGCCAATCATCCGAGGCGCATTTCTTGCCTCATTTTTGCATTGACGGCAGCGAAGCGGCTTTTTTTCCTCCGTGGTCGGACTCGCCTTCCTAGTAGACCTTCGAAAGTTCAAAATGCATTCCTCATTGCTTCCTGATGCGGTTTCTCACGGGCAGGCGACAGACTTGTCCAATAGTAGTACCCGAGATACGCGCTGAGTCTCTCCGCTACAAACAGCTTTACACTTGCAGCAGCGCGCTCCGCGTCCCGCGAGTCCTGGTGACGCCATGGCTGGACTCCTCCACAGGACGGCTGCGCGCCGAGTCCGGCGCGGCCCGTTACGGTGCCTCCGAGTCCCCCCGGTCCTCAGTAGTACTCGCTCGTCGTCCCTCGTCGTACTCGCTCTCTTCGTAGCCGCCGTAAGCTGCTTCTCTAATGGCGCCGGCGTGCGCGGCGTGTCCGCTGCGCCGGTCCCAGTGGCGAAATGCTTCAAATCGACGCTACCTGGTTACACGAACGCCGCCACCCTCGCCCGAAAAGGGTAAGCCCCTGCCTGGCTTAATGTACTTTAGCCGACTCGCTCGTTATGAAGTTGTTCAGTCGACTCGACTCAGTGAAGTTGCTCCCTAGATAATACCAAAGAGAAGGGGGGGGGGGGGGGGGGGGGGGGGGGGGGGGGTGGGTATATTCGTGTGGTTACTGGGCTTCCACACCCTCAGTAGAATGTGGAAATAAAAAGCCTCCTCAATGCATCTTCTGCGTTACGCTTCGCGAGTGAAAGTTTCGTGCTTCGCTACTGATCGTGACCACATTACGGTTCGGTTTTTTTTTTTTTTTTTTTTTTTTTTTCTCTCTCTCTCTCTCTCTCTCTCTCTCTCTCTCTCTCTCTCTCTCTCTCTCTCTCTCTCTCTCTCTCTCTCTCTCTCTCTCTCTCTCTCTCTCTCTCTCTCTCTCTCTCTCTCTCTCTCTCTCTCTCTCTCGGCGCGTACTGCATTGCAATATCATACCCCAACCCAAACAACTCCGTCGGCCATTTCCACTTTTTTCTCTCCGCTCGCCTCCCTTTCCTCTCAGCCACACGATACTTCCAGCCTTCTTCCAGCCTTCACTCTGAAACCGCGGAAAATGTCGCCTCGCCTACTATCCGTCGCTTACCCATGCACTTGTATACCTCAACGTCTGGTTTTTCTGAACCTCCCTTTCCCTTGAACCCGTGCCTGCGTTGATCAGGCTAGTGCTTCACTGGAAAGCCGTCAACCCAACCACCATCAACTTCGCGTTGGAGGCAAAAGCCGCGAGCGGCGCTCACAAGGGCTGGATATCCGTCGGATTCTCCAAGGCGGGCAAAATGACCGGCTCAGATGCAGTGATTGGCAACCTGCCTCGGCCGAACGTGATTGGTCCGTATGTCATGACGGGCATCGCGAAATCCTCGGTAACGAGGACGAAGAAGTTTGCGATTACAAAGACGAGCGTGGTTACCAACCCCAAGGGAACCATCATGAGGTGAGCTGCAATTTCATTAGTGATCTTTGGGTTCAATTTTGTTAGTGGCATCATTACAGTAGTTCGGCCTTTCGTGGGCTCAACCTAGAAAATTCAATCAAGAAACCCTTGATAGCCAGTTTGACTCACCTGAGCCTATTTTTCTCTCCTTAACGCCTGTTGCTGGTCTCATATTCCTTTTCAGTCCTAGCCGTTCCTGGTACATATTTCCTCCCCCCCTCCCTCTCTCTCCCGCTTCATATCCTGTTTGCCTTTCAAGCAGGTTTACACGTTCGGGCCCTAGGGGTACCGTTCCTGTGAAGTATGCTGGGAGGAACTTCATTCTGTGGGCCTATTCCGCCACTGGCAAGTCCAAGGCCCTGGACAACCACTCTCCGCTGAACAGGTACTGTTCTGTTACTGTACTTTACTGTACAATATGTCTTGACATTTCTATGCAAATTGCATGCTGAATGTGTGCATCCCCACATGATACCTGGAGCTTACTGTTAGAATAAGATTGTCCTCCTTACTCAAACACTTACATTGAGAGGAAATAGTAACGTACCTTTTAGTCAACTCTCTCATCCGGCCTTGCTTGTTGCTGTTCCTGGAATGTCTTTTTGTCTTGTTTTCACTTACCCTGTCCCACCTCATTTCTGTCTTGTTTGTTTCAAATGCAGAGGTGCTGTGATAATCAACTTCGGCTGTAAGGTGTGAGAAGACAGCCCTGTGCAAAGGAGAAGGTGGTTGGTCGCAAGATCATGTACCTGATATCATACGCACATCTAAGCACAAGAAGCTGCCTGCATGTATGTTATCAATTCTCGAGTTTGCAACTGCAACAGTGGGGGAGCGATGACGAGCAGTGACATGCTTCAGCACATGGAATTTGGATTCCATGCTCCAGCTTCTCCACATTGGATTGGACATTGCCAGGAGCTGTAACTTTGATCTATATCGCCTGCATTTGAAATAACACGTTAGGCATAGTACACTGCATGCAATCCAAAGAAATACCAGCCCCATCATTCGTCAACAAAGTGCGAGAATATAGCCAGAGGGGTCCTGCTGGAGAGGCTCTGTGGGATGACAATCGATCCTGGCACATCTGAAACTTGTGAAGAATCAGAGGCTGGCTTTGGTAGTGCACAAACCACAGAGCCATAAAGTTTTTCTTGAGACAGTTCAGACCAACTGGAGGCTGGCACATTTGAAAGTTGGGAAGAATCTGAAACACCGGGTGACATGGATGCCGGGGAGGGAGATAGATGCTCCTCGTTCAAGGACTTAGCCTTTGATGTAGTAGCTGCCACATCAGCTGCAACATCAGCTGCCATGTCAGCTGCCACAACAGCTGATATGTCAGCTGCCACGTCAGCTGCCAGATCAGCTGATGCAGCAGCAGAAGCATCAGCAACCGCGTTGGCTGCCACACCATCCTGGTCTCGAGTCATGTTCTTATCATCCCACAAGGCCATCGCAATGGCCTCTGCCACGTCAGCTGCCACGTCATATGCCAGGTCATACTCGTACTTATCGTCATTCAGGCAGCTATTTTCATTGGTGTAGAGAGCAAGAGAGAGGAAGAACTCCCTTCCCGTCTCTATGTCGAGAATATAGCTGGAAAGGAGGCAAAAGGGGAGGGGGAAGAGGTGGCCAGGGGGGGGAAGAAATGTGGGGGGGGAGAGGCGGGAGGGGGGGGTGAAAAGGAGTTTCAAGGAGGCTACAAAAATGACACATCCTGCTGAAGGGGTCTCTGTGAAGAAAAACAGAATAATGAAGAGCCAAAAATGACTTATGACTCCGTTTCACCGAGGAGGACTTAGGAAGTGTAAGAGACCAAAGATCAGGATCCTGGTTTTGAGGCGCCTCAAAACTAGACTCTGTTTCAACTTGGAGAACAAAGGAAGTGAACAGAGACCAAGATTCTGGACATGATTGGTTGATGAGGATAGTGATGAAGTAAAGGGAATTACACAATGTGACTCACGCGTTATCAATGGTGAAGCCAAACGCCTGCCCAATCTTGTTGTAGATGCGCAGAGCTTCCTTTGGTCGCACTCGGCACAGTCCGGGCAGGAAAAACTGCATCAGCAGAGCCAGGATAAAAAAAAAGGTTTGCAGAAGGAAAAAAAAACCCATACGTGCTTGTGCTTCTCAGTGGAACTGCACTTCTTTGACGCCATTGGTTGAAAAGACTTGCCTGCTTTCTCAGGCCAATACCCCACCATACCTTATGAAACCACATCATACCCCTGAATACCGCATCACACCTTGCAGTAATCGTCTGTGTACTTCTTGTCAGCATATCTGGGATTGCGGGACTCCCGAGGGTATTGCCTCATAGCCTCCAGCAGCAGCAGCCTGTGACCCTCATCCAATCCAATCGGTTGACAGCCAGGCAGCTGGTTGAAAAGGGCAAGCCAGGTGTGGGTCAGCGGGGTGTGGCGATGCATAGAAAAGAGAGGAAGAATCATAATCACTGTGAGAAAATCCCTTCAACACTGTTTTCCCTCTCTCCCACCCACTTCATCCCTGCCATCCATTCTCCCTTGTGAAAAAAAAGCCCCTTGAGGCGCCTCAAAATGCCTTTCTCCCGCTCCCTCGTTGCCATCCTCCCTTTAAAGGGCAACACCCGAATTGCTCAACGAAGTCAACCTGGGAAAAACAGCTTCGGAAAGGCAGGCAGTTCGAGGTTCGGATAACTTCCGAAACCCTTTTGCCCTGAACCCAGTAGGGGCGAGACACAAACTGGGCCCAGTTTGTGAGGGCTTCTCTGTAACTCGGGGGCTGGGCTTCAAAAAGCACGCCATCACCCACATCTGTGCATACCTGTAGGTCTGGGCGCATGAGCAGCATGAGCAGGTTCTGCAGGTCAACAAGAGTCAAGCGATTCTTGACGGAGGAACCTAAGGACACTTACCACACACAGTACATACATGCGTGCACCAACCACATCTGTGCATACCTGTAAGTCTGGGCGCATGAGCAGCACAAGGAGGTTCTGCAGGTCAACAAGAGTCAAATGGTTCTTGAGACCACATGCATGCTTGCACACAGAACATCTGGAAAATACATTGGACCATACCTGTATGTCTGGGCGCATGAGCAGCACGAGGAGGTTCTGCAGGTCAACGAGAGTCAAGCGATTCTTGGGGGAGAAGTCCAAAGGCGCGTTGACCTGTAGAGACCCGTCTGGCAGTCACCAACATGCCATGCCATACCATGCCATGCCATGCCATGCCATGCCATACCATGCCATGCCATGCCATGCCATGCCATGACATGCCATGCATGCCATGCATGCCATACCATGCGTCTCATGCCATGTCATGCCATGAGTCTCATGCCATTCCATACCATGCCATACAATGCCATGCCATGTCATACTATGCCCCGCCCTATCATGATGTGCCATGCAATACCAATCCATCACCGAAATTCCATGCCACGCCATGTTGAGCCATCCACCAGTTGACTTTTGAGTCGACTCAAAAGTCAACTTCCCAACATTCCATGCCACGCCATGTCGAGCCATGCACCAGCATGCCATACCATGACGATCATTGCACCACAGGGCATCATACCCATTTGCATCACAACGATCATGTCATCATGCCAATGGGAAAAAAATCACACACAAGTGTACGGAAGGTCTTCACTTGAGTATAGAAGGAAACAGAAAGAAAGAAAGAAAAAAGACCTTGTTCCGTGCTGCAAAATACAAACAAAGGCAAAACAACAAAGGCATCAGAGCAACCTCTGAGACACACAAATTTCACCAAGGAAACAAAGATGCTCCAAGAGCCACAGCTACCTTAAAGCCCCGTAAACACACGAATACAGGCACACCCACCTGGGTGCCATTGGCATCGATATAAGCACGCCCCACCAGCAACCCCTCCACTCCCTCTACGGGAGGCAGCTCAACACTACTCCACTTGGGAGGAAAGCAGTATTCTGGTGCATTGGCTTCCAAGCCCACTCGCACTGGTTCACAGCGCCGGTTGTCGAGAGGAGAGAGGTGGAGGGAGAGGCGATGGGAGAGGTGCGCAGAGGAGAGACCCAGGGAGTGCCTGGAGAGAGAAGGGCCGGCAGGGAAGGAACAAAGTTATTTGCTTGCAGCAGTGGTTGTCGAGAGGAGAGAGGTGGAAGGAGGGAGAGGCGGGCGGAAGAGAGACCCAGGGAGTGCCTGGAGAGAGAAGGGAAGGAAAAAAGAAAAGAAAAAAAAACTTATTTGCTTGCAAGAGTGGTTGTCGAGAGGAGAGAAGTGGAGGGAGAGGCGATGGGAGAGGTGCGCGGAGGAGAGACCCAGGGAGTGCCTGGAGAGAGAAGGGCCGGCAGGGAAGGAACGAAGTTATTTGCTTGCAGCAGTGGTTGTCGAGAGGAGAGAGGTGGAAGGAGGGAGAGGTGGAAGGAGGGAGAGGTGGAAGGAGGGAGAGGCGGTGGGAGATGTAGGCGGAAGAGGGACCCAGGAAATGTCAGGAAAGAAGGGACGGGAAGGAAAAACAAAAGCTTATCTGCTTGCAGCAATGACTGTGCAGTGGAATCATGCTGGGGAGGAGTGGGGGAGAGGTGATGGGAGAGTGCCTGAAGCGAGAGAAGGCATCACTGCTATGAAGGCATCGAGTTGATTTCAGGCAGTGATACTCACATGGCTTCATTGAGTCGCCTTGGCCCTATCAAGGCGCAGGCATTGCTGCTATGTAGGCAGGCACCCACAAAGTCGCCTTGGCCCTACCAAGGCATAGGCATTGCTGCTATGAAGGCATGGAGTTGATTTCAGGCAGTGAGGGCTTAAAGGCTTCATTGAGTCGCCTTTGTCCTATCAAGGCGCATGCATTGCTGCTATGAAGGCACCCACTGAGTCGCCTTGGCCCTACCAAGGCGCAGGCATCACTACTATGAGGGCCCCCACTGAGTCGTCCTTAGGCAGTGATACTTACATGGCTTCATTGAGTCGCCTTTGTCCTGTGAATGCATAGAGCCTGTTGTATGCCGTGTTGCTAGACACCTGAGTCAAGCAGAAAAGAACACACACGGGTTTGAACCACAGCAATCAGAGTTTTGGGTAGACTCAAGACTTGCCGTGTTGCCTGACACCTGAGTGAAGAACAAAAAAAACACAAGGATATAAACCATAACAAACAGGAGATAGCATAAACAACCTGTATTAGAAAACAGACCAGGAACCTCTTTCTGATTTCATGACCAAGTGTATTTTCCCTCCATTCACGTTGGACAAATCACGGCTTTCCTCCTTGCCTCAGGGACATGCGGTTATCGAGGCTTCTGGAAAACTGCCCACAGTGTCATATTGTCATATCACCAGGCACTCACCAGGAACATCTTTCTGATCTCATGAGCAATTGTGATATGCCCTCCGTTCAAGTTGGACGGGTCATGGCTCTCCTCCTTGTCTCCGGGGTACAGAGGGAGGAACGAGAGAGGCGAGTTCAACGATACGTTCACGCCTCGAGCTGCAAGGAGAGGGAGAGAAGGCGGGTGGGGGAGGAAGGGGAGGAGGGGGAGGGGAGTAAACGACTGGATACAGCCTTTGTTGGTGGGTGGAGCTTGAGACAACAAATCTCAGGAATTGGGAAGGGACAGCATCACACGATTGCAATGCAAGTGGGAGGTGAAGGAGTGAAAAAGCGTCCGCTGATGGCAACGTGAGGCCAAGCGAACAAGGCCACGTTCTCAGGAAAGGGAAGTGCAGAAAGTTGCTCATGCTATGCAAGGTAAACCAAACTCGCTGTTGTACTCTGTCACTTTGTCATGAGAAACGCTTTGAACCATTCCAAACCCAATGTACCCCAACCCAAAGTACCAGCCGCTCACCTTGGTACTCTGCCACTCTCAGAAGAGCCACCACTGCAGCACACAGCTTGATGGCACTGAGAGGTAGAAAGCCGAGAAGAGGAGGATGACAAGGGAGAAGACAGACACACTAAGGGAGGAGACGGGGGGGCGGATAGAGCCTTAAGGAAAATGGATGACTAGAGAAGAAGACAGACAAGAACAGAACACCCGGCAGGATATAGCATGGCATGGCAGCACACCTGGCAGGATAGAAGTACTCATGGTCCACTCGGTAGCCATGTCGACGCAGACAAGGCTGGCCGCTAGTATTTGCATTCACTTCTAATACAAGCGCCTGGGAGAGCATAATATGGCAGAATAAAGCACCTTAAAGGGCAGCACACCTGGCAGGATAGAAGTACTCATGATACACTCGGTAGCCATGAGCCTGTCAGGATAGATAGAGAATGAACTTAGGGCAGCACACCTGGCAGGATAGAAGTACTCATGATCCACTCGGTAGCCCTGTCGACGCAGACAGGGCTGACCATTAGCGTTTGCAGTAACTTCTGATACAAGCACCTGTAGGATAATGGAGAATGGGAAACGAAAGGATGTCAAGAGTAGCAAATAGAAACCGTCAAACACGTTCTAAAATTTTCAGAGAACGGACAATGCCAAAGCGTATTTTATACCTGGAACCTATACGTGGAAGGGTCCTCCAAAACACGGCGAAGCTTCTTGGAAGGATGCCGACGAAGGATGGCCTGACGCATTCAAGGACCACGGCGAATAGAGGATGAAGGAATGACGATGATTATGACGTAATCACGGCGAGATCATGACGAAATCATGGCGGAATCACGACGGGATAATGGCGGATGACGACGGGATAATGACGGGATGATGACGGGATAATGACGGGATGATGACGGCGAACGAAGGAGACAATGTGACTGAGAGTAAGCAGAACGAAAATTTAAAGTCTCTGATAGTAGAATAGCAAGCTTAAATGATGATAAATCGCTAACCAAGCGGGTGAAGCTTTCGAGTCGCACCTCTACGTTCATCGTTGCTGCTGCAGTCAATGATTCGCGACTTGACTGATGAAACCAAGAGGGTGTGTCCCGCAGTTCGATAATCTCGAGGCGAGTGATCACTTCACATTCTCACTGCGAGGGTGTGCCATGTGGAGTTTATATATTCCTCGCAACCCTACCCAAACACAATAAACTGTAAACGAGCCGCTCTGTCATGCGCAACAATTCATTCCACCGCAATGAGGTAAACTCATACAAGGGTATACATCACAAAGCAAACAAAAGAATTATGATACAGAAGAAACAAACCATTTCAAAGCGCCACAGTCATTGCACATCTATGATAAAATGCTTGCATCAAATAATTTAGTACCAATTACCATCAGGCTTTTTGGGCAACCAGCCTCGCTCGTAACTGTTGACAAACTGCCAGTGGTGCGTCCCTGCAAAAGCGGAAATAAGGCCACGAGCGAAGTAAACCAAATCGACAAAGATAAGAAGCCAAGCACTGACCGGTGGTGCTAAGTTTCCAAGTTAGCAAAAGGGAGGAGATGTCAGCACATTTGGGACCAGTGGCGTTGAGTTTCCATGACAAACTAATGCAACACTACAAGAACAAGAGTACGTAACAGTGGTGTTGAGAGTTTCCGGGACAACAGGAAGCAGCAGAACAAGAGCAAGAGCACGTACCAGTGGTGTTGAGTTTCCAGGACCAGAAGAACCAGCCAGCCTTGGCGTGACTGAAGGCCTTCATCTGGGCGAGAGAGAAGTTGGCCTGCTGCTCCGGTGTTGCAGGGTTGCCCATCGCATTGCAGAACTCCCCCACCAGCAGCTGCCGCCCCACTTTCTGCCCACAGCACAACGGCACAAAGTACAACGTCAGAGAAAGCAACGCATCGGGACATTCGGCGTGTGTCGTTTGAAACAGGTGAGATGAGATGTTGAGAACAAAAAGCAAGTGAGATTGAAACGAGCGTAAGCTTTTTTTCAAGTCGACTTAAAATGAAGGAAAATGCATTTACTGTAGGCAGCCCACCTCCTGGAAACTGACGATGTTGTTGACTCTGGTGGTGTAGGCGTAATCAAGTTCAAAGTTGACGCCCTGGGAGCTGAAGAAGTTGCCAAAGACGTCGTAGATGTGCTGCTCCAGGATCACATTGTTGTGCCACGCGTCATTCATGTGCCACATCACGTCGCCAAAGTTGCTGCCCACGCGGCCCTCCATGGCCACGAAGCAGCACAGGCAGCGCGCGCGGATGGCGTTGAAGGCCGCGGAGTAGTACCCCCGCATGTCCTCCAGATCCACCCCCGCGTACCCGTTCGCCCCCCCCACCACCGGCTCGTTCAGCAGCCCCATGCCCAGCCACATAGGGTCGGCACCGTACCTGGAGGTTCGGGAACACAGGGAGAGGGAAACAATGAGGGAGACTAGGTGAGAGGCCAACGGATTTCAGGTGCTAAAACCCACATATCTCCTCGTGGGGGGAGGAGGAGGGGAAGGGAGCAGCAGAGGCTGCGCGCACGGATGGCGTTGAAGGCCGCGGAGTAGTACCCCCGCATGTCCTCCAGATCCACCCCCGCGTACCCATTGGCTCCGGGCGCCACTGGTTCGTTCAGTAGACCCATGCCCAGCCACATAGGGTCGGTGCCGTACCTATAGGTTTGGAAGCCAGGAGCATAAAGCCATTGGAGCAAGAAGACGATACAGTTTCCGAGTATCGCTGAGTACTAGTTAAAATTTTCTCCCGTTCGGTATAAAATGCGCTAAGAATCTCCTAAAACAAGGTTGGCAAACTCGCGCAACAATCATAATCGAAGCACAGAAAAATTGGAGCGGATAGCCTCACCTGTCAGCAAGCCATGTGACAAAGTCGAGCGTGCGGTTGATATTGGCCCCTCGCCAGCGAATCAGCCCATCCCGCGCATTCCCCTTGCCAGCCTGTGACCCCGGCGCCACATGCACACTGAACCAGATCCTCACCCCGTACTTCCTCCCCATCTCAAACGCCCAATCCAGGTATGTCACTGCTCCCGGCACGAAAGGGAACTCAGGGGAGGCATCGAGGCCAATCCAGTAGCCCAGGGGGATTCGCACTGTGTTGACGCCTAGTTCTTGCATTTTCTGCCAGTCTGCTTCCTTGATGAAGTTTCGGCGAATGTTCTCGTAGATTGATGGGGCTGCTGCGCCGGCTGTGTAGGCCGCCTGCCAATCCGCCTCCACCCGCCACAGCTGGGAGTGGGGAGGGGGAGGGGGAAGAGGAGGGGGAGGGGAGGTGGGAGGGGAGGGGGAGGGGGAGGCGAAGGGGAAGGGGGAGCGGGGGTGAGGAGAGGGGCACAAAGGGGGATGCGTCGGAGAGGGGAACAGGGGAACTTCGGGGAGGCGTCGAGGCCTATCCAGTTGCCCAGGGGGATGCGCACTGTGTTGACGCCCAGCTCTTGCATTTTCTGCCAGTATGCTTCCTTGATAAAGTTTCGGCGAATGTTCTCGTAGATTGAGGGTGTGGCTGAGCCTGCTGCGTATGCTGCCTGCTAACCCGCCTCCACTCGCCACAGCTGGTAGTGGGGAAAGCGTACGGGGGGCGGGGGTGGGGAGAGGAGTGGAGTGAAAGCAAGGGGTTAAGGTTCAATAAGAAATGCATAGGCTCTCTGCTGTCCAGTCAACCAGGTGACTTTTGAGTTGACTCAAAAGTCACATTGTTAAGGTTCAATGAGAAATACGTAGGCTCTCTGCTGCCCAGTCAACCTCCACCGGCCACAGCCGAGGGGGCCGAGGCGAGGGGAAGGTGGAGGAGAGGGAGCCGGGAATTGGGTTGGCTGAGTCGAAGAAAGAGCATCATGCAGATGCTCATATTGGTTACCAATAAGATGGGCGAGGGGGATCGGAGAGGGATGCATATGCGAATGACTGCACTAGCAACAGTGCGTGTGATTTTTGAGGCGCCTCAAAAATTGCCTCAATGCATGGCGATTGGAGAGGGATGCATACGAGAATGACCGCACTAGCCAGAGTGCATGCGAGTGAATGATGGGAAGAGAGGAGGGAGGCTCAAGAGGGTGGAAGGTAAAGAAGGGGAGGGGACAGGGAGGGAGGGAGGGAGGGAGGGAGGGAGGGAGGGAGGGGGGAGGGAGGGAGGGAGGGAGGGAGGGAGGGGGGGGAGAGGGAGGAGGGAGGGAGGGAGGGAGGGAGGGAGGGAGGGAGGGGGGGGGGGGGGGGAGGGAGGGAGGGAGGGAGGGAGGGAGGGAGGGAGGGAGGGAGGGAGGGAGGGAGGGAAGGAGGGAGGAAGGGAGGTGGAGTACTCAAATGCAGCAGCGCTGCCCCAGATGGCATTGTTATTGAGGGAGTCAAGAAGATCAGCGGTAAGAGAGCCGTCAGGGTTGGCTTGCCAATCTTGTACTCTCTAAGACCCCAGATACTCACCACAGAGAGGTCAAATGCAGCAGCACTGCTCCAGATAGCGTCATTATTGAGGGAGTCCATGAGATCAGCAGTGAGGGAGCCGTCAGGGTTGGCCTGCAGGAAGAGGCCGTTGGGAGCGCGCAGCACCACACGCACATCGCCGCCCCTCTGCTCCGTTGATTTGTTGAGGGGAATGCCGTAAATAAAGAGCTCAAAGTTGCTCGCTGCGCCCTGGGGTGGTGAAGGGAAACAGGGGATATGACAGGGTCATAGGGGGGAAGAGAAGAGGGTGAGCTCAAGGGCGCACACGCAGCACCACGCGCACATCGCCGCTCCTCTGCTCCGTTGATGTGTTCAGGGGAATGCCAAAGATGAACAGCTCAAAGTTGCTCGCTGGGCCCTGGTGAGGAGAAAAAACGGTGATGGGGTTGGCAGTAGGAAAGCGGGAGCTAACAAAATGCTTGTAGCGAGGAGGAGAAAACGGCCAGGAAAAAAGCGAGTAAGCTCACACTCTTTAAATAGTAGATAAATGCTTGGCTTGGACGATTGTGGGATTGACTGAAGAGTAAGCTTCGTGGATTGACACTGCATACCTCGGGCTCTGTGGATTGGACCCAGACGTTGGGTGAGTTGTCCCGTACAGCCCAGTACTGCAGCCACTGCACGGCTATCTGGTGAGGCAGAGGCAGGCAGAACAGAGGAACACAACAGACATATGAAGGAAGCTGATCCAGTCAGCCCGGGCAACAGAGAATAGCAAGTAGCTTGCAATAGTGTACAGTGGGCAGGCAGTACAGTGGCGTCTATCCTTAAATGAGCAGAACTTAACAGCCTGCCTTACTCCGAGACCTTTGAGGTGCCATGGATTGCGCCAATCCTCAAAGAGTAGAGTAGTGGGTAAGGGTGAGCCTTACCCTGCGAGTGTTGGAGGAGGCGTTTCGAACGGTGGTGAGGAGGAGGGCGTTCTCGTGGAGAGAACTTTTGAGCCAACTCAAAAGGCACCTCAAATGAATCTACTCCTGCAAGACTAGTGTGTCTCTAATGGTAGTAGGCCTTACTCTGCGAGTGTTGGAGGAGGCGTTTCGAACGGTGGTGAGGTGGAGATACGCGTCCTTATTCAGTGAACCGTTGCAAGTCATCTGATTGTGGCAGGAGGGAAAAGTGAACACATGGGTGGGTGGGCACGGAAATCGTTGGCGTTTCGAACGGTGGTGAGGTGCAGGTAGGCGTCCTTGTTGAGGGAACCGTTGGAATACATCTGCTTGTGGCAAGAGGACAGAAAGAAAGAATGCATGGATGGGGTGATGGTAGGAGTTTCGAACGGTGATGAGGTGGAGTGGAGGCAGTTGTCCTTGTTGAGAGAACACTTGCAGTTTGGGGATACGCAAGAGGATACAATCGGATCACCGCTAAGCTAAAAGGGTATTCAGACTTCGATGGAATGATATTGATTTTGCAGACCACTAAAGAGTGATAGTAGCAGGGTGTGATGTTATGTGTGTTCACTTACTATTGTTCCACCACCACCACCAGGTGCGGTGATGTATTGGCCCAATATCACCGAGCGAGATGACATTGAGTCGACTCAAAAGCGATAGTAACCTGTTGTGATTATAGAGGGGTGTTCACTTACTATTGTTCCACCACCACCGGGCGCTGTGACGTATTGGCCCGATATCACCGAGCGAAGAGTGAACTGCCATGCACCATGCCGCACATACACCATGCCATGCATGCGCAGTGCCATGCATACCGTGCCATGCATCACCATGCCATGCAGGATGCCATATTCCATGCCATGCAGGATGCCATATTCCATGCCATGCAGGATGCCATATTCCATGCCATGCAGGATGCCATATTCCATGCCATGCAGGATGCCATATTCCATGCCATGCAGGATGCCATATTCCATGCCATGCCATGCATGCACCATTGAATGTGCCATCGCATAGCAGAACGAGAAACATTGACAGATCGAATCGGATTTAAATGCAGGGCGTACAGACATAGAAGCGGAACCGTGGTTGAAGGGGGAAGGGGGTGCAAAAACACGTTATATGCTAATTGTTGAAATACCTCCCTCCACACCCTCCCCTTCCCCTGCCTCCCCTCCCTCTCCTCACTATCCCTCCCCTCCCGTTCCTCCCCCTCCCCTCCACTCCCCTCCCCTCCCCCTGCCCACTCACCCGGGTGCCATCACCATATCCAGCAAACTTGAACACGTCGCGGTTCATCCACGGTTCAGTCACGAGCCACGACCCCAGATTCACCCCTTCCTAACCCCTTTCCCCGTTCCCCCCTTCCCCCCGTCCCCCGTTCTCCTCTTCCTCCCCCCCCTGCCCACTCACCCGGGTGCCATCGCTGTATCCAGCAAACTTGAACACCTCTCTATTCATCCACGGCTCAGTCATGAGCCACGACCCCAGATTCGCCCCTCGAATGGCCGGCACCCACATGATCTCCCGCACATCAAGCCGCTCCCAGTCGCCCGGCTCCCCTTGCCACCAGAACTGCGGGCCATTTTCGCCGTTCTGTGAGATGTACCATCCATCGGAGGATTTGAAGACCACGTAGACCGTATCTGGAATATACTCGATGGTGAACACAGTGAGCGGATCCGAGGCGTTGGTAGTTGTCTCCAGGAACATGGACGCTGCTTTTGTTAGAAAGGTGTTGCTGGGAGTCAGGAATTGGAACTGCGGGGGGGGGGGGGGGGGGGGGGGGGGGAGGGAAAGGGGATATATTCGATGGTGAACACTGTGAGCGGGTCCGAGGAGTTGCTGGAGGCCTCCACGAAGTTGGATGGGGGTCCTTGGTTAGGAACGTGTTGCTGGGAGTTAGGAACTGGAAATGCGGGCGGGAATGGGTATTGGGAGAAAGAACATCGCATAAGGATGGTGGGCACCTGTGAGGCACGAGGCGTGAAAGTCTAGTTTTGAGGCGTGAAAGTCTAGTTTTGAGGCGTGAAAGTCTAGTTTTGAGGCGTGAAAGTCTAGTTTTGAGGCGTGAAAGTCTAGTTTTGAGGCGCCTCAAAACTGCAGGAATGGGTATTGGGGAGAAAGAACATCGCATAAGGATGGTGGGCACCTGTGATGCACGAGGCGTGAGAGTGAGCAAATTCATCTCTCACACACTCCACGCATATGCGAGTACGAATAAACCCCATCCTTGTTCTTACCTCGGTGTCTGAGACCTGAATGATGGTGAGCGCCCGCCTGTGAGGCACTGGGCGTGGTGGTGAGAGAAGCCATCTCTCGCACCCAACACACATGCATCTGTCACACGTGCGTGGGTACGAGGGGCCCCATCCCCCTTACCTCAGAGTCTGAGACCCGAATGATGGTGAGCGCCTGTGAGGCACTGGGCGTGGAATAGACCCGGCCTACACGCCCCTCCCAGTTCACCCCGTCTGCTGCCGCCCACCACGTGCCCCATGTCTTGGTGCGCACTATCACCTGCAAGGGAGAAAATGAGACAGGAAATTCTTGGTGAGCGACTGTGAGGGATGGGGCGTGCTGCTGACTCGGCCTGCAACGCGCCTCTCCCAGTTCACCCCGTCTGCTGCCGCCCACCACGTGCCCCACTATCACCTGGAAGGGGGGGCAAGAGAGAGGGAACTTCAGGGTATGATGGTCAGCGCCTGTGAGGGACGAGGCGTGGCGGTGACTCGGCCTACGCGCCCCTCCCAGTTCACCCCTTCTGCTGCCGCCCACCACGTTTGCCACGTCTTGGAGCGCACTATCACCTGCAAGGGAAGGCAATAGAAGAGAAGGTAGTAGAGAGGGAACTTCAGGGTATGATGGTGAGCGCTTGTGCGGCACAGCGTGTGCCAGCTGGCTGCTGAGCCACAGTGACGTCATCTTGGGATCATAACCCCCGACATCCACACCCACCCACCCACCAACCCACCCACCCACCCACCCACTCACTCACACTACCTCACCCCCTCCCCCCACATTGTGAATCCCACACTCACCCTAGCGCCGTGTGCCAGCTGGCTGCTGAGCCACAGAGAAGTCATCTTGGGAACGCCGGGGGCGAGCGCGGGAGCAGCATTGGAGCAGCACTTGCCCTCGCACCTGGGCCCGGGAGGAAGAGGGGTGCTGAGGGGCGGCGCGCTGACCGGAGGGCTTGGGGGAGTGGGCGGCGGAGGCGACGGGCTGGGGGGTGGGGGACGAGGAGGGGGGGAGCGGGGTGGGGGAGAGGGAGGGCGAGGGGGCGGGGGACGGGGGGAGGCGGGAACCTTCTTGGCGGAGGCGGAGGGGGGAGTCTTCTGATCGAGGTGGAGGGTCTGAGAGGGGGGCTTTTCTTGGTTGGGGGCGGTGCTTTCGCTGCTATAACTCGTCGATGGATGGTGGAGGAGGAGAGGCGAATGTCTCTGGACAGCCCAATGTGAGTGGAAAAGGAGGAGATGCGCCAAGGCTCGTTCCCTTCTGTTTCTGTGTCCCCCTCCTCCTTCTCACTCCCCCTTCCTTCCTGTTCCTCCTCCTTCCCCTTTTCCTGCTCCTGCTCCTCCTCCTGCTCCTGCTCCTCCTGCTCCTGCTCCTCCTGCTTCTCTTTCTCCTCCAAACCCACTATCTCCAAACTACCCCCACTCAACTTCCCCTCACTCCACCCATGCTGCCGAACCTCGTCCCCAGCAGCCTCTTCCCCAGCCTCTTCCCGAACCTCTTGCCGAGCCTCCGCCGGGCGTCTGGGCCGATGCACCTTCCCGAACGCCATGTGTTTGGCGGCATGCGCCGCCCAAATAGCCTCGATCTCCGACTGAGGCTCATCCCCCACCGGCTCCACCCACTGAACCCCCCCAACTCCCCCAACTCGCCCCTTACCCTCCGAGCCAGAGCATAAATTATTCCCGGCGTTCGGATCAGGGTCGCAGCCCTTATTCTGCTTCCCCAGACACAGGCTCTCCAGCCATGGGTCTGTCTCCGAGTCCTCTGGTTCGTCCTGGTGGAGATAGTTTGGCTTGATGACGTCCGCGTGGGAAGTTCTTCTTGATTGGAGCTCAGTAAAGTCGCCTGCATCGGATGCTGCTCGGTGAAGATCGGACGGCTCTGGAACGTCGGTTTGAACGGGCGTGCTGGTCTGAACGGCCGTGCTGACTTGAACGCGTGGGAGGTAAAGGGTGGGGATGCCATGCTGTGAGGGAGTCGATGATAGGAGCAGGACGATTGCTGTGCTGATGAAGAGAGCCGTGACTGCAAGAGGCAGCCTGGGACGAAAAAGGGAGAGCAGGGAAGGGCAGAAAATAGTAGGGAACGGGGTGAGGAAGCTTGAACGCAGGTGCGTCCTTCAACGGTCGTGCTGCCTTGAACGCGTGGGAGGTCAAGGGTGGGGATGCCATGCTGTGAGGGAGCCGATGATAGGCACAGGACGACTGCTGAGCTAATGAAAAGAGCCGTGACTGCAATAGGCAGCCTGAGAAGACGGGGCGAGGAGGGGAGAGCAGGGAATGGTAGAAAAGGGTAGGGAAAGGCGTGAGGAAGCTTGAACGAGCGTGCTGCTGTGAAAGAGCTTGCTACACTTCTGACACGCGCCAACCCTCGAAACTTGGACAACGTAGGGCTAGAAGAGTGCTACGAGGGGAATGAGGCGGTAGGTAGAACATCACACGAGACAGGGGTGGCCGAAAATGCCTTCTCCGGCGCAGAATAACGGTGGCTAAGATAGGGAACTGGCGAAAAGCGTTCGGTATACGTAAGCCGTTACCAGAGCCACTGTAAACGTCTTAGAATGGGTTCCATGAATGTTGTATGCGTGCAAAACTAGCTGATGCCACGGAGGTACTAAAGAAAGCTTGATACCATATAGTTGCGAAAGTAGGTGGCTAGGTGCGTGAAGGAACGATAGCGCGTAGTTTTAGCGAAATGGATGAATCAAGATATCACTTCACCCGGCTCGCAGGCCCATTTTGAATATTATCAAGACACATTTTCAAATGAGCCCAGAAAAAGAAGTCCTACGACCTAAAGAAATGGATGATTCTTGATATCAAACACATTGCTATGACGAAAAGGAGGTGCTTGTTTTAGTACCATTTCGCGGCACGTCCAAAGAACGACATCTCTGGCTGGTGATATTCACGAGGTGGAGAAGCAGCTCGTCAAGATTCCGCCATGAGCCCACGAGGCTGGCGAAAAGTCAATGGGGTTACCCTATCCTAATGCTCGCTGTGCAACAATGCTCACTACTTTAACGAAGAAGACGGTGAACAACTAATCGTTTCGGCAAACTCGCGAGCCTGATGGGGACTCTGAGGCGCACTGCTAACAGATTTGAGGAAGAGCTTTGGATTCAAATAGTCTAAGCCGACTCTGAGCCTTCGCAGACAAGTTAATGTCCGCACACGAGATACAGCAGTAGCAGGAATCAGTACTTTCCAGTCCAAAGAAGGCTTACGGTCAAGGTACTTTTTCTGGCCTAGGTTTGACGACAGCGAGGAGGAAGTACAAAGGCAGAAGCGAAACTATGTACGAAGGAAGGAACGCGATGAGACGATGCGTAGGAAGCGAAATGCATCAGCGGTGTGTCGCGTCGTAATGGTTTACGTCTTGACTCGCGAGTCGCGACCTGCCAAGAGCATAGAGCAAACCACCTTCGCTGGAGTCGGTGGGGTGGGGCGAGGGGAGAAAGCTAGCAAAATGAGACGGGTGAAGGAGGCGAGACCCCACCGCCTCCATTCAGTGAACTACTGAATAGAACCATGGCGTCGACCGTTCATGGATGTGCTGTACAGGCCGTCCGTAGTCCCCGCGGTGTGGTTTGTGCCAGCGAAGGTGAAGGTGAAGGCGAGTTGTACAAATCAATCAACCGACCGACCGAATCACCACGGGTTTCCTCATTCACTTTCTCCTTCTTGTAGCAGAAGAGCTCAAAACCCTACTCTAAACTATTCCGACCGCCCTGAAACAAGAAGCATCTTACAAAACCTGATTGAAGTTGGCTCTTGGGATATGTGATTGCAGCAGGTATTTTCTGAGTGGGGCTTGGGTGGGAACTGCGACAGTGCGACAGCACCGACCTGAATCGCCATCTCACCTGTGCGAACCTGATGAGTTTTGATACGGTCGCGAAGCAGCTTCGCCAATTCATACGCAAGGCAACCCCGCCATCCACAACCACAGCCACCTACCCTGGCTGGAACTGAGCTCTTTGGACTACATGTGCAGCATGACACTACTGTAGCAGATTCACAAACCACCAAACACATGAAGAACCAAGACGCGTACATTGTACTTCATTTCTGTAAAAGCAACCAACACGATTTAACTACACTTGATAACATAGACATGAGGCTATTTGTTGGAGGCAAACGAGATGCTTCACAAGGACACAGTACCAACTCATGACTTCCTTGCTCAGCATAACCTCATAATCAACATCTACAAAAGAAGCTTAATCATCCTGTGCATCGTCATCTTCACTATCGTCACTGCCATCACTGCACGTAGGAAACCGAAGCGAAACAAAGATAATGAGCAGTCAAGACAGACACATGGGCTCAGAATCAGAATACAACTGACACCAATACATGCCCAAACTGGAACTTCATACCCCGATTAGACCAAAAAAGATGGGGCAAGAAGCTTACCTGACAACGGGCATCTTAGCAATGCGACGAGATTCGAGCCCTGTGAGGTACTTCTGCGCTGCTGTCACCTGGTCAGGGCCTGGTCAGTCAATTACACATGGGGGCAGAGAAAAAAGATGGTGTCTCAGTCGTGCTTATCGATAAAAAGAGAATACAAGCCTCGCGAGAATCTTGTGCATTGCTGGAGGAGCCGTGAGGGCGCACGGAATAGTCAAGGGAGCGGACAGAGGCAATGCATCAGAGTTGTACTGACTTGAATACTTGTACGCAGACTCGGGCTCCTGTGCTGCTACAAGGGCACTGTTGTAATGGCTTAGCACAAATATAAAACACGGCAGGATAATTCACGCCTCAGCCCTTTTGTGCTGAGTCAAGATGACTTCTGAGGTGCCTCAAAAGTAGCATCAGCCCCTTTGTGCTGGGTCAAGATGACTTCTGAGGTGCCTCAAAAGTAGCATCAGCCCCTTTGTGCTGGGTCAAGATGACTTCTGAGGTGCCTCAAAAGTAGCATCAGCCCCTTTGTGCTGGGTCAAGATGACTTCTGAGGTGCCTCAAAAGTAGCATCAGCCCCTTTGTGCTGGGTCAAGATGACTTCTGAGGTGCCTCAAAAGTAGCATCAGCCCCTTTGTGCTGGGTCAAGATGACTTCTGAGGTGCCTCAAAAGTAGCATCAGCCCCTTTGTGCTGGGTCAAGATGACTTCTGAGGTGCCTCAAAAGTAGCATCAGCCCCTTTGTGCTGGGTCAAGATGACTTCTGAGGTGCCTCAAAAGTAGCATCAGCCCCTTTGTGCTGGGTCAAGACGACGCTTACTCTACCTTGCTGGGTCGCAAGGGCATGGCTCCTGCTGAGCTGGACATTACCTATGCTGAGGTGGAACTCACCCTTGCTGAGCTGGAAGGCATGTAGAATGGTTCGCTCTGCAGCCATCCTCACAGGCTGGCTTGTGTCTTTCAGGCACTCCGACAGGGGTGGACCTAGCGCTGCCATGAGCTTTGCAGGGATGGGCTCCTGGAGTCATGGAGTAATGTGACGAGGGGAAAGGGGGGACGGGTGGGGAAGGAGGGGATAGAGGGATGAGGAGAGCACAGGCTGACTCGTGGCCTTGAGGGCACAGTGCTGCCATGAGCTTTGCAGCTGTGGAATAGAGATGGGAGGGGTTACTTGAAGCAGCATGGCTTTTGTGAATGCATGTAGCTTGAGTGAGATTAACATTGACAATGGTGACAGTCTGACTTCTTTGACCCATTGACCCCATTGACCATGTTGACTCCATTGACCCCATTGACCGTGTTGACCCCGTTGACCCCATTGACCACGTTGACGCTGTTGACCTACCTTCTTAGCAACCATCTTGACAGCAGACAGCGCCCTCCTCCGCACGTCACTAGCAGCATCCCCAAGCAGCGAAGCCAGCACCCCCACCACACCCGCCGCACTCCCCCCCCCCATCCCAAACAGCACCAGCCACCTCCCCGCCGACTTAGCCGCCGTCTCCCGCACCGGCACCTTATCATCCCCTGCATGTGCTCTTATCGCCACCGCTGCCTTGTCACCCACAGCTGTGAGCTGGGATGCTGACAGCGGCGCAGGGCGGGAGGCAGTGTGGCGGAGGAGGGAGGAGAGGGCGAGTGCAGCTGCGAGGCGGTGCGACCAGGGCCGCGAGGAGGGGAGGGGGGCGGCGAGGGCAGAGAGGAGAGAGAGGTAATCCGGCTCCGATAGATACTGTTGGGGGTGGGCAGGTTAGGGGTTAAGGGTATGGGGGAGAGACAGAGAGGAACGGGGTCGATTTTCTGTATGGAACTTCATTGCAAGTGCTCAATGGTAGTAGGTGGGAGATTGAGTCCAGAGGAGTGTGGCGGAGGAGGGAAGAGAGGGCGAGGGCGGCTGCGAGGAGGTGCGACCAGGGCCGCGAGGAGGGGAGGGGGGCGGCGAGGGCAGAGAGGAGGGAGAAGGAGAGGTAGTCGGGCTCCGATAGGTACTGTTGGAAGAAGGAGAGAGAGTGAGGGGTAGTGGTGAGCGAGGGAAGATGAATTCCCTGCAATGAACCTGAATGTTTTCTGGGTGCAGATGAATCCATTGGCAGCAGCTGGGAGCTTGAGGGCGAGAGATGGTAGTTAGAAACTTCTTTTCACAGTGGTGTGCCAGAGGGGGGAGGAGAGGGCGAGGGAGGAGAGGACGAGGGCGGAGCTCTCTTGGTGCCTTGGCCTCTCCCCTTCCATAATCGCCACACACACACCCTCTCTCACCCCTCTCTCACCCCCTTCTCAGCCCCCTCTCACCCCCCTCTCACCCTCCTCTCACCCCCCTCTCACCTGCGCAGTGCCCCCAAGAGCCCTAGCAGCGACGGAGCGAACAACAGAGTCGTCATCGCTGTCAGAGGCGAACAGTACCGCCTGCAGCGACGAGGAGAGGCGCTCCAGAGAGGCGGGAGAAGCGGCCTTGCCTCCGTGCCTCACCACTCCGCGGATGGCCATGAGCATCGACTCCTTCACTGCACCGTCTGCAGTCTGTGTAGGATAGAGGGGAGGAGGAGCGGGAGGAGGCACAATAATCACTTTTGAGGCGCCTCAAAAGATAGAGGGGAGGAGGGGCGGGAGGAGGCACAAAAATCACTATAGCAAATACCCGGCCAGCCTTGCCTCCTCCGTGCCTCACCACTCCCCGCACTACCATCAGCATCGACTCCTTCACTGCCCTGTCTGCGGTCTGTGAGAGGGGAGGAGGGGTGGGAGGTATGCGTGTGTTGCAGGAGGGACAATACTCACTACCAGAGGGATCACCACGCCTTGTCTCCGTGCCTCACCACTCCGCAGATTGCCATCAGCATTGACTCCTTCACTTCACTGCTCCGTCTGCAGTCTGTATAGCGATTACCTGGCCCGCCTTGCCTCCTCCGTGCCTCACCACTCCCTGCACTACCATCAGCATTGACTCTTTCACTGCACCTTATGCGCTTTGTATGGGAGGAGAAGAGGAGGAAGGGTGGATGGGGCAGCGTGTGTTGAGGCTCACTACTCACACTGTACGGATCACTATCCGTTGACGTGGATGAAGTGCCGACATGGACAAAGTGCTGACGTGGACAAAGTGTTGACGCGGACAGAGCGCTGACCTGGATGGAGTTGAGGAGGTCGGAGATGAGGGCATCCACTCTCGGGTTGAGCGCCTATCGGCCTCGAGGTGTATTTTGAGTCTACTCAGGTGAATAGAGAGCACTGCCGTGGAGGCAACACTGACCTGGATGGAGTTGAGGAGGTCGGAGATGAGAGCATCCACTCTTGGGTTGAGAGCTGTCAGCCGCCCCAACGCCTTGGCTGCTCGCGAGCGCACCGTGCTGGGGTTGGGGGGGAGAGGGGAGAGACGGGGGGAACGGGGGGAATGGGTGGGTGTGTAAGGTGGAGAAGAAAAAGATGGGAAGCTGTCAGCCTCCCCCCAACGCCTTGGCTGCTCGCGAGCTCACCGTGCTGGGGTGATGGGGAGTGGATGGAGGAGGGGTAGGGACGATAGACAGGCTTTACGAAAACGAGGGATGAAGGTGGACTGTGGCTGGGGCAATATAGAATAGAGCTTGAGAGCGATGCCTCCTTGGTGCTTATACAGACTGCAGCATCGAAGAAACTGACGGAAGATGGCAGTTGAAAAACAGTACTTGTACCCAAGCACACGCCGCATCACAAGCAATATACCAGTGTATACTTGTATTCCCTACAGGCTCACCGGTTGGAGTCTTGAAGGCAGCGTATGAAGGTGGTCTGCAGCTGTGGCAGGAAGGGCTTGAGAGCGATGCCTCCTTTTGAGATGAGGATGGCGAGGGTGGAGAGAATGGCCGCCTTGACCTGCCAGGGGAAGCGATCCCCCACTATTCGGATGAGTGGACTGAGAAAGTGGGAGGGTGAGGGGGCGCAACAAGCACGCAGGGGGAGGGGGACAAAAGAGGGGATTGGAGGGCTTGAGCGCGATGCCTCCCTTGGAGATGAGGATGGCGAGGGTGGAGAGAATGGCTGCTTCGACCTGCCAGGGGAAGCGATCCTCCACTATTCGGATGAGGGGGCTGTGAGGAGGAGTTGGGGAGAAAAGCAAGGAGAAAGAAGAGGAGGGGCAGAGTGGGGCAGGGTGCAAGGGAGAGGGAGAGGGAGAGGGAGGGGAAGTGGGGGGAGAAGAGAGGGGGACAAAGAGAGAGAAATTAGAGAGGTTGAGGGCTTGAGCGCAATGCCCCACTTGGAGATGAGGATGGCAAGCGTGGAGAGAATAGCCGCCTTGACCTGCCAGGGGAAGCGATCCCCCACTATGCGGATGAGGGGGCTGTGAAGGCGGGAGGGCGGCACAGGGAGAAAGATGGGGTGAGAGGGAGGGAGAGAGGGAGAGTGGGTGAGAGGGTCTGCACGAGTACGTGAGAGCTTGATGGCAATGGTCACCTCGGTCGGCCAGGGGAAGCGATCTCCCACTGTGCGGATGAGGGTACTGTGATGGTTGCGTTGTGATATCCACACTTAGTGATCAAGGTAAGAGATGGGGAGGTCTGTCCACACCACGACTTCACTCGCAGCCATCCAAACTCGTCCACACCACACCCATCCATGCTCACCCGGTTATGGGCACCACAGACGTCCGCAAAGCCGCCTCACTGGCGCCTCACTGGTTACGTCTATGAGCCTGTGCCTGCAGCTACTACCACTCACCCAGCCCACACCCATGCACACCCATGCACACCCATGCACACCCATCCAAACCCAACTACTACTACACTCACCCAGTGATGGGCACCACAAACGGCCGCAGAGCCGCCTCACTGGCCACGTCTATCAGCTCGGCCAGACCGTCTGCTGCCGCCTCTCGCATCTCCGCTGATCCCAGCATGAGCGCCTGGAGGGGAGGGAGGGGGAGGGGGAGGGGGAGGGGGGGGGGGGGGGGGGAAGGGGGAGGGGGAGGGGGAAGGTGAGGGGGAGGGGGAGGGGGGGAGGGGGACGGGGAGGGGGAGGGGGAGGGGGAGGGGATGAGGCAGGTGAGAGGTGCGTTTGCTGCTGCCTGTGACATCTCTATATGGTTGAAGCCTGGAGGTACGTCAGGTGCATCTGGAGCAGGTGTATATGAAGCAGGTATACCTGGAGCAGGTGCATCTGACGCAGGTGCATCTGACGCAGGTGCATCTGGAGCAGGTGTATCTGACGCAGGTGCATCTGACGCAGGTGCATCTGGAGCAGGTGTATCTGAAGCAGGACCCCCCCAACAGGGACCGACACACATACCTGGAGGTATATCTGAAGCACCGGCTGCAAGCCCTTTGGCAGGCAGAAGCCAGCAACGAGCATGGGAACGCCCTGCAGGTTGACAGTGGGAACGAGAGGAGGAGAAAGACCAAATGTGAGGGTGAGACAACAAGCAGAAAACGTTGTAAAACAGGAAAAAAACGATAATAGAGTCAAAGGCGGGACGAACAGCACAGCTCTCCCTGTCTCTGACAGCGAGGTGCACTTTGCGGTGCACTTTGAGGTGCACTTTGAGGTGCACTTTGAGGTGCACTTTGAGGTGCACTTTGAGGTGCACTTTGAGGTGCACTTTGAGGTGCACTTTGAGGTGCACTTCAGGTGCATAGCGGGACCACTTTGAGATGCACTGAAAGCGACTCCTTGGGGGCAATACAAACTCACAAGAAAAGAATCCTACTCTAAGGGACCTTATACATACAATGCAAGAGAGGAGACCTAAAGGCATGAATTGCACAAGGGAAGAGACCCACCTTCCTCTTCCTCCTCTCCCTGTCCCTGGCTGTGGCAACAGCGTCCCGAACCACTTTGAGGTGCACTGGCAGCGACTCCTTGGGGATGGTGCTTGTGACACTGCCCAGCGCCTCCCATGCCACCTGTGTGAAGGGAGAATTGGGCCAGAAGAAGGACGAATGGATAAAAAAAAGGGATCTTGGGACGGATGGTATGAGAGTAAGGAAAGATTGTGATCAGGGGTACTCCTCATCGGGGTCAGCCAGCATGACGATGAGGATGGTCATCAGCGACAGCAGCTACTCCTCCTTCTCCTCCACCTCCCAGCCCACACATGCAATACAGCATGCACTCAACACAGCACATCGCACGAACTTTTACACATGCCTCATCGGGGTCTGCCAGCATGACGATGAGGATGGTCATCAGCGATGGCAGCTCCTCCTCTAGATCCACCAATGCACTCCTTACACCAACCCACACATGCACTCACTGCAGGAACATGCTCTCATAGTATCACTGCACGAACCTTCACACAGGCCTCATCAGGGTCAGCGAGCATGACGATGAGGATGGTCATCAGCGATGGCAGCTCCTCCTCTAGATCCACCAATGCACTCCTTACACCAACCCACACATGCACTCACTGCAGGAACATGCTCTCATAGTATCACTGCACGAACCTTCACACAGGCCTCATCAGGGTCAGCGAGCATGACGATGAGGATGGCCATCAGCGACGGCAGCTCCTCCTCCAGATCCACACGTGTGATCTTGCAGAAGGTTCCTAGAAGCTTCGCTGCTCCACGCCTCATGACAGCCTGGGAATGAAAGAAGAATGAGAGGAGAGGAAAGGAGAGGAGAGAGGATGAGAGGAGAGGAAAGGAGAGGAGAGAGGATGAGAGGAGAGGAAAGGAGAGGAGAGAGGATGAGAGGAGAGGGGATCAGAGAAGAGGAACGGAGAGGAGAGGGGAGGAGGGGAGGGGAGAGGGGCGGTTAAAGAGACGAGAACAGAAGAGAGCACATGAAGAACTTGATTAGAAGTAACTCCAGGCCTTACTCATTCAAACCACCACCCCACTTTTTCCCTCCTCATCCACGCATCTCCCCCCACCCACCTCCCTCCCCACTTCCAAGTACGCACCGAGTTATCGGAGAGTGCGTGGGTGAGCTCGCCAATGAGAGAGTCCAGGCCCTCCTCGCCCAGCCCACATCACCAACTTTCCCCTCCCCCCCTTCCCTTATGATAATTCTCAAAATCCACCCAAAACGTACCGAGTTGTCAGACAGTGCGTGGGTGAGCTCGCCAATAAGAGAGTCCAGCCCCTCCTCGTCCACTCCCTTGACCACCGCCTCTGCTGACGCCACTGCCATCGAGCGCAAGGCAGACTGATGGGAGGATGGACGGGCCAGGGAGAGAGAATGGAAGAAGAGTGTGGAAAACAGGGGCCAGAGATATTTTTTCTTCTTCAAAAATGCCTCACATGAAACGACTGAAAAAAAACACTCAAGTTCTTTGACAAGTCCCAGGACGGCCATGTCACCTCAGTAGCATACCCCTCTAGCCTCGCTAAACCCGCTCACCTCCTCCATCTGCCCTACCTCAGTGAGAAATGGAGACAGCACCGTGGCCAGATGCACGCACATGCCTTCACATGCCTCCGCACATTCCCGTAAAATTCAACATTCCTGCACATTTGCACTTGCACAAGCTCGCACTCACCTCCTCCATCTGCCCCATCTCATTGAGCAGCGGCGGCAGCACCGTGGCCAGATGCACACACATGCCCGCCCCTGCCACCTCTGCCAGCGCACCCAGAGCATGTGCCTTGAACTCCCTGTGTGGGGGACACCAGCGGTGGTGAAGCGGAGGCGGTAAACAGTAACCACTTTACCTTGAGTTCTCAGATCGGAGCATGCAGAAGAGCTAAAACAGGACAACTGGCTTCATGCAACCCTCACATGCAATGCACTTGCAGAGGTGGAAAGGGAGAAGGGGAAAGTGTACATGCCAATCGTAAAAGGGGAGAAGGCGAGAAGGGGAGAGTGTACGTACGTGAGGGGTGGTTTGACGAGCTTGGGCAGGATGTGAGGCAGAACGACAGTGGTGCGCACACTGCAACACGTGCGGGAGGAGGGGAGGAAGAAATGGGGGATATGGCAGAGGGGAGAAACAGAACGAAGAAGAGAAGAGGAAAAGGGTCAAGGGACGCAGGGACCCAACCCATCCCATTTGAGAATCCAAACGAAAACCATCCCACTTGAGAATCCACCTGAGCCCATCCCACCTGAGAATCCACCTGAGCCCATCCCACCTGAAATCCACCCGAGCCCATCTCACCTGAAAATCCACCTGAGACCATCCCACATGAGAATTCACCTGAGCCTATCCCACCTGAGCCCATACCCACCTGAAGATCCACCTGGGCGCATCCCACCTGGGGATCTGTTTGAGCCCATCGAGGGCCGTGGCAGACGTGTGGGGATCCTCCAGCGAGTGCAGCAGTGCTGGCACGATCTCAACCACCTGAGAACCCACCTGAGCGCATGTCATCCCACCTGAGGATTTGTTTGAGTCCATCAAGGGCTGTGGCAGATGTGTGAGGATCCTCCAGAGAGTGCAGCAGTGCTGGCACAATCTCATCAATGGCTTGCATGCCCGCACTCTGTGTGGGCAGGGAAGTGAAGTGAAAGAAGTGGAGGGGAACGAAGGAGATTGGGCCTCATATTGACCTAATAGTGGGGTGCTAGTGCTGGCACGATCTCGTCAATAGCTTGCATGTCCCCACTCTGTGTGGGCAGGGAAAGCAAACACAAGGAGAAGAAGAGCAGCATTTCAGTACTAGCGAAATCAGTACTACGCACTTTTGCGAAAAAAAAAGAGTTAAATTTGACAGTCGTATACCCATGAGAGAAAGTATTGCCCTGTGAGGCACCAGGCACCCACCTTGTAGAGCGTGCTGAAGGCCTGTGCTGCTGCCTCCCGCACTTCAGCATCCCTGTTCAACACGAGAGAAAGGGAGGAAAGAAGGAGCCGTGGAGCAGGATGAGCATACGAAGCAAGAGGACAGAAACAGGGGGTGTGACAGTGCCAGCACATGTTACAGAAGCATGTGTAATACCCACTCGTCACAGAGTGCAGTGCGGATGGTGCCAATAAGGTCGTCCAGGTGGGATGTGAGGTTCTGCCGCCCTGCTGCATTCATCACCTCGCCCAGCCCACAGCACACACCCTGCAAACGCAAGTAGGTAGCCAACAAGGGAATTCATGATCACATAATGTTCATGACCACATTCGGAGTGTGACAGGTGTCCCATGGAGCAGAGCAAATGACCTTGATGACATGGATAGAGAGACAGACAGTGGTGTCAACACAGAAGGCAGCACAGCACTCAAAAAGCAGGGCAGCCTTACATGCATGAGCACACACACACACACACACACACGCACACGCACACGCACACGCACACACACGCACGCACCTGTCTGGTGGCGGGGTTGGGGTCTTTGAGACCGGCAGAGAGAATGGGCACCACAGAAGGTAGCACTCGCTCTCCCAGCTTGCGCACCAACTCGCCTATGGCCCGACTGGCCATCTGGAGACGGGCAAGGGGGAGAAGACACAAGTGAGGGGACAGAGGAGGAGTGGGGCAGAGATTGGAGGGACAGAAAAGGGCAGGCAGGAACAGGTGTCAGCCAGAGCACTCGCTCTCCCAGCTGGCGCACCAACTCGCCTATGGCCCGACTGGCCATCTGGGGGCGGGCACGCAAGGGGGACATGCAGGGGGGGACAAGTGATGGGAAGATCGGAAGCACAGGAAGGGGACGGATAGCTGCCTGCCAGCAGAATCATGTGCTCTCCCAGCTTAGGGTTTCGTATTGCGTACACATTAACACACATGGATGGCTTTTCAACTGGAATACAAAATGTGATGTTGCTGCTGGAAATGCGATGCGAGTACAGGAAATGCGACGTGAGTATGGGAAATAAGATGTGAGTACAGTCCCATTCGAACCTGGCGGCGTTCGAAGGAGGGTGAGCCGAGCGAGTCGATGAGCAGGCGCATGAGAGTGGGCATGATCTCCTTGAGTGTGCGCGGCGTGTTGGCCACTATGGTCTTCCACACATGCACCGCGGACTGTGGTGGTGCGAGAGGGGGAATGGGAAGGGAGAGAACTACTTGAATCACACACAGAGGGAGGAAATGCATGAGCGGGCATGCATGCATGAAGGGTAGTTTTGAGTCGACTCAAAACTGGACAGTGGTGGTGCGAGAGGGGAAATGGGAAGGGAGAGAACTACTTGAATCACATACAGAGGGAGGAAACGCATGAGTGGGCATGCATGCATGAAGGGTAGGGTGCTGGATTCCTTCCAGAGCAAGCATATACGCACCTCAACAGACGTGCTCTACACATTAGATTTCCTCACCTGTCGCATGGACAGTGACATGTCTGATTGCACAATGTACATGGCAGCCAGCACCTTGTTGCACCTCCCATCACTCATGCCCATGCCCTTACCCCTCAATACCTCTCCCTCCCATGACTCACCCACCCCGCCCCACCCCCAAGCTCACCTGTCGCACGGACAGTGACACGTCGGATCGAACAATGTAGACGGCAGCCAGCACCTCGTTGCGCCTCTCCAGCCCCAGCACATCCAGAATCGCCCGGCCCTGCGCCTCCGTGCTGGCTCCCTCGTCGTCGCTGCCCCCCTCCAACACCACCTTTCCGGATGTGCCTGCGACCTGGTGGGGAGGGGAGATGTACGGAGGAGAATGAGAAGAAGAAAGTGCAGGAAGGATGGGAACGTGAGGGGAGTTACGAAGAGTTGGAGCGAGAATTGCCCAGCTCTGTGCTTCCGTGCTCGCACCCTCGTCACCACTACCTCCTTCTAGCGCCACATTCCCTGACGTGACTGCAGCTTGTGATGGGGGCCAAGGAGGAAGAGGAAGAATCAGTACAGGAAGGGGAGCTATCAAGTCTTGAATTGAGAATCGCCCTCCTCTTGTTACAATCACATTGCAGGCCACCCAGTAGCTCCATCCATGAAGCCATCCTCTCCATTACAGTCACTTCAGTGGCCCCCCATTCAAGTCACCTGCAGCCACCAGAAATACCCCTCCCACTCCTCCTCTGCTTGTTATAGACACGTGACCTTGAAGAGCGGGTCGTCAAGCAGGTCCTCCCTCTCCATTATAGTCACCTGACGACATACCTCGCCCCTTATCCCCTCATTACAGTCACCTTGAAGAGCAGGTCGCCCAACAGCTCCATGGAGCTCTGCCTCCCCGTCATAGTCACCTGGTCCTGTAGCATCTGAAGAGTACCCGCTCCCTCCCACACTACCCTCATTCTAGTCACCTTGAAGAGCAGGTCGCCCAGCAGTTCCATGGAGCTCTGTCTGATCCGCCAGCTGTCGCTGAACAGCCCCTCCTCCACTGCTGGCAACAGCAAAGGCAGCGAGCTGTTAGGGGGGGGGGGTAAAAAAGGAATAGAGGGGGGAGTGGGGTGGGGAATGAGCAAGGTGGAAGAAAAGTATTAGTTGATATAAGCTGGGGATGGGGAGGAAGAGGAGAGGATAGGAGTGGGAAAAGAGGGGGATCACATAAGAGAACACAAGAGGGATACAGCAGAATACGGAGTGAGAAAGAACGCACCTGATGGCGTACTGCTGCACCAACACATGCCCGGCTGCCAGTGCTGCATCGCGCACACTCTCACTCTCATCCGCCAGACCTGGGGGGGGATGTGGGGAGGGAGGATGTGGGGAGGGAGGATGTGGGGAGGGAGGGAGGAAATCAAAAGGCAATCTGGATTTGAGTTGACTCAAAAGCACTCTCATCCGCCAGACCTGAGGGGGAATGTGGGGAGGGGAGGGATGAGGGCAGGCATAGAAAGGCAATCAGGACTATGGATTCTTATCCGGAGGCAACAACAAGTAGATTTGGAGCATCACATCACGTACCGTCCAGGATGGCAGGCAGCACTTGGGGGAGGTAGTTCTGGAAGGGCGCCCCGAAGGCAAGCGGTAGGTACTGCGATGCAAGGCACGAGGGAAGAGCAGGCGAGGTTTTTTTTTGGCATCTTGAAAAAGTAGTGTTGGAAGGCATGGGCCGAGAGCATAAAAGGTGACGAGAGCAGGCAAGCGATAGAAGACCAGGAAGAGAAGAGGAGGAGGAGAGGACGGGAAGAGGAGACATGCGAGGAACAAACAGGTTGGATTGGATGTTGAGGAGGCATTTATGAGAGACTGGTCAACATGTACACTGTGGCACAAGGGACAGAGAGTTACACTAAGATTAATGAAGATCACTGCTTGTGACCAGGATTGACAAGTTGATTGACTCGTGTTGACCAGCGTTGACTCGACCTGCGTTGACTCTCTTTGACCAGTGTTGGCTCACCTTGAACAGGGTGAGGTGGCCGTCTCTGACCGTCGCCACCTTGTGCGAGCACCCCGCCAGCAGGTCTGGCAGCAGCAGCTCGAACCGGTGACGGCCCTGCGCCCCTAGCACTTCGCTCAACCCCTGTGCCGCCCCGGACCTCTCCACACTCGACGCATCGGACCTGCCACACAGAGGAAGGCGGAATGAGGAGGTGAAGCCGGCGGGGGGTTGTGTAGGAATGCTGGACTGTGAACCTTTCCAGATCGCTCTGCACTCCATGCATCGGAACGGAACAGGCAGAGAGAGGCAGGCAGAGGGAGGACTGTTGGATAATGAACAAACGGCTTCTCCTGGCCACTCCAAACAAGGAAATCTAGAGCAGGACCGTACATACCCGATGGTTTCGAGCATCCAGGGAACAAGATCAGGGAACTCATGCTCTCCAACACCGCGCACCAGCGACCCAAACGCCTTGGCCGCCACGGTGCGCACGTCCGGATGCGGGTCTAACAATACTTTCTTGAGCCCGGGCAGGAGCAGGTTGAGATATGGCAGCAGCGAGGAGTGGTCCGTGACAAGGGAGACCGTGTTGCCGACAATCTGAGCGGCTCGCTTCTTGATGTCGGAGGAGCGCTCTCTCAGCGCGCGGTGCACGATGGGGATGACGAGCGCCAGGGAAGCTGCGTCGATGGAGTTCACAAAAGTGGTCTGGTGGGGGAGAGGTGGGGAGGAAAAAAGTGGGGGTAAAGGGAGGAAAGAAACAGCATGCACGGGGTTTGAGGCAGCTCAAGACGACCAGCAGGTTGAGTTGAGGCAGGGCAGCAGCGAGCTGTGGTCCGTGACAAGGGTGACAGTGTTGCCCACGATCTGGGCGGCTCGCTTCTTGATGTCGGAAGAGCGCTCTCTCAGCGCGCGGTGCACGATGGGGATGACGAACGCCAGGGAGGCCGCGTCGATGGAGTTCACGAAGATGGTTTGGGAAAGTGGGAGAGGGAGGTGGGGAAGCGGGGAAGGGAAGTGGGGAGAAACGTCTGTGAGGGCTGAGAGACTGCTTTCTCGCGCATGGTGCGGCGTGGTGGACGATTGGGCTGACAAGCGCAAGGGAAGCCCACGAACGTGGTCTGGTGGAATGGGGAAAGAGGGGTTGTTGTGCTCGCTAGGATTCACAATGCTGCCTAGACTCTAGCAGCCATGGCATGAGGCCGGCTTGCAAGGGTGAGGCGGGCACGAGAATGAAAGCAGTTACCCGGGTGTTACCTGGACTGCAGCTGATGTGGTACCTGTGGCAGCAAGGAGAACGGGGAGTACCTGCAGCAGAAGGTCGAGGCAGGCGCGGGTGTGCTTGTTGGGGTTGGCGATGCCATCCAGCAGCGAGGGCACAAGGGCGGCAATCTCAGGGTTGCGGATGACACTCCCCACTTGCTGCAGGGACGTGTGCGCAGCTGCCTGCACCTTGGGGTGCGTGTCGGTGAGAACCTGTTGTTCGATGGGATAACACGAGGTATAAATGAGGTTGGGTGGGTATGAGGGCCAGTCAGACAAGCAATTTGAGTTCCAGGTAAGAACTCAATTTGTGGTTTGCGACAATCAGATAAGGGAAGACTAAGCAAATGACTTACCCTAAGAAGCAATGCCAGCCACACATCTTTTAAACGCACGCACCTCGCTGAGCTTGGGCACCACGAGCGGCAGGCAGTGCGACAGCTGGCGGGGCGCACAAAAGGCCATGGCTCCCAGCAGCTGCACGCTGCCCTGCTTGCTGCGCCACGCCTTCTCCTCCAATCCCTGGTGGTGGAAGGTAGAAACAAGGGAAGGCGTTCAGCTGTTTACACCGCAGTCCACTGCCAAGAAAGGTTAACGCCATAGTATACAAGCCTTCAGTCCTTCTCCCCAGCAGCTGCATGCTGCCCTGCTTGCTGCGCCACGCCTTCTCCTCCAAGCCCTGGTCAGCAGGAGAAGGGAGGGAAAAAAGAAATAAAAGGGACGATGAGTGAGAAGAACATGGGGAAATGGACGGGGAGGGCTACAAGGCCGTTGTGCCATTCCTCTATTGAGAGAGAGGGGATGTGTCGGAGCACCTTCTCTCACCTTGAGCAGTTGACTTCTGAGTCGACTTAAAAGTCTTTTGAGTCGACTCAAAATTCCTCTATTGAGAGAGAGGGGATGTGTCGGAGCAGCTTCTCTCACCTTGAGCAGTGCAAGGAGGTTGAGCTTCATCCCAGTAGTGCTGAGTTGCCCCATGATGCAGCGAGACGCATGCACCGTGGCCTCGCGCACTGGTGTGGCTTGGCTGGTGTGAGTGAGTAGCTGATTTACAGTTGACTTGACTCCAGCGTCTCTCACCTTGAGTAGCGCGGGCAGGATGAGCTTGACCCCAGGAGCGCTGAGTTGCCCCATGATGCAGCGAGACGCATGCACCGTGGCCTCCCTCACTGGCGTGGCTGTGTCTGAGTAGCACACCAGGAGGTACGGCAAGATGTGAATCACGTAGCTGATGGTGGGAGGAAGGGGGGAGGGGAGGGGAAGTGGAAGGGGGGGGTGTTGTGAGACGATGAGAGGCTGTGTCGGAGTAGCACACCAAAAGATACGGCAGGATCTGAATTACGTAGCTGGTGATGGGGGGGCCAGGGGTTAGAAGGGAGAGAGAGACAGAAGTCGGTTCTGCTGATGATGGTGGAGTTGAGTTGAGAGAGGGAATGAGAGCAAGACATTGGACAGGCTACAGGGCAGAGAAATCTCAACTCACGGTTCGAAGCTAAGTTAGCTTACGGTTCAAAGAGGCGACCAAGCTTCTCGGAGAGGCATTCGAAGCCAAAAAGCGCTCCTTCTCTTGCCTTGGGGGATGACCTGGTTGGGAACGAGACGAGGGCAGCAAGCAACAGCAACGAGCAGCAAAGAGCAATTTCGCTCCAACATGAAATGAGATTACCATACAAGCAAAGAATGCCCTCAAAAGCATTTGGAGGCTAGCCCAATAATCAACACATATAACCTGCTAATTATTCAACCACAGATACTTTTACTCACGGATCCTTCAACCGCTCTCCTCGCTTCCATCAGGATATTACTTCGCCCCACCCTATTCCTCCTCCCCACTCACTTGTCCTCCAAGCCCTTGATCAGCGCCTGCAGCACGCCATAATCCCGAATGCTCCTCAGCCCCAGCCCCTTCACCACCCCTGCCACCCCTCCTTTTCATCACACCATCCCCCCGCACTCACTTGTCCTCCACGCCCTTGATCAGCGCCTGGAGCACGCCATAATCTCGAATGCTCCTCAGCCCAAGCCCCTTCACCACTCCAGCAAGCCCGAACGCCGCGCCTCTCCTCTCGGCAAAGCGGTCGCTGGTCAGCAGCACCTTGAGCTGCTGGGCTATGAGCGCCTGGGCTCCGCCCTCCTGAAGGCAAGGAGGAGGAGAAAGGAACAAGGATGAGAGGATATGCCATCTTCAGTGTAAACACCGCGCGCCTCTTTCTCCTCTCTGCGAAGCGGTCGCTGGTCAGCAGCACCTTGAGCTGCTGGGCTATGAGTGCCTGGGCGCCGCCCTTCTGAAGGGTAGGGGAGAGGAGGGGAGAAAGACAAGTTGAGAGAAAAGAGCAGAGATATCCATTTTCCCATGTCTAACACAAGCTGACGTGACACACCTTGATTGAGGAACATGGCGGGCATGAGCGGGTGGCAGGCAGTCGGACACGGCGCTCTGCACGGCCGCTGGCTCTGAGGCCTTCAATAGGCACACAAGGAGACACGATTTGAGAAAGACTGCGACCCTCATCACGCACACAAGGTCACGAGCCGCACCTTGAGGGAGATGGCGGGCATGAGCGGCGGCAGGCAGTCAGACACGGCCCTCTGCACGGCCTCTGAGGGCGTGTTCAGCACCTCCAGCAGCCGTGCGAGAATGAGCGTCACCTTGGGATCCTCCTGCACCAGGGGGCGAGGGGACGATGGGCAGTGGTGTTGATGTTGGTCATGATTAGCACAAGGGAAGGAAAATGGCGGGCGTTCAGAGGCAGCTTTCGGGCGGAAAAGGTCAAGATGCTTGGTGTATTTTGGATCGACTCAAGAAAGCACTTCACATTCAGAGGCAGCTTTCGGACATACCGGGGCAAGATGCTTTGCGAGGGCACCGAGGAAGACCACCACGCCCTCTCGCACAAGATCATAACTGTGCTCGTTGTCCGCCTGCATTTCAAGACAGGGGATGCAGGGGAGCGAGAAGGGGGGGGAGTAGGGTCCTGAGTTTCGAAATCGCAGCTGTGCTCGTTGTCTGCCTGCTCTCCAAGACAGAGAGGAGGGAGACAAGAGAGGGGGGCACAGGAGGTTGGAGAACAGAGGGGAGGGAAAGGGGAAGAAGAGGAAAAGGATAGATCAGAGAGTAGATGCTGGGAAAAGTAGAGCGCTACACATTCTTCCCATGCCCCATCTTCTTGTCACCATGCCTACAAGCACACCTTTCTGTCGAGGTAGTTCTCAAAGATGGGCAGCAGCAGCCCCACGTTCTCCTTGCCGTGCCGGTTGATGATCGCCAAACCTGCCTCCACCATGCGCCTCCGAACCTCCTCGTTAGGATCAGCCTGTCCAAGCAGTATCAGAGCGGGTGAGGAAAAGATGCGAGCCAGATGGGGCGGCATAGAAAAGGGCTCATCAAACCTTCCACTGCTAAAATGCATAAATACAATCCAACCGACAGGCAAAGGAACAAGGAAGAAATGAGCCAACGCAGGATTTCGGGTTTAATGTTCTCGAGGAATCACCAGAGCTTTGGAGATGAGGAACGTGGCGACAAGTGGCAGCTCCTTAGTGGTCAGCACGTCAGCAGCCGCTCGCATCGCCAGAGCCATGCCCTCCCTGCTGTGCCACGTGGCATCATCCTGAGGCCGCCACATGGCAGTCTGAGGTGGCGCATCCCGCACGTACAGCGAGAACAGGCTTGATAAACTGGCCTGGATAGTGCCTCGGTATTCATCCATAGCTGCCGCCATAGCCTCAGCAGCTGCCAGACGAACCTCCTGGCTCGGGTTCCCGAGGCTGACAATCAGGTTCGGCGCATACTCCGGGCCTAGCTCGTGCCCGTACATGTCCCAGACCATCTCGGCAGCCTCGGCGTTGGCAGGTTCGGGGTCGTATTGGGCCATCCAGATGGCACAGGCCACATATTGGTCCTGAGGGGCCTTGCCTGCTGCTAGGGTTGGAATATACTTGACTGCTTCCAAACACGCCTCCCTCACATGTGCCTGCTCTGCAAACAGACCTTCTAGTGCCTGGCGGAGGGAGGGGAGGGGGGCAGAGGGGGAAGCGGTGTGTGTGCATGAGCAAGAGTATATTCTCACACAGGGCGGGATAAAATTTACTGCTTTCAGGCACGCCTCCCTCCCATGTGCCTGCCCTGCAAACAGGGCCTCTCGCACAGCACTGGCTGCACTCGCATCGCAGAATCACAAAAACCCCAAGAACCACAATTCACCTCTCAAATTTCGTCCAACTTCAGGCCTTTGCAGAGCTCCCTCAGAATCGGTTGCACTCGTGAGTGGTAGATGCTTGCATGCGGCCCAACACATGGTGGAGCATTGATAACATGGCGCAGATTGACAGACCAGAACCGCACAAGACCCCCATGGACCACGACTCACCCCTCCAATCTCGTCCGCCTTGAGGCCTCTGCAGAGCTCCCTCAGAATCGGTTGCACTCGTGAGTGATAGATGCGCACACGGCCCAACACGTGGTAGAGCACCGCATGGCACAACACATCACAGTATAGCATAGCATAGAGATAAAGCCCAGAACCATGGCAGACCGCCACTAACTGTGACTCACCCCTCCAATCTCGTCCGACTTGAGGCCTCTGCAGAGCTCCCTCAGAATCGGTTGGACTCGTGAGTGGTAGATGCGCACACGGCCCAACACGTGGTAGAGCACCGAGATCATGGCGAGGCGCGGCAGAGTGATGAAGGGCGATGTGTGCAGCTGCAGGATGGAGATGATGGAGTCGTGCAGACGGGTCTTCTTGTTTGCCCGAAGCACTCTCTCAAAGATCTGAGGAGAGGAGGAGCATCGGGACGGGGGATGAGGGAATACAAGACAACAATGAGGCAGGGCAGTGCAATGAATGGCGAGGTGTGCAGGTGGATGGTGGAGAGGATGGAATCATGCAGCCGGGTTTCCTTGTTTGCCCGAACAACTTGCTCAAAGATCTGACAGGGGAGGAGCAGTTGAACATAGATCAAACATACAACAGTTGAAACAGTTGACATACATGTGACGGAGCAGAGAGATGAAGGGCTGGACGAGGTCATTACTGACGAGGTGTGCAGCTGAAATCTCACTCATAAATGAAACAGTCGGCGACCGTCACTCACTTGCCACCAGATGGTCAGACAATAAGTTCCCCTCTTACCGGGAACACAGCGCCAAATGTAGCAGCAGGAAGCGACCCTCCCTCCTTACACGCCGCCCACACAGCCCTCACCACCCTATCCACCACACTCTCCTCCTTCTTCCTCCTCCTCTTCCCATCCCCTCCCTCCTCCTCGCCCTCCTCCGCACTCTCCTCCTTAAGCTGCTCCGCAAGGCTCTCCCCTGCGAGGGAGACGGAGCAGAGGGCGGAGGCGACGTCCCAGGAGAAGGGCTGCAGCGCGGGGGAGAGGCAGCGCATCACCAGCGCCAGCGCATCAAAGGCTTGTGAGGGGATGAGCGGCGAGCGCAGCAGCGGCAGTATGGATGCTACCTGGGGGGTTGGGGAAGGGATTGGGGGAGGGTGGGGAAGGAAGGTTTGGGCAAGAGGGCTGCAGCCCAGGGGAGAGGCGGCGCATCACCAGCGCCAGCGCGTCAAAGGCCTGTGAGGGGATGAGCGGCGAGCGCAGCAGTGGCAGAATGGACGCCACCTGGGGGGTTGGGGGGGTTGGGAGGAAGGTGGGGGGTAAAAGGGCTTGTGAGCCAATCCTCTTTCTGCCCGAGTTGCTTGGATGGTAGCATGGTAGCATGGTTGCATGGTAGCATGGTTGCATGGTTGCATGGTAGCATGGTTGCATGGTTGCATGGTAGCATGGTTGCATGGTGGCATGGTGGCATGGTAGTGGTGGCGAGGTAGCATGGCAAGCGGCATGGGTGATTCATGGACAGGCTCACGAGCTGGGGCAGCTGGTCGTGTGAGGAGGCCGGATTGGCAGCAGCAGCGCCCAGCGCCCTTTTGAGAAGACTCCAAAGTCAGAGGCACAGTTGCACAGCACCAAAGTTGCATGGCAACACAGGAGATGCAAGAAATGGAAGGATTGAGCGGCTCACGAGCTGGGGCAGCTGGTCGTGTCAGAAGTCCGGGTTGGCAGCAGCAGCCGCACCCAGCGCCCTTGTGAGTAGACTCAATAGTCAGGGAGCACAGTTGCACAGCACCAAAGTTGCATGGCAACACAGGAGATGCAAGAGATGCAAGGATTGAGAGGCTCACGAGCTGGGGCAGCTGGTCGTGTGAGAAGGCCGGGTTGGCAGCAGCAGCAGCACCCAGCGCCCGCACCAGCACCCCCGTGTGCCTCTGAATCCCTCTCACTCTCTCCCTCACTTTCTCCTCCTCCAGCAGCAGTGCCTCCCTAGCCTCCTCTTTGGCAGTCTTCCCCTTCTCCCCCTCGCCTGCCGCTGCTTTCTTAGCCCCAGGCTTCCCCGCGTCCTTCTTGCCTGCTCCTCTCCCAGCCGCCCCCTTGGCTCCACCAGCTCCAGCTCCTCCCCTTGCTGGTGTGGCCTGTAAATATAGACAGCGGGTAGAATAAACGCAAGGGAATGGTATAGGAATTGCTTTTTTTGCCCCCGGCTTCCCCGTGTCCTTCTTACCTGCTCCTCTCCCAGCCACACCCTTTGGGCCACTGGTCTCAGCTGCACCGCGAGCTCCTGGTGTGGCCTGCGCACACGCACAATGCCACAGCGTGGGGATAGCACATGGCAGGTAGTGCTTGCTTAGCTGCAATTTGAGTCGACTCAAAAGAACCGGAACCAGCTGAGCCGCAACCTCCTGGTGTGGCCTGCGCACACACACAGTGTCACAGTGTGGGGTGGGGAGACCACATGATAGATAGTGCTCATTAGCCACTTCCAGAAACGCCATTGCCTTTTTTGCCCCTCAATTGGCACTTTCCTCTCTTCTCTTCGCGAGCTCCTGGTGCAGCCTGCGCACACACACAGGATGGGGTGGGGATACCACATGACAGATAGTGCTCATTAGTTACTTCCAGAAACGCCATTGACTCCTTTACCCCTCACTTGGCACTCTCCTCTACTACCCCCCCTCTGTATCCGTCCTGCCTATCCCCTTCCCAGCAATTCCGTCCTTTGAATCATCCGTAACTCCAACAACTCACAGCGGAAGGTTTCTTCGCAGGGGCAGCAGCTGGGGTGGGTTTCCCCTCCTCCTCGTCATCATCATCCAGCTCTGCACCGTACAGCTTCAGCTTGTCCCTCGCCTGCATCACTTTTTTTCCCCTGCCTCACAGTCCTTAACATGACCAGAAACACCCTGCAACTTACACCAGCACTTTTCTTCGCCGCTGCAGCAGCAGGGGCGGGTTTGCTAGGCTCCTCCTCCTCGTCATCATCATCCAGCTCTGCACCGTACAGCTTCAGCTTGCCCCTTGCCTGCCTCACGTTCTTGTCCCTCACCACCGCTGCCACGTACACTCCGTCCTCTGCTGATAGCATGCCCTCTGGTGTGTTGAATATCTGATGACAAAGACACATGTCATGTAAAGGAAAAAGAGGAAAAAAGAGAAAAAGAGGTAAAAAAGGCGAACTGGTGATACTGTCTTGCCCACATTAATAACCCTCACGACCACTGCACATACACTCAGCCCATCACCAGCATGCAAAATATTCTGGGCAGGGGGGTGTGAAAAGAGAATGAGAAGCCAGGAAACCGCAGAGCAAGCGGAGAGATATGGTATGTCTCCCTTATTTCTATTCCCATTCGTATTACCCCACCATGATCCATGTTCCGTGCCCTGTCACTTACTACTATCCCATCCCACGCCACAAACCACACACTGCTCTTATGAGACAACATCCAACACTCACTATGAAAAGAGGGATACAGTCATGTATGTCTTGTCCAACATATGGCATGCATGCCTACCTTAATCTCAGATTCTGTGAGAGCATCGTGCTCCTCCCGCTGTCCCACCGCTTCCAGCTCCTGCCATGCCAATCCAAGCACAGAGGACACATGAGTGAGACGCATGGGTACACTGTTGATTCAATGGCAGGTAGACAAAACATTGTAGGCATTTCTCGTAGAGGGTACGGCACGCTTTTCCACAGGATGCCATGGACTTATCCACACGTGCCATAGTGTAGTAGCATACCGTGACAAGAGGCTATGTTAGAATAGCTTATGAGACTTCTCACAAGTGGTTCCGAAAGTGCTTGTGAGATTTTAGAAAAAGGATTGCCACGTACTCATCCACGCGTGCCATAGTGTAGCAGCATACCGTGACAAGTGGCTGGAAGAACTCTGCAGGGATGAGGCGCATGGCAGATTGGATGGCTGCGATGGCAGCATCTGACTGAGCTGGGCGGCTGGATGCGAGCCCCGCTGGTCCAGTCAGAATCTGGGGGAAGGGTGAGAGGCCACGACGGGATTGGATGGCCCTTGAGACTTGGAAAACGCAGATTGGGAGGGGGATTGGATGGCGATTGAGACTAGTATGTACATGGTAACAGAGTTACCCAGCTAGTGCGTGATGGGATGCGTACCTTAGCCACAACAACAGGCTCCGCGGCCAGAGTGGCAGACACCTCATATGCCCGACGCTGCCATGCCCTTACAAGCTCCTGAGGAGGGGGTGGGCGTGGAGAAAAAAAGCAAAAACTCCAAAAACTCCAAAATTATCTCGTGAACATAAGCCCTGAGACCAACAACTTCAACTCTAACGTACAGCATTCTCAACCCTTAAGAACCAGTTCTTAATACCCACCCCCAGTTCCCCACACGTGACTGCATTCAACCGCACTGAACCTCCTCCCGTGCTCACCTGCCGCACCACGCCTCTCCCCCAGCAAAGAGCCCATGGTGTGCCAGCAGCATCACCCACACAGTCACGGGCCCTGTGCCCGCCACCACTGGCTAGACATGCAAAACCACACCCAATTTCTCTAAACTGCACTGAACCGCACTGTATTGCTCACCTGCCACACGACATCTCTCTTCCGCCCCCCAGCAACAAGCCTATGGTGAGCCAGCAGCATCACCCGTGCCGCCACGCCCACCCTCTCTGCCACGGCCCCTGTGCCCGCCACCACCAGCAGCGCCTGCCCCAGCAGCTGTGGGGGAGGAAGGCGGTCTGCTGCAGACTCTGGCGATGCTGCTGCCTCAGGGGAATCCCTGAGGAAGAAGGATCAGGGCGGGGGGGGCAAGGATGCATCGAGAAAGGCGAAATAGAGGATGGGCTTGATGAGGGAAGCTGCTGCCAAAAGAAGCGGTGAGAAGACTAACATCGAGTTGACTTTTGAGTCGACTCAAAAGTCAACTTGCTGCCAAAAGAAGCGGTGAGAAGACTAACATCGATTGCAGTGCACACCCGGTGCTGATGGGATGGCAGCAGCTGCAGCGATATCCTCCAGTGCCGCAAGTGAGAGGGAGAGAGCAGTTCGTAAGGAGTCACTTTTTTAAATGGGGCCACAGAATGAAATGAGTTGAGCAGGGGCTGAGATGACAAGACAAGCAGGCAGCACTCTTCCTCACCCGTTGCTGATGGCCGCAGCTGCTGCAAGGTCCTCCAGAGGCGGCAGGGAGAGGGAGAGGGCGTCCAGCAGGGAGTCGGAGAGGAGAGGCGCCCAAGAATGGACCCAGATGAAGGGAATCAGCAGATTAGGTCTACCACAATGCTCACCCAGTGCTGACGGCAGCGGCTGCTGCGAGGTCCTCCAGAGGCGGCAGAGAGAGGGAGAGGGCGTCCAGCAGGGAGTCGGAGAGGAGAGGCGAGATGGCGTGGAAGCGAGCCACCATGGCGTGCGCTGCCTTGCGCACTGATGACAAGGGGTGCCACAGCAGATGCACCGCGAGCTGTGTGGGGCAGGGGGGGAGAGCGGATGCATATAGGTGTATGGGTTGTGTGTGTATGGAGACGTATGAGGGGAGGTGCATGAGAGGAGGGGCGAGATGGCGTGGAAGCGAGACACCAGGGCATGTGCTGCCTTGCACACTGACGACAAGGGGTGCCACAGCAGATGCACCGCCAGCTGTACGGAGAGACAGGGTTATCTGTCATATTGGGGTAGTATGGGAGGCAGAGGAAACCGTAAAGTGGTCGGGAAACCATCGCCAACAACTGAAGATAGGGAGAATCGAGCTACAGCTGAGGGGGCTACAACATAAAAACGCAAAGAAGAATGGCCAAACGGAAGAAGAAAATAACAGAAAATTAGACAAGAGCTACAGCTGATAGCCATGAGTGGAACTATGTGAGATTTGTGAGTTGAAAGAACTTAGCATTGTCTAAAACCTTACCCTGCAAAGCTCGTTTGTGCTGACAGCTGCAGCATGGCCAGTGCTGACACTGCAGGAGAAAAGAGAGAGAGGGAGATGGGCAGGAAGCAGGAAAGAGAGTGGGAAGGATGCAGGACCTGCACACAAGACAAGAATACATACCTGGCTGGCCAGAGTGTACAGTGGCACCCTTTCACAAAATCCAGGCTTGCACCAGTTACAACCTGCAACAGTTCACGCCTGCACTACATATAGCCTGCAGAAGGTACAACCTTCACCATGTACAGCCTACACAACATGTACCTGGCGGAATGGTGCAGCAGCACCACCTCCACCAGTTCAAGCAGCGCCAGAAGGTCCTCTTCCCCAGTGACCTTAGGCACCTGGTGTATGTGAGGTAGAATGGAAGAGAAGCAAGCAAGCAGTTCTGAAACAAAGAGTACCTACAAGAAGATCCTCTTCCTCTGTGAACTTTGGCACCTGGTGTTGTTGCAGTAGCAGAGGTAATCAGCGGTGGGACGGCAGTGAAAAGTAATAAGCGGTAAGATGGCAGAGGAGCATAGTCAGAGGTGGGAAGGCGAATGAAAATAGTCCTTTTTGAAATGTGGCCCTTCGAAGCAAGGTCGAAATGGGTAGGATGGGCAGAAAGAGAAGAAAGTGCGGAACGTTGATACCGGGCAAGGGCAGAATAGGCAGAACTAGATGGGCAGGAAAGGCTACGTACAATGGCAGTGGAGAGGAAGGGTGGATCACCCTGCAGCACCAGCTGCCACACTTTCTCCTTGGCTAGCTTCTCCTCTGTCATTGCACATGCATCCACACCAAAGACCGTAGCGCACACATGCATATGCGTGCACGCATGCGGGCGTGCACGCGCGCACGCACACGCACACACACACACACACACACACACAAAAAAACACACCCCTCCCCCTCCCCCCCTCCCTCCCTCCCCCCCACACACACGGAGCAGGTGACATTGAAGCAGATGGTAGATACAATGAAGGAGGGCACACGAGCAGATGGAAGAAACCAGCAGCAATGGAAGCAACAGCAGAAGCACCCTTCCAGCCGCATGGGGGCAAAAAGAGGTAGAGGGGTTTAGGGGTTCAACAGAATGGGGTGCCAAGCACGTCTCACGGTCTCACGGACTGATGCACCATCAGGTGCCGTACCTGATCCCAGGTCGAGTGCAGCGATGGATGCAGCGAGCAGCAGAGCATACACCCCATCCAGCCGCATGGTGGGCTTCGCCACTCCGCTCTTCACCAGTGCCACTAGCGCATCCACGCACGGGACAAGCTGAATGGGGGGGGAGGAGGGAGAAGGAAACCAGTATTCGCCACAAGTGCGCTCACGCATGGGTCGAGCTGCTGCGAGAGGAGGGGCACCGGGAAAGGGAGGAAGGCCAGCAATAGACAGCTCAGCTTGCTCCTCCTAAACCAAGCCTCTCCATCCCTTGCCTTTTGAGGTGCCTCAAAAGACAGCTCAGCTTGCTCCTCCTAAACCAAGCCTCTCCATCCCTTGCCTTTTGAGGTGCCTCAAAAGACAGCTCAGCTTGCTCCTCCTAAACCAAGCCTCTCCATCCCTTGCCTTTTGAGGTGCCTCAAAAGACAGCTCAGCTTGCTCCTCCTAAACCAAGCCTCTCCATCCCTTGCCTTTTGAGGTGCCTCAAAAGACAGCTCAGCTTGCTCCTCCTAAACCAAGCCTCTCCATCCCTTGCCTCCTTCCCTCCTATCCATGTCCCTGTAAATCCTTCTTTCTCCACTTCTCTCCCTCTCTCTCACCTTCTCTCGCACGTGAGGGTTACGGAAGGCCATTCGCAGACACCTCAGCATGCATCGCCTGAGCGTCTCCTTCTCCTTTGCCAGCCTGGCAGTGACAAAAGCTGACGTGGCAGCAGGCGCCTGCCTTGCTGTCCGTGCAAGCCACTCGCCCAGCGCTGAGAGGATCGATGCAAGCACCTCTTCATTGGCTGGAGGGAGGAAGGGATGAGCAGTGCAACATGGGATGGAACGCGCAAGGGAAGAAGAGTGGAGAGTGGGAGCGAGAGGGGAGAGGGGAATTGGTACAGACATTAAGGCCAAACCATGGCAAGAAGAGTCGAGTGGATTTGTACATATATGATTCGCAAACCAAACGTTAAAACGATAATACGAAACACTCACTGTCGCCAGCATACGCCGACATCAGGAACTCTGCCACGTCAGCAGCGACAGCTGGAGCCATGGCATTGGGTCCCGGTGGGGAGAAGGAGGACAGGGCGCGGAGAGTCTGGTAGACTCCCACCTTCTGATACACTGACGTCAGCTTGCCCTCCTTGCCTGCAAGTGGGGAGGCAGGGGAGTGGGAGGGCAAGAAAGGGGTGGTGGAAGGAGGGATATGGGGGAAAAGAGCGGTTGCAGGAAAGAGGAGAAGAGGGTGTGTTGTGCAGAGAAGGATGAGAGCGCCTGCATTGTTTGGCTGGGCTGTTGCATGCACTCGAAGGCAGATGGCAATATGTAAAGAACAAAAAAACATTTCATAGAATGCCCTGTCGAGAGAGAAAGCGCACCTGCCAGCACCCCCTTGAGGTATGCAAACATGGTTCGGATGCTGTCAGAGTTGCTGCTTGGCTGACTGCCATGTGTGCTAGGGCCAGTCATAATGGCATGTCAAGAGAAGCCATCTCAGCTCATGAATGCAAGCTCACCCGCTAGTACCCCCTTGAGGTATGCAAACATGGTCCGGATGCTGTCAGAGTCGCTGCACTGCTTGGCCGCTACTGCAAATACGCCAATCGCTTCCTCCCTTGTGGCTGCGTTCTGGTGCCGCGCCTGCAGCGCCAGGGTGGGCAGCAGCTCTGGTGCATAGGCACTCAGATCGAGACGCACAGTGGACAGCAGGTAGCCTGAGAGGGAGGGGGTTTGAGGGTGGGGGAGGAAAAAGTGGTATAGGAATGGAGAGGGAGAGTGGGCAGCAGCTCTGGTGCATATGCACTCAAATCGAAACGCACAGTCGACAGTAGGGATGAGCATATACCCAAACACCCGTTCGGTTCGTCTCGAACATGTTCGCTGTTCGTGCGAACATGTTCGATGTTCGCCCGCGTCGATATACCAGCCGTGTCGAACACGAACATGTTCGTGTTCGACGCGGGACATCGACGAACACCTCGGTGTTTGTCGACGAATTGGCCGCGACCTCATTTAGGGTCGCGGCCAATTCATTTCCTGCTCATTTTTTTAGCTCCGCGATCATGTCACTGCCACTAACCCGCCCTCCGCGATCATGTCGCTGCCACACCCTCACCTACTACTAGCCTAGTATAAAAGTTGCTTCAACTCTTAGGTTAGGCGAGTTTATTACGACACTTACAAATAGAAGGAAGCGAGCAACTACTCCGCGCACATAAGTTGAAGTAGCGGGATATCGATTAGGGTTTCCACCGTTGTAATGCTAGGCCCTCTGGGGCGAACACGAACGTATTCCTGGCGAACACGTTTGTGTTCGCCAATGTGTTCGAGATGTTCGCCTTCACAGGCGAACTTCGAACACCACTTTGGGCGAAACCTGTTCGGCGAACCGAACAGCTTTCGTGTTCGCCTCGTGCTCATCCCTAGTCGACAGCAGGTAAAATGAGAGGTGGAGAACGAAAGGGAGGGAATGCGGGGGTGGGGGGGGGAGGGGAAGGTTCGGCTCTGCACCTGAGCAACTGAACACCAATGAAACGCAACCTTTTTCGAGTGCAGCAGACGGCGCTACTGAGGCAACACAGAAATCACCCACTCACCAACTGCGTCCATGATGAGCTCGGGGTTGCGTTTGAGCATCTTGGCAGCAGTGGGGAAGAGCGTCCCTTTGAACTCCGAGTGCTCCAGCGAGTGCAGCAGAGGGGCAAACGCCTCCGACGCCACGTGGGGGGGGCGCTCCCTGCTGCTCAGCACGAGCTTGGAGTAGGTTTCCAGGAAGAACGCCTGGGGAAAGGGAAGAAGGCAGTGACCACTTGAGCATCTTGGCAGCAGTGGGGAAGAGCGTCCCCTTGAACTCTGAGTGCTCTCGCAGCAGAGGTGCGAACGCCTCTGATGCAACATGAAGAGGGCGCTCCCTGCTGCTCAGCACGAGCTTCGAATAGGTCTCCAGGAAGAACGCCTGTAGAAGGGGAAGAGGGCAGTGACCTTTTAAAGCATCTTGGCAGCACTGGGGAAGAGCGTGCCCTTGAACTCTGACTGCTCAAGTGAGTGCAGCAGAGGGGCAAACGCCTCCGACGCCACGTGGGGGAGTCGTTCCCTGCTGCTCAGCACGAGCTTCGAATAGGTCTCCAGGAAGAACGCCTGGGGAAGAAGGGGAGGACAGATGGAGAGCTCGCAGTCCGGGTAACAGACAGAAGGTAGTCCCTCCTCCTCAACACGAGCTTGGAATGTCTTCAAGAAGAACGCTTGGGGAAGAGTGAGAGGACAAGGAAGATGTCAGATGGAGCAGACAAGGAAGATGTCAGATGGAACAGACAAGGAAGATGTCAGATGGAACAGACAAGGAAGATGTCACAGAAGGCGCTTTTTGCTGCTCAGCAGCGAGGACCGGTGTGAAACAGGCTTTCAGAGAGCATGCCTGCAGACTCCATCAGGGATAGAAGGCAAGGAGGGATATATATGCGATGCACACCTTGTGGTTGACTTGACTCAAGACTCTAGAGACCATTCAGTTCGAAAATTGCCAATCTTGATCCGTTACAGGCACACAACCTTCTGAGTAATCTCCTACCTTGGCCTCTGCTGCGGAACCAGGCGCAGCTGAGACTGCATCTGCAGCCCCGTTTGCTACGCCATCTGCTGCAGCAGCACCTTCTGCTCCGCGGGCCTTGGTCTCGAGGAAGTAGGTGAGAAGGGGATGGGCGATGCCGACTGTGGTGAGGGTGACAGGCGTGGATTTTAGCTCTGCCAGGTATGCTGCTGCAAGGGACGGCACCTGGGAACGCAAGGGAGAGGAGGAATGGACAGAGCAAGTGCAGGAGGGGGAAGAAGGGAGTGAGGGGATAAAAGGGAAAGCAGAGTTAAGCATTACCACGTTTTAATAGACTTTAAACCAGAATCAAGCTCTCAGTTCATGTGAATTCAAGGGGTCACCCCAGGTTTCATGTACAGTAATGGGAGTTCCTGTTTATTTCAATCGTATTCAGGGTACTCACCGCGCCAAGCATCTCGTTGACAGCATGCAACGAAGCTCGTTTCAGCCTTGGCTCGTCTCCCAGCGCCACCGTCAGCAACGTCCCTTGCGCCACTACCAGACGAGAGAACGCCGCCCGCACCCCCACGATCGCATCCCCCCTCTCTCTCAGCAGCAAACACGACCACTTAAGCAGCTTGTACCTAACCAAGCCAGCCACCGAGGCTGACACCGAACCTGGCTTGGCGCAGGCTTGGACAAGAGCTCCGGCGAATGCCTTGACAAAGGCAGTTTCGCGCTTGAGGGCTTTGGTTAAAGCTCGCTCAACAGAGGCTTGGGAGCGACGGTCGGAGTAGATGGGGAGGGTTTGGAAGATAAGCAAAGCGAGGCGAGGGGCTGCTGATGCGACGTCTACAGCTGAAAACGGGAGAGAACGGAGGGAGGGAGGGAGGGGAGGTAGGGAACGGTGGAAAGGGAGGGGGGGGAGGGAAGGGAGGAAGGGAGGAAAGGGAGGGAAGGGTGGAAAGGGACGGATGTAAGGGTAGGGAGGGACGGATGTGTGGGACGGGAGGGACGGGAGGGAAGGAAGGGAAGGAAAGGGAGGAAAGGGAGGAACGGATGGGAGAGAGGGAAGTTCACAGCAAATGTTTCCAAGAAGGAGAAAGGACTGGGAAATGCGGGAAATCCAGGAAGATGCAGAATGGGGTGAAAATGGAGGAGTGGGATAATTTGTCATCCAGATGTCAGAAGGCATTCGAAGGAAAATAGGGTTATCCAGGTTTCATTAGACGAAGCCATTGTTTACTGAATCCTGGCTGGTTGTCCGGGCTTTATCAGATGACGCCAAATGTCACAGAGTCCCGGCTGGCTGTCCAAGTTTTTACCAAACGACGCCATTGGTCATTGAATCGAGGCCAGTTACCCAGGCTTGATCAAAAGATGCCATTGGCCATTGAACCGTGGCTGGTTATCCAGCATTATCATTCAAAGCCATTGGTGATTGAATTATGACCGATTATCCAGGTTTTACCAGACAACGCCATTTGTGATTGAATCATTGCCGGTTATCCAGAATTGATCAGGCGACGCTATAGCACACTGAACCCTGGCCGCACACTAACGAACGCGAATCTCTTCGTCTACTGAAACCTGTTCAAGAATCAGCGACGACGACAAGAATCCAGGAAACCGAACCGGCTGATAGGTGAAATTCTGTAGGTTCATTGTAGAACCCTCCGAAACCCCTCATTCTGTAAGAATTTGGTGACCTGGTTAGCCAATGCCGCGTGTATAAGGAAGGTAACTAATTTAAACGGCTGATAGATTGAACTTAGATTTGATACCGCAGTTCGTTGCCAGAAACTTCAGCCAACATGCTCCACCAATCCCGTGCTAGATCCGTCCGTCATCATTGTTTTCCTGCAATCCAAACAGTTAATTAAATTGTTCTCGCGTGATTAAGTTGACAATGTCTTCGTAACGGACCTTTGCTGTCAAGAGCTGACGAGATCGATGCATCGAACACGCCAACACGGTCGTTCACTGAACAGGAGCACACTTTCGCCTCGGCAAGCTCTAGGATTGGCACCATGTCGATCACTGGAAGAGCTTCGGCATTCGACTCCGCTTCCGAGCCTGACGCTTTCTGGACAGGCTCGGAAGCGGCTGGAAATTCCGAAGCTGGAGCTGATGCGTCCACCATGACTGCTGCTAATCAGGCAACGGAACACGCTGCACCGTGCGACAGAATAAAAGGTCCGGTCGCTAGAGAATGATGAAACCACAAGAGATTCAGGACATTGCTGGAAGGAAAACGATGTCCTGGTCTATGGAGCGCGACTGGAATCCTGCCAGTGCCTGATTCTGATGGTGGAGTGTGAGGAAAGGAAGAATCGAGGGTGGTTGCAAGCAGGAATCTGACACACTGGGGGAGCATCAGCAGCTCGACAGGGAGCTTCAGTAATGAAAACCAGCAAGAATTGATATTGATCAACTGGTACATGCTTCACGTTGGAAATACATCAAGGCCCAAACTGCTAGACTTCTCATTACCCAAATAGTGTGAAATACGTGATTCTCCAGATACCTTAAATCGTCATATATTCTGACTGTAATCCAAAATTTGAGAATATGCTAGATATATGATGATTTCCGAGTTTTCCTCGTCACAGCAACTTTTTCATCCATAGTGTGAGAAAGAGGTATATGCTCAGAACTAAATGTGCCAGTGGTGTATAACTCAAACTTCAAGAGCTTCACCGTCAGCAGGCCCACTTCAAGAGGCTACGATGCCAGGTGCGGACGAACAAGGACGTGGTTCTGACTTGGCAGCGGGTCCAGCACCGTGACGTGTATAGAATACGGTTTTCCTTGAGGCTTCATTTTCCGCCAGCTCCTCATCCTGAGTGGAGGTGGTGCGAGGTGGAGCGTGCGAAAACCTAACGAGATGTATTTCGCCTCCGTGGGGACTCACTAACACACCCTGAAAATGGGCACCTTGTAACCAGCCATGGCGACATAGGCCTCGTGCCATAAGAGCCAGACCGCCTTAGTAATCTACTTACGACTTGTCCTTGCTGAGTCATGTATGTTTAAATCAGTGTGGTTGAAGGCATTCCGCACGTGTGGTTGCCTTGAAATATGACCGCGGTTTAGCAATTTCTTTCAGGCCGACTGACAATCACGACGGATACTCTATTGTTTCTCCAGCTCCTCGCAACTGCACGGGAAATTGTCGTAGCAAATCAATCCTAAACGACGACTGGGAGTTGAGCATTCAACGCAACAATCTAGGGTATCTTCTGTGATAAAGTCAAGTCGGCGTCACATTCCTAAATTCACCAGCAATTGGAGCTCGTCTGACAGAATCACCAGTTCCACTTCGTCGGATATATTCCTCAGATTCTCATGGCTCTCGTGAGGGAGAACGATCAGCTGGACAAATTTGTGACGTTTCTCGCGAAACGCGACGGCATCGACAAGCTGGTGAAGACATTTCAGTATGTCTTCAAGCTCGCTCACTGGCAGCTCCTGAGGACGAATAAAGGTGAGCATTGACATCGTTTCAGTGGAGCAGCACCCTGACATGTGCTCCAACGTTGGCTTCTTTCCTTCTATTTGAGATTATCAGGCGCATGGCATGCTAAGGTGCCTCCAGTATCCTGTTAACTGTTGCTATCCACTCGCAATCTTGCTTGGTTTCTCGCAGATTTGGCCGACCGAGCTCAGAAATTTGAGATTGGCTGTGGGCTAAGCCGGAAGGCGTTCCGATTGGGTCGATTCTTGACCGGTTTCAACAATCTCCGGACAACCCAGTACTCCGATTGGAAGGTGAGTCATATGCAAGCTGTTTATTTGGCTTGCACCTTTTGCCTTTTTACATGGAACAACGTGATGGTTGGTTCTTATTGAGAGGACTCTATTTCCTGGCAATTGTGGCCTAGACTGTTCTTTTCAGTTGCATTCTTCTTCTGCCTCGGTCTCTGCTTTCAGGTGACAACGCTCTCTGTGGTCGGCAGTGCCGGTGAAATGGTTTACTTCTTCTTTGATCACCTCACATGGATGTCCAAAGTCGGCCTTCTCGAGCCAAAACTAGCTGGTAATTCCTCAATCAACACAATCACAGGCTGTTGTCATTCCTGGTGTGGTCTGGTGCAAAGTGTGCAAATACTCTGTCCTTGTGCTGGCCATTTGTCAACCTTATGTGTGCTTACCCCCGAATTCGTTTGCATATTCCCTTGCTCCTCCGTGCAGCCAAGGCCGCATACATCTCAGCCTATGGCGAGACCGTTCTCTACCTGTGTTTCATCTCCCTGGACATCATCATGATCAAGAGGGGGATGGAGCAGGAGAAGCAGCTCCAGGCTAAGCTCAAGGAGCTGCACCAGCGAGCAGAGGTCCTTGCCCTCACAGCAAAGAACAGCCCGCGCCACGGAAAGAGCAGTGGTGGCGATGATGGCACTGACAGCAGCATGTGTGCTTTCAGTAACGACAGGTCTCGGCGCAGCAGCTTTGAGAGTCATGACTGTGGGAAGAGCAACAGCAGCCAGGGAAGCGAAGGTGAGAATGGATGGCTGGCCGCAGCTGCGCCTGAGGGGAAAGCACCTGCGGCAGATGCACCAGAGGCGAAAGCCGCTCCTACTGCTGGGATAGCGGATGGAGGGCATGGAAGTCACAACTTGCCGCTGCTGTGCACGTGCAAGGAGGCTTATATTGAGGAATTGAGAAGGCTGGAAGGGGAAGCGATGAAGATTAAGATTGCGCTGAGCTTTATCAGAATGGAGAGGCTGATGCGAGTATTGAGTATTGCTGGGCAGTTTGGAGATCTTTTAATTTCTGTTGCTCAGGTGGAGCCTAATCCGGTGTGCTGCCACCCGCTGACGCTGGGCTTGAGTGGATTGCTGTCAGCATGGACTGGCTGGTACCGTTTGTGGCCCGCCAAGTAGGTTCTTTATATAATATGCTGTTAATAGTCATGGCGAATGTTTTAAAGTGTGCTTCTGGCTGTTGTAGATCACTGTGTCATAGAGTTTTATATTGTCAGAGCGGAGGTTTGGTGGGAGCGCCTCAGTCTTGTATTTTGTGTCTATTCCGTCTTTACCGAGGATTGTTCATGGCGCAATCACGGTACGCCCTTCCCTTCTCCCAACCACCGCCTGATCTTGCTGGTGCAACGTGGGTGTCCCGAAAGAGGTGTTCGCCGAAAAGCAAAATCGAAGTCGGTGGACGCGACATCCAAACCTCCCCCATGTTCATCGTGGCGAAACCAACTAACAATTCGCAGTCTGGATTGCGAAGCCCTTCTGACATTTCGTTGCACCCGAATGTGTTTCTGTACAGCCACGTCGACCCCCCTTTCGCGATGAAATCGAGGGAAGTATCAAAAGAGGGAAATGATCAGATTGGGGCCCCGAAGCTCTAGAAAGAGTGCCAACTTGGGGCCTCGTGTTTCGCGAAGTGTCGAACCTGGTCCGGACCTGTCTCTAACCAATTTCGGGCCTCACTAACGCGCTCCGTCAGACCTGACCACACGAGGTGACGGATTTCTGAACGGACAAGCTGGCAAAAAATATAAACCCCATACGGCCATGCATTCGGTCAGGGAGGCATCAACCCTAAACACCTTGTCGCATGTGTTTAGGGTTGATGCCTCACTAATTTTATGCCTTTCGATTCGGTTTTATATTTTTTTCACACTGCGATAATGTTAAAAGTTTGGGTTATTTCGCTGAAGTATCTGTACTGCCCATTGTGAATGGGCTGACGAGGGCTCCTCCCGTCAACCAGGGTGCTAGCGAAATCCGTCAAACCCAAGCCAGCAGGTGGTGACCTGGCGAGCTCGGCCTAGCTGCCTAGGCTTGTAGGTTGCTTCGGGCCTTCTTCGTAGGGTCGCGAATCACGAGGCCCCAAGTTGGCAATCTTTCTGCTAATCCGAGGCCCCAGTATGATCATTCCCCATCAAAAGACAAGGTTTCGTCTCTCCCAGCTCCTGACTTTCAGTTCTTTCTCATATTTAGCCCTATGTTTACTCAAAAAGCACCACTTTCCATTATTTCTCTCACGCGAGGCCCAAAGTATGTTCAAAACTGGTCCTGCGGGGCGAAGTTTTCGACACGTGTCGTTTTGTTACCAGCTGACGCACTTCCACTCTGAACTAACCGTTTGTCAGGGCAATTTTCGCGCCGGAAAAGTTTTTACGGGACAAAAAAACATAAAACCCCTAAAGGACCATTACACATTTTCGGGAGGGAGCAACCCTAAACACGGGACCTGCTAGGTGTTTAGGGTTGATCCCTCCCGCGAATGTGTCCTGGTTCTCTAGGGGTTTTATTTTTTTTTGCCCCCGTCCAAAATTTCCATGCATGGAAGTTCGTCAGATGGTGTAACAAGAGGACACGTGTCGAAAAAATCGCCCCGCAGGACCACTTTTGAACATACTTTGGGCCTCGCGTGAGAGAAATTCTAGAAAGTGGTGCTTTTTGAGTAAACCTAGGGCTGAATATGAGAGAAATCTGAAAGTCAGGAGCGGGGATATACTTTCCCAAAAGACAACCAACATGTCACAGATGGATGGTGTTGAGGTGCAATGGAATGCAAGGACATTGGAACAGTTGACTCTCCAACGGTCAAAGTAACCATTGTCCATCCATGGCGGATGGCGGCGTGGTCCCAGCCTAGCTTGGCAGGATCCCATCCCAGCCTGTGCGGCAAGTTTAGCTGGCTGGAGCTCACCTCCTCGACCCCTGCATTACACCACAAGGAGAGAAGCAGCCATAGTTAGCCTTTCTGGGCCAGAAACACAGAAAGTACGCTCTGCGTTCGCGTCGCTAATTAGTTACTCGTTATCGAATTGTCCCCTTGGTTGGTCAGAAAAGCGTTCGACGCGTGGCATTACTGAACACTGTCAGAAAGACTCAATCCATTATTCCGTGCTCAAAACAACCGCTCGATACAACCAGACAGCAGCAATTCCGCCGTTTCGCCTGACGTGGTCCCGTCGGATGGAGTTGACTCAGAGAATGAGGCTTGTAAGACGCGACACGTCCCAGTGACACCTCCCAGTGACACGTCCCAGTGACACGTCCCAGCGACACGTCCCAGTGAGGACTCGTGGTCTGACGTGGAGGAAAACCCGCTCATGGTTCATCCATGGGGGAGAAGATAATCTTCTCCAGACAGTCTTTGATCCTCACACGGGCCTCAAAATGGTACTTCGTCTCCTTATTTCTCTCGAATTGATTGCCAATGAAGACATGATTGCCAATGAAGACATGATTGCCAATGAAGACATCATTGCGGTGTCAAGCTTCCTATGAGCCACTTCTCAGCTTTGATAACCCTTTCGTATCTTCCCTCTCTTTATATAACCTTCCCCTCATCTCCTCCCCCCCTCCCGTCCCCCTCCCTCCCACCACTCCCACCCCATCACAGGCTGTCGTTTACAATCGCAGCTCTCATCATCACGTCCTCTGCTATCGTTGGGCTTCCACTCACCCCCTCTCCTTGTTTTCTTCCCTTCTCCGCCCTTCATACCCCCATCACAGGCTGTCGTTTACAATCGCAGCTCTCATCATCACCTCCTCTGCTATCGTTGGGCTTCCACTCACCCCCTCGCATCACACCAATGCCAAAATGGCCGCTTTCACAGACAGCTCAAGACATCCTGAATCGAAAACTCTTTATCCCGACCCCTCCAAACCGAGCTCTACCCACCACCAGAACTCAAAGAACGTAAAGACAAAGAACGACGGCGCAACTGATCCATGGCTGGAAAGCCTCTGCTTGGGAACGCATAACAAAGACTGTGACCCCGATCCACGGGGACGACAGACGGGACAAGAGACGGGACAAGCGACGAGCTCACGATTGGGAAGGGCTCATGAGCGGAACAGTAGAAGCCGTTTCAGACACGTGCATAGGAAGTCCTCTGACCTGCAGGACAGGAAGAACAGCAAGAACAGGAAGACGCGTGCATGGGTGCGGCCCTTGAAAGATGAGCCTCAGTCCGAGATAGAATCTATCTGGGCTTCCCATGCCGCCCATTATCTCGCCTTCAGCAGGCTGCACCACCCAAGGCGGTCGCCACAGGCTTCGAGTCCCTTTTTGAGTCCGAGTTCCGTTCCCGGGCCAAGGTGCGCGGGGCAGTGCTGCTCCAATGCTGCTCCCGTGATCCCACGTGGCACCCCCAAGATGACGTCCACGTGGATCAGCAGCCAGCTGGCACCCGGGGCTCGGGTGAGTGAGGGAGGTAGGGGATGGGGGGAGGGTGGTGTGGTATGAGTATGCGGGGTTATGTTCCCGAGATGACGTCCACGTGGATCAGCAGCCAGCTGGCACACGGAGCTTGGGCGAGTGAAAAGAGTTGGTGGGTGGGAGCGACCGAGCATGGTATTGAACATTGCTGCTGGTGGGCGGGATCGACCAAGAATTTGATGGTGGTTTTGTGCTGGGCATGGTGGACAACACTGAACAGCACTGAACCGCACTGAACCGCACTGAACCGCACTGAACCGCACTGAACAGCACTGAACAGCGCTGATGGTATCCCAAACCCGAACCCTTCCTTCCCAACCTTTTTTTATTCTTTTGCGTCCCTGCGGTCCAAATGGTAAACCACCTGGCAACAAATCTTCCACTTTCTTCACCAATTCACCATCATAAGCCCCCTCTTTTCGTTTAGTTTTGAGGCGCCTCAAAACTAGGCAACAGCTCTTCCACTTTCTTCACCAATTCACCATCATAAGCCCCCTCTTTTCGTTTAGTTTTGAGGCGCCTCAAAACTAGGCAACAGCTCTTCCACTTTCTTCACCAATTCACCATCATAAGCCCCCTCTTTTCGTTTAGTTTTGAGGCGCCTCAAAACTAGGCAACAGCTCTTCCACTTTCTTCACCAATTCACCATCATAAGCCCCCTCTTTTCGTTTAGTTTTGAGGCGCCTCAAAACTAGGCAACAGCTCTTCCACTTTCTTCACCAATTCACCATCATAAGCCCCCTCTTTTCGTTTAGTTTTGAGGCGCCTCAAAACTAGGCAACAGCTCTTCCACTTTCTTCACCAATTCACCATCATAAGCCCCCTCTTTTCGTTTAGTTTTGAGGCGCCTCAAAACTAGGCAACAGCTCTTCCACTTTCTTCACCAATTCACCATCATAAGCCCCCTCTTTTCGTTTAGTTTTGAGGCGCCTCAAAACTAGGCAACAGCTCTTCCACTTTCTTCACCAATTCACCATCATAAGCCCCCTCTTTTCCCACCTGCTCCAGGTGATGATTCGATCCAAGAGGTGGGGCACCTTCTGGGCTGCACCGAACGGGGCCAAGTGGGAGGGGCGGATTGCAGGCCGGGTCACCACCATGCCGGAGCCATCCCAGGCGCTCACTGTGATCAGAGTCTCAAATACCGAGGTAGGGCGTTGTTGCAATAGGCCTCAGAAGCACACATGGGGTGGACGGCAGTGAACGGTGCGAAGTGGGAGGGGGGGGGGGGGGGGGGGGGGGGGGGGGGAAGGAGTGGGGAATTGCAGGCCAGGTCACAACCATGCCGGGGCCGTCACAAGCGCTCCAGGAGTTGGTGCATCTTCTGGACTGGACGGCAGCAAACGGGGAAAAATGGGAGGGGCGCATTGCTGCACAGAGCCACTCCACTGCCATGCTGGAGCCAAGCCGTCACAAGCGCTCACTGTGATGATGTCATCAGAGTCTCAAATACAGAGGGTGGGGATGGGTTGTTGGTTGGAAAAGGCTTCAGAAGCACACAAAGGGTGGACGCAGCAGGGGCGAAATGGGAGGGCCGGGTTGCTGCTGGCCTAGCCGGGTCACTGCTATGCCGGAGCCAAGCCGTCACAAGCACTCACTGTGATGATGTCATCCGAGTCTCAAATACACACGCATGGATGGGCTGCATTTCAGAGAGCGTAGAAAACCTTACTTGTGCATTCGCACATACAGACCCGTGTGTCAAAAGAAAATACTTCAAACAGACGTGTTCGCATATATGAATGGGCTTCTGCTCACTCTTTGAGGCGCTCAAAAGAAACTAATTTCCAGGCGCACTTCAAACAAACGTGTCTTTATGGGCTTCTGTTCACTCACCCCGCTGCGACCACCTTCCACTTTTTCATCCCCCTTCTCACCAGATTAAGTTTCTGACCCCCAGCAACACGTATCTAGCCAAGGCCCAGGGTGTGTTCGGCTACCTCAGAACGACCCGAAACTCATCCAACCCGCGCGCCGTCTTCACCATAAAATACATCCCCGGCACGGTCTACGTCGCATTCCGATCCTCCGATGGATATTTTGTCACTCAGGACGGCAAGAACAGCCCACAGTTTAAGTGGAAGCGCGCGGGCGAGTGGGAGCGGTATGATGTGCGGGAGGTGATGGAGGTGCCGGCCATTCGAGGGGCGAATCTGGGGTCGTGGCTCATGACTGAGCCGTGGATGAACCGCGACGTGTTCAAGTTTGCTGCCTATGGTGATGGCACCCGGGTGAGTGAGCCGAGAGAGGGAAGGGGAGGGGAGAGGACGGAGGTTGGGAAGGGAAAGAGGGACGGGGGGGGGGCACGTGGGGAGGGGGGAACAGGGGAGTGGAAGGGGCCGTGGCTCATGACTGAGCAGTGGATGAATCACGACGTGTTCAAGTTTGCTGGCTACAGCGATGGCACCCGGGTGAGTGGGCAGGGGGAGGGGGGGGAGGAGTAGATGGGGAGGAGAATGTGTGAGGTGTGTCTGTGGCATCCTATAGCACATTGGATGGTACGCTCGAGGGAGATTTTAGGTGACTTTTGAGTCGACTCAAAAGTCACGCTCTAGGGAGATTTTAAGAGTCCTTTTGACATATTGACAGTCTCGCTTGCTTCAATTGCGGTGTGAAGTCCACAGCCATGTGCAGTGCAAGGCTTCGTTTATGTTGTTGTCTGGAGAACCTTTTCTGATTTTTCTTTCCTTCTATTTTCAATCCTTTATTCTGGCTTCCGTCTTCTGTCGTTGCAGTTCACCTTGCGATCAGTGGTAACGAGAAAATACATCACTGCACCTGGTGGGGGTGGCACAATTGTAAGTGCACTGCACTGCACCGCATCGCACCGCAGCAGATGCGGGACAACGACTTGCTCACCAAGCACACCCAGCTCCACCTCACCACCATTCCTTGGTGTTTCATTCTTGCACTTTCCCCCGTTGCACGCCCTCTCGCCCCCAACCGCTATCTCCTCAAGCAGATGAGGTGCAACGACTCCCTAACCAAGGAAACCTACCTCCACCTCACCACAGTTGAGAATGCCATTACTCTCCCCGTGCACATGAGCAGCACAGCACCCTTTAGTTGTCTTCTTGCACATACATGCCCGCATGCGCCCCCCACCTCTCTCCCCGCAAGCAGATGAGGTGCAACAAATCACTTGCTACCAAGGACACCCACCTCCACCTCACCACCGTTCAAAATGCCATCACTCGTGCACCAACCCATGCGCTCTTTTCCCGTGCATCCCCATTGCTGCGAGCAGATGAGGTGCAACGAATCACTCACTACCAAGGACTCCTACCTCCACCTCACCACCGTTCAGAATGCTTCCCCCAACACTCGCAGAGTAAGGCACTGCCGTTCCCCTCTAGGTTCCGGCTAGTCAATGTTTCCTTGTTATGCCATAGTTTATTCATATAACCTGTAACCCGGTTTGTTTTGCTCTTCTCTCTGCACTTGTCTCACCAGATAGCCGTGCAGTGGCTGCAGTACTGGGCTGTTTACAACCTCTGAAGGGCCTAACCCATGTCGACTCTATCCCTCCTCTCCTCTCCTCCCCTCGCGTGGCTCATCAGATAGCCGTGCAGTGGCTGCAGTACTGGGCTGTCTACAACCTCTGAAGGGCCTTACCCATGTCGACTCTATCCCTCCTCTCCTCTCCTCCCCTCACGTGGCTCACCAGATAGCAGTGCAGTGGCTGCAGTACTGGGCTGTCTGCAACCTCTGAAGGGCCTTACCCATGTCGACTCTATCCCTCCTCTCCTCTCCTCCCCTCACGTGGCTCACCAGATAGCAGTGCAGTGGCTGCAGTACTGGGCGGTGCGGAGCAACTCGAAACATGTCTGGGTGCAGTCCGAAAAGCGCGAGGTACACAGTGGTGTGGTACGGTGTCTTACGGTATAGCTTGTGACGTGCCAAAACAAAGGTCAAGAATACTGTCTGAAGTTCATATGCTATGTGGTACAGTATAGTTCATGTACCACTTGTGCTATGTGCTAGACAATATTAAAAGGGTTAAGAGGTCACATCCACGCAGCTATGATTTCCCCCTCTTTCCCTCTCAGCGACCAACTTTGAGCTCGTCATCCACGGCACGCCGCTCAATGAGTCAACGGAGCAGAGCAGCAGCAGTGTGCATGTGGTGCTGCGCGTGCTGAGCTGACCCTCCCCTCCCCTCTATGGCCCTGTCATTCCCTTCCCCACGCAGGGTGCCTCTAGCAACTTTGAGCTCTTCATCTACGGCACGCCACTCAACGCATCAACGGAGCAGAGCAGCAGCAGTGTGCGTGTGGTGCTGCGCGCTCCCAACGGCCTCTTCCTCCAGGCTCGCACCGACGGCTCCCTCACTGCTGACCTCCAACAATCCCTTGACAACAACGCCATCTGGACCAGCGCTGCTGCGTTCGACCTCACTGTGGTGAGTGCTTGGGAACTCCTCGCTCCTTCCTTCTTTCCTTCTTCTCACTTCCTTTCAAGCCCACACCGACGGCTCCCTCACTGCTGATCTCCAGCAATCCCTCAGCAACAACGCCATCTGGACCAGTTCTGCTGCATTCGACCTCACTGTGGTGAGTGTTTGGGAACTCCTTCCCATCTGCATTCGCTCCTTCCTTCTTTCCTTCTTTCCTTGTTCCCTTTCCTCCTTACGGCCTCTTCCTCCAAGCCCGGCCCGATGGCTCTCTTTCTGCCGACCAGCGCTCCCTTGAGAACAACGCCATCTGGAGCAGCGCTGCTGCGTTCGACCTTACTGTGGTGAGTGCTTCACCTCCCATCCTCCGTCCCTTCCTCCCTCTCCACTCAATATTCTCTCTCCCTCCTCGGCTCCCTTGACAACGTGCCATCTGGACCAGCGCTGCTGCGTTCGACCTCACTGTGGTGATTTCTTTTTCCTCCCGCTCCTACTCCTTCCTCCTTTCCTCCCACTTCCCTTCCTCCAAGCCGACCCTAACAATTCCCCCCCCCATTTCCCTCTCTCCTCCCCTCCCGCTCCCAGTTGTGGCGGGTGGAGGGGGATTTTCAAGCAGCCTACACAGCCGGTGCAGCCGCACCCTCAATCTACGAGAACATTCGCCGAAACTTCATCACGGAAGCCGACTGGCAGAAAATGCAAGAGCTCGGAATCAACACAGTCCGCATCCCCTTGCCGTCCGCATCCCCTTGCCGTCCGCATCCCCTTGCCGTCCGCATCCCCTTGCCGTCCGCATCCCCTTGCCGTCCGCATCCCCTTGCCGTACTGGATCTCTCTCGATGCCTCCCCTGAGTTCCCATTTGTGCCGGGAGCAGCAGCGTATCTAGACTGGGCGTTTGAGATGGGGAGGAAGTACGGGGTGAGGATCTGGTTCAGTGTGCATGTGGCGCCGGGGTCGCAGGCGGGCAGGGGGAATGCTAGAGATGGGCTTGTTCGCTGGCGAGGGGAGAATGTCAACCGCACGCTCGACTTCGTCACTTGGCTCGCTGACAGGTGAGGCTATTTGTTTGCTTCATTCTGTGCATGTCTTTTGCAGGCTGGGGGGGAAGGGGTAGAAGGGCAACGCGAGGGATGGCTGATTCGCTGGCGAGGGGAGAATGTCAACCGCACGCTCGACTTCGTCACTTGGCTTGCTGACAGGTGAGGCTATCAGCTCGCTTTTTGTGACTCGATTTTGATTGTTGCGCGACTTTGCAAAGTTAAGCTTGCACATTTTGTAGTGAGCGGAAAACAAATGTGGCACATCAGTGTTGAATCGACTGTAACAAAATAGACCCAACCGTACTGGAAAAGTGTCTCGACTTCTCGCTCCAATGGCTTCCCTTTCCTGCCTTCCGAACCTCCAGGTACGGCACCAATCCTATGTGGTTGGGCATGGGGCTGTTGAACGAGCCAGTTGTCCCCGGAGCAAACGGGTATGCGGGGGTGGATCTGGAGGACATGCGGGGGTACTACTCGGCCGGCTTCAACGCCATCCGCGCGCGCTGCCTGTGCTGCTTCGTGGCCATGGAGGGCCGCGTGGGCAGCAACTTTGGCGACGTGATGTGGCACATGAGGCACAACAATGTGATCCTGGAGCAGCACATCTATGAGGTCTTTGGCAACTTCTTCAGCTCCAAAGGTGTCGAGTGGGAGATTGAATACGCGCACACTACCAGAAAAGACAACATCATCGCCTTTCAGCAGGTGGGTTGCCTAGTATGGTATGGACTGTGGTTTTTCCTTGCTTCCAGAATGCAAAAACCAAAACAAAACCAAATAATGGGAACTTCCCAAAGGTGGATCGGGGAGTTCTGACACGCCTCTGAAGCAATGTGTGTCAGAACAATGAAATGTGATCCTGTAGCAGCACATCTATGAGGTCTTTGGCAACTTCTTCAGCTCGAAAGGTGTCGACTGGGAGATCGAGTATGCCTACACCACCAGGAGAGACAACATAATTGCCTTTCAGCAGGTGGGTTGCCTAGTATGGTATGGGCTGTGGTTTTCCCTTGCTTCCTGGAGACAAAAAAACAAAACAACACAAAAAAGGGAACTTCCTAATTGTGGGTCGGGGATTTCTGGCACGCCTCTGAAGCAACTTGTGGCACAACAGTGTGATCCTGGATCAGCACATCTATGAGGTCTTTGGCAACTTCTTCAGCTTTCAGGGCGTTGAGTGGGAGTTTGAGTACTCGCACACCACCAGGAGAAACAACATCATCACCTTTCAACAGGTGGGATGCCTTAGAGTACGAACCGTGTCTTTTCCTTCCACTCAACTCAACAAGGGCGTCTTTTCCTTCCACTCAACTCAACAAGGGCATTGAGTGGGAGATGGAGTACGCGCACACCACCAGGAAGGACAACATCATTGCGTTCCAACAGGTGGTGGGTTGTGTATGATCCGCGATCCGCGTCTTTTCAAACACCACATGCCACGTGCCTGCGGTACCTTGTCTAAACATTGTGCTGTGTCCCGTCATGTTGGGTGCAGAAAGTGGGGCGGCAACTGTTGGTGGGGGAGTTCTGCAATGCCATGGGCAACCCTGCAACACCGGAGCAGCAGGCCAACTTCTCTCTCGGACAAATGAAAGCTTTCAGCTATGCCAAGGCCGGCTGGTTCTTTTGGTCCTGGAAACTCAACAACACCGGTACGTGCTCTTGTCGGTGCTCTTGCTATTGCTCTTGCTATTGCTCTTGCTCTTGCTCTTGCTCTTGCTCTTGCTCTTGTCAGTGCTCTCGTTGTGCTGCTGAAATTTATCTTGGAATCTCTCAACACGACCAGTCACAGCTCTCATTTTTCCTTCTGGTCGGACCAGCTGTCAGTGGTCACCTCTCTTGCTCTTTTTCAATCTTCCCTCTTTTCATGCCCAGAAACATCCCAACCAAGTGGGGTTTACGATGCACATTGTGTCTCTTGTCTGAGCCATTTCCCTCCTGTTTTTATCCTGCTTATTCCTCCTGTTACAGGCACCCATCACTGGCAGTTTGTCAACAGCTATGACAGGGGGTGGTTACCAAAGAAACCGGATGGTAATTGGTATTGATACACTTATAAAACTGTTCCATATTGCATTTATTTATTCATTTAATGAAACCCCACCACTGCTCTGCGCATCAGTGATATACCAGTACCAGTTTTCACTTCAAACCAGCCAGCTGGTTGGAAATAATGCTCCCACCAGTATTTCCTCCCACGCCTGGTCAGGTGCAGTGTATTTTTGAACTACCGTACTGAATCATTTTGTTTTACCCGGGAGTTAGCGACAGCAGGGCCCAAAATTGGTTTTGGCCCACTCTGTCAAATCAGAGTTCCAGGGTGGGCCAACACTGAATCCTAGGGTACAAAATCTCGTACACTGATGGAAACAGGGTAAAAATAAACTTACGCTGACTATGCAAGATATCTTACCGTATCTATGTAACGAAAATAGCGTACCTGCGATCTGAGGTGTCTGAGTTAGGTAGAAGTCCTCGACAGGGAAGGTCGTAGGTTCAATTTTAGAATGTGAGAGTCGTTGTTCTAGTTTTACTCACTGGCGCTAATTTGCACAACATCCACCGTATCCTCGCTACGAAGGGCTCGGCATTAGTGTAACAGGGTTAAAATAAAACACTGATGAAAGTCAGGGGAAACAAACGCTAACTCGGATTTCATAAGAGTACAAAAATTCAAACTCTTTCTGAGTCAGAGTAAGAAATCCGGGGGGCTGACTGGGTCAGGGTTACCCTGACATTTTGGGGCCTGGACAGGACGTGGCACCGTGCAGTAATCTGCTTGTTCACTGACACTGCAATTGCAGTGTCTGGGGTCACTTACATGGCGCTACAAGACTTTCATCCTGAAAAAAAACTTCTCCCACCTCTTTGATCTAATGTGGGATCGAAGCACTACCACTTGGTTTGATTTACCAGTATGAAAAACCTCCATATGTCCTGCATTGCAGGAATGTACCCTCACGGGACTCCAATACCCGATAAGCCATCTTTCGTATCCCCACCGTGAAAAGTCTCAGCTTCACTTTCATTGCTCAAAAGTGAGCCTTACCGCACCAACAACAAGACTTGGGAGAGAGAGCACAGGAAAATGTAGCATGCAAACAAGCTGGAATCCTGACCTGAGACTTGCTCCAGGATGAGCCCTCCTTGACGAGCCCTCCTGACCCGCAGTTAGGACAGCCAGCCAGTCAGGAAGGAGGAAACTCTAATACCGTACATGTACAGTGGCACCCATTGCACTTCAACAAAGTGACAAATCTACACCCATAGGTGCGATAGGGGTGTAGTCCCTCCACACCTATCGCTCCCCCCGTTGCTCCGGGGTGAGCCCTCCTGACCCGCAGGTAGGGCAGCCAACCAGGCCGAACCCCTGGCACTTGTAGCACCTGCAGCATTGCACATACGGTACAGGATGGGATGGAGATATGCACAGGGATGGCGATAAATGACTTTCTGTAGGCACCTCAAACTGTCTGACACCTACAGCAAGCCATGTGCATGGATGGACACACACAGAGAGAGGTGGTGATGAGAATTGGTGACACATCCAGTGAAGAGTTGAAAAGTCTGATCATAAACAATAGCAGGTTCCCATATCATAGACACGTGGCAACAAGAAGAAAGAAGGTGGAGAGAAGGGGGGAGTGTACAGGGCAAGAGCGTGTGGGGGAAGAGGGTGTGAGGGAACAGGGTGAAAAGGAGGGAAGAGGGAAGGTTGTCGGGGCAAGAGGAAGGGGACACCTGGGGAAAATGGGGGGTATGATTGGCGATCACAGCTCATATGCTATGCATTGCTGGCTTACTTCCATCTCTCAAGCATAATGCCCTTGGTCTTGCTTTTCCCCATCCCCTGCGAATCATGACAAGTTCTGAGACGTCTTTAAACGCGTATGCTATGCTGACTCACTTCCATCTCTCAAGCATGTTGCCCTTGGTCTTGCTCTTCCCCATCCCCTGCGAATCATAACAAGTTCTGAGACGTCTCTAAACGCGTATGCTATGCTGACTCACTTCCATCTCTCAAGCATGTTGCCCTTGGTCTTGCTCTTCCCCGTCCCCTGCAAATCATGCGACCACCGAACGAGGCGATTAACAGGACAAGCCATTACTGGAGTGAAGAAATTTGACGCATACAGGCAGGACAAGACGTTAAAAAGATTCCAAAGTGTCATGCTCGAGGAACACAACGGAGGAGCCTGACAAATCCAGCCAGTACAAGGATTCCAAAGAAGTGCCATACCTTGCAGATGGGGCAATCCACGCCTCCCGTGCCTCTGCACGTGCTACACGAGGCCCTGGACACCTTTCCCTTAGCCGGAGGTGACTTTTTCGAGGGAGACTTGGACGGCGGGTCGGCCTGCAAACGACAGGTGTGGACGGGAGGGGGCAAAGATCATGATCTCGAAAGCAAGGTGCGGCAGAATTCAGCTTACAGAATCGTCGAATTCAGGGTGATTCGTTTAACACATCTATTAACTGGAATATCGGAAATACACGAGTTTCAAAAGAATGCAGATGACAAAATTGTCAGAATCAGCTGAATGTAAGCGGAAACCGATGGAAGGGGAATTGAGGGACGCCGCTTTCATGCAAGCACTAACAGAGTCGAGCACATGAAATGGTAAGTGCATGGAACCCACCAGCCAGGTTTTCAGACAACGTCTGAAGGGACCCTTCACCGCGACTGAGCGCCAGCTCGCGGGTTCGTCTCGCGAGCACGGATAAGTTATCATGAACGGATGAGAAAGTAACAAGTAGTTTCAGGTGATTCATTACGAACCTTGGGTTTTCCCCAGCCGAAGAGCGCCTTCACCACAACTGAGCGCCGGCTCGCGGATTCGTCTCGTGCACACGGATAAGTTATCATGAGGGGCTGTGAAATGAATAAGCTATTTCCCAATGAAAGTTGCCCACTGGCTGCTTGTGACTGACTCAATGAGCCAGCAAACGAGACCGTGGCTACTGTGGATAGAGCCATGGGTGCGACGCCGAAAAGGCAATCTCTGAGTTGGCACGCTGACGTGGCTTATCCGCAGCGTATTTCGACAACCCCGAGAAAGGACGCAGCAGTTCAATACTGCTTTGATACTGGACGAGCCGGCCCCGCTATCAGCAGCTATTGACCAGTGTGACCCTGCCGGCTTTTCAACAAAGGATTGATTCTAAGTACACGGCAAATTTTAGGTCAGACTTCTTCCAGCCTAGACCAATTTTTAGAGTCCTCACGATGCTGGGAAGGGCGAACAACATTCTGTAGAGCAGATTCGGAACTTTCGATTAAATCATACATGTGGTCAGCAATAGCTTGTCTTCCTCATCCATTACGTGGTTATTTCAATGTTGATTGGTTGTCGGGCAACGGCCACGTGGACAAAGGATTCGCGTTACAGCGACCTCCGATTCCGCAACGGCGATCAAAGAAGAGGAAAAAAAGGTGTGTGTAGGTTATCGGTAGCATCAATCACAGTCCCATCCAAATCCAACGAATCTTCACGCGTGATTGGCGGCGTCTGTTTCAGCTATGAAGAGCCAAAATGTCGAGCGGCTTGGCGCAGACTACAACGAAAAGTCGCAATCTCAGTTCATTCATGAGCCCTGATATTTTTCCGTCTCCTCGTATGATGGGAGAGTCATATCTTTCCCGTTGGTTGCCCTTTCGACAATTTGAAAACCACAGACGCTTTTTGCCCAAAATTTTCACCGTCTGCCCGGATAAGGTTCACCAGCAAATGAACGGACCAATCGGCTCAGTATAGCTCAGCCGACAAGCGAGTCCGCCACATATAGGTGTACGTACATATATGTGTAATGGACTGAGTGTACACGTGACAAAAGGGTGATCCCATTACTACTTCCTCCTCTTCTTGCACTCTATTTTCGCTCGAGAACTCCAGTGCCATCCTTCCATGGCTGCCTCTCAATGTTGTCGTATCGCGCTCACCAGGTCAACAACTCCCGCGTGCGACGTTTCCACACTGGCCATTCCTGCTGCTTATCCCAATCTCACTCCCGTTGGTGTCGGCTGAAAGGCTCCTCCTCGCTGGCTCCAGAGCCTACGCTTCGCTCCATTCTGGTCGCCCACGACATAACCAACTCAGTCTCTGCCTTCGAAGGTCCTTATTCGTCATGCGGAGAGCTTCGGAGAACCCGAATACATTATCGCAGCGTTTTGCGTAGAAATTTCTGGAGACAGCTAATGTATGTATTGTAGCAATTAATTGCGCATGCATCACCCTTGCCGTCACTCCTCTCTGAACCACTTCTTGACTCGACCTGGTCCACAGCCACAGCCACTGCCACTGACACAGCGTGTCGTGAATCGCGATCGCGTTCGTGTCCCCGTCACCCCTGGTCGAACGCCGGCCTTTTGCGTTCCCACAAGCCACCTGTTGAGGACGCCGTTCCTAGACTAGGAACCTGGTGTGCCGGAGACTAGTCGGTTTTCGAGAACGTTCAACATCCAAGTAAGCTCCGAGGAGTCGGTTTAAGAGAAGTCCTGCTTCCGATTCAGCTGACCCTATCACGGCCACACGGGTCCAGACCGATCCTCCTAAGCCTCACTGCTCGTCGTTCAACCAAGGAAGAGTCGTTTTAGGAGTCGGCTTACGAGCGGTCATTCTGCATCCAACGGCTCCTACTAATGTGACATTACGGGGCTGAACCGATTCTTTTTGCCTTACCTAGCCTCCAGCAGACTTCCCGCCTCACCTACTTCCGACAAGTTGTCGACCAGGAAGAGGTTTCGTCCCGCGGTTCTTTTGGCTCCGCTTACTCCGCTCATTCCTTCGCCTGAGGTTTCCCCGATTCCGCCGAGCTGCTCCTCGCTTTCGCCATGAGTTCGAATTCATCCTTAACTCCTACTAGAATTACGAGCCTGGTCGGACTAACACTTGGGACTACTAATAGGAGCTCTCGGACAGAGTCTCCGAGTCTGACGGGCCGTCAACAGCCCGACGCGTCTGCTGCTGACGTTATCAAAGTAGAATCTTCCACGCCTGGTCAACGTGATGTTCCTGCGGCTGTCCTCGATATAAGGCTCCCCGTCAACGGTTTTGAGTCGAGCCCGTGCGGGCTACATCATGGCGTGGGTAATGAGTCGGCGGAGCTTCGCGGCGAGGTATCCGGAACCGGGTTACCAACCTCGCCAGACCAGCCGCCGGTTCGCCAAGGCTGCGAGGTTCCCGCGAAAGGCTCCTTGCGGAATGAAACGAATGGAAGCGGAAACTTCAGCGGAACGGGCAGCGGAAACGGGGCGCGCCTGCGCCTGCCGCGGAGCTGGCAGGGGGGCGCGTTTCTCCTTCCGCCCAGGTGGCTTCGGCGGTACTTTCGGAAGTTCCGCGGGATTGGGGAGGGGCTTTTTCCGGCGTACCCGAGCTTTATTGTCGTCTTCTGGTCCTTCGTCGCCTCGTTCATTGGTGCGCTCTGCTTTCCCCTTTTCCTTTCATTGGCTCACCGTCTCACTCATTTCAAGACTAGACTTCGGTAGTTGGTTTATCCCTTGGTCCTCTCAGACCAGCATAGGTGAATGCGTCCGTCCCATAGATGGCACTGGCTGTTGTTGCAGCATAGTCATCCACTCCCACTTCTCACCTCGCGTTCCCCAATTCCCCCCCCACCGTCTCCTTCACATCCCCCCATCTTCATCCTCTCCTCCCGCCCCCCCTCCGTCACTTCCTCGCGACACCCACAGGCATAGCTCTGTGCGCGTTTCTCGCGTTCAACACGAGCATGCAGCAGACCCTGAGCCCTTACTCCACCACCAGCAGCAGCAGCAGCACCACAAGTGAAAATGGCCAGCAGCAGCAGCAGGAATAGCTATGTGCTCGTTTCTCGCGTTCAACACGAGCATGCAGCAGAATCTGAGTCCCTACCCCACCACCACCACCACCGCCACGAGCGAAACCGGCCAGTAGGAGGCGGTGGCGTCGTTTGTGATCGGCTCGTTTGGCGCCACAGCAGTGCTCGTCTTCGGAACCATTGACTCGCCCCTTCCCCTCCTCCCCACACTCCCTCATCCCCCCTCCCCGCTTCCCCTACTTCAGGAATAGCTCTGTGTGCGTTTCTCGCGTTCAACACGAGCATGCAGCAGACCCTGAGCCCCTACTCCACTACCAGCAGCACCAGCAACACGAGTGAAACCGACCAGCAGCAGCAAGCGTCGTTTATGATTGGCTCGTTCGGCGCCACAGCGGTGCTCATCTTCGGAACCATCGACTCGCCCCTCTCGCAGCCCCGGAATGTGATCCTCGGCAGTGCCGTTTCAGCGGTCATTGGCGCGCTTATATCGGAAATTTTCGCTATAGGGGGGCTCGCGTTTCCTAATACGTCGTGGCTCTGGCTACAGTGCGGGCTCGCGGTTTCCTTATCCATAGTGGGTACGTCCGTGGTTTCGTTTTTCACTATCTGTGCAGCCAGCTGTGTAACTTCACACACTCTTTTGGGCGCCTCAGAAGGATTGTTTTCACTCTCTTGGCAGAAGAATTTTTTTCACTCTATTTCCTGCTCTCTCCCCTCCCATCCCCACCATCCCACTTCCCCCTTCCCCTTCCCCTCCCCCGTCTTCCACCTCCCAGCCATGCAGCTGTTGCGTATCGTCCATCCCCCTGGGGGTGCTTCGGCCCTGATTGCGGTCATGTCTCCACCCTCCCTGCGCTGCCACGGCCTGTTTGTGCTCACTCCCGTGCTGCTCTTTTTCTCCCCCCACCCTCGCCCTCCCTACCCCTTCTCCCGCCCATCAGCCATGCAGCTGCTGCGTGTCGTCCATCCACCAGGGGGTGCTTCGGCCGGGTTTTGAGAATTCTCAAAATCCTCCTCCCTCCCCACTCCCTCCACCAGTCATGCAGCTGCTGCGTATCGTCCATCCCCCTGGGGGTGCTTCGGCCCTGATTGCGGTCATGTCTCCACCCTCCCTGCGCTGCCACGGGCTCTTCGTCCTCACTCCCGTGCTGCTGGGAGTGTGCATCATGCTCACCGTCGCTCTCTTTGTCAACAACATCACCAGACAGTAAGCCAACACACGCCCTGCATTTATTTTCCCCCTTTTTCCTCTCATGTCCCATCCTCGTGCGTTGGTTTTCCGTATCTCCAGTACCCCATTCTTTTTATTTCCAGCCTTGCTGCCGAGTCCTTGCTTCTCTCTCCTGGTCCTTTTCTTCGTCCCTGTACCTTCCCCTCCGGCCTTCCACTCCACCTCTACTCCACCTCTACTCACCCTCCACTCACCCTCACCCCCACCCCCAACCTCATCACCAGATACCCGCTGTACTGGTGGCGGCCAGTCATCCTCGACATCCCTGTCCCTGAGGGCTCCACACACCACTCTACCGGCGTGCATTCTTCCAACCGTTACCCACTCCTTCCCACTCCTTCCCCATTACTCCCAATCACCAGGTACCCGCTGTACTGGTGGCGGCCAGTCATCCTGGACATTCCCGTGCCTGAGGGCTCCACACACCACTCCGCAGTGACAGCAGGCGAGGCATACCACACCATACAGCACCTGCACGCCGTGCACTCCCCCTTGCACCATGCGCAGCTGCCCTTTCAACTGCCCCCTCAGCCGCTAGCTCAACAGCCCTCGCAGCTGCTGCCCATGTGCCTTCCTTCAAGCGATGCACAGCGGGTCCACGCGGTGCTCTCTCCCGTGTGCGATGCCCCGCCGCATCAGCTCCCCGGCCACCGTCCAATCAGCGAAGCTGCGGCGACATCTAGCGAGGTGAGTCACATGGTAGAAGAGCTAGCCCATTCGCTGCCAGTGCTTCTGCAGCAGGCCCGTTCTCAGCACTCACCTGCTCATGCGGTGGAGAGCGGTTCAGATGCTGAAGAGGACGGGCCAGCGAGTCGTGTTCATGGCGGCATGGCGTACTTTCAAGGAGGCCGTGCGGAAATGGACGCGTGTAGCATTGCTGGTAACACATGCCGCAATGCTTCTGGTAGTACTAGGGGCACAGAGGGCTCGCAGGGCTCGCAGGGCACGCAGGGCACACAGGGCTCGCAGGGCTCGCAGGGCTCGCAGGGCACACAGGGCACACAGGGCACACAGGGCACACAGGGCACACAGACGGCAACTGTGGCAGAAGCAGTGGCAGCAGAGCTCACCTTTCGTGGCGGGCCGTTCCGCCTCGTCAGCGCCTCTTCACTGAGCCACGTCAGCGTTCCCTCGCTGGGTCATCAGCAGAAGCACTATGGTCAGGGCAAACAGCTGGTCGAGCAGCAACCACAACCTTTTTCGGGCAGCTCAACGATTTTTGCCGATGCCATGTCATCGCATTCCTCTTTGTCTGATGGCATGGCAGTTGGTGAGAGAAAAGAACACAGCAATAACACACGTGACAGCAATGCAGCAGGCATTGTAAATTCGGGCGCACATGCTGTTGGCCAAGCTGGAACCGATGATCGATTAGCCCGTGATGCATCTGCATCTGTTGATTCGCCAGCTGCTATTGATCCAGCGGCTGGGGTTGATGCAGTTCCTATCCTTGGAGACCTGATAACAGAAAAACCACATTCAGCGGCTGATTCTGGGAGCTCCCTAATCGACCCAGCAGCACACTCCAAAGGAGACAGTCAATGATGCAGCAAGCAGCAGGGAGCATAAAGTATCAGCATGATTCTGAGGCAGAATTGGCGTGAATGTTGAAGGCAAATAATCAGCAGTGAATTGTAGTGCAATGTGCTTGGGGCTTTCAACCAGTTGTATGTAAATGCATGCAGCTAATGTATTAGAAGGAACTAAATCATTCTTTCATTGCATACTGGAGCTCATATGCCAGGGTTGCTAAAGATTCGCGCCTGCTTATGGGATCAACGTGCACAGCCGAAAAGTGCAGTCATTTTTTGTTTCTTTCACAGTTATCCACAAGTTCAATTCCAACCAGCAATACGTCTACACTCCCAGGCACTGTATCTCGACACTCCCAGGCACTGTATCTCGACTAGTCTCTCGCCTTACAAGCGAACCCCAAGCTTCCTAGCAATCACATAGCTACAGCGATTAGTTAATAGTGCAATCACTAGCTTCAGTCGGGGGATAGCGACGATTCCTACTTGCGAGTCGCGACGCGGTGCTCACATTAGTTGACGAAAATTCGCGAATCTTAAGCGTGAAGATAATATATGTTTCGAAGGAATAGCACGGGATTGGCTTATGTTTTCTTGGTTATCCTATATAGTACACAATAGCACCCTAGCTTAGGGCGTGTTACATTTTCTAAAATTTTCGTCCGGATAGCCAACCGTTCGGACAATGGTGTGGTTACAGATATCGTTTAATATCGATAGTGAGTTCATCAGGGACTAAACGAAGTCGTTTGCGTCGTTTGGCTGGCTTACGACGTCGCATTGGTCGCAAGACGACCGCACGACGTCGCAATACTCGCACGCGTCCGGACCATCGTCCGTACTTTCAGCGATTTCAAAAAATGTAACACGCCCTTAGCATCCCTTGAACGCGTGGTGAACAGATGGCAAAGGTGGCGGCTCCGTGGTGGATGGGTGATCCTAGTCGGCCTATAACGGATCAACCGGAAGGCACTTTCGTTTGGGCTAAGGTGCGATTTGGTCATGGGTCTTAGCCCAAGTATACACTCACTTGTCCTCATATCATAAGCGTCACTTATGTAGGTTATTAGGCGTCACAGACACTCATTGCGTGGTTATTTATATCATTCCCTAACGACGTGGACCATTCCGGACTCTCGAAACCTAACAGTAACTTTTAATTGCTCTTACATGACCGTTTCTCTTCCCTGGCATGGTCCAGGGAGCAGTAACTATTAATTGTTCGACTCCCGTGCCACTTACCTTTTCCTCCCCTTTCTCCCTGTTTCTCTTCCCGTTCCCTGTTCTCCACTTCCCCGCTCCTCTCCCTCCTCCTCTCCCTCCTCCTCTCCTTAATGGCATGCAGGCATCATAGCATCCCCTCTCAACTGCTCCACTCCCGCTTTCTGTCCCCCCCCCCTCCCCCCGTCGTCCATTCCTCTCCGCCCCTCCTTCCCCCCCCCCCCCCCCCCCCCCCCCCCCCCCCTCCCCCCCCCTTCCAGAAGCGCGCTCAATGGCATGCGGGCATCATAGCATCGCCTCTCAACTGCTCCACTCCCGCTCCTGATGCTCCAGACACTCCCCCCCATGCACTCACCACCACCACTCGAGCACGTGCCTCGCATGTCTGCGTCTTCCTGCCTCGAGATGCCACCTTCGTCTGGTGCTCCCCTGACTCTCTGCTCCACGTGTGGATCAAGCCCGACCCACATGGCCCATATTCCAGGGCCGTACTCAGGAAGTTGGTGTCTATGTGTGAGGGGACAGGTGGGGAGGAGCGGGAAGCGGTTGGAGGTGGTGGTGATGGTGGCGGTGCTGCTGCTGCTGCTCGTTCTGCTGGTGCTGCTTGGTTCAAGGCTGTTGGTGTGTCAGCAGGAGATGCTGCCACGTCGGCTGGGCGTGGAAAAGAAGCCGATCTGCTTCCTGATTGGGCGAAACCAGTCAGGCAATCGGCAGACGGCACGGGTAGTGGAGGCAGGGAGGGAAGCGGGCAAATGGGTAATGAGAGTGAGAACACAGGAGGAGATCGGAGAGATGAGAGAGAGGGTGAGGGAGGGAGAGGAAGGAGTGAGGGTGAGAGGGAAGGGAAGGAGAACCAAGAAGTGGGAGGGAAGCAGAGAAGGAGTGGAGGTGGTAGAGGAGGTGGTTGTGGTGGTGGGAGTGAGTCGGGCAGGGAGCGGATTCTGAGGCGCATGAGGAGGGTTGGGGTGCTGTCAGTGGCCACAGAAATACTCGACTTGAGCGACCAGGTCCCCTTAGAGGTATGCACGATCTTAAAAGAAAGAAAGAAAGAAGAAAGAAAGAAAGAAAGAAAGAAAGAAAGAAAGAAAGAAAGAAAGAAAGAAAGAAAGAAAGAAAGAAAGAAAGAAAGAAAGAAAGAAAGAAAGAAAGAGAAAGCAAGAAAGAAAGAGAGAAAGAAAGAAAGAAAGAAAGAAAGAAAGAAAGAGAAAAACGTCACCAATAATCCTGATGTGTGGCTCGCTCTCGCTCTCATTTTCACCCTTATTCCAAAGTTGAACACATGATAATAAACAAGGTCACGATCATGGCACTCTCGCTCTCATATCTCACCCTTATTCCAAAGTTGAACAGCGCTGGATTGATAAAGCGTATTGCTCTTCCTTCTCTCCCTGTCCCTCCACTTACTGCTCCTCTCACGTCCCATCCCCAACGTCCCTCCTCCTTCTGTTAGGCTGTGGCGCTACCGGCTCGCTCCGTCTCATTCTGGTCTCGCTTTGCTGAAAGGGGTGCTGGAGCCGATTCGTTTGAGCAGCAGGGAGAGCTGCTGAGCGACCTCTGCCAGGCAGGTGATTTGCTTTTTAAGGTTGAGAGTGGTTGAGAGAGGTGACCTGTGGTGATATGACAAGGACAGTGCTGGAGCAAAATCATATGAGCAGCAGGGAGAGCTGCTGAGCGACCTCTGCCAGGCAGGTGACTTTTCTTTATACATGCTGTTGAGAGTGGTTGAGAGTGGTAAGGAGTGGTGACTAGGATGGCCGCGGAGCCAAGTCATACAAGTAGCAGGGAGGGCTTCTGAGGTACCTCTGCGGTGCAGGTGATTTGCTTTTCAAGGGGGGTAGGCAAGTGCGAAGGGTGGCTAAGATTCGTGGGGAGATGTTGAGACCTCCCGTGCAAACGCTCAAGTTCAGTTCAGCCTATCAGACAGCACAACACATTTTTGCACACCGGCATCATCAGTCAGATGTTGTTGAGCATCAAGTTTTGAGGCGCCTCAAAACTAGATTCGTGGGGAGTTGTTGAGAGACATCTCATCCAACCCTTCAAGTTCAGTTCAGCCTATCAGACAGCACATCTTTGCACACCGGCATCATCAGTCAGATGTTCTATTCATTCAAAGCATTTCTTACCCATATTCCCATTATCGTTTGACCCATTCTTTCCAACCTTTTTTACTTATCTTCCCGCCCCTCTGTCCCCTCCTTCCTTCCATTACTTCCTTTTCTGCCTCCCTCCCTCCGTCTTTCCATTCTCGCAGATCATCCTGCCACAGCTGCTGCATCCTGATTGGCTCTCATCCCGCCACTCCAGCTGGACCGACGAATGCCTAGCTGCCAACTCGGCACCAGCAGTGCATTCACGCATTCAGGTAACAACACCAGAGTACACTCAGTCCCTCAGGTACATGAAATTCATTCGCTGAGAGCACCTTCTCTTTCCTTCCCCTTTCATATTGCTTTACTACTTAACTCCCATCTACTCCCCTTTTCCCCCTCTCTCCCGCCACCAGGAGCTCTCTTCAGCCATCCTCTGGTCGCACGTCTCAGACCTCTGGAAAGTCTCCCAGCCGCCACAACCAGCAGCAGCGTGGGCTGCCTTCACGCTTCCCTCCTGTGCTGTTCGTTCACTCTGAATCCCTGTCCTTCCTCTCCAGGAGCTCTCTTCAGCCATCCTCTGGTCGCACGTGGAAGTCCTCTGGAAGGTTTCTCAGCCGCCACAACCAGCAGCAGCGTGGGCTGCCTTCAAGCGCCCTTTGCTCGCCGCAGTGGAAGCGTGTATGATGCAGGGCACACCTGGAAGGGAGAGGCTCTGGTCCAAGAACGGGGGGATCTTTGGGTTCCTTCCCTTTGCTGTGGGTGGTGGCGGTGGTGGCGGTGCTGGTGGTGTTGGTGGTGGTGGTGGCGATGCAGGCACTCTTGCAGCTGCTGCGATCGCCTCCCCCGAGAATGCCGGTGGTATTTCCGCTGGTGTAAATGCTGTTGCTGCTGGTGGTGGGGGTAAATTCCATGCTGAAACAGGGACAGGAGTAGGAGCAACCAGTTTGACACCGAATGCAGCAGCAGGAGCAGGAGGAGCAGCAGGAGCAGGAGCAGCAGGAGCAGCAGGAGGAGCAGGAGCAGCAGGAGGAGCAGGAGCAGCAGGAGGGTTAACGGATGGGCCAGCGGGAAGTGGCGTGGTTAAGTGTTTTGGTTTGCTAAGCAGCGGCAGGAAGTGCCCTCGCAAGGCCCGGCCTGGGGAGTTTTTCTGCAGCGCCCATGCTGGCGGGGGGGTGGGAGAGGGGGGGTTGAGAGACGGGGGAGTGAGAGGCGGGGGGATTATAGACGGGGGAATGGGCGGCGGAGGAGGGGTTGAGGGTGGGGGAAGGCCAGAGGGCGGGGAATATGGAGGGATCGCCACAGAGGAGACGCAAAGGAGAGGGGGAGCAGAAGCTTTTAGAGCTAGAGGGGATGGAGGGAGAGATGGCGGGGTGTTGAGCGGTGGAGAGGTGTTGAGTGATGGGGAGGTGGATTTGGGAGAGTTGGAACCCATTGGAGACCTGACGTTAGGCATGTATGGTTTTGGTGCTGATGGTGTGTGCGAGCGAGCTGTTGGCATTGGTTGTGGTGCTGATTGCAATGGAGGAGAAGGAAGTGGAGGATTAGAAGAGGAGAGAGCAAGAGCATGGGCAGGGGCAAGAGCAGAGGCAGGAGCAGGAGAAGCAGCAGGAGCGGCAAGAGGATTGAGCTTTGGCAGGAGCTCTTTTCAGCGGAGGAAGGAGAAGCAGATTGTGCTGTGTGCGGGTGTTACAAAGAGAGGTGGGCCGTGCCAGGTGCCGGTGCTGCCTCCGTCCACGCTGTGCCAGTTTCACAGGCGGCAGCAGCAGCATCAGCAGCAGCAGCACACACGGGAGCATGTGCAGCAATCAGGACAGCAGAGATGGCAGCCGCAGCAATAGCAGCAGCAGCAGCAGCAGCAGCAGCAGCAGCAGCAGCAGGAGGGGAAGCTACAGCAACAAGAAGACGCAAGGCAGTGGCATCGGCAGCGGCAGCAGCAGCGGAAACGAGCAAAGGATATGTACTATGGGGATAAGGATTCCGAGTATTATGACGGCGGTGAGGAGGAGCATCATTACAGTGATGGCACTGCTAAGCCTAACGGTGACTACATCGAGGGTGATCATGGTGATGGTGACTATAATGAAATTGACTATATTGAAGGTGATTATAACAAAGGCGAGAGTGGTAGCGAAGCGAGGAAGCTGAAGAGACAGGTGAGGCGGTTGTTTGAAGCCTTTGTTGAGGGAGATGTGGGGCAGTGGGCAGCCCTGGCAGGCACACAGGTAGCAATCGGTAGCATTGTGAGGGAGGGTGATAGGAGGGAGGGTGAAAGGGAGGGTGATATAAGGGAGGGTGAAAGGGAGGTTGATACGAGGAAGAGTGATACAAGAGAGAGGAAATCAAGGGATGGGGTTTTAAGTGATGATTGTGTGGGAGAGAGTGGTTTGCGGCAGGGTGATAGGGTACCTGCCCACAGCTGCACCGCTGCTCTCGTGTGTCTGTCAGAGAGGATGGATGGTCTTGTGGCTCGTGCTGCTGCTGCTGCTGCTACAGCAGGCACTGCCAGGGCTGCTTCTGCTGCTGCTGCTGCTGCTGCTGCTAATGCAGCTGCTATTCCTTCAGTCACTGCTAATTCTCTAACCACTCAGAATCCACTCACGCCCTCTAACCGTTTGACCTCTGCTAGTCTCTCTGCTAGTCTCTCTGCTAGTGCCGTTGATCCTCTGATTGTTACCAGTCAGAACGTTACGGCTGCTGATCGTTCTAATTCTAATGCTGCTCATCCTTCCAACGTTGCCCGTGCTGATTCTGCTGACCCTGCCTTGGCCGATGTTAACCCTCAAATGAACCCTGGAGGGAACTTTCAAGCGGATGCCCAAGTGAATCCGGGTCTGCGGCAGCTACTGCAGTTAGTGTCTGCTCGATTGGACGCTCTTCGACCAATGGTAGAGCGCCAGCGCGGCAGAATGGACGCTGGTGATTGGTGGAGGGAGGATTGGGAGGGGTGGATGGAGATGATTTTGAAAGGGAGCAGCAGGTGGAACAGGAGAGAGGGAGGGCAAGAGGAGGAGGAGGATGGTTATTATGCTAGTGGTGATGATGGTGATGATGGTCATGGTGATGTTGTTGGTGATGATGGTAAGCAGTGGCAAGAAGATGCTATGGTGGATGAAGAGGCGAACGACAAAGGTGATGGTGATGATGGTGTTGATGGTGATGATGGTGTTGATGGTGGTGTTTCACAAGGTCGGAAAACCATTTGTCGGGAGGCCGTTCGCGATTTTCATGAGTTCAGGAGAATGATCAGGGCGAATACACGGAGAAATAGAGAGGAGGAGGAAGAAGAGGTTGAAGGCACATGTGGAAGGGCGAAGAGGAGAAGAATCACCCGTAGGGACTATTCCTTTTCTCTGGTGAGGGGGGTAAGAGAGGCAGGTGGTGCGGAAAAGGTTGCTACAGCACGAGGAGCAGCAGCAGCAGCGGCGGCGGCAGAAGCAGAAGCAAGAGCAGGAGGAGCAGTGGCGGCAGAAGCAGAAGCAGCGGAGGTGGCAGTGGCAGTGTGTGGATCTGCTAGGAGAAGCAGTGCTGCTACTGACACTTGTGCTCGAACCAGAGGGGACAGAGCTGCCACTGCCGCCACAGCTGCCACAGCTGCTACAGGAGAGACTGATGTGATCGTGTACCAGAGAAAAAAGCTTCGTGTGGCTGGTGGTGGTATGTCCAAAGGAGAGGGAGCGTCGCTGGTGGTGTGTGCGGATGTGAGTGGAGGGAAAGAGCGGGTGCCGATACCATGTGTGGTGGACGGCGCAGTGATGCAGGGGATGAGGATTGGGGAGACGAAGGGAGAGACGGAAGGAGGAGGTTGGGAGCGGTGGAGGGAGTTTGAGTATATCATACAGCGGTGCTTCGACCCCAGCCTTGGCCTCGACCTGACTGTGCGTTGTATCACAAAACATATCACAAGGCACGGATACATTTTGTGGCTCCATCTCATTGTGAGTTTGGGTTGGGCTTGCACATAACCCAGCCAGCAAGAACTCCCAAGACCCGGTGTGCCGGAGCACTCCCAGCGGGACACAGAGGGGTGTGCGTGCGTGCGACTTGAGAACATAAGTCGCATGCTCTGACTGGGAGCCCATGCTCCGTCTTCCCTTCATTCCTTCGTTGCCTCTCTCCTTCAAAGCTGGCAGCTACACTGTGAGTGTAGCTACCAGCATGTGCACATGCTCCCAGGGTGTGTGCACGCGGCCACGTGGAGCACTCCCAGCAGGACACAGAGGGTGGTGGCTGTGATATCAGAATGGGCAAGGAAGAAACTCCTGCTTGCTCCCTCTTCAACCATCCCTATCCTTGGCCCCTGCAGAGCTGGCAGCTGGGCTGTGTGTGTGAGGGCCCTGCGTGTGATCCCAGGGCGTGCGACCACGTGGCGCACTCCCAACAGGACACAGAGGGGGGCGCGTGCGATGTGAATGGGGAGTCCATGCGAGGCCGTTTCGCCTACGACAGCGACGGCAGAATCATGCTGCAGGTACAAAACAAAGCAGGAAATCAGGGTTTCAGGTGTTTCGAAATTGAGCGGAGTCTCTGCGTTCGTTGTAGGCAAGGTGCCCTGCCCTAGCATGAACTCTTTTCATCGTCGCATGGACGGACCATCAACGACTGCGGTGTAATGCAACTTGCATTGCACTGCGGGTGCAGAAACTTATCTACCATTCTGGCAAGAGAAAAAAAACAGAAAATAATAATGATAATAATAATAATAATAATAATAATAATAATAATAATAACAATAACAATAACAATAACAATAACAATAATAATAATAATAATAATAATAATAATAATAATAATAATAATAATCAAACAAACTGTTGTGTCTTCCTTCGTCATGCCCTGTTCCCCTCCCGTCTCGCCCATCAGAGAGGCCTCCTGGTGTACGAGTGCAATGCACACTGTGCATGCGATGCATGCATGTGGCCCTGTCCCTTAGGCACTGCAAACTGTGTGCACTGTTTCACGCCCTGCTCCCCTCCTGATGCTCCACAGAGAGGACTCCTGGTGTACGAGTGCAACGCGCACTGTGCATGCGATGCCCTCAGCTGCCCCAACCGAGTGCTGCAACGGGGCATTCAACACCGCCTTGAACTCTTCCTCACTCCTCACAAGGTCAGCTTCTCTCAGTTGACTGCCTTGACTGACTTGACTGACTGACCGGATGCCACATGGCTCGCTCTCAGCTGCCCCAACCGAGTGCTGCAACGGGGCATTCAACACCGCCTTCAACTCTTCCTCACTCCTCACAAGGTCAGCTTCTCTCAGTTGACTGCCTTGACTGACTTGACTGACTGACCGGATGCCACATGGCTCGCTCTCAGCTGCCCCAACCGAGTGCTGCAACGAGGCATTCAACACCGCCTTCAACTCTTCCTCACACCACATAAGGTCAGCACCTTTTACGCAACACAATGCTCTGCTCCTCCTCACACTTGATAAGGTCAGCACATTGGAGGAGTGGCTCTTCTCTACGGCAGCACAGAAGCCAGCGCACGCGCCCATACCACACCTACCTGAGTGCCTTCTTTCCGCCGTCTGTGCACTCGCCATGCTTCCTTTGCTGCATTCGCACGCGCCAACCCTTCCTTTGCGCTCCCATCCTGCAGGGCTGGGCCGTGCGAGCAGCAGAGCCATTGAAACAAGGCACCTGTGTGTGCGATGCGAGTACATAGGAGAGGTGGTGGGCAGTACAGAAGCCAGCGCACGCGCACAGGCATACCCTGAGATTGGCTCCTATCTCTACGACATTGACGTTCACATGGACGTCCCTTTGACGTTCACATGGACGTCCCTTGTGTTGCGGTGGCTTCTGAGGCGCACCAAAATGCAACCTCACGCGCACAGGCATACATAAAGTGCCTCTTCACCCCCATCTGCTGCTGTCCCCATGTGTCTGCAGGGATGGGCCGTGAGAGCAGCAGAGGCATTGGAGCGAGGCACCTTTGTGTGCGAGTACATTGGGGAGGTGGTGGGCAGCACAGAAGCCAGTGCACGCGCACAGGCATACCCTGAGATTGGCTCATACCTCTACGACATTGACGCTCACATGGACGCTCCTCGTGCTGCGGTGCAGTGCGGTTCAAGTGGGAGATTATCAAGGGGAGAGAGGCTTGGCAGTCCGAACCAGGGCAGTGCGTTGTTCAAGAGAAGGAGGAGATTGGCGCGGACTGGTGGGTGTGCTGTGTGGCTGAGGAGAAACGAGGAGCTGGAGAGGGAGAAAATCAAGGAGAAATGGGATCAGGGCGAGGAGGAATGGGAGGGTGAGGAAGAGGAGTTGGCGGAGGGGGGGTGGTGGGATGTGGGGAACGTGGAAGACTGGGAGCTGGAGGAGGTGGGTCTGAAGAAGCCACAGCAGCCTCAGCAGCGGCAGCAGCCACAGCAGCAGGCGCAGCAACACTTTGTGATTGACGCTACTCGCCAGGGGAACATTGCAAGGTTCATCAACCACAGGTGAGTGGGGTCATGGGATGGAATGTTGAGTGGAACCAGAATCCGTTGAATATTTCGCCCGAATTTCAGCCGCACTCTCCCAACCCTCACTCCTCCCTCCACTCCCCTCCCTTGACCCTCTCCCAGCTGCGACCCCAACCTGGTGAACTACTCGGTGCTTGTGGAGAGATGGACAGCCAGCTGGCGCAGAAGAGGGACCACCTATCTTCTCTCGGCACCTCCCTGCCCTTTTCCCACTCCCAACCATTCCTGCACCCCTTATTCTCTCTTGCACCCCCCTCTCGTATGCACATTCCCCAGCTGCGACCCCAACCTGGTGAACTACTCGGTGCTTGTGGAGAGCATGGACTGCCAGCTGGCGCACATCGGCCTGTTTGCCGCCCGGGATGTGAGTCCAAATGATGTGATTGTAGCGAGGGTGTTTTGCAGCATAGTTGTGATTGGAGCATGGACTGCGAGCTGGCACACTTTGGCCTGCTTGCTGCCCGAGATGTGAGTCACATGGTGTGATGTGATTGTAATGGGGTTGTGTGCGATGTGATTTTTGTGATTGGGGCGTGTGGAGATTGCCATTTATTGAGCTCAGCGTGGGAGAAGTGGACTGAGCTGTGTGTTTCACTGTTTAAACTGGCTATTGTAATTACGGTCATTTAATATTCGAGCTGTTCGCAATTTGTTCGCTGGTATGTTTCCACGTATGTGCAGATAGCAGCAGGAGAAGAGCTGTCATATGACTATCACTACAGTTTAGTGGATGGCCCAGGTTGCCCGTGTCATTGTGGAGCCAAGAAATGTCGTGGTCGTCTATATTAGCGTCCATTGGCATGTGTTTGTACTTCATTTTTTTTTATGTATTAATTTGAACATGATTCAGCTCGTTAAGCCAATTAATCAATGTTTTCATTTTCAGCATCTACCGTATCAGCATTCAAGAGAAGAAATGGGTGCATCGATTTGTACCTCTATAATTTCTTGATTTGTCTTTTCTAGTCGAGGCATCTCGAACCGGAGTCGCGACAAACATCGGCGGTCGCCTGCTATTTTCCAGTAGGATCTTTCGGCTGCTACTATTCGCTGATACGTGTCTCCTCGCGCTTAGGTCAGGAACGTAGGGCTAGGTAGTCCTCTCGTCTACTTCGTTAGCATCCAATCCTGACATTACCGTAAACTTAGCACCACTAACTTTCTTATCAGGCCTGTGAAAATTTCCCTGATTCAAAGTATCACTTAGGCGGGGCTAAGCGTTTTGTTTAGCGGGGATCAGAGGGGTTCCGAATGGCGGAGAGCAGTGGCGCGTCCGACGATGCGCTGCTGCGGGAGTTTTTCGCTGAGGTCGGCGCGGTGGAGAGGGATAACGAAGTAAACAGGTGCGATGAAAAGCGGTGACAACGCGATCAGGTGCGACCCAGAGCGGTGACGAAGTAAACAGGTGCGATTCAGAGCGGTGACGAACCGAGCAGATGTGATGCAGAACGGTGACGAAGTGAGAAGGTGCTATGCAGGACATCACGGCTGAAGGTAGCTGACGCTCCCGGTTATTGCTGAATTGAGAAAAAAAAAACCGCTCGGTGGGAACTCTTTGAATTGGAAAAAGCTGTCTGTTGACATTTTCCCAATCCCAAAGCGTCGAACGAGAGGGAAGCTTTGAGTGATAGAATTGCAGAATGTCCCTGAGCCAGGTTCTGCTATCTACCAGTAGCACAAGTAATGAGCCGTCCCTCATTACTTGTGTTCAAGCGTTGTGGCTCCTCCATCCAGCCAACCTTTCTTCCCACTCCCCCTCTTCCTTCCTTCCCCTCCTCCACAAACCCCCTTTCTCTCGTTCTCTCTTGCTCATCGTCTCCCTCAGGATCCTGGCGTGTTTCAAGCTGAACCCTTTCGAGCAGCTGAACCTGCCGTTCGATGCCAAACAGGAGGACGTTAAAAAGCAATACCGCAAGGTACGAGTATTGGTTGGCATGACCTCGTTACACCTCTTTACACCGCAATTCACCTCCTTACAATGTCACAGGCTCCACCTCGTTACATTACCACAAGCTGAACCTGCCGTTTCACGCAAAAGTGGTGGACGTCAAGAAGCAATACCGCAAGGTACGAGTGTTGGCTGGCACGACTCCTGGGTTGTGCGGCAACTTCTAGGAAACCTTGCTACAATGTTAAACGAGGTGGTGTATCAAGTCCCTTATAGTACTCCCCTCCCCTTGGAGCATAATCCAGATCAGTGCAAGTACTTGCTTTATACGCCTCCAGAGACTGCTTTTGAGGCGCCTCAAAAGTAGACTTTTTCGCCTCCAGGGACGCCTCGAATTGCATGCGGCATTTTCTTCTCTGCAACCATACCACACCTTCATTCATCTCCCCACCTTGTCCCCTCTCCCAGGTGTCTCTGATGATTCACCCTGACAAGTGCAAACACCCTCAAGCTCAATAAGCATTTCCTGCTTTGCAGGCGACTCAATACACGTCTCTTAACCCATCTCCCCACCTTCATCCCTCTCCCAGGTGTCTCTGATGATTCACCCTGACAAGTGCAAACACCCTCAAGCACGAGAAGCATTCGATGGTAATAATCCAATCTAAGGTATTGTGACATTTGTACCACCGATGGTGAGTCCACAGTCTAAACTACTGTAACATTCTAACAAACAATGGTAACGATGCAATCCATAAAGTTCTGTGACATAACTGATGGGAATTGTACAGTTTTGAGGTGCTGATGGTACACCTGCTTTATCTTCCTTGCATTCCATTCCATTCCATTACACTGCATTGGTATCTTGCCGACTGCTGCCCCACACTCATCATATCTGAATTGAAACCCCACCCGCCCCACACATACCAGTGGTTGCCAAAGCACAGGAGAAGCTTCTGAACTCCGACGAGTGGGGATACCTCACCTCACAGTTTGCAGCTGCCAAAGGTAAGCTCCGACTGCAACTCAAACTGCCGTGGGCTGTGAGAATTGCTAGCGAGTTTGCTTTGAGACGTATCGAAAAGAGTGGTGTTTTCTCGAATCACGATTTAGTCGACCTGAAACAACAACTCCCACCTTCTTCCCCTTCCTTCCTCCTCAAACCGCCCGACCGTCCTTCCGTCTCTGCCATTCATTCCACCCCCTCATCTCCTCACCGCACACCAGAGGATGTCCTGAGGGAACGCAAGAGGAGGCTGAAGAAGGACAGGCAAGGCAAGCCGGCGGCAGATGGGCTGTCTAAAGCCGAGGAGGTACGGTGACGGAGGGGATGAAATGTTACATAAGCAGCACTTTCATGCCTCACTCGAGTTACAAATCTCGCGTTGATGAAATGCTCTGATTTGAATTCCCGTCTCCCTGTGCTCGCTCATAGGAAGCGGCCTTCCTGGCATCATCAGAGTTCAAGGAGCAGTGGCGGTTGAAGGCACGTGAGCTGTCAACACCAGCGCCTGCTTGTCTTATTTTTTATCTATTCACATATCCCTGTGTTCACACACAGGAGGCGGCCTTCCTGGCATCATCAGAGTTCAAGGAGCAGTGGCGGTTGAAGGCACGTGAGCTGTTGACAGCGAACGAATGGAGACGAAGAAAACTCTCAAAGCGGGTGCGCACGGTTTTTTTCTTTCACGTTTCCTGAAACATTTCATTCTCTGATCCTTTTTTTCTTTCTTTCTTTCTTTCTTTCTTTCTTTCTTTCTTTCTTTCTTTCTTTCTTTCTTTCTTTCTTTCTTTCTTTCTTTCTTTCTTTCTTTCTTTCTTTAATGTTTTCTGATACCATCTCGTTGCTTCAGCACAGTCAGAGTTGAGGCCTCTGGTAAGTTCTTAATCCTTACGCTTGTATTGTATGTCGGATGTGGGGAGCAGATAAAGGAAGAGGAGGTGAAGATTCAGCAGGAGGAGGAGGAGACGAAGGAGAAGACCCTCAAGGAGAGGGAGCACACACAGAAGTGGGAGGAGACCAGAGAGACGAGGGTGAGTGGTGCTGCCGGGATTCTAAAAAGCGTGACACAGGTGCGTTAAGACAAGAGAGACGAGGCACTGAGTGTGACTGGTTTTGGTGTGCTTTCATGAAGCGAAACACACCTGGTGCAGAGAGGATGTCACCCGGCCGTTCCTGTCGTTTTCCCTCTGATAATTTTCTGTCTTCTTCCGAATATAAAAAAAGGTATGGTTTCACCTCGTTGGATTAGCTTCATTTTTACATTAAATGGTTCTCTTGTGATTCTCCTCATACTTTTGTTTTTGCCGCATCTGCTCCCATTGCCAGGTCAGCAGCTGGAGAGACTTTCAAAAGAAGGGCAACAAGGTAAGCCCATGTGTTGTGGTATATTGTATCTATTTCAACCATGACCTACACTGATGTTGACTCAATTTCACTGGCATCCTGCACTCGTGCATACCTGACTCGCGGCTGGGCTACCATGCACCTATTGTATCTGGCATATTCGCTCAGCCTTTCACTCTGTCGTCTAGTTGAGAAAGCACAAGCGATTCGTTTTTTGCACTCCCGAGTGCCCATCCTTCCCCACTTCCCCCTCCGGGCTTCCCCCACAACCACCACTACCACCACCGTGGCCATCTTTTTGTATACCTTATATTTTTTACCTTGTTTCTGTTCTCGTCCTTCTGCACCATCCGGTACTTGCAGAAGGCGAAGGGTGAGCTCAAGCCTCCAGCCATGCGAGCTGAGGATCCAAATAAATCATACGTGAGACGACCTGCAAAGAAAGGATGAGGCCGCTTAGCGTATTTTCTGAATAGAGGTATTGTGATTGGACGTGGTGATGCCAATCACACTGAATGTAACTAAATGTATTTTGATTTTGCCGTGAAAAACGTGCCATTTGTCGCCTAAACGCGGTATAAGCACACAATTAGCTCGTGCGCGAAATGAAGGGAGTTGAGGTGCGTATCGAATTTGTCGTCCGTTGGCCGAGTCGTGCATTTTTCGAGCCGTTGATGCTTCAGCTGAGCTGATGCGTCCCCGTCAACAAAGACCATCTGGCGCGAAGCGCGACAACTTCGAAAAAAGAACATCCTGTCAACCTCCAAGTTCCAAGAACAAGCAGCTGCGGTGAAAAGGGATGAAAAGTGGTTCTCATAGTTTTCTAGGGGTGATTTGTGATCTAGCGTAGTCATTAGTCAAGCCTGCAGAACCACCAAAGTTGACTGACAAAGCTGAAGCCTTCTTTTATTGGGTTGGGGCACAATCAAGCGCAGCGGAGTCGAGAGAGCGAACACAGTGGTAGTTATCATCTAAAGTCCAGCCAAATTCCACCACTCTTAGCCTTCGCATTTGATACTGTACAATCCCGAGCAGCGGCGCTTTAGTGTTGTCGGAAGCAATCAATTAACGTTTTTTCCTGAAGTGGAACCTCGTTTGGCGCACAGGCAAATGAAAGCAGTCCCGTATTCTGGCGTCGGACTCGGCACCTCTTAGACTCGGCGGCCGTTTGCGTCTGAGCATTCTTCCTAAGAATTTCGCTTGTTCTTGGAGTAAGCGTCAGATACTCTGTAGTCCATCGTTTACTTACTCGCATGATGCTGGAACTCAGTTTTCGTTGAGTGGGGTAATAGTTCCATACTACCTTGTCAGAACGACGATGGCGATGGAGTATTTACGAAAGCTAGACGACGCGGCCTTCGCGACTCAAGAGATGGACCTGGTTCTGGATCTGGAGTCACGAGTCGAGCAGTTAGAGAGCGCAAATAAGGAGCAGGAGAAGGAGATATCCTCTCTAAGGACACAGGTAAGCGTGATCATCATACTGCGGCTACTTCTGTGCGTTTCAGTACTTCAACGCTCAGATGTTTAGAACTTCCGGGCAAGTCCATTAAGGATATCATATGCAAATAAAAAAGCCTTCTCGTTTATCTATCTTGCTGAAATTCTCCGTTAATTTTCCCGACAGCTCGTGATGACAGAAGAGAGCCTTCAACGAGAAAAGGAGGCGTCAGTGCGTCTCTTGCAGCTGCTGCAGCAAGAGCGCGAGGCGCGCTCGGCCATGGCGGCGGTAAGGGAGGAGGACCGGGTACTATCGGACGCGGATATGGCGGCGCTGATGCAGAAGAATAAGGAGCTTGAGGACGTTCTCCGGAGATTAGAGGAAGACGTGGAGGCGATTTCGCAGGAAAAAGAGTCTCTGATGAAAGACAGAGACGGCATGGCGGTTGAATCCAGGTGACTTAGCTTGCTACAACCTGTTGCGTAATGCGGCCGACATCTTCGGTAGTAGCCTTTGTACAGTTTTGTTTCGAATGAAGTCATGGATACGGCGTTTCAAATCGTCATGCGTTTCCTTGGTTCTTATTGCAGCTCGTTGTGCGAGCGGTTGGAGGAGGCGGAGGCGGCGAGCGAGATGCTGAAGCGGGAGAACGAGAATCTCGAGGCTGAGCTGGTGGCAGCGCGCAAGTCGCGGGACACGTACTGGAACCACAGCATCGCGTTGTACCAAGAAAAGACGAGGTAAGTAAATTTAGGGGACAGATTGCATTAAGTACTGAAACACTTCACACGCGTACTGGAACCACATCACAAAATCTTACCGAGATAAAGACGAGGCACAAACAGGGTACTGATGCATAATTAGCTAAGGCTGTGATGTTCTTTTGGAAAATCTCTCGGGTATTCTATCCCCAAGGATCCTCTCCTTATCCTCGCCCATTTCATCCGTGCATCCTCTCCCTGTGAGCACCCATTCATCCATGCGTCCTCTCCCCATTCTCACCAATTCGCCCTCATTTTCCCAACCACCCCATCCCAGACTGGAGGAACAGCTTGCGATGATGAATAAGATCACCAGCACCATGTCTGGTTCTACTGCCAGGCAAAGGGCGGCAGCGCGCCACTCTTTAGCAGGCACAGGAGGAGGCAGCTCAGCAAAGCAGGGCCCAAACAGGGGAACCACACCCACACGCGCCCACGGCCACAACCAGCAGCAGCAGCAGCAGCAGCAGCAGCAGTTTCAGAATTACTCAAACCCACTCCAGGCCCACATCTCCCTCACCCCACCTCCGCCATCCTCAAAAGTGACAGATCCGTTTGAGTTACCAGTAGACTACTCCTACCATGACTTGCCGTCTTCAGCTAACCACCACTTCCCAGGGCCCCCGGCCGGCCTGTGCTTGTCCCCATCTCGGGCTGATAATCCGTCGGTGAGGAGCTTGAACGGGCGGGAAGGCTTTTCTGGAAGTAAAATTTCTGGAGCAACTGCAGCAGGAGCATCACGGAGACAGACGGAGGTTCCTGGTGGGTTCATTCATTCCTCGGCCAAGCAGGTTCAGCAGCAGCAGCAGCAGTCGCCACTGCGGCAGCGGGAGTCGTTTTATCAGGCTAACCCCTCTGCAATAGGAGAACCAGGCGGGGCTGCACCCCAGCAGCTGCAGTTCCAGCAGAAGCGGCAGCACCAGCAGCAGCAGCAGCAGCAACAGTTTCAGCAACAGCAGCAGGTGCAGAAGCAGCAGGTGGCGCATCCGCCCTCCCTCATCCCCTCACCTGCCTCCTCCGCCCGCCTCAATTCCGAACGCTCTTCCATTTGCAGCTCCCCGCGGAGCCCTGGAAAAGCAGGCTCGGGGGGAGGCGGGGGAGGGGGGAGAACCGGAAACGGAGGAGGGGGAGGCGGAGGGGGAGGGGGAGGCGGAGGGGGAAGGAGCAGAGAAGGTGGACTTGACGGGAGTGGTGAGTACATGGATGAGAACTGCAAATCTGGAATGTCATGGGGGAGTGGGGGGAACGATGTGGGGGAGTCAGGAGGGGAGGAGTCCGTGGGAAGTACCAGTATGATTCCACGGTACAGTGGCAGCAATCGGTTGCCTGTCCCTGGTGCAGTGAACTGTGCCCGAGCTGGGAGTGGAGGCAAGGTTTGGCGGTAGCAAGGTTCCAGCGAAATTCTGTACGGTACTTGTACTGCCCTTGGAGGGTAGGGATTTGACATGAAGGGGGGAAGTCAGGGGGGGAGGAGTCCGTGGGTAGTACCAGAATAAGTCCACGGTACAGTGGCAGCAGTAGCTGCCTGTCCCTGCTGCAATGAACGGTGGCCATGCTGGGAGTGGAGGCAAAGTTTGGCGGTAACAAAGTTCAGGTGAAAGAAGAAATTATACCGCTTTTGGGGATTGGGGCAGTGATGTGGGAGAGTCTGCGATATTGGGAAAGAGGGGACGTATTGGAAGAAACAGTGTTCAGTAATGGTGGCAGCAAGGCTACCTAACCCTGCTGCAGTCAACATTGGACGGGCTGCGCAGGGAAGGTCTGGCGAGTGCATCTAACCCTCCACTTTCGCATTATTATAACGAGTTGTTGCTTCGGAGCATAGGAGCAGGCATCGTGCCTATCCCAAACTTTTTATTAGCGTGCAATAAAACCTTGATTGCCTCTATCGAAAGAGTGGTATGGTGGTGGTTGGTGGCGTGGGGTGTAGAAGTGGTGGCAACAAGCTACTGATTTCTCACACTTGGGATCTTGAGGATAACTTTGCGCTCTGGAATGACAAAAACAGCCAAGTTGAACGGGTGACAAGGAAAGATGGGGGCTAGAAGAGGACGGAAGGGGATAGTGGGGTTCAGGGGGGATTAGGAACTAACATGAAACTGATTTAATGCAATTGTCACACACTAGATTCGTTGCTACATGCTTCATCGACATGGTACCGTACTTGGCGGAAGTCTGGTTTGGAAAGGAAGGCATCTCATTTACAAAACCATATCAAACTTTCACATTTTAAGAGGGTTTTATATTGATAGGCTAATATAGCAATTCCAGTAAGCTACAAGTATGGTGCATTCAAAGTGATCAACCTAATATATTCATTCGCTTTATAGCGTTGTTACGAAGTTCTTACACGCAGCTTTTTGGTATCAAAACTAGTGGCGGGAAGTCTCCCTCCGCTATGTTTCCCTCAAATCACCGTAATCAATCTGTCGCAGCAATTCACGTTGCGCTTCACTGATGGGCTAATGATAGTTGCGCCGACACTTCGACGACGCGCGACGACATCCAGACAAGACTCTCAAATCGCAGCAGTATTTGGTGCATGTCGTACCAGTCGAGACATGATTTTACTGGTTCGGACGAGTGAAGCCGGTTCCGAACCGAAGAAGTGATAGCCACCGCTTTCCGAACCAGCTGTCTCCTCCCCTCCGTCCCGTGCCTCCGCCCCTAACGAATGTCGATTCGAAGCGCACCAGACGCCAAATTTCTTCACAATGTAATTCGCGCGCTTCCGTGTTTCCCAACTTTACAGTACAACCCCCTCCCATCCCATCCCATCCTCTAGTTGTCTCCCCCAATTTCCATTCCATCTCCCGAAGAACGAAACTGCTTGTTGACGCTGTTCCATTCTACTTTTGCCCCCTTGTGCATCACATTACCGTTGCTCATTTGTTGACTTGACCTGGCCACGTTTCATGATGCTGCGCCTCATCCATGGCTCATTCCGTCACGCACCACCGCAATTCCACCATCCCACTGCAAGAAGTGTAGCTTCTTTGATTTCAGTCTCAGCCCCCACCACATAGCATCCGTGCACCTCACCACCACCATGCCACTGACTAATAGCCAATCGCCAATGACCACCAGGTGACGCTTCTCGTCTCGTCCCCTCATTTGCTGCCTACTCTCCCGCGAATTGTACAATTTGCAGCCAAAACCTTGAGCTAAAACCAAAGACGATACATCCATTGGGGACACCGACAGGTTGATAGCGTATCGCCGACCCATCTTTATCATATTTGCGCCTTCCCAGCAGCTGCAGAAGCAGCTACAGACCAGTCGACCGTTGATTTAAAGTGCAACGCTTCTCATCAAACCCTAGCTTCCCGTCTGCTGATCAATACTAGGGACTTGCACGTTTCGAGGCTCCTCCCGTCACCCCAAATATCCTGCTACTTCGTTGCTCTACTCTGAGCGTTCCCCTTCAGAGCATCGCTGCGAAACCATCCGACGTATCCTCTCTTATCCGAGCGTCCTTACATACACGTCAAAAAAAGACGCTCAGGCCTCCCACACACCTCTCTATCGCAAGGCCCTCACTTCTCGCCATCTGCTCAAACTGCTAGCGACCTCGTCAGTCGCGCTATAGAAACGGTTCTCACGGTGCTCGTTAGTCGACGGCGCATCGTTGTGCACGGGTTGGACGCTAGCACTGGCCTTAGAACGTGCCGGTTGAGAACCTTCATGTGCTCCGCGATTTTCACTGCTCTAGCGTATGTACATAGTCGGCTCAATTGTACGTAGCAGCCCTGACACAGGGACTCCGAAAACACATTGAATACATTAATCAGGCGCTCTGGTCTTAGTGCTCTCCTTCCGTGGTGCCAAGAGCTTACGAAACAACTTCATTTCGGTCTAGCGTAGAGTTGTAAGAAGGTGTCGACTTGTAGAGGGTTGACAAATTCCTGCTCTTCTGAGGATCTCGGTTCCTTTTTGGGAGGAAGGTCGAGACAGGGCGATGAGTCGCACGATCGCCTGCTCTCGCACTGCGACGTGGGCGATCGGCGTGCGACCGAACGATCCTGCGAAATTGTCGGCGAGATTGTTGAGGTGTCTGGCCGTCGCCTGCCTGGTGGCATTCGTCGCAGGAGGACTCCCGACCTCGCAGGCCGGAGGTACGGGATTGGGGACTGAGACCAAAACGGGTAAAAGTTCCTACTATCATTTACTACTGGGGGTTGTGCAAAGGAGATTGATTATTTCTTTTACTACTATGCGCCAGTTGAATCACGCAGCAGACGAGCATATTCACTACCGCCCCTTCCCCTCCAACCCTTCCCGCTGCGGGCTCCAAAGCCGCGGCGCCCGTGCGCAAGGGTGCATAGTGCACCTGGCGACCGTTCCGCTCACTCCGCTTCACCCCCGCTCCCCTTCCCTCACTCCCTACCCACCCCACCTCCCTTTCCACAGCTACGCGCGCGAAAGCCGCGGCGCCCCTGCGCAAGCAGTACATAGTGCACCTGGCGGCGGTGCCGCCGGTGCTCAACTACCGCGGCGGCGTGGCGGGGCTGGCGGCGACCGCGCCGGAGCTAGACGACAACGACCCCGAGAGCAGCCCCACTGACGCGGACGACGACGATAGCGCTCCGATTGATAGTCCAGGTGGCGGTTCAGGTGGCGTTTCAGGTGGCGGTCCGGTTGGCAGTTCAACTGACGGCTCGGGTGTCTCAGGTGGAAATTCAGGCGACATTCCAGGGGGAGGTGCAGGAACCGGGGCCGCAGTAGGAGGAGCGGATTCAGCGGGAGGTCCTTTCCCAACTGGCGGGGCTACCGCCGATGACGCTACAGCTGGCGGCGCTACAACCGACGATTCTACAGCTGGCGACAGCAGTGCTACAAATGTCACGCTTGCTGCAGCAGAGATGCTCCAAGGGCTCAGCGCGGCCCGTCTCGCCACCGTTAGTAGCACATCTGCTGTACCCCCTCGCTTCGGCACAATCACGAAATCGACTTTTGAGGCTCCTCGAAAAGCGATACGGCGGCTGGCGGATCGAATCAAGCGGCGCGCGGACGTGCGGCGGGCGAACGTGAAATCTTTCGTCAACTTTCTGCGGGATTCGCAGCGGCAGTTCTTGCGAAAGAATAACATTTCGCCGTCGCAGATGTTCCAGAGCTACACGTACACGGTTAACGGGTTCGCTGTAACGCTGACGGACGCGGAAGCGAAACGGCTGAAGCAGCACCCTGCCGTGGCATGGATCGAAGAAGACAAACCGGTGAGTTAGAGAGGAGAGAGGAGTGAGTGAAGCGAATAGTTAGGAGCAGAGGAGGAAAGAAGGGGAGTAAACGGGGAAGAAGCGAAGCGAGCGAGGGGGCCGAAGCGGAAGAGAGCCTTTCCGGCCAAGTTTTCTTCGTGCCTCAATAAACTGCTCCATTTCCTAATTTCGTTGTTTGTTTGTTTGTTTGGTTTTTTTTTTTTCTTCTTCTCCTTTTTCTTTTCTGGGCAGGTTCGCGCGCTCACTGTAGACTCGCCGACTTTCTTGAAACTGCCAACGAGCCTGTGGGCGGAAAACGGGGGGCAGAGCCGCGCGGGCGAGGATGTGATTATAGGCGTGGTGGACTCGGGAATATGGCCGGAACACCCTTCTTTCGCAAACAAGGTGGGTGGTACAGGTGTTGTTCCCAGAAAACTTTTTGGAAAGCTGCAACAAAAAAACATTTCCTTCCTGTGCTTATCCTCCCCTATCCTCTCTTCCTTCCCCTTGCCTCCAACCTCACCTCCACCCCCACCCCTCCCCTTTTCCCCATTTCCCCCCCCTTCCCCCTTTCTCCCCTCCCCACTGTACCTCTACCTGTTGCCTCTCCCCCCCCCCCACCCCTTCCCTCAGCCTGCGGGCCCCTACGGCCCGGTCCTGGATCGCTGGTTCGGAGGGTGTGCAGCAACGGCGGACTTCCCGGCCTCGCTGTGCAACAGGGAAAGCTCATCGGCATCCTTCAAACCCCATCTTCCTCCCCCTCCCCTTCCATACCCCCTCCCCTTGCCCTTTCGCCTCCCCCGCACCACTCCCACCCCCCCCCCCCTCCCTCCTTTTCCCTTCTCCCCCCCCTTGCCCGATTCCCTTCTCCCCCGTCTTTGCTCCCCACCTTCAGCCTGCCGATCCTTATGGCCCGGTCCCGGACCGCTGGTTCGGAGGGTGTGCAGCAACAGCGGACTTCCCAGCCTCGCTCTGCAACGGCAAGCTCATTGGCGCCAAGTTTTTCAACAGCGGGTTTCGCAAGTCCGGGCAGAGCGTGGATCCAATCAACGACTTTTCATCTGCCCGGGATGGTGACGGGCACGGCACGTGGTGTGCGGGGTGAGTGCATGCATGGGTGTGGAATAGAGAGTGGTATGATACGGTACGGTATGGTATGGAACGTTACGGTACGGTGCGTGCATGTTATGTTAACAGCAGGAGTGAGTGGTGTGCGGGATAACAGTGACCTTTACCCCATCCCTCACCACCCTTCCCAGCACCATCGCATCCCTCTCCACCCCTCCCAACCCATCAGAGCCGCAGCGGGCAATGCGAACGTGAGTGTGGAGATGAACGGCCGCAACTACGGCACAGCCAGCGGCGTGGCGCCGCGTGCGCGCGTGGCCATGTACAAGGCGCTCTGGGTCGTCAAGGGCGGCGGCGCGTCGGGCACCAACGCGGACATTCGCGCCGCCGTTGATGCCGCTGTGGCGGACGGAGTGGACGTGCTCTCTCTCTCCCTGGGGGGTTCCGTGCCCCAGTACTTCTCTGACATACCTTACATGAATGCCGCCAAGGTGAGAGAATGGAGATAATCCCAAGGGCCCGAGGTTGATGCCGCTGTGGCTGATGGCGTGGGCGTGCTCTCTCTACACGAATGCAGCTAAGGTTAGTGAATGGGGAATCTCGTAAAATGTGGGAGGGACCTGGGATCGGCGTTCGTGGCGCTGGCAGCAGGCAACTCGGGGGCCCCCTTTCCCATGCGCAATCCCCTTTTTACCCCTTCCCAACCCACCCCACCCCACCCCAACCCACCCCACTCCACCCCACTCCACCCCACTCCACCCTCTCAGGCGGGGGTGTTTGTGGCGCTGGCAGCAGGCAACTCGGGGCCGCCCTCTCCCATGCGCGTGCTGGGCACACTCAGCAACGCTGCTCCGTGGTACCTGACAGTGGGAGCAACGTAAGTCTCTTTCTCCACCAACGTGCGCTGAGCTGATAAAAGAATGGGTGTGCTGAGTGTGCTGAAAGTAACACACCCTGGATGCTGGGGACGCTCACAGCATGCTGAGAGAAACACTATTGTGGGAAAGAAACGTTGTGAGGAATGTCACAGTCAGATACTGCATGCTGGGAATGCGAAGTCCCTCCCCTTGTCCCTCCCTCCCTTCATCCCTCCCTCCCCTCATCCCTCCCTCCCCTCATCCCTCCCTTCCCTCATCCCTCCCTCCCCTCATCCCTCCCTTCCCTCATCCCTCCCTCCCCTCATCCCTCCCTCCCCTCATCCCTCCCTTCCCTCATCCCTCCCTCCCCTCATCCCTCCCTCCCCTCATCCCTCCCTCCCCTCATCCCTCCCTCCCTTCGTGCCTCACCCGTTCCTCTGCACCCTCCCCACATTCTCTCTTGTGTGCGATTTTTGAGAATTCTCAAAAATCCCTCCACCCGTTCCTCTGCACCCTCCCCACATTCTCTCTTCCTTACCCTGTAGCACCATTGGTCGGCAAACTTCCCCTCATTTCCCACGTTTTCCCGCCTCCCCACACTTCGCCCCCTCCCCTTCCCCTCCCCTCTCCTCCCGCCCGTTGCTGTATCAACTGCAGCACCATTGGTCGGCAGTACCGGGCAGTGTTGAGCCTTGGAACGGGGTGGAGCTGAGGGGAGTGTGCTTTGGGGGCAACGCGCACACAGCTAGGCAGCAAGGCTCAACCCCCAATTTCTCCCTCTGCACCCTCCCTCCCCTCGCCCCTCTCCTCCTCTCCCTCTCAGCACCATTGGTCGGCAGTACCGGGCAGTGTTGAGCCTTGGGAACGGGGTGGAGCTGAGGGGAGTGAGCTTTGGAGGCAACGCACAGACGGTGAATAAAGTGCTGCTGCCCGCTTCTGCTGCTGTCAAGCCCAGCGCCTCTGCATCCGATGTGAGTCATGAGCCTCTCTTATCATCACAAGTTTTGAGACGTCTCAAAAGTTGGCGCCTCTGCATGCGATGTGAGTCATGAGCCTCTCTTATCATCACAAGTTTTGAGACGTCTCAAAAGTTGGCGCCTCTGCATGCGATGTGAGTCATGAGCCTCTCTTATCATCACAAGTTTTGAGACGTCTCAAAAGTTGGCGCCTCTGCATGCGATGTGAGTCATGAGCCTCTCTTATCATCACAAGTTTTGAGACGTCTCAAAAGTTGGCGCCTCTGCATGCGATGTGAGTCATGAGCCTCTCTTATCATCACAAGTTTTGAGACGTCTCAAAAGTTGGCGCCTCTGCATGCGATGTGAGTCATGAGCCTCTCTTATCATCACAAGTTTTGAGACGTCTCAAAAGTTGGCGCCTCTGCATGCGATGTGAGTCATGAGCCTCTCTTATCATCACAAGTTTTGAGACGTCTCAAAAGTTGGCGCCTCTGCATGCGATGTGAGTCATGAGCCTCTCTTATCATCACAAGTTTTGAGACGTCTCAAAAGTTGGCGCCTCTGCATGCGATGTGAGTCATGAGCCTCTCTTATCATCACAAGTTTTGAGACGTCTCAAAAGTTGGCGCCTCTGCATGCGATGTGAGTCATGTGCCTCTCTTATCATCACAAGTTTTGAGACGTCTCAAAAGTTGGCGCCTCTGCATGCGATGTGAGTCATGTGCCTCTCTTATCATCACAAGTTTTGAGACGTCTCAAAAGTTGGCGCCTCTGCATGCGATGTGAGTCATGTGCCTCTCTTATCACAAGGTGACTCTTAAGTCTTGAGTCGACTCAAGGGTTAACAACGTGCTGCTGCCCGCTGCTGCTGCTGTCAAGCCCGGCGCCTCTGCCGCAGATGTGAGTGTCTTACCCCTTGAAACACACTCTTAGCACCCATGCTTGCTTATGAGTGGACTCACAAGTCACCTACGATCTCAATCACGTGGCTTTACAACGTGTCCTTATCACTTGTGCTTATGTCCTCATCACAGTGTATATCCTACTCACGTGTCAATGTCGTTTCCACATGGCCTTTCCAATTGCACTAGTTTCAATCCTTCTTCCATGTATGCATTAGTGTCCTGATGACACGCGTATATCACATGTCCTCATTGGTTACATGTCCCTCTCACACGCCCTCATCAGTTACATGCCCCTATCACATGCCCTCATCAGTTACATGCCCCTATCACATGTCCTCATTGGTTATATGTCCCTCTCACATGTCCTTTAACGCCTACCACTGCCATTCACATGAACCTTACTCTGATACCACTGCCATTCACATGAACCTTACTCTGATACCACTGCCATTCACATGAACCTTACTCTGATACCACTGCCATTCACATGAACCTTACTCTGATACCACTGCCATTGACTCCGTTACCCCCTTGTGACCACGCAAGCCGCACTATGCGACATCACTGCTATCGACAAATCCAAGCTGACGGGGCGAAACATCGTGTGCACGTTCCAACCATCCTCTATTCTTCCTTCCACTTGTTTGTACCCTTTTCCCCCTTTCTATGCACCCAGGCCGCACTATGCGACATCACTGCTATCGACAAATCCAAGCTGGCGGGCCGAATCGTCGTGTGCACGTTCCAGCCATCAGCCTCCAAGCCTGCAGGAATCCCCATCAACGCTCTAGCCGCCTACAAGGCAGCAGCGCTCGTCATCCTTAGTGGCTCACCCGATACAGACAACATGGCCATGCTCCCTTTCACCGAGCTGCCCCTCCTCTACCTCACCAACGCCCAGGGCGGGCAGGTGAAAAACTACCTGCAGCAGACGGCCAATCCCGTGGCGACACTTGGTGAAGTCATCACCACAAATTCCTCCAATGCTCCCCAAATGGCAAGTTTTTCTTCCACAGGACCCACCATAAACCCCTCCCTCTTCCCAATTCCGTCATTCCTCCCAACCAACGACATCTTAAAGCCGGACATCGTAGGCCCGGGGTTCCAGCTCTGGTCGTCTTACCGAGGCAAGAGCGCAGCTTCGGCAGCGACCGACCCTCCCACATTCAACTGCATTTCGGGTACATCCATGGCTACACCACATCTTGCCGGAATTGCGGCATTATTAATCCAGAAGAATCCAGGCTGGACGCCCGCGCAGGTGATGTCAGCAATGATGACTACAGCATCTACAGTAAACAACGCCGGCCAGCCAATCAAACGCGCAAATGGGGACGTCGCTACCCCGTGGGATTACGGCTCGGGGCAAGTGGACCCGTCGAGGATCTTAAACCCCGGGTTGACTTTAACCTCGGGCTTTAATGATTATGTGAATTTCCTCGCGAGCCGGAATTTCAAGCAGACCAAGCACGCCTTTCCGGGGCTCAAGGGGATTCGGGCGCGCAAGCCGTGGAATCTCAACCGTCCAACGATCTCGATCTCACGGCTGACGGTCCGCGGGAGGAAGATTGTGCGCACGGTTCGGAACGTGTTTGACCAGCCGTCGACGTACACTGTGAAGGTTCGGGTGCCGTCAGACGTGCAGGTTCGGGTGTCGCCAAGCCAGTTTACCGTTGGTCCGGGAGAGGTGCAGCGGATCACGATGATTCTTAAGGCGAAGAAAGTTGTGAGGTCGTTCCTGTTTGGATCGCTTAGGCTGGTGGATGAGCACGGGCATGCTGTTAATATGCCTATTGCACTGCGTACGGTGTTATTCTGAGTGCTGGGAGCAGTGTTGTGCGGTGTTGATGGCGGAAGGAGCATGTGGAGACGGCACAGCGGAAGGGAAGGAGTGACAGGCTGGCAGCCTTGTTGGGTGGTGGAAGGAGTATGTGGTAGACATCGCAGCGCAAGGTGGCATGGCAGTATGGTATGGAGCTTGGGAAGTTCAGGAGGAGGTGGTAAGGAAATGCTGGTCCAAAGTGTGTCAAATAAGGTGATGGGAGGTAGATGGTAGAAGACCTGGAATCCATTCAGGGTACTTTTGCCATCTCCATGTGCAATGAGCACCCTTTATACCGCACGTAACTTTTAAAGCTGCTTGTACTGACAATTTGTAAGGTACATGTTTATATTGAATCACAATGCAAAAAGGGTGAAAAAAGAATGCAAGTATTCTCTGATTGTGTTTGTAAAATTTCTGTTTGTCTAAAGTTTTGGACAGATTTTGTGAGTCAGGATGCATGTCCATGGCTCGTGCGAACCCTGGCGATGGACACATTTCGCTTGTCAGAATGGCTCAACTCAGAACCACGAGACTCTTTCCCTGATTGTCGTGTTACCACGTCGTTTCGCCATCGTCAGTCGATAGCACTCAGTGTTCGCCCAAGCGTCGGTGGGTTTTCGTGCAGTTCGCGTCGCACGTCCCTCCTTCCCCAAACCAACCTCGGTGCGAGCGGCACCGCCCTGTAAATGTCTTCAGATTTCTGGGGCGCCCAGAAATTCGCCCCAAATAGACCTCCCCTCCCCACAACAAATGTCCAGGCCAGACAAAAAGTGGCATGTCGCAACTTCGCAAGCAAAAGCAGACCAAGAGCTAAGCAAACAGCACCGACAGTGCGACACACTCCCAGAACTATATTCTAACTCGAATCCATTCGCAGCTCCAGGCTTCTATTTCTCGTCTTTCGGCGGAATCTCGTCGTACTGTCATCTCGTCGCACGGTCGTCTCGTCGCACGGTCTCACCCTCCCAAATCCGCTCCAACTGTGGAGCACAGTTCTGTCGTAGGTGGTTTAGCTCGAAATCCTGTCATTGGCAGACTGCGTCTCGCTTTATCTCAGCAGGCAAGCACCATTGAATTCAGACATGCAGCTGCAAGCCTCTCTTGGCCCTCCGTCTCCATATCGCGATGTCCATACGCCTGTCGCACGACTTCTCTTTGCAATAAGTGGATTACACTGGCTGTAGATACAACCTGAGATTGAACGCGATGCCCCGTCGTTACGTCGCGAGCCGCAGATGGCTGCGCCGCGACACTTTTGAGAAGCTGCGAATGTTTTTTGAGAATTCTCAAAAAACACACGTCGTGAGCCCCAGATGGCTGTATCGTGGTCCGTTTGAGAAGTCTCGGAGTCTTCTTCGCGTCCCCCAGCTGCACGTCGTCTGCCTCGCATTACTCCTAGTCGCTCCTTCGAGTCCCGCTGCTGACCGCTCATCCCAAGGTATAGGGAGAATCGAACATCACATACAGTCGCGTCGCCTAGTTTCCGGATATTCTCTTCCGGGTTTTTCCTTCACCCTTGCGGCTCCGCTCATTACGCGATTCTGCACACACTTCCTGAATCAACCCGATTCATCCATTCGGATTGGCTCGAATCGCCATCCCCGGTTCGTATGAGTCAGCCGGATTTCTAACATCCCTCCCCGCCACACTCGTGATTTTCCCTCCCCTGTGACCCTTCTCACTCCACCGTAATTTATCCCTTCCGCGCACTCCCACGTATGGGCAGGATCAGGAGGAGTACGAGCAGCAGCAGCAGCAGCAGCAGCAGAAGGAGCAGAGGGAGTAGACGCAGAAGCAGCAGCAGGTGCAGCAGGGGGCGGCATTCGGCGAGGGTACCTGGTGCATCTGCGCAACGCTCCTCCTGTTCTCAATTACCACGGCGGAATCCCGGGGATTCCCGCGACCGCTCCGCCGGACGACGATAGCGTAGGCGAAATAGACGGCACAGTTAGCGATATAAGCGATGGTAACCAAGAATCTGCGACAGATTTTTCTGTCGCCGGAGAAACTGACACTGCGGCGAGAGAGGAGAGTGCAACAGCGGGAAGAAATCTGCGTGGAGGGTTGGGTGAATCTCAAGCAACGCAACCACAACGGTTGAGAGGGGCGAGAGGAGGTTCTGCGATAAATCGTCTCGTGGGTCGCCTTCGCTCCAGACGGCCAGACGTTCGCTCACCAAACGTGCGAGCTTTCGTCAGGTTCTTACGAAATTCGCAACGACGGTTATTAGCGGATATTCGGATTCCCGCTTCTGCGGTGTTGCACGGTTACACTTACACGCTAAACGGACTTGCTGTATCCCTGACGAAAGCGGAGGCACGTCGGCTGAAGCGGCATCCCGCCGTGGCTTCTGTAGAGGAGGACCGATTGGTAAGTACACGAATGCACGTGTACACTAGAAATTATTCACCACTAGAAAGAAATATTGCTTGTGGAAATCACAGATATGCTGTTTGGGTGTATGGTTACACTTCTTGGGAAGTTTTCTTTTCCTGTTGCAGATTCGTGGCCTCACCGTGGACTCGCCAACTTTTCTGAAGCTGCCCGACAGCCTGTGGGCAGCAAATGGCGGGCAGAGCCGGGCAGGCGAGGATGTGATTATAGGCGTGGTGGACTCTGGGATATGGCCGGAGCACCCTTCATTTGCAGATGATGTAAGTTCAGCGCAATAATAGATTTCATTATGCGCACCCACCAACACATCCAACTCCCACACGCCTTTCCACCACCTGTTCTGTTCCCTCCCTCCTCTCCTCATCCTATGGCCCTCGCACTTCCTTGACCCCCCTCGCACTTCCTTGACCCCCCTCGATCTTCCCGCCCCCTCCTCCTCCCTCCTCCGCCCCCCCCTCCAGTCATCAGACCCGTACGGCCCACCACCGAGTAACTGGCGGGGAGGGTGTAACGACACAGTAACGGACGATTTCCCCGAGGCAGCGTGTAACGAAAAGCTGGTGGGGGCGCGCTCGACCTGACTCCATCCTTTCTCCATTCCCCCTTCCCCACCTCCATCCCGTCCAGCCATCAGACCCGTACGGTCCGCCCCTTCCGGTTGGCGGGGCGGCTGCACAGTAACGGACGATTTCCCCGAAGCAGCGTGTAACGAAAAACTGGTGGGGGCTCTTTTGGTCTGACTCCCTCCTCTTTCTCTTCCCCAGCCATCAGACCCGTACGGCCCGCCCCCTTCCGGTTGGCGGGGCGGCTGCACAGTAACGGACGATTTCCCTGAAACAGTGTGCAACAGCAAGCTGGTGGGGGCGCGGTACTTTGTGGCGGGGCTGCTGGCCAATCAGGGCAGCATTTCCGAGTCCTTGGATTTCATGTCGCCGCGGGATGGCAATGGGCATGGCTCGTGGTGTGCAGGGTGAGTGGTGTGCGGGGTGAGTGGTGTGCGGGGTGAGTGCGTAGATGCACGTGGGTGAATGGCATGGTATGGTACAATACGGTACGGTCTACTGTGGTACGGTGCGGTCTAGTGTGGTACGGTGTGTTAACAGCAAGGTATCGTGAACGTGAGTGTGGTGGAGATGAACGGCCAATTCGCTCTTCCCCATACACCACCATTCCCTCCTGTCCGGTGAGGGACTCCTCCCCTGTCCCCTTCAAATGTCAACTTTTGCGACGCCTCAAAAGTCTTCCCCATACACCACCACTCCCTTTCCTGTCCGCCTTCAAATGTCATCAGAGCTGCAGCGGGCAACGCGAATTGTAAGCGTGGTGATGAGCAGCCGCAGCTGCCACCTCAATCCCTATACAGCATCATCTCACCCCTCTCCACCCCTCCCAAACCTACAGAGCCGCAGCAGGGAACGCGAATGTGAGTGTGGAGATGCATGGCCGCAACTATGGCACAGCAAGCGGTGTGGCACCCCGGGCGCGCATCGCCATGTACAAGGCGCTCTGGCGCATGGCGGACGGCGGGGCGGCCGGCATGGACTCAGATATCCGGGCGGCAGTGGATACTGCCGTGGCAGACGGCGTGGATGTGTTGTCGCTGTCGCTGGGGGGAAGCATTCCGAATTACTTCTCCGATATTGCCTACCTGAATGCTGTCAAGGTGAGATGGTGTTACAGGGGGAAGGAAAAAGAGGGGATAAGGTGGGGGGGGGGGAGAGGGGAGGGGGAGGGAGTGGACACTGCTGTGGCGGGCGGCGTGGATGTGCTATCGCTGTCACATGGGGGAAGGGGAGGGAGCTGAGGGGATAGAAGGGGGAAGGGCTGTGGCGGACAGCGTGGATGTGCTCTCGCTGTCGCTGTCGCTGGGATGCTCCTGAATTACTTCTCTGATATTGCATACCCGAATGCTGCCAAGGTAGCTTTTGAGTCCACCAGTGTTTACCACGTTTGAGTGACAATGACTGGGAATCTTCATCTGTTGACAATGACTGAATGTCTGGGATTATTATTACTATTATTGTTGTTGTTGTCGTCGTCGACGTCGTTGTTGTTAGGGCGTGTCCCAGTTCGGGTCAAGAGTACTGTACATGTCATCCGAACTTCTTGGACGACCAATAGGGTGCATTTCAGCTCCACTACTCGAATACCATTGGTCTTCTAAGAAACTCGGATGACCCCAACTGATTCTTGACCCGAACTGGGACACGCCCTTATTATTACCATTACAACTACCATCACTGTTATTACTAGTACTACTACTCATATTAATTATTCCACTCTATCAACCATGACACGACCCCACCGATGCTCCGCCCCTTCATTCCCCTACCGTAACACAGGCAGGAGTATTCGTGGCGATGGCAGCAGGAAACTCCGGCGCACCTTCCTCCTCCAAGGCTGTGGGCACCATAAGCAACGCATCGCCGTGGTACCTCACCGTTGGCGCCAGGTGAGCCTTCTTCTCTCTTCCTTTAAAGCCCATCTTGAGCTCCACATTGCAGGGCAAAGGCCTGCTTTCACTGCGTCTCTCATCTCCTCTGTCAAGGCCGTGGGCACCATAAGCAATGCGTCGCTGTGATACCTCACCGTTGGCGCCAGGTGAGGCTTTTTCTCTACTTCCCCACGACCCACCTTGAGCCGCATATTGCAGTGTGAAGAGGGGCCTTGAGTGCGTCTCCTCCAAAGCTGTGGGCACCATAAGCAATGCGTCGCCGTGGTACCTCACCGTTGGGGCCAGGTGAGCCGTCTTCCCCCAGCACTGTTACATGAATGATTTATTTATATAAATATTGGTCTTATTAATACTACCATAACGATTAGAGTGTTTTTTGTTATGGTTCGTGTTGTTGTTATTATTTGTAATTGGATAACTAATTTCCTGATCACCACCCATTTCTCCTCTCCCCTCTCCCCCCCCCCCCCACCACTCTGTGGCAGCACCATGGGCCAAGACTTCATGGCCAATCTCACTCTCACCGCTCTTTCCAACACCACCACCACCGCTACAGCCACTCCCGCCACAACTTCTGCCACCGCTACAACCGCTGCCGCCTCTCCTGTCGCTCCTGCCCCTGCCTCTGCTGCTTCTCCTGCCCCTGATTCCGACCCTGCCCCTTCTTCTGCCCCTGCCCCTGCCTCTCCTGCTGCTACCTCTGCTTCCAAACCTGCCAGCCCCTCGTTTGAGATTCCTTTCACCGAGAGTCTTTCGACCGAGAGTCTTTCGATTGCTGCGGAGGAGGCAGGGGGGTCGACACTTGTGGTGGCGGGGTGGAGCTTCGGAGGCACGCCCCTCACAGTCGGTCTGCCGGTTCTAGATGCCAGGGATGCTGCTGCTGATGGTGCCAGCCAATCTCTGGTGAGTGCTAGCGCTTGTGTGTGTGTGGAGGAGGCAGGGAGGGCAGCAATTGTGTTCTCGGGGTGGAGCTTTGGAGCCACGCCCCTCACAACTAATCTTTCTGGTGCTAGATGCGACGGATGCTGCTGCCAGTGGTGCCAGCCAATCCCTGGTGAAGTGCTTTGACAGGGAGCCATTATTACCTGAAGCATCAGAGGAGTCAGACAGAGCTGTCAAGAGAGGAAAGGTGAGCAGCACGGGTGAGATTGCCAGGTGGAGCCTTGGAGGCTTTTGAGGCACCGCAAATGTCCCCTCACAGCTAATCTGCCGGTGCTTGATGCAAGGAAGGTTGATTTCAAGAATTCTCAAAATCAACTTTTAGAGAAACCTCTTTTAACCCCTGTACTCACCCCCCTCTATTCCTTCCTTTTGTCACAGGCCGGCCAGTGCCATGCTCCCAGGCGTCAACGCGTCTCTCACCCTCAACACGCTCCTCCTCTGTGCTGTCTCCTACCGTCCGCTCGCCGACGTTCTCTTGGACGCGTCCACCCTTCGCCCCGCCCGCTGCTCTCGTGCTTCTTCTGGGAGCTAATGGCACACCCCTTACCCACCTCCCTCCCCCCCCCCCCCTTACTTCCTTAAACGCAGGCCAGCCAGTGCCATGCTCCCAGCATCAACGCGTCTCTCACCCTCAACACCCTCCTCCTCTGCTCTCACTCCTCTCGACCGCTCGCCGACGTGCTCCTGGACGCCTCCACCCTTCGCCCAGCTGCCCTCGTGCTGCTGGGAGCTTCCGACACGCCTCCCCGCCTGCCCTACACGCGCATGTCTGTCATTTACCTCAAGGCTTCCGACGCTTCTGCTCTCAGAAGCTTCCTGGGAAGGACCACAAGGTACGGTGAACCTCCCCTTTCTCTCTCCTCTCGCCTTCTCACCGTCCTCCTTTCGCTCTCCTGGATGCCTCCACCCTTCGCCCTGCTTTTGAGAATTCTCAAAAGTCCCTTCGCCCTGCTGCCCTGGTGCTTCCGGGGGCTACCAACACACCTTCCCGTCTTCCCCCCTGCCCTACACGCGCCTAACTGTCCTCTATTTCAAGGCTTCTGATGACACTACTCTCCAACAATTGCCTCTTTCTCTCCAAAGGTCCCCCAGTCAACCCCACCACAGCCACCACCCTCAACCCGCTATCCATTCCCCCTTACGCTTTCTTTGCTCCCCTTCCCTCTCCTTCTCCCCCCATCCCCAGCCACCAGGCGTCTTTGTCCCAGCCCTACACCGCCTCCACCTCCCCAGCCCCTGCCATCGCCTCTTTCTCCTCCACAGGCCCCCCCGTAAACCCCACCACCCCCTCCTCCTCTCTCCCTCCCTACCTCCCAACCAACAACATCCTCAAACCTGACATCGTAGGCCCGGGGTACCAGCTCTGGGCGGCCTACCGAGGCTCCAGCGCAGGCTCGGGAGGAGCAGCCTCGGGCCCGCCCTCGTTCGGGCTGCTGTCAGGAACCTCCATGTCTACACCTCAGCTCGCGGGAATCGCGGCGCTTATAATACAAGATAAACCGGATTGGACGCCGGCGCAAATAATGTCAGCCATAATGACTACAGCGAGTACAGAAAACAACCAAGGGGGAGGGATTAAGAAGCCAAATGGGAACGATGCAACGTGGTGGGATATGGGAGCAGGGCATGTGAATGCTGCTAGGGTGCTGGATCCTGGGCTGACTTTCAATGCGGGGTATGGTGATTATGTAAGCTTTCTGGCCGGCAGGAGCATGGCAGAGACGGCACGTGTGCTGAATGTTGGAAAGAAGAGGGGCGGGAAAAAAAGGGGGCACAGCCGTAGCAGCCGAAGTGGTGGCAGCAGCACTCTCACCAGCACCGGTGCCAGCACCAGCACCGGCAGAGGTGAAAGTGCCAGCAGGAGAGACAGCAGCAGCAGCACCAACAGCAGCATTGACAGTGGTAGTTGGGGCGGCAGCAGCAGTTTCAGCGGTAACAGCAGCAGCAACAGCTATTCCAGCAGCAGCGGCGGCAACAGCAGCGGTAGTAGAACAGTTAAGCAGACTTCAACAGCCAAGAAGCAAAGGTGGTGGCAGTGGCAGTGGTGGAGATGGGCACAGAGCGGTGCCGGTAAAAAGACATCCACCATCCGTTCCATCCCAGCGACGCATCTCAACCGTCCATCCATCTCAGTTTCTCAGCTTCAAGGGACAACTAACATCCCGAGAACAGTTACCAATGTGTACAATGCCACGTCAGCGTACCAAGCCACGGTTACATCTCCTGTTGGCGTGGACGTTCATGTGATCCCGGACCAGTTTACGATTGGTCCGGGGCAGTCGAAGAGGTTCGTGGTTCGGCTGCAGCCAAATGGGGAGGCAGCGGAGGCTTGGGAGAGGTTCGGGTTTGGTTCGGTGAGATGGGAGGATGAGCATGGGCATGTGGTGATCATGCCTTTAGTCACATGGGTGAGTGCTTGAAGCTACTGAGGTGGAGAAAGAGGAGGATGTTTCAGAATGATGGCAGGAGATGAGTTATGAGGCGCCTCAAAAGGTGGAGTAAGAGGAGGCGGAGCAGGAGAAAGAGGGGTTGTTTCAAAGAAATGCTGCATGCAGTATCGTTCCCGATGGGCTGGTTTCAACTCCCACTACCGAGTGTGGAATTCACTCAGGGTGATGTATTCGGATTGGAGTTTTTTGCCCAGCCCAACATGCTTTGCATGAAATTATATGCAAGTACCATACTACAGTGGCAGAATTTTACAAAGCAGTGACTACCGTATGAGGTAATGTATCAAGGTACAATAAGGGCTTGCTGCAAATCAAACTCCTCGTTTTTTAGGCAAAAAGACAGGAAGCTATGTACACATGACCAGTGTAACGAATCTCATGCATATACAGTGAGCTTTATGGTGAAACCCCATATGCACATTAACGGACACTGTTGCTCGGCATGGCATGAGATGGCAAGGAACAACATGGCATGGCATCATGGCAGGAGACGAGACGTGAGAACTACGAAATACAGCATGCCGAGGCTTGAGTTGAGTCACAGACAGAACACCGGATTACTCCGCATGCTGCTCTTGCGGCCAGCCGGCATCGGAGGGTGAAATCTGCAATGAGTGAGAAGTGGTCGCTGGGCCAGCAGCGAGTGGGCATGGCAAGGCACGATGGAGGGTGAAGTGGAAATGTGCATGCTTGGACACGTGCTACTGCTGCTTTGGTCGGCATCGGAGGGTAAACTCTGCAACGAGGGAGAAATGGTCGCTGGGCCAACGGCGAGTGGGCATGGCGCCGTTGTGGGCAAAGTGGGACACTGGAAGCACGTCTAACACCCGCTGCACCTCAAGCTCGTGGGTGTGCCTGGTGGTGGGGGAGGAAGGGTTGAAAAGAATGAAGTTCAGGGACATGTGAGTCGCCTGTATTAGTCTCCTTGTGTGGGCCCACCAGATGTAACCCACGCTCACCAGATGTAACCCACGCTCACCAAATGTGACCCACGGTCACCAGATGTAACCCATTCCAACTAACCGACGCTCACCAGATGTAACCCACGCTCACCAGATGTAACCCACGCTCACCAGATGTAATCCACGCTCACCAGATGTAATCCATGCTCACCAGATGTAACCCTTGCTCACCAGATGTAGCCCACGCTCACCAGATGTAATCCACGCTCACCAGATGTAATCCACGCTCACCAGATGTAATCCACGGTTCCACAGAAGTTCGCATGGAATGACGTCAGCAACGGCTCTCCCTTGGGGCATGCGTGACGATTCTCAGTCTGCCAGAACATGAAAATGTCAGCAACCAGAGCGATGATGTCAACAAACAAAACGATGATGTCAGCAAGCAGAATGACGATGTCAGCAAACAGAATGATGGCACAAGCAAGATGGGTGATAGTGTCAGCATGCAAAGCAACAGGGCATGCGCATGAGCCGAACCGAAGTGCAGAAAGGAAAATACTTCTTGTATGCGTTATTTGAGTCATGTCAAAATACACCTACAGTATCAAATAACGAAACTGCAGGAGAGGAAAGTGCATGTGTGAACAACAAACTCCTGAACTAAAGTTTACGAGGATAAAGTGCATGAATATGTGGCTGTGACTTCTGAGTCGACTCAAAAGTCCCCTGAACTGAAGCTCAAGAGGGAAAAGCGCATGAGTATGTGTATGCGGCTGTGTGAATGAACGCGCCCGAAGGGGAAAAGCTAGACCCACCGGAGCTTGGGAATACGCGCTCTTGAGTTTCAGAGGGTGTTTCACAAGAGTACCCCCTCCATCACTCCCTGTTGCAATCTTTAGCTCCTCATAGGACCACCCCCCTGTTCCTCCCCTCCCTCTCACTGCTCCTCCCATCCCCCCCATCCCTCTTACTCCTCCCATCCCTCCCATCCCCCCCATCCCTCCTACTCCTCCCATCCCTCCCCATCCAAATCGTCCCTCTTGCAGCGCAAACGTGCTTCCCCCCCAACCACTGCCATCGCTGCTCAACCCTGCCAACTCCTCATTCCCGCTCGCATCGACACCCACTCTCTGCCTTTTCGCCTCTGAAATAGACACGAAACTGCCACATGGCGTCGCTCCATTGGCCACTCCCTCTGCTGTGATGCTGCTGGTGCTACTAATGGTGGTGGCAGTGGTGGCAGTGGTGGTGGTTATGGTCTCAGCAGCACCGAATTGCTCTGCTGACCTGGGAGGGAGGAACACAGCAACAGCAACACAAACTGGGGTTTGAAGTGGTGGCAATGGTGGTGGCAGTTGTGGCAGTGGTGGCAGTGGTGGCAGTGGTGGTGGTTGTGGTTATGGTCTCGGCAGCACTGGATTGTTCTGCCGACCTGGGAGGGAGGAGAACAGCAACAGCAACACAAACTGGGTTTTGAAAATATATTGTTTTGAGTCGACTCAAAACTGGGGTTTGAAGAATTTTTAAAACGGTCAATTTCCTTCTCCTTCAATTATGCAACAATATACTGCCTTGCCCTTGACAGCAGTGTATGTTTTTTTGAGAATTCTTTAAATGGTCAATTTTCTTCTCCTTCAATTATGCAACAATATATTGCCTTGCCCTTGATAGCAGTGGAAGCAACTTCAAAAGCAACTGCATTGTGGTTGTGTGCTGAACCTGAAATATAGCAACGGATGCCATATACATACCATTGCTGACTCAAGTGGGAAGCTGATTGGAACCGAACTTGCTGCTGCCCCTCCCCTCCCTCCAGCTGCCCTGATACCCTTCGCCGATCAGTGAGAGCCAGATCCAACTGCAAGGCACGGTGGATGGGAGTAGGAGCAAAGGTGGAAGGGTGAAGGAGCAGGATGAGAAATAAAACAGCTGCTGCCCCTCCCCTCCCCTCCCCTTTCTCCAGCTGCCCTGATATGATACCCTTGGGCGATCAGTGAGAGCCAGATCCAACTGCAAGGCAGGACGGGTGGTGGGTGAAGGATGCAGGTGAACAGGTGGAAAAGTTCAACAGAGGCAAAGGAAAACTGCAGGGTAAATCACCCAAACATATTTTAGAGTGTAATGAGTCACCGTGGCATATGTGGACACGGTTTTGGTCAAACAAGGAACTGGAAACAACATCAGAAAAAGAAAGGCAAATATAGCACAATAACACATCCGCATCCTCACCAGAATTTAATAGTCAGCATTTGATAAGCCTACCTGTGATGAAGCAATGAAGTCATAGAGTGCACTCTGTAGTGACAAGAAAAACACACACAGACAGTGCAGCACACAAGGGATACAAAACTAAAAGAAAAACAGAGTTAATTGCAGCTCCGTACGATGGCATGGATTGAAAACAAGACGTGCACAAATCCAGACAGTACAGCACATGCGGAGAAGAAGCAAGAGGAAGTAACAAGAGGGAAAACGGATTGAGATTGCAGCTCCGCACAATGGCTTGGACAAGACGAGCACAAATGGGAAACGGAGGAGGAGCATGAATGAGATTAGTGATTGGATGAACCTTCGTGTGGACTCTGGTGTTGACTTGCGTTGACTTGCATTGACTTGCAGTAACTTGTCGTGACCTCGATTGAACTTACAGCAGGAGTGGCGTTGTAATCCTCGCACACCACAACTGGGCAGCTTCCGTGCTTCTCGAATAGCTGGTGGCGGCAGACAGGAGCCGAGACATTTGTGGTACTTCTGCACTCTCATGGACTTGTACTAACTCCCATTGACTTGGGCTGGTTTGGCTTCTACCATACATACTCACCGCAGGAGTGGCGTTGAAGTCTCCGCACACCACCACAGGGCAGCTTCCGTGCTTCTCAGATAGCTGATGGGCGGCCGACAGGAGCCGGGACATCTGAGCCAGCTTGATGTCTCCTCGATTCGGGTTGAAGAGCACGTGGATGTTGGCCAGGACGAGAAGGCTGAAAGTTGGGCAAAGGAGAAGGTGGGGAAGAAGGGGGGGGGGGGGGGGGGGGGGGGGGGAGGTGGGTTGGGAATGAGGGAGTGGAAACGAAGAGAAGCCGGGACAGCTGTGCCAAATGATGTCTCCTCGCTTTGGGTTGAAGAGGGCGTGAATGTTGGCGAGGACGAGACAACTGTGATTGGGGAGTTGGAATGGGTAAAGGGGGAAGGTGTGGGGTGGATGACGGTGATGAGGGTCTCAGAGTGGTGTAATGTGTCCACGCTTGGGGTTGAAGAGCATGTGAATGTTGGCGAGGACGAGACAACTGGGGGATGGGGAGTTGGAGGGGGGTGAGGGGGGGGGAGGAATGGTGGGGAAGGATAAAGCAAATAGAGCGGGTTGCACCAGGACAGCTGAGCCAGCTTGATGTCGCCATGCTTGGGGTTGAAGAGGACGTGAATGTTGGGGTGAACAACGAAGGATGAACAATACCTAAGAAGCGGTTTGGTGAAATCATGCGGAGGTTGGAGTGTTGGTGAATGAGTGGCCCAGCATGGTTCAGTGACCCTTAAAATATTCCTCATCCGCGTGTTTCCAACTCGTGATGAACTCACCAGGGTTCACTGACCCATGCTGAGCCACCCATCCACCAACACTTCAGCCATTCCATGATTTCACCGAACCACTCCTCAGGTATTGTTCATCCTCCGCTGTCCACTCTGTCAACTAGGCGAGGGGAAGAGCTCAGCTGACTGACTTTTCGTTCTATCTGCTATTCTCTTCTTCTGTCTCTCCTTCCAGTTCCTCGACTCCTTCCCCCCCTCTTGTTTTCGAGAATTCTCAAAAGTAACGAGTACTGCTACCAGGTGCAAAGGTGCAAAAAGTCACCTGCTATTCTCTTCATCCCTCTCTTCTCCTTCTTCTAGTTCCTCGACTCCTTCCCCTTCCTTGTTTTCTCCAATTAACTGGTTAAATGAAGCGGGCCACAGTGAGGTCATATGGGGAGGAAGAGGCGGGTTTTGGGCCAAGGAAACAAAGAAACAACTTGACAGCTTTCGATAGACCAAGTCAACCAGAGTCGACAAATTCATTCCTTACCAACAAGGTGCCCATAGCTGCAAATTTGATAAATTCAGAGTCAACACAGGACCACCTTCAGTGCAAATGTGGGGCGGGGATGCAGAGGAAGGGAGAGACGAAACGTAGAGCTTCTTAACAGTCAACAAATGCATCCAGGGTACCTTGAGCACAGTGAGCAGGGCAACATTGTCTCTGAGGCCCAAAGCTGCAAACTCGATGGACTGGAAGCCAACACAGGACCACCTCTTGGTATTCCAGAAGTTAGCGCAGCCATCCTTGTTGCCTCTTGTGCGACACTGGCAGGGGCACACAGAGAGACACACGATGCGCTACGTGCAGGGGCATGGGCACACACACGTTTTGAGAGGTCTCAAAACGCGCAGCCATCCTTGTTGCCTCCCGTGCGACACTGGAAGGAAAAAAATGGAAATGGAAAGAGTGAGACGCACATGCATGGGCACACATACGCGCATGGGAACACGCACACGCAAACAGCTCGCCTCACAAGTAACTATTGAATAAAGCTAGATCAAAATGAATCACAAGAAATCAAATATCATCAGCGTGACTGGAAGATGCCGTAGCCCAGCTTGCTTTTTGAGTCGACTCAAAAATCACAACGAATATAATCAGCACACCTGGAAAATGCTATCGTAACCCAGCTTGTTCACTGCTCCACATAGATCGGCATGGTTGTCCACCTCCTGTCAGCCATGCAATGCAATGGAAGCAACGCATGGACAGCAAAAGTACATCAATCAGCATTCTCCTGGATTCTGTTCAAGAATTTTACATCATCAACTCCCCAACCCATCGGCCTGTACAGAGAGCATTCGTTTTGTAGAATTCTCAGAAGCGTTCTTACAGTCCAGTTCAAAGCCACCGAACCCTTTTTTTAAGTCGATTAAAAAAGGCAGTCCAGTTCAAAGCCCACTGATCCCTGAATCCTGCACTCGAAAACCCGTGCCTCCGCTGGTTCCAGTGCAGCACGCTTCTGGGCACCCCGGGATAGAGCTCTCAGGCAAACTTGGCGGTGGGCAAGTGTACAGCACTGTGGCCTATGGCGCATCTATTCACGGCCGAATCTCACTAGAAAGACCCGACTAAAACCCGGAACCTGGACTGCCATGCGACCTGTAAGCAGATGAGATCAGGGAGCTTGCTGTTTGATCTCCTTCACGATGCCGTGCCTCCGGTGGTTCCAATGCAGCACGCCTTTGGGTTGGGCACCACGGGGTAGAGCCCACGGACGAACTCAAACTCCCGAGCCCTGAACCTTTGAACCCTTAAGAGCCTAAACCTCGAATCGAAACCCTACCTGCAGGCATATGAGATCAGGCGAGTGCTGCTTGATCTCCTTCACGATGCCGTGCCTCCTCTGGTTCCAATGCAGCACGCCCCGGGCACCCCCGGGTAGAGCTCTCCCTAACCTTGAACCCTGAACCCTACCTGTAAGCAGATGAGGTCAGGAGCATGCTGCTTGATCTCCTTCACGATCCCCTGCCTCCTCTGGTTCCAATGCAGCACGCCCCTGGGCACCCCGGGGTAGAGCTCGCGGGCGAACTTGGCAGCATGGCAGGACGCCAGTACGTTGTACGACATCACACTCACCCTCACACTCACACTCACACTCTCGCCCCCTGCACATGCATGCCCCTCTCTATGTGCCGCCTCAGCATGAGTGTCGGTGTGTGCGTCCGTGTTTCTCTCTGCATGCATGCCTGCATGCGCCCCTGCATGCGCCCCTGCTCTAGTACATCCGCCAGTGCGCGCGTTCCCCTCCCCAGCCCCTTGCCCACCCTCCCCGCACCTGATCCACTGCCTCTTCTCCTCCCCTCCCCTCCCACCCCCTCCTCCCCACTTTCCTCTCCCACCCTCCCCCCTCCATCTCCCATTCTCCCCTTCCCCTTCTCCCCTGCCCCTGCCAGAATTCCAACCGCCTTGGGTCCCTTCACTTCCCCCCTCTCTTCCCCCCCATCCTCCCCCCCATCCTCCTCTCCCTCTTTCTCCCTCTCGTCCTCCGCCCCATCTGCCCCCTCCTTCTCTTTCTCTCCATACACCCTGCCCCCTTTGCCCTCTTCCCCTTCCGTCCCCTCTTCCTCTTCCCCCCCTCCTCCGCCCCTTCCTCCCCCTCCTGCTCCGCTGCCGAACTTAGAGACTAGGCCTGGAGTTGAAACTAGAGGCAACCCCACACCTTGGGAATTTCCTTGAAGGTTCGTAGAAAGCTGCTGAAAGGAATTTGAGAGTGAATTCGCAGATGAGACACCGAGAAACGGGGAGGGGAGGGGCGCGAGGTGAGAAGGGGGAAACGCGGAGCGGAATTGATGAAGCGCGGTGTGGGCAGGGGGAAGCGCGGAGAGGGATTGGGGAAGCGCGGAGAGGGATTGGAGAAGCGCGGAGTGGGCAGGGGGAAGCGCGGAAAGGGGTTGGGGAAGCGCGGAGTGGGTAGCGGGGAACCCGGAGAGGGATTGGGGAAGCGCGGAGTGGGCAGGGGGAACCGCGGAGAGGTATTGGGGAATTGCGGCGTGGGAGAAACGACAGCTGTGGCCGAATCGGCAACCGGCGGGGGAGAGGAAACTGTAGCACACCGGCGCAGATGGATTCGGCGGAAGCGCAGACGGATTTAAGGAAGGCGGAGGGATAGCCGATCCGTTCCATCCGCCGCCGCCGCCGCCGCCGCCGTTGACGCTGCTGTGATATCCCCTATTCGACATGGCGGGCCGCGATACAAGCACAGAGAGAAGCCCGATCGGCCCGCTAATCGGCGTCAGACGCGGGGAACGGGAGGGCGGCAGAGAAAGCGGATTCAAGAGGGAACGTGAGGCTAGATATTTGGCGGTGATGGTGACGCTGAGCACGTGGGCAGTGGTGGTGAAACTCAGAGCGCGAATGGCGGGAAAACAAATCATCTGAATCTCAAGATACATTTGTTAACAAAAATATTAATAGCTTGAGCTGGACGTGCCCCCGTAGCTCAGTTGGTTAGAGCGTTGGTCTTATGAGCCGAAGGTCGCGGGTTCAAGCCCCGCCGGGAGCAGGTTTTTCTCGCCACATCAGATGAATGTTTCCTACTTTTTTTACTGTGGGATAAAAGAAAACCTTCCTGAGCAGCTTTTGTCTAAAAAAAAAAGCGCATGGCTTTCTTCAGCCTCAGTGACCTGGATATGCAAAACACCTCACGTTCAATTTGAGAACCCACATCACAGGTGGCATATCTGGGGCATACAGCACCTCATGTTTTGAGACAATGAGTGCATGTCTGATATTCCAGATATCAGGCTGAATGATCAGGCTGCCAAACACCAATACGAGGGCCTGGCAGTTGTAAAATCAAATGAGTGCACGTGAGGCGGGAAGGGGGGACTGGGCAACGGGAGGGAAGTTAATGTAGCGGTACAAGTGCGTATTCTTCCTTAGGGTCTATCAGAAAAAGCACTCAATAATGACCGGTTCTTTCTAGCCACAAGAAGAATTCCAATGTACAACCCACAAGAATTAACTACAGCCTTGATATTTTTATTGAAAGGCCTTTCCCGGCCTGGGAAACAGACCCTGAGCGAGAACAATCAGTTTCACTTCTTGTCACTGAAGCACGCACAGGCAGCCAAACATCCATCTCATTCCAGATTTTTCTTGTTGATGGCACTCCATGTCTCGATTCACCATCTTCATTCTCGTCAGACGGACCTGCCTCAATCTCCCCGGAAACCACATGCTGAGTCAACGATGATTGGCTGGAAACCACAGTGCTGCTATCCCCCACTTGCCCCTGCTCAAGTGAGTTGTTGTGAGTCTCGGCACTATTCCCATAAGCTTCCACATGAGACAAAATGCTCCCTTCCCCAGTCATATCTCCTCCTGAAACCACTGACTCTGGCAGCAGCGCCGCGTGTTTCTTGCTCTCAATTTTCCTTACCATCCTCGACTCCTCTCCGAAACCCAACAACCGGACGAATTCTGCCGCCTCTCTCGCAGCTTGCCGCCCAGTGGAGAACGCGCCGTGAACAGTGCCGGGGTGGGGACGGGAAGTGGCTTCTCCGGCAAAGAAGAGGGGAGGGAGGGGGGCGCGGAGGGAGTCGTAGACGTCGGGAGGGGCATGCACTGCATCGTAGGAGTAAGAACCAAGAGAGAAGGGATCTGACCCCCATGTGGTTATGCGCGCCTGGATCTGCATGGGAGGTGGGAGAAGTGAAGAAATAGAGGGGAGGGAGAGGAGGGGATGGAAACACCAAGAGTGGAATCCCCACACTCACGCACTGCTGGCGCTTCAGGGGAGCACGCACACTCACAGGTTCAGGGGCGACTTTTGAGACGTTTCAAAAATCCCCACACTCACGCACTGCTGGCGCTTCAGGGGAGCACACTCACAGGTTCAGGCGCGTGGGGAGAATCTTCCTGAGCTGCTGCATGGTGAACGCAATGGCTTCCCTCTCCCCCAACCCCTCCATCTCCTCTGCCAGCCGGCCCGCTGGCATGAACACCAGCACCGCCCTCTCGCCCTGGCTGGCCCCTACAGCGTACCTCCCTCCCTCAAGGCACATACCTCCCCTCTAACCTCACAAACAGACTCGTTCAGAGGCAAAACTGGTGAGAAGAAGCCAGTGATTCAGGCTCGTGGGGCATGACTTACCGGTTCAGGGGCATGGGGCAGGATCTTTCTCAGTTGCAGCATGGTGAATGCCACTGCCTCGCTCTCCCCCATCCCCTCCATCTCCTCAGCTAACCTCCCTGCCGGCATGAACACCAGCACGGCCCTCTCGCCGCGCCTCGCCTATACAGCAATCCTCCCTTGCTCGTCTCACAAATAGACTCATTCACATACAGACAGACTACACGGTGAGAAGAAGCTAGTGTTTCAGAGGAAGAAAAAACTCACCGGTTCGGGGGCGTGGGGTATGATCTTCCTGAGCTGCTGCATGGTGAGCGCCACTGCCTCGCTCTCCCCCATCCCCTCCATCTCCTCTGCCAACCTCCCTGCCGGCATGAACACCAGCACGGCCCTCTCGCCCCTGCTCGCCTTGTGCAGGTTCAGGAAGTAGCTGCACGCGTAGGGCGTGTCTGCCACCACTCCCAGGAATTCTACTGAGGGCCAGAAGCAGGAAGAGAAGAGGAGGGCGATTTTGTTCTCGATGCCGACTCCGATGGAGTCGAGTGCGGTGCATTTGGATGGTGGGAGGGGTGGGGAGAACTGGATGCGGTTGGGGTGGGTAGGGACGGTGGAGGGATAAGTGCTGCTGCTCCCACTTCGGCAGATATTGCTGCTGTTACTTCTGTTATTGCAGTTTCTGCCGTTGATGCGGTTACTGCAATTACTGCAGTTGCTGCGATTAACACCATTCACTGTCTCAGCCAAGGAGACCTCCTGAGCTGAGGTGCCTACGTGGCCCACAGACAGCCGCAGAACGCCAGCTGGCAGGGTGATGATCGCCACATCAGCGGAGAAAACGGCACCGTCAGCCGTGGTGATGTGGACACAGGGTTTACGTGGCATGCTGACGCAAGCTGCAGCTTCACTACTGGAAGAACCGGGATTGTCAGCAGGACTTAAGGGGACGCACATGCTGCTAATTCTGGTTTTGGAGTTGTGCATGCTGCCTTGGCTGTTACTGCCTAGATCACAACTGCTACACCCAGTGCACCTGAGGCTAGCACATGGTATGCAGCGGGTAGTGAAACTCTGCTCGGTAAGTCTGTTATACTGATGACTCCCCTGCTGCGGCCCTGTCGCTCCTGCCTCCTCTGCTGCACCTACCCGTGTTGCCTCTACGTTCGTTTCCCATACCACCCCTGCTGTATCTGTCCCTCTGCCAACTGGTTTGTCTGTATCCTGTGCTGAGGACCAGTCAACGCTGATCACTCTGTTAGAAAGAGTGGGGAAAGAAAGAGAAGGGGATATGGACAGGTACAGCGGGCAGAATTAGGCGAAGCAGTAGGGGAAGGTGAAGCGGGCATGAAAAAGAAAAGGCCTTCGGCATCGATTTCCTTCACACAGAATGTCGAGCTGACTTTTGCGTCGACTCAAAATCACCTTAACACAAAATGTCGAATGATTTCTGCTTGTAACAAAGCACTCACTGTGCTCTGGACATGTTCATTTGCTTACACGTGCCGCCTGCCCCATGGCCACCACAGCATAACATCAAACCACACAATCACCTGTGATTAAAACGAATGTCCAGCCCAGCAGCAAGTGCTTCGAGCACAGGCAGATAACCGTTCACCATGAGCCCATGACCCCCATCCACTAGATCCTCCTGCAACCACACCATGCAGCATGATGCGCAGCCGTATGGGAATGCGCAGCCGTATGGGATGCGCAGCCGTATGGGAATGTCGGAATGTCGGAATGCGCAGCCGTATGGGAAAACGAGCACAGGATGAGGCCACATGGGTCAGTGATGGCAGCAGTCCATTTCCTAATCCACGCACTCGCATCCATCAAAGGCACCCAGCAAAGGCACCCAGCAAAGGCCGCCCAGGTGTCTGGCATTTGGCAGAGAGGTTTTTCAAGTCCGTGGCGAACCACCCCTCCATGCGACACAAATACCACTACAGCACTCACCAGCAGACAGCCTCCTATAGACTTGACTCTGCCCCTTGTAGCTGTAACCCTCTCCCTTGTAATAGACTCCTTCCCTCCCACTCACCTCCTCCCAGCATTTGGCGGAGAGGTTTTTCAAGTCCGTGGCGAACCACCCCTCCATGCGGCACAGGTACCACTGCAGCACCCGCCGCTCCACTCCTTGCAGCCCCAGATCCGGCCTGCGCTGCTCCACCAGAGTTAGGGCATGCTCCATGCTCATGTCCTCGCTTGTATTGGCGCATATTTGACGCGTCTGGTGGCGTGGAGATGAGACGAGAGGGAGAAAAGGGACTGAGGTGCCCTGACATGACAACAACTCCACCAGTTCCAGGCATGCTCCATGTTGATGTCCTCCTTGCTTGTAGTGGCGCCTAGCTTCCAAGTCTGCGCTCGGACTTCTAGAATTTCTGACTGAAAGCATGAATTCGCTCCTGAGGAAGCTGACGACGTGCCTCCTCCAGCATCTCTTCAAACACCCACTCCACGCGCTCCACCACATCCTCATCATGGTGTTGGCTTTCAAGGAACTTGATGGGGGCTTACAAAGAGCTCATGCAAATGACTCACCTCTTCCAGCATCTCTTCAAACACCCTCTCCACACGCTCCACCACGTCTTGGGGAATCTTCACCCCATCCTCATCGTACAGCGCGTAGCTGAAAACGGGCACAGGGGGGTTGTTGGGTTGAGGGAGAATAGATAGCACCATTCGAAGATTGCGTTTCGAAAAGTTTCCAAGGGAGCCGGCCCATTGCGTTAGAGCAACGCATGCTGTTGAGGGTTGAAGGGGAGGTTGCACCTCAGGATTCAAGCAGGTGTATTGGAAACTGAGAAATGAAAGGAAAACGAACTTACAATTCAGCGCCACACAAAACCATACAGCACCACACAGCACCACACAGCACCACACAGCACCATACAGCACCATACAGCACTGCACACCACCGTGCCACCTTCCCACCTACCCACCTCTCAAAGTCATGACCACCATAGAGCACCGAATTGTTCCCGCTGGCTCAGTTAAGTGGAAGCTGGAAACACAACACCACAAGCCTAACCACTTTTCCCCGTACTCACCTCTCCAGGTCGTGATCGCAGAGCACCGAGTCATCTCCACCAGTTTGTTAATAGCAGAATTCGGAAGTCACAAACTCATTCCACGCAGCCTGCTCACCTCAGTAACACAAAGCCCACCCATCGAGTTCACCCACCTCTCCAGGTCGTGATCGTAGAGCACCGAGTCGTCCCCGCTAGTTCGATACAGCGGAAGCAGGAAATCAGCACTACCAAGCCTACCCACCAAGTTTTCCCGGACCCACCTCTCCAGGTCGTGGTCATAGAGCACCGAGTCATCCCCGCTGGTTCGGTAGAGCGGAAGCTGGAGGTCCGCAATCAGCCGAGCCAACGGATTACTCTCAGAAACACCGTGCAGCCTGGGAGGCGGAGGAGAGAAAACAGGAGCATTAGAGGGACAGACAAGTCAAGCTGGGGACGAAGTGACTTGAAACGAGAGGAAAAAGGGGAAGGGGGGAAAAGGGGAAGGAAAAGTAGGGGGTGGGGAAGGGAAGGTTTGACTGTAAGCAGGGTTGAAAGAAAATATGAAAAAGGAACCCACTAGGTGTTGGTTATGCATTTAAGTGATAATTGCTTCAAGTAGCAACCTGCTTTTCTACTAATCCTCAAGCAAAATGCTTTAGGAATTGCCTTCGGTAGCATTATTCAGGAACACGCGCTTACCAAGCAGCACCTAGATCAAGCGGAAAGCCAAAAGAGTAATCTGTGAACGCTCGACCTCCGATGCGATTCCTTGCCTCTAGAACCACTACCTGTGATGGGAGGGAGAAGAGTGGGGAAGAATAGAGGGCGTTCAGCGAGGGAAAACCACTCCGGAGGAAAAAAAGTAGCCGTTGGATCTGGATGTGCCACAGGGAAAGTCTTGGTTCATCAGAGAAAGAGGATGACGTAGCCTGAAAGTTCTGATGAGTGACGGCCTTGACACCCCCACGCGAGTAACCGCCATGAAGCCATCAGGTTGCACGAAGGTCGCACCTCGAACGATGCGTGGTGCAGTGCGTGAGCTGCTGCCAGTCCGGAAAACCCGCTACCAATCACGATGGCTGACGGCTTACGAGGTCTCTGGGGACTGCTTGTGTTACTGGTAACAGCAGCACTGCGCGGAGTGCTGTTACCAGCGATGTGACTAGCTGAATAGTTAGAGTTCCACTGCTTATGATTAGCCATGATCCTGAGAAAGATAGACAACCAGATCCAGCTACTCTTCGCGAGCTTGGCTTGCCCACGCACGTTATCTGTGAGAATAATAGATTACGCGACTGGAAATAACGGTGCCGCCTTGAGATTTGAGCAACGGAAGACCTCACAACGAAGGAGTTCTAGCTTACACTTTGGGAACGCAGGAGATAACGGCGTGTGAAACGGCCTCTGCGTTCAAAGCAGGCTGGTTCAGGGACCCCAACCGTATTGCTGTGCTATAACTAGAAGTACAGCTTCCAGAATTGCTGTGGCTTTGTGAGAGTGACTGAAAAACATTCTCGAGAATTTGTGGTTGGAGAGAGGAGTTCTCAAGGGCATTTTGCGGCAGAGGGATGTTGCATATTCCGTCAGACAAAAAATGTCAGGTGAAGTTTTCCGATGAAGCATCGTTGAAAACGATTTCGTATGGTTGGCAACGGCAATCGTCAACGTGTATCCGCACGAAAGGAGGGCTGAACGACGTCTGCTTGCTGATGTCATCCTGAAGTGAAAAGTGACCCATCCCATCAGGCTTTTAGCATTTCATGCACGCTATTGGCTGATGAAGAACTGACTGACCAATGGAATTCCTTCTAGTTTCGCTGATGCTCAGAGTGAAGTGGTTACAGACAGCTTCGACATCTGGTTTCGTGAGTTGCCCGTTATGTCAATATACACTTGTCATTATAGCAGCACAACTGGCAAAACTGTCTTGGGTTTTCAGCGACACACTCGTTATTTTCACAGGAGCGTCCTCGGAATGATCGCAACTAGCACTTTCGCTTGCGTAACACCCTCTCCTGCCTCCTCAACCCTGCTCTCTTGTTCCTCCGTTATTGTCACGCGATAGACCACCATACTACTCTCGCTAGCAGCTAGCGACATTTTCAGAACCAGTTCCCGGGAACGCTTCGTCATAAGCTGCCTTGCCAACTGCTCTGGCATGTAAAATTTCATGGCAGGACACCAACCCCAAGACATCCCCCCTGTTTCCCCTCCGGCTCCCGTGAGGACCCTCGGTGAAGCAGCGGTAGGCGGAATGGCCGCTCAGGCTGGCGGAAACGGCGGAGACGGCGGAGCGGGAAGCTTAGGCGGAGGCGGATGCGGAAACTCAGGTGGTCGTCCCGTGGGGGACGACTATGTTCTGGAGAAGCAGATAGGTTCGGGGTCGTTTTCCGTGGTGTGGAGGGGTAGAAAGCGGTCGACGGGCGACGCGGTGGCGATTAAGGAAATTCCGACGGAGAAATTAAGTGCCAAGCTGCACGAGAGCCTCGAGTCGGAGATTGCGATTCTGAAACGCGCGAGGCATCCCAATATAGTTCACCTGTTGGACATAGTTAAGGTGTGTTCGACTACCCTACATGTTTAGTCCATGTTATGTTTCTCTTAGCGCGTATAAGACGCGCTAAGCATTCCAAGCTCGTTAATCGGGTGGATGAATTTGAGGTGGACCTTCCTCTTTTTTTGTTTTTCTTCCCTTTATCCGTCTTTGTATTCTCTTCCTTTACATGTCCTACCCGTGCACGCCTTTGTTTCCCTCCACACCTCATCGCGCATGTTCCTTGTCCTGGAGTACTGTGCGGGTGGGGACCTCTCCCACCACATCAGGCAGGGCGGGACGTAGAGGCCTCACTTTCGCCCGCTCCCCCTTCCTCTTCACCTCTCTCCCCCCGCTCCCCAGACCTCATCGCGCATGTTCCTCGTCTTGGAGTACTGTGCTGGTGGGGACCTCTCGCACCACATCAGGCGCGGTGGGGCGGTGAAAGAGGCAGCTGCGAGGCACTTCATGCGGCAGCTGGGAGCAGGGCTGCAGGTGCTACGCGCAAACAATTTGATTCACAGAGACTTGAAACCACAGGTGGGTAAGATGCGAGAGGGTCTTGAGATGCGTAAGGCCGTGAAGGAGGCAGCAGCAGCCCGGCACTTCATGCGACAGCTGGGGGGGCTGCAGGTGCTACGCGCAAACAATTTGATTCACAGGGACCTGAAACCACAGGTGGGTAGGATGTGATACAATATGGTGTAATGTGAGTAGTTGAGGGATGGTGGGGCGGTGAGCGAGGCAGCAGCCCCGCATTTCATAAGGCGGCTGGGGGCGGGGCTGCAGGTGTTGCGAGCCAGCAAACTCATTCACCGGGACTTGAAACCTCAGGTGGGTAAGGTGTGATATGTGAGTGAGTTTTGGGATGGGCGGGTCCGTGAAGGAAGCAGCAGCGAGGCACTTCGTTCGTGCGGCAGCTGGGAGCAGGGCTGCTTTAGATGCTGCGATGCGAGCCAACAACCTCATTCACCGGGACCTGAAACCCCAGGTAGGTAGGATGTGAGTGAGCTGTGAAAGGGTATGGCCGTGGGAGGGGTCTCTTTACCACATCAGGCGGGGCGAGGGGGTGAAAGAGGCAGCAGCGAGGCACTTCATGCGGCAGCTGGGAGCAGGGCTGCTTTAGATGCTGCGATGCGAGCCAACAACCTCATTCACCGGGACCTGAAACCCCAGGTCAGATTGGCTTTGCCTTATAAGCGTGAAGTGCATTTTGTGTGACAGTGGGGGACAGGCAATCCACTGTGGCGTTTGGTATGATTCTGCCACCCAGTGCTGCTGTCGTGTATCTCTTTCAACCATGTATTTTAATCTGAGGTCAATTGCATACTTCTATGCCATTTCACCTTACATGTCATCCCTGTCATCCGTTCCCTTTTTGCAACCCACTGCACTCCTCAGAACCTCCTGCTCTCTGAGCGCACTTCTGCTGCAGTGCTCAAAATCGCAGACTTTGGATTCGCCAGGTCAGTTCTCCGTTCACTCGAGAGGACATTTGTTCATCACATTCGTCATCATCCGGCGGCAACCTTCCACCAGGGGATACCCTTTCAACCTTTCCACACATTGCTACCGCTTGCATAGCAGAGAGCAACCCTGACGGCTCACTCGTAGGGCTTCCGCTGCTCTCCTGCTCTCTCTATTCCCACGGCAGGTCGCTGCAGCCACAGGGCCTGGCGGAAACACTGTGCGGTTCCCCCCTGTACATGGCGCCAGAGATTCTGCAGTGCCAGCGATACGACGCCAAGGTGGGTGGGATTTGGCAGAGTGGGCACTAGAATTCCTGAAGCAGATGTTGAGGTGAACCGTAAGTAGGTATGGTATCAGTCAGTCGCTGCTGCACTCTGCGATCTCTAGCTGGGGTGAGGCGCCTCATAAACAAATATTCTCCCTAGCTCACTCACTGTTCTTGTCGGCCTGGTCTTGGATTGATCGAATACTTTCTCCCCACCTCACTCTCCCCTCGCCCCACCTCACTCTCCTCTCTCCTTACCTCACTCTCCTCTCTCCTTACCTCACTCTCCTCTCTCCTTACCTCACTCTCCTCTCTCCCCACCTTACTGTCCCTCTCGCCCGCACTGTCCGCCTCTCGCCCCCACTGTTGCCAGGCGGACTTGTGGAGTGTGGGCGCCATTCTGTTTGAACTTGTTGTGGGGCGACCTCCCTTTGGCGGCCAGAATCATGTGCACGTGAGTAGTTCCCTCGCACGCACTTCTGAGTCGACTCAAAAGTGTGCCATTGTAACGAGGTGACTTTTGAGTCGACTCAAAAGTCACCTCGTTACAATGGCTCATGTACATGTGAGTAGTTCCCTCGCACGCGCCTCTGCAAACGCTCACTTCTTCTCTTCTTAACAAATACCCGAATCCGGATCGTTCAGATGCATCGTCACTTAGCTGGTTGTTTCCGGCACATGTGCTGCACTCCACCTGCTGGTCCTCGCTAAGTGACTTCTAGCACTTATCAGATGTGGTGTGTGAGTCGACTACTCTCCCTCCCTCCCTTCCTTCCTTCCACCCGGGCCTGCATGTCACCACCACAGCTGCCGCAAAACATTTTGAGGAGCGAGGCGAGGTTACCGCGTGACATTGCACAATCATATCTCAGCCCACATTCTCTCGTTACAATGGCTCATGTGCACATTCTCTCTCTAACAAACATGTGCGCGCACATTCCTACCCTCTCTCCCGTGCACCCCTGCCCTGCCTGCCTGTCGTCACCACAGCTGCTGCAGAACATAAAAAGAAGCGAGGCGAGGGTTCCGCGTGACATTGCTGCCACTCTCTCCGACGACTGTCTCGGGCTCATCCGCTCTCTGCTCAAGCGGAACCCCGGTGAGTGAACCGCCTTTGTTTGTCAACGTCATCCGCACCATCGTGTAGTGAAAGTGGACAGCAGGCAAGAGTCAGCGGTTAAGTGAGGGTTCCGCGTGACATTGCTGTATTTCTATCGAGTGATTGTCTCAGCGTCATTTGCTTTCAGCTTCAAGCAGAAGTATACATGATCAATCTCTAAGCGCAAGAACATGCATTCAGCGCTGTTGTGTCCGTTTTTTTGTGTGGTGAAGTTTCCTGTTTGAAAGTTCCCAGTTTTGTAGATGCCTAAAAACACGTTCATTTCTGTGATTTTTTTTTCTTTCTTTCCCGCTGTTGCTCTGTGCTGTGCAGTGGAGCGATTGTCGTTTGAACAGTTCTTCAACCATCCGTTCCTTGGCTTAGCAAGGTACGCATGGGGGAAGGGGGGGAGGGAAGGAGGGGGGCTGTGCTGTGTAGTGGTCCAGTGGAGTGGAATGGAGTGCAGTGGAGCGATTGTCGTTTGAACAGTTCTTCAACCATCCCTTCCTTGGCTTAGCAAGGTAAGCAATGGGGAAGGGGAGGGGGAGAGGGGAGCAGGGGAGCAGGGGAGGGGGGGAGGTGGGAAGGCGGGAAATTTTCTGCCTGCTTAAGCTATGAGCACTTGTCCCACCCACGCGCTGTGCTGCTGTGCAGTGGAGCGGCTGTAGTTTGAGCGCTTTTTTCATGCATCCTTTCCTAGGCTCAGCAACGTGAGATTCACATGATTTCGTGCTATCCTTTCTGTCTGTTTTTTCATCGTGACCTGTGGCACCTCCTGTTTTATCAGTGGCACCTCATCCTCAGATATTTTCCATTGGTGCTCCCCTCCCTTTTGTTTTTGAGAATTCTCAAAAACCAGCTCGTCGCCCTCCTCTTTTGTAGCTCCCTTCTCCCCATACGTGCACTCTTATAAGTCCTCCCCCTCTTGGTGTCCCGTCCCGTCCCCTCCTCTTCCCTCTACTCACACATCAGTTCCCCACAGTCGATCTGGCAACCACCAGCCTCCTTCACCAATCCAGCTGCTCAGACCGAACCTCCGGCACTCCATACCGAACCTTCACCGTACTCCGCCGAACCTCCGCCATCCTCCGCCGAACCTCCGCCTCCGCCACAGAGTTCCAGGCGTCCTCCGGCTGTTCCTGCCCCTTCAAATCCTGCTAGTGCCACAGCCCCTTTGGCTCTTGCTGCTTCTCCTGGTGCAGAGGGGGTTGCGCCTGGTCCTCCAATCTTTCCATCCCTTACTCCCCCTCCTTATACCCCCCCGCCTCCCCCTTCCCTTACTCCCCCTGCCCCTGTTCCCCCGCTTCCCCCTCCCCTTCCCCCCCCTGCCTTGCCTGCCCCCCGCACTTCCCCATCATCCGCCCCACCTTCTTCCCCTTATCGCTCCGTTTCCCCACACCTTCCCCCGGGCCCCTCGCTTCCTGCTGCTTCTATCCCTGTTTCAGCTGCCACTGTAAATAATGCTGTGTCTGGTGCTGTTAGGGGGGATTCGTATAAGGAGGATAGTGATCCATGGGGGGTGGTTGCTGTGGGTGGTGGTAATGTTGAGGGCGGGGGAGGGAGTGGGGGAGAGGATGGAGGGGGTGGGAGAGGGGGCGGGGGTGAAGGGAGGGCAGCAGGAGAGAGAGAGGGTGTTTCTGCACCTGCAGCAGAAGAAACAGCAGCGAGTGCAGCAGCAGACGCAGCAGCGGCAGCCGCAGTAGCAGCAATCACAGCAGGAGAAGCAGCAGCGGCAGTAGCAGCAGCCGCAGCCGCAGAAAGTGCAGCAGCAGTGGCGGCTGCATCTCCTTTCGTTCCTCCTGCACTTGTTGCTTCTCCTGTCCGACCTGCCCTTTTACCTGCGCGTGCAGTGACTGTGTATGACAGACCCTCACCCGCCCACCAACATACCCACCCACAGCGACAATCTGGACAGCAGCAGCAACAGCATCATACTCAGTCAACCTTCGTGTCAAAACCAGAGAGGGGAGCAGAGGTAGCAGCAGGGGCGGCAGCAGAAGCAGCAGCCACAGCAACAGCAGCAGCACCACCACCGGCACCAGCGGCAGCAGCAGAGACAGCTCCTCTGCAAGCCCTACAGGCCGTGGCCGGACCATCGCCGGCAGTGGCGCCATCTGCAGCACCGGCGCCGGTGCCTGCATCGCTGCCCCCAGCAGGAGATGAAAGAGGTGCGTTGCTGCGCATGGTTTGCTGAGACGGCTTTTTTAAACCACTGCTGTGGTTGGGGTTTGCTGATATGATATGATATGATCTTTTGAGAATTCTCAAAGGTGACTTTGACACGGGATGTGAGCATGTCCTTGGTTTCCTGATCCACATCCCTTTTTGTCCAACTATGCATCATCTTCAGGCTTCAGCAGCATGCACTCGCATGTTTCTTTCGTCCCCAAGCGGCACAGACTCATTCGGGGTGTGTTTTGAGTTGACTCAGAACATGCCTGAGGGGGACCACTTGGTGATGGACCATCCATCCATCTATCCATCCATCCATCTATCTATCACACCCTCTCTGTCCATTCAGTGATCGCGACACGACACCAGATGTATGATGTGTCTCCTCCTCCCCACTTGCCTTTTTTCCATCTTCCCAGGCGGCACGGACTCGTTCGAGATGCTCGAGGGGGACTATGTGGTCGTGGACCATCCATCCGAACCCTCTCTCTCTCTGTCCGCCGACCAATCTGCCAACAACCCATCTCTCTGCCAGTGAGCCCCGGTCAAGGAATGCCTCTGAGTTCTGGGTCCAGTCTCAAAACCTCCCAGTCTCAGAAAGCTAACTTCCCAGTCCCATCTCACTCTCACAAGCACCACGGGTCTGCTTCCACGTTCCCTGCTGCTGCTGCAGCTGCGCTGTCGGCTGTGGTAGGGGCAGTGGGGGCTGCAGCAGCAGCTGCTGCAGCTACAGCTGGTTCCTCGGCCCACCCGGCTGCTTCAGCCCGGGTTTCCACAGCCGGTGCTACAGCTTCCGCTGCTGCACCTTTTGCTGCTACAGCTGCTGCTGCTACAGCCGTTGCTACAGTGCCTGGTGCTGTTGCTGGCAGCCCCTTGATTCCACCTGTAGAGTCTCCACCCTTATTTCCCGTGCCTCCCCACCACCACCACGATACATCTGCAGCTCTTGTAAATAATCCGGCACGTGTACAGCCACTCACAGTAGAGTCACAGCATGTACAGTCACACTCGTTACAGACACAACCTGTACAGTCACATTCGTTACAGTCGCCATTTGTACAGCCACATTCGTTACAGTCACCATCTGTACAGTCAAAAGTGGTATCAGCAGCACCTGCACCCCTGGTGCAAGTGAGTGGTTTCTGTCCGAAGGTCCCAACAGGGGGTTTGTCAAGGCAGCAAGGCAGCAGAAGCACCACTAGCAATCCGAACCACTGCGATCCAAACCAGCGCAATTGCTGCCGCTGCTGCGGCGGCTCCTTCACCACTCCCCACCGCACCATCCCCCGCAGCACCACTCCCCACTGCACCATCCCTCACTGCACCCCTCTCCACCGCACCACGCTCCGGCTTGGCTCTGGCTGTTAGCCTTGGCACGCCTCGCACATCCTCCCTCACCCCTCCTCCGCCTGCCAGCCTCTGCAGCCCAGCAGCAGCCAGCGTAAGCATTGGTGCGCCTGTGCCAGCACATAGTGCTGCTGCCGCTGTGGGCTCAGACCAGCCAGGAGCTGCTCTAGCTGAAGGGATGGAAGGCCACGTCGTGCTGGGTGGGAGCCCGAGCACAGGAGCAACATTTCAACGTGAAGTACTGAGGGAAAAACCACAGCAGCAGGGGCAGGAGCAGGAGCAGGAGCAGGTGTTTCAGCTGCAGCATCCTCAGGAGCGGATTGCCTTTCTCAGGCAAAGCGGGTGCTACATTGCAGAAATTGCTGCGAGCAAGGTGAGTGCTACTCGCAAGATGCATGCAATGCAGCGTGTTCATTCCCCCTACGTCCCTGCAGCAATTCTGTCATGCGGGATATGCCGTTTCAAAAGAGGATGCTGCATGCATTCGCATGTATCCTTTCCCCATACTTACCCCAACTCAGTTGCCTGCAGCAGCAGCACCACCGCTAGCCTCGCTCCTGTCCTGTCCACCTTGTTCCGAAAGCGGTGTGGAAAGATCTCACTCTCTCTTATGACGGCCTCTCGCCCTTTTGATTTCTTCCCTTCCCCGTCTTGCCTTCCCATCTTCCCTCGTGTCCGTTGGAAGCAGCAGCAGCAGCAGCACCACTCGCCTCGCTCTCCCTCCACCTGGCCGCTCTCGCAGTGTGGAAGGAAGCACTCACCCTCTCCCACGAATGTTTGTCTTCCCATCTTCCCCCCACCTCAGCTGGAAGCAGCAGCGCCGCTTGCCTCGCTCTCCCTCCACCTGGTCGCTCTTGCAGTGTGGAAGGAGGCTCTCACCCTCTCCCACGAATGGGCTGCCACCAGTGCCACCAGCACCACCAGCGCCACCAGTGATACTTATAACGGTGGTGCTTATAGTGGTGATGCTTATAATGGGGGTGCTTATAGCGGTTCTGGAGGAATGATTCCAGTGCGCAGGAGCAGCAGCGTGGGGGGCCATGGGGGCAGTATGGGGGGGCATGGGGGCAGCATGGGCGCCCATGGGGGTGGGGAGGAGGCAGCAGCAGCGATGGCGTGTGACTTGGTGGAAGCAGAGTTCCTGGCAGCTGTGGAGGCAGCTGAAGTGGTTGCTGCTGCTGTTGACAGGGACGGTGAGTGCGGTGCGGATGGGCGGGTGTGTGGGATTGGTGAGGTGTTCTGTAGCCTATAGGTAAGAAGAGGAGGCAGCAGCAGTGATGGCATGTGACATGGTGGAAGCAGAGTTCCTGGCAGCTGTGGAGGCAGCTGAAGTGGTTGCTGCTGCTGTTGACAGGGACGGTGAGTGCAGTAGGGGAGGGATGAGCGCCTTCTGTCCTTAAGATTTTAAATTAACTCCTGTGTCAGAGGCAAGACAGCATCCCACCCAAACACATATCTGTCCCCTATCCCCCCACTTCTCAACCCTTTCCCCCACCACAGACCCATCCCCTGTGCCGGATGCTCTGGAAATCATTTATCAAACTGCCCTCATTGCTGGTCGCTCCGCTGCTGTGAGTGTGCCTTTCCTCTTTCCCGTCCTGCCTATGCCACTTACGAGAAATCTCAAACGACGGCTTTTTTTAGGCACCTCAGAATTCTGCTGTTGTGAGGCAGCTCAAAGCTCTCCCCTCTCTCTTCCGCAGGTTCTTCTCGGCTTTATCCTTGACTCGGCATCTTCAGCAGCAGCCTACACACACCCCCTTCTTTCCGCTCTGTATCCCTCCCCCTCCCACTGTTTTATCTCCATCTTTCCCCGCAGGTGGAGGAGTTGATGGGAAACATGGCGTCAGCAGCAGCAGCCTATGCACGCTCAGCCACGCTCTTCGCCTTCCTCCTGCACCTCGCTCCTCACCTCCCCATCTCGCCTCCCCTCCGCCTCTCGTCCGCCGACCGCCACCGCCTCACCAAGTACCATGATGGGGTGCTGGCCCGTCACAAGCACTGCGCTGCTGCGCTGCACTGCTGACTGCTAACAGGCCAGCAACCCCTTACTACAAGCACTGCTGTCCTCTTTGCCTTCCTCCTGCGCTGCACTGCTGACCCTCCCCCCCCCAGACGCGTGTCCCTTACCTGAAGAAAGCACTACGACGGGGTGCTGGCTCGCTCGCCACAAGCACTGCAGTGCTGCGCTGTAGTTACCCTCGGCACCTCTACCAGCTCTCCGTTGCTGTGCTGCACTGCTGACTGTGCCCTTACTACAAGCACCGCACTGCACCGCCGCGTTCCCCTCCTTCCTCCATCTCGCTCCGCGCCCTATCCCCCCTCCTCTACCCCCTCGCCACTGGCTCACAGGCCGGGTGCTGACCCCTCACAAGCACTGTATTTAAATCACTTTTGAGAATTCTCAAAAGTGATTTAAATCTCGCCACTGGCTCACAGGCCGGGCGCTGACCCCTCACAAGCACTGTGCTGCTGCGCCGTGGTTACCTTCAGCAGCCTTCCTCCACCCTCTTTGAAATCTTCTGAACCATGCTGTGCCAAGGCTCCAACTGTAACTTCCTGTGCTCAAGTTGCGCTCTGTCAAGTGGCGCTGGTGCTGTGACAATCACTCATTGTGCAACAACCATTTTCGGGGCGCCCCAGAAGCAATCACTATCACAATCACTTCACCTTGTACAACAAACAGCCTCGTACCTACCGTATCACAAAGGCAATGCTACAAGAAACTAAACATTGTACATGGGTTCATTGCAACCTGGATGGTAACGGTAGCTACCGGTACCGTATCAGCCATTCCTAGAGCTATTTCTTGGTTGCAATTACACCAATGCAGTATGCAGAGCAGATCCTAAGCAGTCCAGTGAATTTGCCCCCAACGCTTAGCTAAGTCCCACCTGCTCCAGTGGAACCCTGACCAGCCATTGCAGACTGAGCTCGGAGGGCTTCCTGGATCCTTCCTTTCCATACCAACCCAACATCTGAGTTCAATTTCTTTTCCGGCGTGTGCAGAAGATACTCGTCGATGCCGCCCACCTTGTCTATGCAGCGGAGGGCGTACGTGGTAACCCGAAACTCAATGAATTTGTCGAGAGCGAAGCTGTAGAGGCGCTTGTACTGCACGTTGGGTTTCCACATGCGCCGCGTTCTGTGGGGTGCGGAAGGGAGCAGAGGGGAGCGGTGGGGCAGGAAAAGTGAAGGGGAGGGGTGGGAGACGGAAAAGAAGAGGGAGGTGTAAGTGGAAGGTACTCGTCAATGCCGCCCACCTTGTCTATGCAACGAAGGGCGTACGTGGTAACCTGGAACTGGATGAATTTGTGAAGGGCGAAGCTGTAGAGGCGCTTGTACTGCACGTTGGGCTTCCACATGCGCCGCGTTCTGTCCATGGTTGGGGGAACGGAGGGGGAGGGAGGGGAGGGGATGGGAGGGGATGGGAGGGGAAGGGAGGGGAGGGGAGGGAGGGGAGGGGGGGGGGAGGGGGACATGGCATGTCAGCACAACCCAGAACTGTCAATTATCAAGGGCGAAGCTGTAGAGGCGCTTGTACTGCACGTTGGGCTTCCACATGCGCCGCGTTCTTCTGCCCATTATTTGGTGAGAAGGGGGAGAGGGAAGACGGAGGGAGGATGTGTGTGTAAACAACGTGCCAGCAGAGCATAGCAGAGCATAGCGTGGAACTGTATGGATTAGCCCAGGGTGGAGCTGTAGAGGCGCTTGTACTGGGGGTTTCAACATGCGCCGTGTTTTGGTGGGAGGGGGGAGGAGGGAGGGAGCGGTGGGTGGGAGGCGGAGTGAATGGAGGTGCTGGCACATAAGGGAATCCTTTATGATCGAATCTGTAGAGACTTTTACGAATCATGTTAAGTTCTTACATGCTCTGGAAGCGGCACGGATGGGGAGGAGGAGAGGGGGAGGAGGGGGGGGGGGTGTGGTTGGTGCAGGAAAAGGGGAGGGAGGTGAGATTGTGGAAAGATGTAACAGCACATCACCGAACTAAATGAGCTAAATGACAGTAGGCTGCATATTAATCTACGTTGGACTTCCAACTTCACGCGACGCATTCTGCTTGGTTTGGGTCGAAGAGAAAAGGGGTGCAAAGGGTTGGGGAAGGGGTGGGGAGTGATGATCGGGAGCAAGTGTATGATGGTGAAGTGATAGACAAAGCTAAACGCCACAACAACCTGTATCAACATAGGACTCCGTGAAACGTGTCTCCCCGAATCCCCGCCGTCCTTGCTGGCGAACAACCCTTGCCGAAATTGTGTTTTTTGAAAATTCACCTTGGACTCCTTAAAGGAGTCCTCCCCGAATCCCCGTCCTTGCCGGCGAACAGCCCTTGCCGAAGTTGACCTCCGTGCCGCCGACGCCCTCGTTTTAAGTCAGGCCAGTTCCAAACATGTAAGGGGAAGAAAGCGCATTTTGAGCCAGAAGCCATTGACTCACTCATTCCCGCCGTCCTCGCTGACGTTGTTTCCGAATTTGACCTCCTTGCCCGCGAACAGCCCTTGTGACACACGCAAGAGAATTCTAAGTCTTAATGAGTAGCTGGTTTCATCCAGACTCACTTATTCCCGCCATCTTCGCTGACTTTGTTGCCGAATTTCACCTCCTTGCCGGCGAACAGCCCTCGCCGCGCGCGCCGCATCACGGCGCGGCCCACTAGCTCCAACCCTAACGGCATTGCTTCCGTGCCGAGCCAAGCGCGCAGCAGCGGGATGAGAGAGAGTCTGTGTACAGACGTTCCCTTGGCTGAGGAAAGCACGCAGGCTTGATTAGCCGAGATACGCACGCAGGTTCGGTAACGAAGCAAATGCTTCGATAAAAAGGGAGGCTGGATTTTGCGGGCCAATGCAGATAACCTACGGCGGAAGTTCAAGTGATTGATGGCGCGCGTGCGGCATCTGACAACACGCGGCGGAATCAGCTACCGCTGTGTAGAAAAAATAGGAGCAGGCACTACGATTATTTGGTTGCCTGATATTCTTTAAAGGAGCTGGATATGGCGCTGTACAGACCTCTGTCGTGCAAAGTCGGGTGCAGCAGTAGCGAAGATCATGTGTTTTGGGAAGAAATGATTCGTTTTGCAGTTGGTAGATGACAGGATGGAAGAATCAAAGCTGTCGTTGGTCAGCATTGCATCAAAATTTGATCAGCAATCCAGACACTCCACGGGGTGTGGGCCACCAGCGAGCGCCGACAAGAAATTTCGTTATTTTCTGACCTGATGAAAGTGTACCGTAGGAAACTTATGCAGATGGGAAATTTGTTATCATCCTTTGCCTTCGTAACCCACGACTAGATCGCGTTTTGTGCCATTTCCGTACCATTAGCTAAGGGGCTAACTCTATGTGTACTACATCTCAACGTTCAGAGAATTATTTACTGTTTTTGTGTTGTGCCGTGGAACACCCCTCTGGCTCGTGGTGCCCGCATTGGTCTGTGGGCCATTGCTCCCATTTCTCCCATCCCATCCCTCCCGATCTCGACTTCCCTTCCACACAGCCATCAGGGGGTGTCCGAAGTGAAACGTCGACATCCGTTTGAGGATGTCGGCGAATCCTGACGGTCGGAATCCTCGATCCGAGGGCTGACATGCACCGACATCCAGCGACATCCAGCGACAAGGTCGCTTCGGACACGCCCTCAGGGAGTGTGCTAGCCTTAGGATTCAGTTTACCACGGTTCTGTAAGTTAATGTGGGTTTTAAATTAGCTAAAACAATACAGTTCCAGTGGTTGAGTAGGGTTGTGCGGAAAAAACTCGGGCGGCACCTCCTGCCTGATCTTATCTCCATTCCATCGCAGGGCACAAACCTGGCACACAGCAGCACAAACCTTCCTCGTGCAACAAGCCCTTGCCCCCATTTTTGTTTGTGAAAGGCTGGCACTTGCTTCGGAAGCTCTGCGATTCTGTCCCATAAGTTTCGCTCTCTCCCTTTCAAGGCCTCGCGTCGCTCCCTCCCAACCCAAGATCAGCTGGGAATTGCTACCCTTGCCACATAAAGCTATCAATGTGAGAAGCATTCAACCCTCCAATTTTGAGCAATTTGCTTGTCGGCCTTCGTACGAACTTGACTGGCGCGTGGTCTTACCTCTGCCGTGAAGCTATGTGAGGATAGCAGCCGCAATTTCAGCCAAACAAATCAACAGTTTTTTTAGCAGGCCACGAAGTCGTCGCCACACCATTCTGTAGAGGTCAATGTATGAAAGAATCATCAAATTGCCTCATCCGTATAAAAGAATAATGAAATTGCCTCTTCCACCGTAGCGCAATGTTTCTTTCGTTCGCTCAGGAAATTCAGATTGTAAGACTCATTCGTTGTTTGCTGTAAATTTTCAGCCGATGTTGGCCATTAAAATAATCGTAGCCTCAATCGGCAGACTTGACATTGCCATTTCTTCATTCCCATTGAGTTTCCGCTCTTCGCTGCAGCAGACTTGCCTCCGACATTCAACGCGCCTTCGTTCAATCTCCTATCTCACCCAACTCCCTCCCTCAGCCTTCCCGGTCCGGACGTAATCCGGACTCAAAACGGGTGAAAGGAGCGTCACAACAAACACATAAATTTTATATATATCTTAAAAAGGAGTTACAATGTTTCTCCGCAAGAAAAGCTCGCTGACGTCCAACATCCTGGGCCGGCCGCCGGCGGACATCCGCGATAAGTTCCTGATGGGGAAGGAGCTGGGCAAGGGGCAGTTCGGCGTGACGTACCTGTGCACGGATAAGGTCACCGGCGAGCAACTCGCGTGCAAGTCGCTCGCCAAGCGACGGATCGGGTCGAAAGAAGAGGTCGAGGATATCAGGTAAGGCGGACGTCTCATGAGGTCGAGGGCATCAGGTGGGTGAAATGTGCGCGTCGGATGTTGGACATTGAACGGCTGAGATTGCCTGTGGGGCATGGCATTGCATGTGGGGCATGCGGGGTAGGACATCCGCGACAAGTTCATGATGGGGAAGGATCTGGGCAGTGGGCAGTTCGGCGTGACGTGTCTGAGTACGGACAAGGCCACTGGCGAGCAGCTCGTTTGCAAGTCGCTCGCCAAGCAACAAATCGGGTCTAAGGAAGAGGTTGAAGACATTAGGTGAGGGGGAGAGATAGATGTCATGTCACATGGATGATGAATTAGGTCCAGGTGGGTGCTATGTGCACGTTGGATGTTGGACATTGAACGGTTGAGATTGCCAGGGATCCACCAGGCCCTTCTGTGCCCTCCTGTGTGCTCTCTGTTCCCCTTGTCTCTCCCTTCTCCCAGGAAGGAGATCGCCATCATGCATCACCTCGGCGGCCATCCCCACATCGTGCAGCTGCGCGGCGCCTTTGAGGACAAGCACAACGTGCACATCGTCATGGAGCTCTGCGCGGGCGGCGAACTCTTCGACCGCATCGCCGCCCGGGGCCACTACAGCGAGCGGGCGGCATCGGCTCTCTTCAAGACCATGATGGGGGTAGTTGACCACTGCCACCAGAACAATGTCGTTCACCGGGACTTAAAGCCCGAGAATTTTCTTCTCGCGGATCGGAGGGAGGATGCGCCGCTGAAGGTGGCGGATTTCGGGCTGTCGTCGTTTTACAAGGAGGGGGAGGTGTTTTCTGAGACGGTGGGGAGCGCGTTCTACGTGGCGCCCGAGGTGCTCAAGGGGAAGTATGACAAGGCGTGTGATGTGTGGAGCTGCGGGGTCATTCTCTACATCCTGCTCAGCGGCACCCCGCCCTTCTGGGGAGGTGAGTTGAATTTCGGAGAGGCATGATTGCATCACTCTGCCTGGAGAGGAGTTCGAGAGAGGCATGGTCGCACCCACTTTACGCTCTTTACTCTGCCTGGAAGTGAGTCGCCGAGAGGCTTTCTCCCTGGCTGGAAGTGCTCAAGGGGAAGTATGACAAGGCGTGTGATGTGTGGAGCTGCGGAGTCATTCTCTACATCCTGCTCAGCAGCGGCACCCCGCCCTTCTGGGGAGCTGAGAGATTTCTCAGCGGACCTTCTATTCCCCTGTACTGACTGCTCTCTCCTCCCCCACTCACTGCACACCTGCCCCGTTTACCCCCCCACTTCCTCATCTCATGCACCAGACACGGAGAAGCAGATCTTCCACCAGGTGCTCAAGGCAACCCTGGACTTTGCAGCGGACTACTCACTCCCCTGTGCTGATTGCTCTTTCTCCACCCGCCTCCCTCCCCTCCCCCTTGCCATCGCCCCCGTCCCTTCCATTCCACAATCCCCCCACCAGACACGGAGAAGCAGATCTTCCACCAGGTGCTCAAGACCAACCCGGACTTCAGACCAACCCCTTATCCCCCTGTGCCAACTGCTCTCTCTCTATTCTCCCCACCATTCTCCCCCCCTCCCCACCCCACTCCACCAGACACGGAGAAGCAGATCTTCCAGCAGGTGCTCAAGGCAACCCCGGACTTTGCAGCGGACCCCTGGCCGCAGGTTTCGGACTCGGCCAAGGACCTGGTCAAGCGCATGCTGCACCCCAACCCCGCTCTGCGCATCTCCTCTGCTGACGTGCTCCGTGAGTGAAGCTTGTGCCTGTGCATGCATGGTTGAGGAAAGGAAAGGGAGGATCGAAATTTGGCTGAAGGGAGGCTAATGTTGGGAATGGATGGTAAGGCTAGGCTGCAGCGGGTCCCTCCCTGGTCGCAGGTGTCGGACTCGGCCAAGGGCCTCCCCCACGTGTCAGGCTACCCATTGCTATCTTTGAGGCGCCTCAAAAAAAAAAAAAAAAAAAAAAAAAAAAAAAAAAAAGAGGCGCCTCAAAAAAGGATCTCACCCACGTGTCAGGCTACCCATTGCTATCTCCCTCAAAACGCCCCATACAACTTTCCCACCCCAATTTCCCCCACACATGGCTGTCCCATGAGAAGTAATCCGTCACACCATTCCCCTCCCCCCTCCCTCTCTCGCCCTCTCCTCTTCTCACTCCACCTGTCAGGCCATCCGTGGCTGTCCCACCCACGAGAAGCAGTGTGATAAGCCGCTCGGAGAGGCGGTGCTGAGTTGACTCAGAAGTTCCTCTCCTCTTATTCCCCTCCCCCCTCCCTCCCTCTTCCCCCCACCCAACCCCCCCCTTCCCTCTAACCTATCAGGCCACCCGTGGCTGTCCCACGAGAAGCAGTCCGACAAGCCACTGGGAGAGGCGGTGCTGAGTCGACTCAAAAGTTCCTCTCCTCTTATTCCCCTCCTCCCTCCCCCTCTTTCCCCTCCCCAACCTCCCCCTTCCCTCTCACCCATCAGGCCATCCATGGCTGTCCCACGAGAAGCAGTCTGACAAGCCGCTGGGAGAGGCGGTGCTGAAGAGAATCAAGAAGTTCTCTGCTGCCAACAAGATGAAGAAGCTGGCGCTCAAGGTGAGAGACTTAAGAAACCTTCACCTGTAAGAGGAACCAGAAACTGGCTGCTGGGAGCTGAGGCAAGTGAGAAGTTCCCTGCTGCCAACAAGATGAAGAAGCTGGCTCTCAAGGTGAGAGACTTAAGAGACCTTTAGCCTTAAGAGCAGCTTCTTACAAGCTGCTGCTGGGCTGCGTGCCAAGAAGATGAAAGCTGAAGACTCACACTTAGGGTAAAAACCCTAAAAGAACTCTAGAATGATGCTCGTGTTAATGAAAGTTTTGTACCTGATCACGCTCTGCTCATGGCCTTTCGCTGCCTCTCACCTCCCTGTCTCCTCTCAACCCTTCCGTCCCATACCCCCACTCCCAAAACCCCCACTCCCAAAACCCCCACTCCCAAAACCCCCACTCCCAAACCCCCACTCCCAAAACCCCACTCCCCCTTTTTTTCTGTCCAGGTGATAGCGTGCAACCTGAGTCGCGAGGAGATCCTGGGGCTGAAGAAGCTATTCAAGGGGATGGACAAGGACGGCAGCGGCAGCATCACGTTTGCTGAGCTCAAGACCGGCATGCAGAAGCTGGGCAACCCCATGTCGGAGGAGCAGCTGCAACAGATCATGGAAGCGGTGAGAATGGGAGACGGAATGTTGAGATGAGGTACTAGGGCAGTAAGGATGGGGCATGCAGAAGCTGGGTAACCCCATGTCTGAGGAGCAGGTGCAGCAGATCATGGAGATGGAAAGAGCGAAGGGATGGGACGGGTGGTTCACAACTATGTGGAGAAAGATGCACTGGGTCGCGCTTTTGAGAATTCTCAAAAGCACTGGAAGCGTTGCGTCCTGTGTCTGGACGCAGCGTCCGGACGCAGGACGCAGGCCAAGACGCATGACGCTTGGCCGGATTTTTTTTTTTCGGGCTGACCGGAAAAAAATCCGCACGCGAAATCGACATATGCCATTTCAACGTGAATGTCAATGTCGTGACCCCAACCCAATTCGACCACTGAAAACAGCTCCCCTCAACCAAACTTCCAATCTACCTTGTGGGGGGGAAGGAGTGGGGGGATGGTGGAGGGGAATATCGACGTTGGCAAATACGCGTATCGCGTATAATACGCTAGCGTATTATACGCTGGGTATATACGCGGTACGCCATGGCTGGCGTACTGCTGATACGCAAAAATACGCTAAGCGGGCAGGTAAAACTTTTCCCGGGCAGGTTTCGCCCCCGAACTGTAGGGAGTAGAGGTCGCCATGGCTAGGAAGTGCTAAAGCTAGGAGAGTTCGAGCTCGACGAGAGTTGGACGAAACGCAAGAAGAGAAATGCGGGGTTGAATGAAAGACGAGCTGTTTAGGGATTGAGGAGATGTTCGAACAAGTGAAAGGAGGGAGGTTGGGTTTGGGAGGTTGAGAGGGGTGGTGTGTGGTTGGGGATGTGGGAGGGGTTGGATTTTGAATTTCGAATTGCAGACAGGGGTTGGGTGCTGTGCGAGGTCGAGGGTTCAATTCTCGCCATCGCAAATTCTCGCAAATTTTCTTGAAGGTTTTTTTTTACGGGCTGCCCGGGCGTATTTTAGCAATTTCTAGGCGTATTAGCGTATTGCGTACATACGCTAGCGCGCCCACCCCCCAAGGGCGTATCTGCCAACGTAGGGGAACATTCCCACACCCCCCCTCCCCAAGGGGTACAAGTTGGAGGAGGATGGGGAGGTGAAGGTGGATGAGGACCTAAGTTGCCAAATACACTTATTGCGTATATACGCGTATCGTATATACGCTAACGTATGTACGCTATCTGCGTAGGGGGTCGATTTGGACATACGCTTTTTCGGGCAGGGAAAAAACTTTCCGGGCAGGGTAGGAACAAAAGTACTCCGTATTCTCACTATGGCATGCCCTAGCAGCATTCTTCTGAGTCCGAACGGCGGGTGAGGTGGGAGGTGGGGTACACATTTCAGCTAGAGAGAGATGTAGGAGTGGGCGGGAACTCTGCTGTACGCGGGAATGAATCGTGGGAAATGACGAATTAGCAGCTTGGATGGCTGGTAAGTAGTGTGAAAGGTTAGTTGAGGGGTCGATTTTGACGGGTTGGAGTTTGTAGATGGGTTGGGATGGGTTTCAGTGCGGTAGATGAGATGGGTTTCAATCAATGTGTAGATCTGAAATTCGACATTTGATTTGCCAAATGTGCCTCAAAACTTCCCGGCTAGCCTAGACCACGGATTTTTATTTTGACTTCGGCGATATGCTCACATAGAAAATCCGCAACTATTTCACGATTATTTTTCGGGCAGCCCGGAAATTTTTTCTGATTGCGTATAGCGTATTCGCGGGCGTATAGCGCATAGCGTACAAACGCTAGCGTACATACGCTAAACGCTGAAGGGGTTGAGCGTATTTGGCAACTTAGATGAGGACGACCTTTGTGTGGATGAGTACGAGCAGGAGGGCGAGAAGGAGGGCAAGAAGGAGGGCAAGAAGGAGGGCAAGAAGTAGGGCGGCAAGAAGGGCACTGAGAAGCTGGGTAACCCCATGCAGATGAACAATGTGGAGACGGAGGAGCACATCGCATTACACCCTCTCACAACATTCCAAACCCCCCCGTTTGCCCCACTTCCTCCCCTCTCCCTCCCCTCTTCCCCCTCCCTATACCCCAGTCCTCCCCTTGTTCCCCCATCCCTTTTCTTTATCTTACGCTTTCCCTCCACTGTGTTGGCTGGCAGACATGGACCACAGAGGCACCATTGAAAAAACGGAGATCATGACAGCAGGCTTGGAGTTGCAACCACCTCTCTTTCCTACCCTACCCCTCTTCACACCTACCCAACCCACCCAGGCAGACATTGGCCACAGCGGCACCATCGAAAACACGGAGTTCATGACAGCAGACTTAACGCTAAGGATCGTCGTTTTCCCATGAACTCTCCTCCCATTCTTTCTTCTTCACACCTTCTTGCTCCCAGGCGGACATGGACCACAGCGGCACGTTCGACTACACGGAGTTCATCACAACATCCTTGGAGCCGTCGGACCACCTTCTCCCACATATCTTACTTCCCGTCCTCTCTTTTCTTCGTGCGTGCATTCCTTTCCCCACCCAGGCGGACATGGACCACAGCGGCACGATCGACTACACGGAGTTCATCACAGCAACGATGCAGATGAACAAGGTGGAGAAGGAGGAGCACATTTGGAAGGCCTTCCAGCACTTCGACCGCGATGGCAGCGGGTGAGTGAGGTGGGAGGCACTTGGACCACGACGGCAGCAGGTGAGATGAGAACGGAGAGTTTTTAGGTGCCTGCCTCAAACGGCAACGATGCAGATGAACAAGGTGGAGAAGGAGGAGCACATCTAGAAGGCGTTCCAGCACTTTGACCGCGACGGCAGCGGGTGAGATGAAATAGGGGATGAGGGGGTGAGATGAGTTGAGAGGGCTATGTGGTTCCTAACACTGCAACTGTGATCACAGCAGGTTACACGATCGTAGATGAGAGGAGGCCTTGGAAAGCATTGCCGCTTGATGGTACCCGTTACTCCCCACGGTTTTCCCGCTGCCACGGCGGGGTCGTCATGGTGAGCAAGGTGAGGGACGCCCTGGCGAATCAAGGGCAGCGCACCAGCTTGGTGGTTACCACCCGGTGGTTACACTCTGCGACTCTAAACAGTCCCGCCCCCCCTCTTCCGCCCCTCCACATGGCAGGTTCATCACGGCGAGCGAGCTGAGGGACGTGCTGGCGAATGAGGACATGCTGGAGCCAGGCGAGCTGCTTGCTGGTTACCACCTGATGGTTACATTACACCTTGCAATCCCCCCCTATATTCCCCTGCCACAGGTTCATCACGGTGAGCGAGCTGAGGGACGCCCTGGCGAATGAGGACATGCTGGAGCCGGGCGAGCTGGAGCAGATCATTGAAGAGGTCGACACGGATAAGGTGAGACCATGAGGGGGGACGCAGGTACCGTGTGCGGGGTGTTAAAGAAGGGAGACGAGAGGGATGGGTGAATGAGGACATGCGGGAGCCAGGGGAGGTGGAGCAGATAATTGAAGAGGTGGACACGGATAAGGTGAGGGGGTGGGGGAGAATTGGATGGGAGGAGAGAGCAAGTGTTTAATGGGGTGGGGAGGAACACTTGTTCAGGTTAGAGAGGGAAAGTTTGATGTGTTAAGGAATGGTGAGCATCTCGCAGCCATAATGAGGTGTAAGTCGAAAGCAGGAGATATAGACAGCAGCCAACTCTCTTCTCATGTGCATGTGTGTGTGCACTGCGCGCCCTTTGCTTCGCTCTCTTTGTGTGTATTTTCAGAGCGGCACGATTGACTACGAGGAGTTTGCAGCCATGATGAGGAAGCAAGACCCGGAGACAGCCGGGGCACAGAAGCAGAGGCGGACCCGCAGTATCGGCGCAGACTACTATTGATTCTCTGCTGATCAAATAGAAATGTAACAAAATTTGGTAGGACTAGTGCATAAAACGGAAGTGCACTTAGTACCTAGCTGCTTTCACGTGCTTCCAGTACTGGTTCTTCGTGTTCACTTCATTTTGTAATACGGGATAAATCAACTCCGTGCTGATTTCCAAGCTGATGCTTCGTTGTGACTGATGCGTTACGTCCAGACAGTGAGAAAATTAAAGTTCCGTTGCCGGGACTTGAACCCGGGTCTTTCGGGTGAGAGCCGAATATCCTAACCGACTAGACTACAACGGATGCATATAAACTTTAAAAGTATATCCTGACCGTTAAATTTTTCTGACCAACACTTATCACTGCGTCAGTTCAACGCAGTTGTCGTCGGGATGTCGCGATGGCTCCTGAACGTCAAGAAGCAGTCGTTGCGACGCGCTAGAAGGCTCCTACTCTCCGCGGACAAGCTAGGTAGGCGCGTGCGAAACCTGAAGCTCATCTGGAAGTTCGGAGCGGTCTGCATCGTCATTCTCCTCTTTCAAGGTATCGCAGGCCCACGTTGGGAACCGTATGTGGAATCTGGACCGTACGTTCGATCACAGTTCTTCGCAGAATTGGACGGTCACGGTAGGGGTGCGTATGGGAGAGATTTTGGGTGGCAGGCGAGAGGACAGACGACAAGAAGTTCTTATTCAAATGCAGGAAACGGGAGATATTATGACGAGGATGCGCTGCATTCGGAGGAGTTTAATCATGATGCGAGGGGAAGGCGTACGTTTCAGGAGGAGCAGCGGCGACAGCAGCAGTTTAGCATCCAGGCGGAGACAGCAACGAGTTACAACTCTACGACGGCTCAGCATTCCAAACGGCAGATAGGGTCACACCCCGGTATTGTCACACGCCTGGCGACTTTACTATGGCGTTCCGTGTTCAGGCCAGCACCCCCTCCTGTCGACCAGGCCCCTTTTTGTCACATTCACAGACTTCAGAGCCGAAACGGCTCCGAAGCCAGCAGCAGGACCAGTACCAGCAGCAGCAGCGATGGCAGCAGCAGCGAGGTGGAAGGTAGAGGGAATAGAGGGGAGGATGAGCAGGAGACGAAGGGGATGGAAGAGTCAGAGGGGACGGAGGAGGAAGCCAGGGAGAGAGAGCAGCTCAGGGAGAGAAAGAAGCTTCAGGAGTTGAACAGAAAACGCGAAGAGTCCCTTCTCAGTCGCGATCCGTCCACCCTTCGCTACGCTTACGTCACCCTCCTCTGCGATGACGTCATGGCGCCCGGAGCCCTGGTGCTGGTGCATTCGCTGAAGCGCACGCGCACGCCGCACGACGTGGTGGTGCTGACGATGAACGTGAGTGAGGGCACGGCGGCGCGGCTGCAGCTGCTGGGGGCGAGGGTGAAGCAGATCGAGGAGGCGATCCCTTACCCGTTTCCTGCGACGCCGAATAGGGTCGCCATCAACAAGCCATGCAGGTGGGTGCAGTGCGGTGCATGTGGGTGGGATTTGAGTCGACTCGTAAATTGGCGCTCAGAGCCCAGGTGACTGGTGCTGGTGCATTCACTGAAGCGCACGGGCACGGCGCACGATGAACGTGAGTGAGTGCACGGCGGCGCGGCTGCAGCTGCTGGGAGCGAGGGTGAAGCAGATCGAAGAGGCCATATCCCTTCCCGGCCACCCGGCCACTTCGAACGGAGTCGTCATCAACAAGCCGTGCAGGTGGGTGCAGTGCGGTGCAGGTTGGTCTTGGGTCGACTCATTAATTGGCGCCCAGAGCCCTCGCGCACTCCGCACGACATGGTGGTGCTGACGATGAACGTGAGTGCAGGTGGGTGCCATGCGGTGCAGGTGGGTGGGTGGGTGGTGTGGGAGAGGCTAAGAGCACAGGCACGCCGCACGACGTGGTGGTGCTGACGATGAACGTGAGTGACGGCACGACGGCGTGGCTGCAGCTGCTGGGAGCGAGGGTGAAGCAGATTGAAGAGGCAATCCCGTACCCGTTTCCTGCGACGTCGAATAGGGTCGCCATCAACAAACCGTGCAGGTGGGTGGGGTGCAGGTGGGTGGGGTGCAGGTGGGTGGGGTGCAGGTGGGTGGGGGAGACGTGGTGGTGCTGACGATGAACGTGAGTGACGGCATGGCTGCGCGGCTGCAGCTGCTGGGAGCGAGGGTGAAGCAGATCGAAGAGGCGAACCCCCATACCCATTTCCTGCGACGCCTAACAGAGTCGCTATCAACAAGCTGTGCAGTGCAGGTGGGTGTTATGCAGGTGGGGTGGGTTGCAAATTCTTTTCTCTTCTCTTCTCTTCTCTTCTCTTCTCTTCTCTTCTCTTCTCTTCTCTTCTCTTCTCTTCTCTTCTCTTCTCTTCTCTACGCTCAACTGGCGAGACAAGAGACGCAATTTGGGACACCTCCAAATCCCGCACCCGTTTCCATCCAACCACTCTGAACCGAGTCGCCATCAACTAGCCATGCAGGTAGATGTGAGAGGCGTTTCCAGTAAATGCGTGCAGCAGCGTAAATCTGCAGAGTGAAGTGGAGGCTGAAAACATGTGTAGAAAAATCTGCAGAGTTGTTTCCATACAGTTACTATCCTATGTAAAGGTATTCCCCTGCTGAATAGGTCGTGTTCCCGGTGAGTGTAGGTTTGAAAATTACCTACTGGATCGGCTGTGTTCCTCCCCCCCTCCTCCCCTCCCTTGCCTCCCCCACCTGGCACCCCATCAGGTATTCCAAGCTGTGGATGTGGACCCTCACGGAGTACCAACGCTTAGTCTACAGACTCTACGTCGATGCCGACCTGCTCGTACTGAGCAGCTTAGATGAGCTTTTATGTTGCGATGAGTTGGCTTCTCCTACCCAACCCTTTCTCTCCCCCCTCTTCCCCTCCGTATTCCCATCCCATCAGGTATTCCAAGCTGTGGATGTGGACCCTCACGGAGTACCACCGCTTAGTCTACGTCGATGCCGACCTGCTCGTATTGAGCAGCCTGGACGAGCTCTTTTGCCGCGCTGAGCTGACTGCTGCACCGGACACCATCCCTCCTGACCGCTTTAACAGTGGCTTGATGGTTGTGGCTCCTAGTGACGATACGTTTAGGGACATGCTGAGCAAGGTGAGCAGTAAGCGGGCAGTGGGTGAAGGAAATGGGTTTGGGGGGGGTAGAAGCCATGGGTGGGCATTTCGAGAAGTCTCAAAAAGGGGAAGGAAGGAAGGAAGGAAGGAAGGGTAAGGGGTGAAGGGGCAGAAGGAAAGAGCTCTCTGCTGCATGCACCCGGGCACCATTCCCCCTGACCACTTCAACAGTGGACTGATGGTGGTGGCAGGCTCCTAGTGACGACACTTTCAGGGATATGCTGAGCAAGGTGAGCAGGGAACGAAGGCATGGGAATAGGTGGGTCGAATTGAAGGAACGAGCTCTCTCCTGTGACTTCCCTCCCTCTCTTCTCCTGTTTACCACTCCAACCCCTCCCCTCCCGCTTCCTCCCCCACCTCCCTTTCCCTGTTCTCCTTTTCGCCCAGGTAGCAACAACCAAGTCACCCAATGTTGGCGATCAGGGCTTTCTCAACAACTACTTCTCCGACTGGTATTCCCAAGGCCCCTCCCGCCACCTGCCCTACGCCTTCAACCCACTCGTGCGCCTCAGCGGGTGGGAGGGGTGGGAGAAGTTCGTGCAGCCGCAGCTGAGAGTGCTGCACTTCTCTGGGAGCACCAAGCCGTGGAACACCATGGAGGACAAGCAGGCAGGTGACTATAACGGGAGGACAAGCAGGCAGGTGACTATAACGGGAGGACAAGCAGGCAGGTGACTATAACGGGAGGACAAGCAGGCAGGTGACTATAACGGGAGGACAAGCAGGCAGGTGACTGTAACGGGAGGACAAGCAGGCAGGTGACTATAACAAGATGACAAGCAGGCAGGTGACTATAACAAGAGGACAAGCAGGCAGGTGACTGTAACGGGAGGACAAGCAGGCAGGTGACTATAACGGGAGGGAGTGGTTCTATCAAAGTGGTCAAACGGGGGTGACAATTGTGCGGGGCATTTTTTTTTTTTTTTTTTGGTGAAGAGGGAGAAAGAAAAAATAAATGCAGCGCATTTGCTGGCTCGCTGCATACATTGTCACCCCTCTTCTCCGCATTGAATTTCTCTCCACCTTGAATCCCTCTCCACCGCATCCAATACCTCTCGCCCAGTTGCCCACCATTCGCAGCTTGGATCACATCTAGCTCGCTGCTCACACCGACAAGCTGAAGGCCCTTGCAAAAGCCTTTGCCACCCCTCACCACCCCACTAGTTCTCTCTCCACTGCATTGAAATTCCTCTCCATCCCATTCAATCTCCTCTCCACCCCTATATCTCGCCTCCAGTTCCCTACCACTCGCAGCTTGGATCACATCTGGTTCGCTGCTCACAACGACAAGCTGAAGGCCCTTGCAAAAGCCTTTGCCACCCCTCACCACCCCACTAGTTCTCTCTCCACCGCATTGAAATTCCTCTCCATCCCATTCAATCCCTCTCCACCCCTCTATCTCGCCCCAGTTCCCTACCACTCGCAGCTTGGATCATATCTGGCTCGCTGCTCACAACGACATGCTGCAGGCCCTTGCAAAAGCCATGGCTGCTGCGAAGACAGCTGGAAATGGTAGTGGCAGCAGCAGCACAGGCGCAAGGGAGCTTTCTGGTAAAAATGCAGCAGCAGGGGAAGGGGATGGTGGAGTTGAGACGATCGGGGCGAGCGGTGAATATGCCCCGCTTTCTTCCGCCTGCCAAGAGGAGGGACCCACAAACGCCAGGTGATTCTTTGGAGTTGTTTCAAATTTCTCATTCGTCAAATGCCAGCCATTTCAAGCCCTTCAGGTTTGTGCATGTTTCTGCTGCACCTGTGGTGGCACATGTGTGCGTGCGTCGTTTTTGCAAAAGATGTAGGCGTGACATATCACATATGAATGAAGTAGTTTTGCTCCCATCTGTCTCTATGATCGCTGGAGTGATCTTAAATGAGCTCTCTCTACCCACCCACTCAGTCACCCACCCACTCAGTCACCCACCCACTCAGTCACCCACCCACTCAGTCACCCACCCACTCAGTCACCCACCCACTCAGTCACCCACCCACTCAGTCACCCACCCACTCAGTCACCCACCCACTCAGTCACCCACCCACTCAGTCACCCACCCACTCAGTCACCCACCCACTCAGTCACCCACCCACTCAGTCACCCACCCACTCAGTCACCCACCCACTCAGTCACCCACCCACTCAGTCACCCACCCACTCAGTCACCCACCCACTCAGTCACCCACCCACTCAGTCACCCACCCACTCAGTCACCCACCCACTCAGTCACCCACCCACTCAGTCACCCACCCACTCAGTCACCCACCCACTCAGTCACCCACCCACTCAGTCACCCACCCACTCAGTCACCCACCCACTCAGTCACCCACCCACTCAGTCACCCACCCACTCAGTCACCCACCCACTCAGTCACCCACCCACTCAGTCACCCACCCACTCAGTCACCCACCCACTCAGTCACCCACCCACTCAGTCACCCACCCACTCAGTCACCCACCCACTCAGTCACCCACCCACTCAGTCACCCACCCACTCAGTCACCCACCCACTCAGTCACCCACCCACTCAGTCACCCACCCACTCAGTCACCCACCCACTCAGTCACCCACCCACTCAGTCACCCACCCACTCAGTCACCCACCCACTCAGTGCGCTATGACAAGCTAACGGTGGTGCTAACAGCAACAGGCGCCCCACACCAGACCATGCAAGCCATTCGCCACTACGCTGCAGCCCCTGTGGTTCGAGACATCTTCGTGCTTCTGTCTGATGACAACCCACTCGCCCAAAGCAGCAGTAGCAGCAGTGGCAGCAGTGGCAGCGCCAGAAGCAGCATCTTTCCTCTGGTGCAGGGCGAGAGGCCTGTTGTTCTTCTCCCTCTCTGCAATCCACCAGCAACTGCTCGCTTCAGGCCCATTCTGTGAGTTTCGGCTCTGAAAAGTTTCGCTTCAGACACATCCATCTCGCCTCCATCTCGCTTCTTTCTCCCCATCCACTCCACCACTTTCCCGTCTCCTCTCCTCTTGTACCCTCTACCCGTTGCTCCCATCAAATTTCTTTCCACTGCTGCAGTCCTAGTAATTGACGACACCTTGCTGCTGCCGCCCCTCCCCTCCTCTCTACTCTTTTTCCTCACCCTGATCCCTCTTTCCTTTTCCTTCCCCCATCAGCTCTCTCACCACCACTGCTGCAGTTTTGGTGATGGACGATACCATGCTGGTGCCCCCTGCTCTCCTCCCACCGCCCTCCGCTCTCCTCCTCTCCAAGGGCGTCCTCAAAGGGCGACGCACCGTGCATGCATGCATGCATGCATGTGTGCGTGTATGTGTGTGTGTGTGTGTGTGTGTGTGTGTGTGTGTGTGTGCGTGCGTGCGTGCGTGTGTGTTTACCATCTTTCAACTCCCACCACTCTCCTCCCTTTTCCCCACCAGGTCCCTAACTACTGCTGCCGTCTTGGTGATAGATGACACAATGCTGGTCCCCTCTCCCCTCCTCGCCACATCCCTCGTGCGATGGCGGGAAACACCCAACCGCCTGCATGGCTTCCTCCCTTCCGCCCACTTCCGCCTCTCCAAGGGCCCCCTCAAAGGGCGATTGGCCGTGCATGCTTCCCTGGGGCCGGGAGGGGACTATTCGGTGGTTACTGGCGCTCTGCTGCTGCATAGGAACTACCTGCATTATTTTAGCTGCACGATGAGAGAGGAGGCGCGGCGGTATTTGGAGGGAGGAGATGAGGGAGACGGTGGGGGAGGGAGTGAGGGAGGGAGTGAGGGAGGGAGTGAGGGAGGGAGTGGGGGAGGCGGTGGAGGCGGTCTGTCCAATCCGGCGGCGAGGGCGTGTGCTGACGTGGCGATGAACATGCTGGTGACTCATCTGTCGGACCTGTCACCGTTGACCATCTACGACTCAACACAGGAGGTTCAAGGGCCCTTCCCCTTGCCCCCTGCGCCTGCCATGTGAGTGTGTGCTGGGCTGTTTGAAATGCTGTTTGTTGAGCTGTGTGTGTGTGTGTGTGTGTGTGTGTGTGTGTGTCTGTGTGTGTGTGTGTGTGTGTGTGTGTCTGTGTGTGTGTGTGTGTGTGTGTGTCTGTGTGTGTGTCTGTGTGTGTGTGTGTGTGTGTGTGCCTGTGTGTGTGTGTGTGTGTGTGTGTGTGTGTGTCTGTGTGTGTGTGTGTGTGTGTGTGTGTGTGTGTCTGTGTGTGTGTGTGTGTGTGTGTGCCTGTGTGTGTGTGTGTGTGTCTGTGTGTGTCTGTGTGTGTGTGTGTGTGTGTGTGTGTGTGTCTGTGTGTGTGTGTGTGTGTGTGTGTGTGTGTGTGTCTGTGTGTGTAAGCCAACTCTTAACATTCGTTCTACTCAAGTACATGATTGTTTGTTTGATCCCGAAGCCAAACAGTGACTCTTCGTATCTGTTCTACACTACCTTAGCATCTCCCCCACCGTCTCCTCACCCCACCGTCCACCCTCCACAGGGGCAGACAGTTCTCTCAACGACCTCTCAACACACATGGGCCGACTTTTGAGGCGCCTCAAAAGTCGTCGCAGTTCTCTCAACGACCTCTCAACACACATGGATTTCATGTCCCTTATCTACACAGTTTTTATCCTCACCCACATGGTTTTTATGTGATAGCACTGTAGGTGGGACATTTGGCAGATGTCTCACCTACAGACAGACAGCGCCCCCTAGCTGCACATCTGATGCCAGCTTTCATTCAACCCACAAGCCACTGCTCGTCGTCTCCCCCGTCACCCTCACCCTCCCTTTTCCCTCCACAGGGGTAGGTGTCTCAACGACCTTGCCATTCACATGGGCATCATGCCTCTTAGGAGCACCATCGATGCAGCTACAGTCATGCATAAGGACTCGCACATATACGTGAGTCTCAATTCATATTCATATGCTGGTACTTCTCCTTACTTTCTGTGTCCCCGTCTCTATTTCCCGTCCTTCCTTCCAAGTAGGAAACGTATATTCGTGTTTGTCTCACTCCTATGTTTTCCCCCATTCTCACCGCCTCTTTCCCAACCACTCTAATCCACACCCCCCCTCCCCTCGTGTAGTGAGGCGTTTTTTGAGGCACCTCAAAAAACGTCTCAGTTAAATCGTCCTATGTTTTCTCCCATCTCAAACGCCTCCCCCCCCTCCCATCCACCCTCTCCACCTCCCCTCTCCACCCTTCCCTGCGTTTCCTTCCAAGCAGGAGCCCAAGGTTCGTGTGCGCCCGGCGCCGCTCCTCTTCTCCCCGATACTCAACGCCTCCCTCCCAACCACCCTCCTCCACCTCATCCCCCGCCGCTACCGCCGCTTCCTCCCCAGCTTGGAGAGCACCCACCCGCGCGTACTATCTGTTCCGGGGGATGCTGCTCCCAAGCATGCTGTGTGCCTGCGGGTGAGTTTCTTTAGCAACTGCCATCCTGCCTTGGGGGACAGCACCCACCCGCGCGTGCTATCTGTTCCGGGGGATGCTGCTCCCAAGCACGCCGTGTGCCTGCCTGCGGGTGAGTCTTTAAACCACCTGCTCGTGCTGGCTGTTACCAGTGCCGGCCATTCTCACTGCACACGCACGCCGCGCGCGCACGTGCATGCACACACACATACACGCACCTTCACACACATGTTAGGGTTTAGGGTTCACGATGGCAATCCGAGTAAGAGTTGAGAACGAAGACACAAAACCGACGCTCACGCAGGAGTACGAGGTGGGTCGTGAAGCACCTCCGTTGGCCATTCGCCGGAGCACGGCCACGTCCATGGAAGAAAGCGACAAGCAAGTGCTATGAGCTAGGACGTTGGTACTTCCTTGTCGCTGTCTTCCATGGACGTGGCCACGCTCCGGCAAATGGCCAACGGAGGTGCTTCACGACCCACCTCGTCCTTCTTGCGTGAGCGTCGGTTTTGTGTCTTCGTTCTCAACTCTTACTCGCGTGCACGCACACACACACACACACACACACATCCCAGGTCTTCCACTTCCTGCCCTGCTCATCCTTTCGCAACGGAGCTCTCTATTTTTGAGGCGCCTCATAATTGTTCTCGTCCCGCCCTGCTCATCCTTCCGCAGAGAGCCGAGGAGCATGAACCAGCAGTGGAGCTCTCTAGTTGTGAGGCACCTCAAAACTATTCCCTTGCTGCCCTGCTCCACTTTTCATACCTTCACAGGTAGCTGAGGACTCCAAAGCAGCAGTGGAGCTCTCTCTCTCCGAAGCCATCTCGTCCCCGGTCACCGCACTCCACCTCTCCGGAACCTCTGTCTTCGCTTCCACTCCCTCCACTGCAACCATTACAAGCCCAAGCACACCCATCAGCAGCAGAGAGAAAGATGATATCATGCACAAGGGGATGAATGGAGATGAAGGAATGATGATGTTAGGGTTTGATGATCCGTTTGCCGTGTTCCATCTGGCAGCAAGATTGGCTGTGTGGCGAAAGTCCGAAGGCTGCTTTGCTCCCTCCCGCCTGCTGCTCTTCCACGGCGACCAACTGCAACCAACAGTGAGTGAGCGGGTGCGATGCTACGGTTTGATGATCGGTTTGCAGTGTTCCATGTGATGTCAACATTGGTTGCTTGGAGGAGTTCAAAGGGGTGCTTTGCTCCCTCCCATCTACCGCTCTTCCACGGCGACCAACTGCAACCAACAGTGAGTGAACGGGTGCGATGCTACGGTTTGATGATCGGTTTGCAGTGTTCCATGTGATGTCAACATTGGTTGCTTGGAGGAGTTCAAAGGGGTGCTTTGCTCCCTCCCATCTACCGCTCTGCTTTGCTCCCTCCCATCTACCGCTCTTCCACGGCGACCAACTGCAACCAACAGTGAGTGAACGGGTGCGATGCTACGGTTTGATGATCGGTTTGCAGTGTTCCATGTGATGTCAACATTGGTTGCTTGGAGGAGTTCAAAGGGGTGCTTTGCTCCCTCCCATCTACCGCTCTTCCACGGCGACCAACTGCAACCAACAGTGAGTGAACATGCGCCCGTGTTTTGAGACGTCTCTAAACCGAACTGCAGTCAACAGTAAGTGAACATGCGCCGTTGGAAATTCTCAGAAGCGGCTCTTCATGTCTTTTCGTTTCGTGGATAGGCATTGCATTGCATATCTCCCCCTTTACCCCTGCGCCCCCCTGCTGCTCCTGTTCAACCCCCCTTCCTTCCACCCAGTTGCTTCACGTCTCCCCATGGGCATCGCTGCTACTCAAGGCCACCCTCGGAGACGCCGCCTTTCCCCCATTTGCTCCGCCCACCACCGCTGCCACTGCCACCAGCACTGCTGCTGATGCCTCTTCTGCTGACTCCAGTTCCTCCATGGTGTGTTTTGACCGTGTGGTGCTGCTGCGAGGTCCCGTGCTTCCTGCTGCAAAACCACGCGATGCCGGTACCGATGAGGGTGGCGGTGGCAGCGGTGGTGACAGCAACAGTGGCAGCGGGGATGGCGACATGGGATCGGGATCGGGATGTGACAGCCGTGCTGTCATCATTCGCTCAGCCCTTGGTCATACGTGCCGGTATGCATATATCTGCCATCCGCTCTCCAAGCACGTCAATCAAAATCACTTTTGAGTCGTCTCAAAAGTTGACTCAAAGGCCAATATCTGCCATCCGTTCTCCAAGCACCTCAATCTAAATCACGCTCAGTGATGCACCATGCATGCCAGTATGCGTATGATCTGCCATCCATGATTTTGCCGCTGACCTGACTTTCATACATGTCTCCCACGAAGCCGCTGACCTGACTTTTGAGTCGACCCAAAAGTCCGCTGACCTGATCTGCTGATTGTTACACTATGTTAGGAGGGAAGAGGCGGGGAAGGCTTGGCGCTTGAGGTTATTTTTTTCAAGTCGACTTAGAGGTTTCCTCAGAAATGTACACTGTTGATACATAAGCTGAAACTAAGCTTCATCGTAATGCACATAAGACCCCTCGCTCCCATAATGGGGTTTAGAACGGTCATGAGGTTGCTTACAACAGAACAACAGTCATTAGCTGTGCCAAGATAGAATTCGAAGTTCTTGCTTCATACCCTCATCTCAATTTCCAAACTCTTCCCTTCCATCGTCCTCCCCCACCACCGCGTTCCCATTTCTGCATCTATTATCTCTTGTTCCACATCGACACCTCTCTGGCTTTCTCGTGTGAACCTGCCTTCAAATCGACTACCCTCCCTCGACCCCCTTCCTTCCTTACCTCCCCTTCTCTCCTTCTCCCTCCCCGTTCGCCTCTCAGTCTCCAGCCGCCCGTTCGCTCCGCTCTCGCCATCCTCATCGCGGGTTCAGATGCCGCATGGAGACAACACATGCCGCCCTCCCTGCAACCCACGAACCTGACTGCTGCCCTGCACAAAGAGTGCTCCCGAGCACGTCTGCCCTGTGAAGTGCTGCGAGCACAAGAGGACAAAGACCCGTGCACCGATCAGGTCAGTGCCTTAACACAGCTCACATACCACTGCAAGCATATTTCACGCAACCCAAGACGGCCATTTCCTGTGAAGTGCTGCGAGCACAAGAGGACAAAGACCCGTGCACCGATCAGGACAGTGTCTTAACGCCGACCCTACACAATCTTGATTTACATCAGCCCCTTCACAACGCTCTCTCCACTACACTGCCTTCAACTTCTTTCCGTTCGGAGCCTCAATTTTAAGAGCCATTCACTGTTGTTGTTCACTCGGTTCCCCGTGCTCCTATCTCGTCATCTTTCATCTTTTTCCTTTTTTCTGGTTGGATGCAAGCCGATCTGGTGCTGCTGCCTTTGGTCCCTGCTCCACCCACCAACACCATGCGTTCCTTTGACAATTAAATCTCTGTTGGTGATTTCCTTGTTCTCTTGTCCATTTCTCCTGCTTGTTCTTCCAGGTTCCGGCATGGATGCAAGCTGATCTGGTGCTGCTGCCATGGGTCGCAGCTGCACCCACCAACACCGCCACTGTCAATGAAACTCAAAACAGAAAGCTTCAGGAAAGGCAAAGAGAGGAGCTGGAGAGGCACTACACGCCAGAACTGCTACAGTATTCTGTGCTGCTGATGCCAGGTTCCTCCCTCGCGCATCTTTACCCTGCCCGGACCCCAAAAGTGCCGCTCCACTTGGCCCAGAAAAAGCTGGGTTGTTTTGGGATTGCGTACTCGCAGCTGCCCGTGGGCCAGGGTTCCAGCCTGGGGTTTCAAGGGGTGTTAAAATGGATAAGGGAGCAGCTGAAGGGATGGGAGGGGAAGGGGGGGAGCAAGGTTGAGAGGAAGGGCGTGAGGCAAGGGGTACGAGGGGATGATATTGTTGAGTATGCTTGTGCGGGGAGGGAAGTGGAGCATGTGGGGGTTCATCATGTGGATGATGAGGAACTATGGGACTTGGATGAGGATTCCGAAAGTGGTAAGCAAAGCTAGTAACGGATGCTAGGTACGTATGTGTATGTCCTCTGTGTACCAAATGCAGTAAGATTCGGTACCAATACCGGTAAGTGGTTATTGACCCATATCACTAGCAATAATAGTACAGTGTGGATATCTGTATCATGAGCTGATATTGACATGGTCAAACACGCGCAGAATCACCATGAGCCCAAACTGGTCCACAACAGCAATTCTTACTGCCTTACGCGGAAACTCTTTGCTCCCAGGCGAGTGGAATGCAGCTGCATACCCCTTGGAGGAACAGCCAAAGACACCTTCAACACCACTGCTGCCACTGCTGCTAGTCTTGGCTAGTGAAATACCGGTGGTCCTTTCTCGAAACGGCTCAACATCACTGTTGCCGCCTGTGGCGAGTGGAGCATCATTGACCCTTTCTTTATGCTGCTCTAGACTACTGCTGCTGCTGCTGCTGCTGCTGCTGCTGCTGCTGTTGCTGACCGTGAAGAGTGAGGTACCAACAATCCTTTCTCGAGGCGGCTCAAGATTATTACTGCTGCTGTCCGTGGCGAGTGGAGAATCATTGACCCTTTCGTTAGGCGGCTCCAGACTACTGCTGCTGGCCATGGGGAGTGGAGTACCGGCGAGCCTGACAATCCGAGAGATCCTGGTAGCAGGGTTTGTTGCATGGCACAGGGGGAGCATCCAGGGAGAAAGTCATGTTTTTTTTCTTCTTCTTCTTTCACCCTAATTTGATGCAGGCATTGGGAGGTGTATGCAGGTTAACAACAGAGATGCTAGCGGGTGAGAGGGAGAGGAAACAGCATTGGGAGAACGTGTGGGGCAGGAACTAGGAGTTAAGAGCCATGTGGGGTGATGACCATTGGGTAATGACAAAATCAATCATACGCAGAATGATGAGCGTAAATTAATGAAAAAAGCCACGTACCATGCAGGCGATAGCTCTCGTGACGCACTCACAGGAACGACCACTTCAGCCTGCAAAAGAGAAAGAGAGAGGGAGAAAGGAAGCAGGAAAATAAGGCAGGAAACGTGAATGGTGGGGCATATGGGAGGCAGAGGCTGAGGAACAATTGAAACAGATAGGATGGAAGCATGGCCAAGTAAGGACAAATAACAATGCTAAGGTCAAATGCCAAGAGATGACTCCAATGTGAACTGGGACTACTTGCACACGGAGACTGACTCTGAAACAGGAGCAGCATGTAAACATGGGCTGTATACAGCATACCTTGTCTGGATGCTCCCCTCGTTTGTAGCACATGATAGCAAGCAGACTCAAGGGCTGCTGCTGCTGGGGCATTTGAACAGGTCCTGAATCCCACCCCGATTGCTTTCTCTCATCATGCATATCCCAGCCCTGCTGCTTCTCCTGCTGCTGCTGCTGCTGCTGCCGTTGTTTCTTTCCTACACTTTTCTTTTCTGAATGCCTTTCGTTGGGACTTTCTTCCATGGACCTGGCACCTCCCTCCCCTCTCTCTGTCGACCCATCCCTCTCTGCCATCCCCTCCCCTCCCGCCCTCCCCCCTGCCGCCCTCTCTCCTTCCGCCTCCTCCCCCGCACTTTCTGCCAGGAAAACTACCTCCACTCGTCTCCACCAATCAGCGGCTGCCAGCTTGGACAGCGCCATGTAAGCTTCCAGAGGCGAGGCGGGCCAATTAGAGGGCTTGATGGAATGAGGAGCGGAGAGGGGAGGAGAGGAGGGATGGATGGACGTGAGGGGGAAAGGTTGGCACACGGGAGTAGAGGAGGAAAAAGAGGAGGGACAGGAGGAGGGAAGCGAGGAGCAGAGGGAGAGGAACCGATGCCACGGGGGGAGAGAATCCGCAACCAATGGCCGTATATTGCTGCTGCCGTCGGTGCAGCCGCTGCTTCTGCTAATTCCGCTGCTGCTGCTGCTGCTGCTGCTGCTGTCGCCATTGCAGCCGTCCCTGTCAATGACCAGGAGCAATGTCCGGCATGGCTTGCGAACTTGTCTGCCTCCTCCCTTTCTTCCAAAACCACCGATATCACCCGTACCATTACCGCTCTCACTACCACTACCACTACCACTACTACCCTGCGTCATTGCCCCCGCTGCTCGTTGCTGCGGCGTCAGGATCGTGACACGTTTCGTTTTTTTTTAGCCTGATAATGACGTCAGATTGTGTTTCTGATGTTGGAACCTTTTCTGTCCGTTCCAAGCCGTCCGTCCGTCGCGGTTTCGCCAGCCCAAAGCTGAAAGAAAGCGAGCGAGTTACAAAAAAAATCTACGACACAAGAATCTAGTATTGTCGAGCAGGGTCGTATATGGCGGATACAAGGATGCTTGGTAACTTTTCGACTTAGGACTCTTGTGAATTCAGGAATTTCGTGATGCAGCTTTTCCGACATTCCAGCCAGCGGCGAAGCCAGTGAGCGAAACCAAACAGTGCAGTTTCGAGCGTTTGCGAATTCTCGCTTCAAGGAAATGCCCTCGCATTTTTTCGCCCACCCAACTCACTTTCAGGAGGTTGTCGCAGCAGCTCGTAACTTGCAACCAATGATACAGTTGTCAAACCAGTTTGATTCAAATTGCGCATTTGCAAATGTCATATCACATTGCGATCTGAGTGCGACACATGCACAGGCGGGAGAAGAAGCACGTTCTAGGGTTTCCTGAAAAGACTCCCTAGAAATACATCTGGAAACATAGATATCCAGGCACCAATAATGGAGGCGCTAATGCATGCCTAACGCACAACGCAGCAAGCGATTGGTTGTTAGAGCCCTTCGTAATCGAGCCCGCTGTTGGTGCGTCCATCATTCCAAAAAGCATCCTTCCGAACCTTTCTCTCGAGCCAGATTCCGAATAGCGGCCGCGTAAACGAACCCTGCATTTTTTAGGCGCCTCAAAAGTCGAACCCTGCACGTTGCGGAATCTGAGCCGAGCGAAACGCGGAGGACGCAGGGGAGGGGAGGGACGCGGGAAGGGGAGGGACGCGGGGGAAGGGGAGGGACGCGGGGGAAGGGGAGGGACGCGGGGGAAGGGGAGGGACGCGGGGGAAGGGGAGGGACGCGGGGAAAGGGGAGGGACGCGGGGAAAGGGGAGGGACGCGGGGAAAGGGGAGGGACGCGGGGAAAGGGGAGGGACGCGGGGAAAGGGGAGGGACGCGGGGAAAGGGGGGGACGCGGGGAAAGGGGAGGGACGCGGGGAAAGGGGAGGGACGCGGGGAAAGGGGAGGGACGCGGGGAAAGGGGAGGGACGCGGGGAAAGGGGAGGGACGCGGGGAAAGGGGAGGGACGCGGGGAAAGGGGAGGGACGCGGGGAAAGGGGAGGGACGCGGGGAAAGGGGAGGGACGCGGGGAAAGGGGAGGGACGCGGGGAAAGGGGAGGGACGCGGGGAAAGGGGAGGGACGCGGGGAAAGGGGAGGGACGCGGGGAAAGGGGGGACGGGGGAAAGGGGAGGGACGCGGGGAAAGGGGAGGGACGCGGGGAAAGGGGGGACGCGGGGAAAGGGGAGGGACGCGGGGGAAGGGGGGACGCGGGGGAAGGGGGGAGGCGAGAGCGGATGGCGGACTCGGGATTGACGGGGAGTGCGGCAGAGAAGGGGTCGATCACAGAAATATCGGAAATAACGGAAATAGCGGCCAAGAGGCCTCGCATCGAGGGCCAAGACAGGAAAACGGAAGGAGCGGAGGGACCCACACCTTCAACTAGAACGTTACTTGAAGCTTCGAAAAAAGGAGAGGGCTCTGCCGCGGTAGCAGAGTCGGTTTACATTGCTGGGCGATACTTAAAGGTACCGCTCTCAACTCGACCTCCTCCATTCCAACTAAAACCCACCTACATCTCTTTTTTACTATGATTTACGCGTAGAAAACAGACAACCAGCCTCTTTCCTGCCCCTCGATTACGCACCAAAAACTCCTTCCTCTCCCCTCCCCTTCCTCCCCCTCATCCCAAACGTGTCCGTCCCTCGTCCCTTGGTCTAAATATCTAAACCCCTTCATTAACCCCCGCTAAACCCTGCTCCCACCAAACCCCCTCTTTCAAAACCCCTCCTCTCTTTCCTTCTGAAAGCATCTCCCCTTTCTCCAAACCCCTACTGCATCTTGGAGGTGTGTGGCAAGTCTCTCACACCCTGAACCCGTTCTGTTGTTAACCCCCTTTGTGTTTCATTTTCATCATTCGAAACCCTTTTCCCTCCCCCCCCTCCCAACTCCCCCCCACCACACACCCTCCCCCCCCCCCCCCCCCCCCCCCCCCCCCCACTCCCGGGTTCACCATCTCGGTGGCATGTGGCAGTTTTCCCGCGCCCTGAGCCAGTCCCCATGGACGGTGGATGATGAGCAGATGGGGGATGGCTCTGTCCAGGTGCTTATAACGGGGATGGATCTGTCCAGTTGCTTATAATGGGGATGGCTCTGTGCAGGTGATTATAAGGGCGATAGCTCTTTGCAGGTGCTTAGCGATGGCTCCGTGCCGGCGCTTATAGCCGGGATGGCTCTGTGCAGGTGCTTATAGCGGGATGACTCTGTGCATTCATGTGCATATAGTGGGGATGGCTCTGTGCAGGTGCTTATAGCGGGATGACTCTGTGCATTCAGGTGCATATAGTGGGGATGGCTCTGTGCAGGTGCTTATAGCGGGATGACTCTGTGCATTCAGGTGCATATAGTGGGAATGGTTCCGTGCCGGTGCTTATACCAGGGATGACTCTGTGCATGCAGGTGCATATAGTGGGAATGGTTCTGTGTCGGTGCTTATAACGGGGATGGCTCTGTGCAGGTGCATATAGTGGGAATGGTTCTGTGCTGGTTAGCCAGGATGACCACTATTACGGGGATGGCTTCGTGCCTTTTCTTATTGTGGGAATGGCTTCACGCAAGTGCTTATGATTCGGCTGGTTATGTGCAGGTTCTTATTGCAGGAACTTATCACGGGTCATTATGCTTTGTGCTCGTTTTCCAAAATGTGCAGGATCTAATAGCATCCCACGTGCTACCTTCCCTGCAACCACTGTCGCACAAGTTCCAAGCTGCTGGGCGAGAGGACATTGATGTGAGTGAATGTTAGTCACCAATGGATGAATTCCCTCCCACACATACTTTTCCGCTTGTTGCGACCGATTTTTTACATTTTATTTAGACCACTTGAGAAGACATCGACGCGAGAGAGTGAGAGTCACGAATTGATGCAATCCTTGAGTGACCTTCCGTACAAGAATGCAGTTTGCTACTACACTAGGTGTGCTGAGGATCCACTTGGGATCATGCCAGAGAATGCTCGCATTGCAATCAACAATTTGGGGATGATTTGAGGGTATCATTTTTACTGTGTCATGTATACATGCTAGAGGTGGTTATATGCTTTCATTTTCACCATCTATCAAGTCCGTTAAACTGTATCTGAACACTGCATAGTTCTTCTATCCTTTTCTCTTTGTACTCTCTTTCGCTCCCTTCCATCCCGCACTCTTATGCCTCAGATCCACATCATAGACATTGACCACAATGTGTACTACCATTTCGTGCAACATGCCGGGATCACGCAGTATCACCATGTTGATGGATATTTTTTTATCGAGTTCGTTTGCAATGATCACAAAATCATGTTGTCGTTTCATACTAAACACAGGGATCAAATATGTGGTGCTATTCACATCCATTCGCAGAGGTGGGTACAATAGATTCGTCTAATGGGTATGAATAGCACTGCAAAATTTTTTCACTGTCTTCGGTATGAAACGAGAACATGACTTAATGATTATTGCAAGCAGATTCGATGAAAAAATATCCATCAACGTGGTGGTACTGTGTGATTTCGGCATGCTGCACAAAATAGTAGTATACATTGTGGTCAGCGTCTTTAACATGGACCTGAGGCATAAGAGTGCGGGATGGAAAGGGGGGGGAGAGAGAGAGTACAGAGGTTAAAGGGTAAAAAAACTACGCAATGTTCAGATAGACTTTAACGGACCTGATAAATGACGAAAATGAAAGCATACAACCACATCTAGCATTCATACAGAACACAGTAGGATTGGTACCTTTACTCACCTCAAATTGTTGATTGCAATGCGAGCGTTCTCTGTCATGATCCCGAGTGGATACTCAACACACCTAGTGTTGTAGCCGACTGCATTCTTGTATGGAAGATCACTCAACGATTACATGCGATTTCAAAGGATTCTAAACAATCGCTCCAGAAGACATCAGTGTCAGCGAATCCCAGCCCTAATATCAGAGGGGCCAGGCGAGTGCGCTAATATCCTCCCAACCCTTTGTAACGAGGTCACATTTGAGTCGAATGATCTCACCAATCTCACTGATTCTCACTCAGGGAGCAGCAGCCTGTGGTTAAGGAAGCCAGTCAGAGGGGCCAGGTGGGTGCGCCAATACCCCCTCCAACCCTTTCCTCATCCCCCCCCCAAACGCACAGGTGCGCATGCTGGGTTCGGGGCGGCCGTTTCGGCTGGAGCTCAAAGGGGCGAGGCGAGTGCCTACTGCTGAGGAGCTAGGGAGGATAGAACAGGAGATTAACGAGCAGGAGAGGGGCAAGGTGCGTGATGAGGGTTGATTTCAATGACCGTTGAGTTGATGCACTGGGAAGGGCCACGCAGGTGCCTGCCGCTGAGGAGTTAGGGAGGATAGAGCAGGAGGTCAACGAGCAGGAGAGGGGGAAAGTGAGTGATGACGGTTGATTCGAAGGCTGTTGAGTTCATGCCCTGTGAAGGGCCACGCAGGCGCCTACTGCTGAGGAGGTAGGGAGGATAGAGCAGGAGATCAACGAGCAGGAGACGGGGAAGGTGAGTGATGACGGTTGAGTGACGGACTGTTGAGTTGGTTGAAGCGCGAAAGATCTGATTCAATCGCAGACCGTTCTTTTCTGTTCTGTTCCGTCCCATCCGGTCCCGCTCCGCTCGGTCGCATTGTGTTTTTGTTCGGTTTCATTCTGTTCTCGTCTGTTCCATGCCACCTGAACTGGTTTCTCGTGCCCATCCCTTTACTTTCCTTTCTCTTTTACCAACCATCCATCTCCCGCCCATCCCTGTATCGCCCATTCTTGTTAGGTGGGCGTGTGTCAACTGCAGCTGGCAGATTCACGCGTGTGTGCGCTGATGCGACAGGGGGAGGCAGAGAAGCAGGTGAGTGGGGAGGAGGCGGGAGTGAGAATGTCCACGTGTAGCGAGGGTGTTTTTGAGACGTCTCAAAAACACCCTCGCTACACGTGTAGGGAGGAGGCGGGAGTGAGAATGTGTGTGTGCTTATAAGTTGAGTGAACTCTCTCAAAAGTCACAAGGCTAAGTCATATTTGTCTCTGTGAGTATGGAAACTTGAAAACGTGTGTGGTGGGATATGCATCGGTTGTGTGGCAAGTGCTTGTTGTTACCATCCATCCTTATAAGCACCTGCTGAATACTGTCATTTTTTCTGACGCAACTTTCACTGCAGAAATCCTACGTGGCAGTGGTGTGGATCGCTCGACCAATCACACAAGCTGACGTGGCAAAACTGGAGAGCATAAAGGACCTGGTAGGTGCATTTTGCTTTGGTTCTGGGTTTAGAATCAGATGCCTATCCGTCCTTCCGTTGGATTTTCCTTCTCCAGATTCCAGTTTTTTTAGAATTCTCAAAAAATCCCTGCAACATCATGGATTTCCCTTCTCCAGATTCCAGTTTTTCTGCTTCCCAACCTGCTTCCATGGCGCAATCTGCAACACAGAAAGCCTCCATAAACGACCCAAAGCCTCCATGTCGCCAGTCAATTCAATCATGGATGACGGCACACGTAAACAACGAAGTAGCATTCAGCATTCCAGACTGAAGAATGTGCACGGCTCAGGAGTTTGTTTTTTCTTCCTTGTCATGGATTCACCTGGTCTTCCTTGTCATGGATTCACCTGGTCTTCCTTGTCATGGATTCACCAGGATGGAAGCCTCCCTTTCCTCCATTCTCTCAGACTGGAGCTGTAGCAGAAACCCATATTTGAGTGCTGCCACGTGTTTTTTTTTGTCTTTCCTCTCACTCACACATTCTTTCTCCCTGGTTCCTTCTCTCTCGGTGCTGCAGGAGGTGCAGCAGAAAACCCCTGTTCGAGTGCTACACAGACGAAGCCCCCTCACTCGCCCTCGAACCATCTACAGGTGCATAAGCGTCGCTGAGAGCAGTGCAGCGTGCATGTAATTCCTCTCATCTCTCCCACTGAGTGATTTTTGAGGATTCTCAAAAATCACTGCAGCGTGCATGCACGTAATTCCTCGCATCTCTCCCACCTCTCACTCATCTGGTTTCCCCGCCTCACCCCTCTTTTTCCCCCTCTCTTCGCTACCTGATCTTATATAGGAAATATGCTCCCCCCTATTCCCACTTCTCTCACATCGCCACGGCAATATGTGGTGTTATCTGGTGCCGTCAAACCCACACATGTTTTTTTGAGGCGCCTCAAAAGATCCTTAAATTTGAAATTATGACTCCCCTTATCTCCCTCTTATCTCCCCCACTTTTTTCACATTTTCTCGGCAGCATGCGGTGTCATCTGGTGCCATCAAACCCGCACGTGTTCCTCCTCCACCTCACCACTCAGGCAAGTCGTACAGTGCGGTGCCACATGGTGCTGCATGGTGCCACATGGTGTCCTGTGGTATCATATGGTGCCATGCGGTGTCATCTGGTGCCATCGAACCCGCACGTGTTCCTCCTCCACCTCACCACTCAGGCAGGTCATTTAGTGCGGTGCCGCATGGTGCCACATGGTACCACATGGTGCCACATGTTCATGGTGACTTTTGAGTCAACCCAAAAGTCACCTCCGGCTGCTGCTGCGTATGTGTGTGCAGGCAGGAACTTATGTGAAGGAGTTTGTACATGGTGACTTTGGTCGCACTCAACCCAAGTAAAGAGCCTCTCCTTACCTATACTCTCACACTTCTCTCCGTTTGCTGTCTTTGCTCAAGGTCTTACACTCGTGTGTCTGCTCCCATCCATCCATACGTGCATTACTGGTAGCATTCCTTCTTACCGTACAATTCATTCTTGCATTCCATGTCCTGGGGTCGTCTGATTACCCTCTGATACGTACGAGAAAAAATTCGAGACGTCTCAAAAAATTACTTGTATCACGATGGCCTTAGAGACGTCTCAAAAGTCGTCTCAAAAAATTACTTGTATCACGACGGCCTTAGAAACTCTTGCATTCCATGTTGTAGTGTCGTCTGATTGCCTAGTATCGTCTGACTGCCCTCTTCCCCTTCTCCAACTCCTGCCCCCTTCCCCCCTCTTTCCGCCCACTTCACCCCTTGTTTCCCGCACAGCATTCGTTCACTGCTGGACTGTGAAGCCGAGTTTCTCCAGCTCCATGTGGTCGATGTGAAAATGTATTTCCCTAATATGTTGCCGTGCCCCCATTCCCCTCCCCCATGCCCCCATTCCCCTCCCCCATGCCCTGTGCCCCACTTCATCACCTGTATGCCACACAGCATTGGCTCCCTGCTGGGCTGCGAAGCGGATATTCTCCAGCTCGACGTGGTCGATGTGAAAATGGATTTCCTCTTGTAACTGTACTGTACCAAATTCTCTCTGGTTACTGTTCCCATTAAAGAAACGAAACAACTGAAATTCATGTATTTTTCTCCCAGGGTCGCACCAACTGCATTAGCTGAGTGGGGATGAATGAAATTTCACCACTTCAGTCGACTCAAAGGTCGCCTCGTTGATATCACACGCCACGCCACTACTAGCCTTTTGAGACGTCTCAGAACATCATTTATATCTCGTTGATATCACATGCCACGCTGCGCCACTACTGGCCTTGGTGTGTCCTCTGCACGTACTCTCTCCACCACTGTATCACAAACAGCACAAGGAAACGCAGGAGGGCGGACACAAGAGCCTTGAGAGCCAGGTTCAAGTAGTAAGCATGCACATGATGCGGATGCTCACTGTGCATTTCTGATAACACTGTACATATCTCATAACACTGTACATATCTGATAACACTGTACACTTCTGATAACACTATACATTTCTGATAACACTGTAGAAAGATGCACTATGCTTGCACGCACGCTATCCTTTGGGCAAACACATCGATCTCCGCACATGTGACCACCACGGTATGGGGTCTATATGAGATCCTTTCTGCCCGGACCACTCACTCACCCTTTGTGCGAGCAAAAATGCACGAAATGTCGACTGAGTGGGTGCACTGCACACATATGGCTTCTGTTTCCTCTCATCATCCCCATCCACATGCACTCACCCTATGTGCGAAATGGGTCTACATGGGGTTTACACTATTGGGGTCGACAACAATGCACGGAATGTGGACTGGGTGGGTGCACTGCATACACATGGCCTTCAGTTTCCTCTCATCATCCCCATCCACTTCCACTCACCCTGTGTGCGGTAATGAGGAATTGCATGTCGAGGGGGTGGGTGCGCACGTATCGCATTCGATCCGCTTCTTCCCTTCCCCGAGACCACCAGGTAATGATGTCGTGCTCCTTCATTATCAGCGTGCACTCCTTGATGCCTTGCCTGATTATGCCCTGGATATCAGTCAGCAGAGGTCAACGAGGGTCAACAGAGGTCAGCTACAAGAAGGATGTTGTCATGCTCCTTCATTATCAGCGTGCACTCCTTGATGCCCTGCCTGATTATGCCCTGAAATAAGTGAACACAGAGAAGTGAACACACATAAGTGTAACCAGAGGTTCATTATGTTGTCGTGCTCCATCGTTATCAGCGTGCATTCCTTGATACCCCGCCTGGTTATGCCCTGAGAGAGACAAGTCAGCAGAGGTCAGTTACGTGGCAGAGTTAAGGCAACCAGAGGTACCCACGGAAGCCCTTCACCAAAATGGCAGATATGTGCATATTTGAGGCGGTCAGTGGGCGGACAGACAGTGCCTGATCAAGACGTTGCGGGATGAACAAAAAGCAAGGAAGCGCCGTCTATGGCAATGATATGATGGTACTTGAGAGACTGTCCAGCAAGGTTCAAGAGGTTGGAACTTGAACACCAAGATGCCACAATAGCACTCATACGGAAATGGTGGTGCCTGAGAATGTCAGTGGGGCAAGGAGCCGCTGTTCAAATGGTCACCACTTGAACACAAGGATGCAAAAAGCACTCATGCGGAAGTGGTGATGTCTAAGAATGTCCGTAGATAGGTCTGGGCCGCCTGAAAAGCGCTCCTGCACCGCGTGTTTTCTTAGTAACCTCACAACACAGAGACGTGAAAAAACACTCACGTGGAAGTGGTGGTGTCTAAAATCATCTGTAGACAGGTCTGTACCGCCTGAAAACGGCTCCTGAACCGCGTGTTTTCTTAGTAACCTCACAACACAGAGATGGAAAAAAAACACTCACGTGGAAGTGGTGGTGTCTAAGAATGTCCGTAGACAGGTCTGCGCCGCCTCCGCCAATAGTGGGTTCCTGAACCGCGTGGTTCATCACTGCTCGCACCTGTGATGCAGGAAGGGGAGGGAGAGAGATGGATAGAAGGTCGAGGATTCTAAGTGGATAGAAGGTTCTGGCAGCTGTAGTGGGTTCCTGAACCACGTGGTTGATCACTGCTCGCACCTGTGATGCAGGAAGAGGAGAAGCAGGGAAACCACAGGGCGGAAATGGTTGAATATATTCCGCCCCTTCCAGGTTCACTCCTGACCCACGTGGTTCATCACTGCTCGCACCTGTGATGCAGGAAGGGAAGGCAAGAGGGATCGAAGGACATGAAGTTTGCATGGTTGAACGGAAAGAAGGCGTGTTGAGTTCTTTTGGGGTCCTGAATTGTGTGTGTTCATCACCACTGGCACCTGTGAAGCAGGAAGAAAGAATTCTCACCCGTCTGGGGTCTACAAACAGCTTGCGGTGGCCGTAGTGGTCCAGGCACATGGTGGGCTTGGTGTGGTTGCCCCTGGCTTTACAGAAGATTACACTTTGAGGCTGCTCAGAAATTAACACTGATTTGGGGCCTCGGAAAAAAGGGAAGCTCACCCGTCTGGGGTCGACAAAGAGCTTGCGGTGGCAGTAGTGGTCGAGGCACATGGCGGGCTTGGTGTGGTTGTCAATGGCGTTGCTGGTCTTGTTGTCCTTGGTTCTGCCGAATACTATGCTTGAGGCACCTAAGAAATACAATACATTCCGATTTGGGGCCTCCAAAGAGGGGCGTCCTTACCCGTCTGGGGTCGACAAAGAGCTTGCGGTGGCCGTAGTGGTCCAGGCACATGGTGGGCTTGGTGTGGTTGTCCCTGGCTTTACAGAAGACCCCCGGCCCATGCCACAGCATACGCTCCAGTGGCCACCTGGGGTCTGCGATTGAAAAAGGAGGGATGAAGGGGGGGGGGGGTTGAGGAAAATGAAGGGATAAAGGGTTTGGGGTAACAGCAGGCCGTCCCACAGCATGCGCTCCAACGGCCACGTGGGGTGTGCTATGGGTCTGCAGGTCTGTGGTTGGGCGAGGCGAAGAGGGGATGATGAGAGGAGCAACGGACGGTGGGCTTGGTGTGGTTGCCCCTGGCTTTACAGAAGATCACCAGCCGGTGCCACAGCAAGCGCTCCAGTGGCCACCTGGGGTCTGCGATTGAAAAAGGAGGGATGAAGGGGGGGGGGGGGGGGGGGGGGAGGAAAATGAAGGGATGAAGGGTTTGGGGTAACAGCAGGCCGTCCCACAGCATGCGCTCCAACGGCCACCTGGGGTGTGCTATGGGTCTGCAGGTCTGTGGTTGGGCGAGGAGAAGAGGGGATGATGAGAGGAGCAACGGACGGTGGGCTTGGTGTGGTTGTCCCTGGCTTTACAGAAGATCTCCAGCCGGTGCCACAGCAAGCGCTCCTGTGGCCACCTGGGGTCTGCGGTTGGAGGAGGTGCAGGAAGATTTCGAGGGAGAAGGATGCGGTACAGAGTGAGTGAAGGAAAGCGATGAACGAATGGCCAGTGCCACAGCATGCGTTGTGCCACTGCCAATGGAATGGAAGAGAGGAGTTGAAGGGAATCCAAGAGCGCGTGCCACTGGAGCCATGGGAGGGAGTGGATGCATTTTCAGCAGGGCAGCATTTGCAGCACACTTTTTTTTTTTTTTTTTTCAGCAGTTTTGCGCATTCAGGCACAGGCCCAACCAAAGCATTTTCTGGCCGCACCAGAACAGTGAGTTCAACCAATGAGGCAAGACCACATACAGTCCGGGCCTTGAGAGGGCAGGCAGCACTCCCAGTCCCACCAGAGGCTGCCGTGGGTAACGTAGGGCAGTCAGGCACAGGCCCAGAAAAACCATGTATTTGACCCATCAGAACGTTCAATCAGGCAAGAGAATGTACCGTCAGGGCCTTGGGAGGGCAGGCAGCGCTCCCAGTCCCACCAGAGGCTGCCGTGGGTGACGTAGGGCATTCCCTCGTATGGCATGAGGAAGTGGTTCACGCTGAGAGGCGTGGGCATGCGCTCCTGGAGACACATGGCATGAATGTGGGAGGAGATGGGTCATGTCAAGACGTGGGCATTACTCGCTCTCATCTGAGGGAAACTTGGGGATTTCTTTCCACAAGTGTTCACTCGTAGGGCCCGGTTTTGAGGCGCCTCAAAAGAAGCATTCCCTCGTAGGGCATGAGGAAGTGGCGCAGTGCACGCTAAGCACCGTGGCATGGTGACCTGGCCATGGAAGAACGTGAACTTATCAAAGCCTAGGATTATGGAGGACGGCTCAGATGCATCAAAGTCAAGGTACATGACTCACTTGGAGAAAAGGTGTGTTTCGAGATGTCTCAAAAGTGTGTTCCGAGACGTCTCAAAAGTGTGTATCGAGATGTCTCAAAAATGTGTTCCGAGACGTTTCAAAACATGGAGGACGCCTCAGATGCATCAAAGTCAAGGTACATGACTCACTTGGAGAAAATGAAGTGGGCGGGTACCTTTGTGCTTACCTGTGTTTACCTGTGCGGTTATCTGTGCAGGTACCTGTGAGGTTACCTGTGCAGGTACCTGTGCAGTAACTTGTGCGGTTACCTGTGCGGTAACCTGGTGCTTACCTGTGTACTTACCTGGCCATCGATAAACATGAACTCGTCGAAATCAAGGTACATGATCCACTTGGAGAGGCGGCGGAAGCGATACAGACACTCGTTCACTATCATCACCTGGCGGGAGGGAGAGGAGAGATGAGCGTGGAAGGGATGAAGAGAACACACATACTCATTCGTTCACTATCATCAACTGGTGGGAGAAAAATGAAATAAGTAGACAGTCGTATTGTGGTTACTAGGATAGGAAAGAGGTGGAAAAACAAAAACGGATTGCAAGCAATGGGATTTTGAGATTTCTCTGAGTTGCTACCACTAGTTCATTCCTCACCTTCCCATGGTACCAGCACAGCACTCACATAGTTCACTGAACCACAAATTGATTGAACTGAAAATAGGCCCCTCACCTGCCCATGATACCAAGACTCATAGTTCACCAGGTCATGAAAATCCGTGATTTCTGCTATCCCTCCGTCCAGTAATGGCTGCAGGTGAGAAGGGAGGAAAAGAGGCTTAAGCCATTAACGAGAGTGGCCATGTATATACTTAGTATATATATACATATACATATACATAAAAGACAAACAAACGGATCGGTTAAAAGGCCAGAAGGCAAGAGGAGGAAATTGGCTTTCATGTAAACCACACAAGAATCAGACAACATGGTATCTATCCATCAACAATCATCATATGATGGCCAGCTCATCTCTCACAACATCACCATTGCACATGCATCTACAGTTTTTGAGACGTCTCAATTGCACTTGCAACTACAGTTTTTTGGAGGACTTTCAATCATGGCAGGCAGAGCGTAACTGACTGCATAATTGGATCAGCGTGCACAGGTGCAGGTGCAGGTCCACCCCGCCCACATCATACAAGGCAAAATGGTCCACCCCCATGCGGATGTATGTGCAGAGGAAATGAGGCATGTTACACGTGCCGTCACATGTCTCACCGCAATCAGCGTTCGCAGTTGTGGGTCCACCCCGCCCACATCGTAGAGGGAGAAATGGTCCACCCCCATGCGGATGTGCAGATCTATCCACTGGTAGATGCGCTCCGAAATGACCTGAAGAGAGCGCATGGGATGATGCAAGTTGGTGACTTTTGAGACGACTCAAACCTCGAAATGGTCCACCCTCCCATGCGGATGTGCAGATCCACCCACTGGTAGATGCGCTCCGAGATGACCTGAAGAGATGATCGCATGCAATGCAACATGGGATCATGCAAGCAAGGAGGTGACTTTCCGTCCATCCACTGGTACATGCGCTCCGAAATTACCTGAAGATAGAGCATGCATGGGATGGGATCATGCAAGCAAGAGGTGTTTTTTGAGGCGTCTCAATACTACTCGAAATGGTCCACCCCCATGCGGATGTGCAGATCCATCCACTGGTAGATGCGCTCCGAGATGACCTGAAATGTAATTCATAAGACCATGCAGCATGCCCATGCCCAGGCCGCTTGGCCCAGAAATGCATAACCCATTCCACGTACCCCATGGCACATACCCCATGGCACATACCCCATGGCACATACCCCATGCCGCATACCCCATGGCACATACCCCATGGCACATACCCCATGGCACATACCCCATGGCACATACCCTATGGCACATACCCCATGCCGCATACCCCATGGCACATACCCCATGGCACACACCCCATGGCACATACCCCATGGCACATACCCCATGGCATATACCCCATGGCACATACCCCATGGCACATACCCCATGGCACATACCCTATGGCACATACCCCATGCCGCATACCCCATGGCACATACCCCATGGCACACACCCCATGGCACATACCCCATGGCACATACCCCATGGCACATACCCCATGGCACATAAGATGAACTAAACTTCATCCTTGATGGGTGGGGGGGTTGGACACAAGACAAGGACAAGAGAACGACAAGAGAAGGACACAAGAAGGACAAGGGAAGGACAAGGTACGGGAGAGATGGGGGGTGGATCGCCTTGCGAGGAAGGGAAGGACTTACCTGGCCGTGGATGGGCGGAGAGCAGTGCGTGATGTTGTAGAGGAAGGGGGCATGCAACATCGCAGTTACCACCTCCCCTGGTTGCTCCTCATACACCACCACGTCCTCCCCCTCCATGCCCATGTGCACCCTGCCTCCCCCCCCTGCATGTGTTTCCCTGCAGTGAATCACACAGGACATGGGATATGGGGGATGGGGTATGGGGTATGTGAAACAGAACCAATCACCTCTCCTCCTCATACACCACCACGTCCTCCCCCTCCATGCCCATGTGCACCCTGCCTCCCCCCCCTGCATGTGTTTCCCTGCAGTGAATCACACAGGACATGGGATATGGGGGATGGGGGATGGGGTATGGGGTATGTGAAACAGAACCAATCACCTCTCCTCCTCATACACCACCACGTCCTCCCCCTCCATGCCCATGTGCACCCTGCCTCCCCCCCTGACGTGCGTTTCCCTGCCATAAGGTATGGGATGCGACATGGGAGATGGGACATGGGGGGACATGAGACATGGCATGGGATATGGGATAAAGACATGGGACATGAGACATGAGGGATGAAACATGGGACATGGCATGGGATATGGGATGGGACATGGGACATGGGACATGGAATGGGATATGGAATTGGACATGGGAAATGGGGGATAGAACATGGAATATGCGGCATGGCACCTGGAACTTGGGGCATGGGAAATGGGACAAAAGATGTGGGACTTGAGAATTTGAGAGATCGAGAGACAGAGAGACGAGCTGAGAGGCTCAATTGATCGTTCTCACACCCTCATCATCTCTCACACCCTCATCATCTCTCACACCCTCATCATCTCTCACACCCTCATCATCTCTCACACCCTCATCATCTCTCACACCCTCATCTTCTCTCACACGCTCATCATCCCACACACCGCTTGAGAGAGCAGATCAGGATGAGCACGGCGTATTTCATCGAATGGTGTTCCCCCACGTGGATCTCCTCCACGCTGCCACGTATCCACTCCCTCCCATCCATCCCCACCTCTTCCAACCTCCTCACCTCCCTCCCTTCCCCTTCATCCCACTGCGCCTCCCCCATCCCCTCGTCCCTTCTCACCTCCTCCCTCCTCTCCCCCATCAGCAGCATTTTGCCCATACCATTCTTCCTTGTTCCTTCTCTGCGTGTCTGCCCCCATGCTCCTCCCACACTCTCCTCCAACAGCCGTCTTCTCATCCTGCCCTCTAAGGCACCACTTCTTTGCTCGTTCGCTTCGCCAAAATCCACTGCTTGGCCGGAATTTTCTGCTCGGCCTGCTTGACCGTAATTCCCTGCTTGGCCTGGTTGACCTGCTCGACCAAAATTCCCTGTTTGACCTGCTTGACCTGCTTCACCGAAGTTCCCTGCTCGGCCTGCTTGACCTGCTTGACCGAAATCCCTAGCTTGGCTTGCTTGACCTGCTTGACCAAAATTCCCTGCTTGACCTGCTTGACCGTAATTCACGCCTTGGCCTGTTTGACCTCCTCCTTGGCTTGCTTGGCCGAGATTTTGTGCTGGACCTGCATGGTCAAGGTTCTCTGATTGGCCTGTTGGGCCTGCTTGGACTGGAACCAGGGGGGGCGCATGTGGCTCCCACACGCAATCGCCCACCTTCACAGATTGCAACACAGATTGCAACACAGATTGCAACACAGATTGCAACACAGATTGCAACACAGATTGCAACACAGATTGCAACACAGATTGCAACACAGATTGCAACACAGATTGCAACACAGATTGCAACACAGATTGCAACACAGATTGCAACACAGATTGCAACACAGATTGCAACACAGATTGCAACACAGATTGCAACACAGATTGCAACACAGATTGCAACACAGATTGCAACACAGATTGCAACACAGATTGCAACACAGATTGCAACACAGATTGCAACACAGATTGCAACACAGATTGCAACACAGATTGCAACACAGGAGCACATGCATGTAAGGACATGGGATTTGATCATAATGGCGCCTGATGAGCGAGGACGGGAGATACTAGATTGCACACATGCACTACGCATCATGCGAGAGAGCGTGTTTTGAGACGTCTCAAAACATGCACTGCGCATCATGCGAGAGAGCCACTATACATGATGGACTGCACATCATGGTAGAGACAGACAGCATATATACATCGCCCCCCCCCTCCGCGCTTCCTCACCTTTCTCACTTCATCCAGAGCATGTGCAGCCAGCCCCACAACAGCAAACTGGTCGCCTGCGATTCGACTTTTAAGGCGCCTCATTTGAAGTGCCTCCACCTTCTCTCCCTCCCTCCGCCCCCCCTCACCTTTCTCACTTCATCCAGAGCACGAGCAGCCAGCCCCACAACAGCAAACTCGTTGCTTGAGATTCGACTCGTAAGGCGCCTCAGAAGGCTCATCAACACTCCTCCCTCCCTCCCCCCGCACCCTCACCTTTCTCACTTCATCCAGAGCACGAGCAGCCAGCCCCACAACAGCAAACTGGTCGCCTGCGATTCGATAAGCCGAGAACTGCACAAACGTCAGCAGCCTCCCTCTCGTCGTGATGTTGCCGTCACTGCTCATGCCGCCGCTGGTGCTGTTGCTGGCAGCGGCTGCTGTGTTTCCTGCATCTGGTGGCGACGGTGGTGAGCCAGAGAGCTCAGTGGGCTGGAGGAGAAGGAACGAAACGCACAAGGAACGAAACGGGTGCTCTGTGCTGATGAGGCACTTCAATGGCACGTGACATGGTGCAATGAAGCACAGGCGATAAATAGGGGGACAGATGGTAGGGAAGGCGGCAGACGAGCAGTATGGAGGGTTGAATTCAGCTACACTTCTCACTGGCAGCAGATGGTGTCGAAACACATCTCATCTACAAAGTGTGGAGGGTTGAATTCAGCTTACAGAGAAGTGTGGAGGAACAGATGAGGCAGAGGCAGCGGCCTGAATAATCGCTTGCTCTTCATCGGTCGGGAAGACTGAGGTGTCAAACCAGAGAATGACAACCTGGTGGGGGGCGTGTGGAGCTTGAGGGTGTGTGTGTGTTAGCAGTAAAAAGTAGATGGAACCACACACAAGTGCACGCACACATGCACGCGCGCACACGCGCGTGCGCCCCCCCCCCCCAACACACACATGCACGCACATACACAGAGGCACACAGGCGCACGCACACGCGCGCATACACGCACACACCCCCACACACGCACGCACTGCCCGCACGCACACACGCAGTTTGACCTTTGAATGTATATTTGGCCATGCAAGTAACTTCATCTTCGCAAGCAGTACGAGGCACCTTGAAGCACCCATACCAGCAGGAGGCAGACAGCAAGGATGATGGACGGTGTTGCGCCCTTGAATAGCTGCAGAAAGGTACAGCCCAGGCCGCAAGGAATCACAGAAGTAGTAGAAAGGAAGTTCTTTGAGACATCTCAAAAACCAGCAGGTGGCAACAACGAGGATAATGGACAATGTTGCGCCCTTGAATAGATGCAAGAATATACAGCACAGGCAACACCGGATCACGGAGACAATATAGTAGAACGATGATTTCATTGCTTTGTCTTCTAACCGGCTGATTTTACCGGTCCCATCATTTCCTTCTTTTAGCAATGTGTTGATGGCATTACCCTGAACAGGGGTATTGACTTTTCTAGAGATTAGCAGAGAGGTAGCATGTAGGAACTATGCAGGAGCACCTCATGGCATAAAATAATTGGCAGAGAGCGAGCATCAGGAACAGCGGGGCACCTCGTGGTGATGAATGGTTGAGAAGATGAGAGTTGAAGGGAGGGAGGGAGCACCTCGTGGCGTTGAATGAGTGAGTGACATCTCTTGATGATGGGTGCTGATGCTGCTGACTTCATCAGCCCATGCCATCCATCAGCTCCTAATGGTGAGGCTGACGTCATTGCAGCATAACTTCCCTCTCCTTTGGATGCAGGTGCTGATGTCACTGAATCATGCTGCTGCAGCCCCTGATGCTCAAGAAGCGGTTCCTTCTGCTGCATCAGGTGGAATTCCCTTTGATGGTGCTGAGTGTGATGGTTAGGGTTACCATCAGCGTGGTTAGCAGTAGGGTTACCATCCGGGTGCTCATTATGATGCTGAAATTCGTCACTCTGATGGTCCTGATTGCTGGGCGGATGCTTTTCAAGAGCATGCGGATGTGTGGATTGCGGCAACCCTTCTCCTTTAGATGCTGGCGGTAATTCTGTCTTCCTGCCAGGGGATGCCGCATTGGTTCCGTTGTTCCCTCTGGTCCCTCTGTGAGCAGGGGAAACTCTCCTGTACCCTTTGCCATAGCCCACACTGAGTGATCCTCTACCATTCTCTCTCTCGGCGATATCCCTCTCCATCTCGAGTCCTGCCATTAGTGGACCTTGCATTCACAGCTACATCAACGGCTCTACAGTGATACTATATACTCCGTTTAGAGTAGTAGAGAAACAGACAGAATTCCTGTCCAAAATGCGGTAAGACAGAATTGAGGAGCGCCTCACTAGTAGAGGTCTAAGATAATGTCCCGTTTTAAGGTCGCTTTGGTAATACTAGAACACAGTGTCGCTTTCGTGAGATTTAGGTCATAGCTTGCCTCTCATGGAATCGGTAGTCACACTCCTCAACACGTCGCTCGCAAAGGGACGAGATAAGAAGCAGCAATTGAGCCTCAGGAGTACACAAGAAGCACAGGAGAGAAGCACGAGTGACTTTTTTTCTTCTCTTTCTGGGGATGCAGCCGTGTGGAGCCGTTCTCGGTATGAAATGTTTCTCTCCCTCAGAAAACGGACGGTGAAAGGTTTTCGGCAGAAGGACGTCTTCCCCCGTAGCAGCTCCATATTGCGTGGAGTACAGTAGTAGGTGTGCTCACTACTCCCTACTCAGCTCACAGAGAAATCAGAGAGGTGTGACCTCTTCGCTACACTTTCACTTCACTGGGGTTTCTATTCCAAAAAAGGTCTGTTTTGGAAGGGCCCCTCCTCCACTCGAGGACGGACGAGCCTTCGAGAACGCACGCACACCAATCACTCACCCGTGCGCTTGGCTAACCGCACGGGAGACTCTCGCTCGTCTTACTCACTCCCACTCACTCACTCACTCACTGACAATCACTCGTCCGATACTGTAGCGAGAAAGCAAAGGACGAATAGGTGATAACGGAGTTAGCAAAAAAGAAGAACGCACAGCACGTAATTTCAGGACCCGATATCCGATCACAGCCACGAACAGGGATAAGATGTTGCTGACATGGCATGAGCCGGCTTACCGCTCGATTCGCAGGTGGCAACGGCGTGCAGGGAACAGTCTTGAAACTTACGGCAAACATGAGTTTATTTCAAGCTCATGCACCGGTTCGGTTCGATCTTTAGGGATTAGATGCGGTGAAGCTACAATGGACTCAAAAACTGAGGCAACGCTTTTCGGGTTCTGTATTGATATGATAACCGGATGCTGTACAAGTCGGCCACTACACACAATCAGCCGAACCCAAAAGCCCAAACTATACCTTCAACAGAATGAATCTCAACGTAATAATATGACAAGGGAGGGCCTACTGTCACATAAATTTATGGAAACCAACAGGACAAATTGTGCAATACCTGCTCTGTGCATCCTCTGTTGTTTTTTGTAGCTCGAGTTCTGGCTGTGCGACGTTTTCCCGATGGTTATAGCCAGCAATAATTATCACCATTACTGGCCACGTTGTGTCCTCAGCACATAGTCTTTCCACCACTGCATCACAAAAAAAGACAAGCAGAAAACCTGAAGTCATGAAACTTGAAGTCATGAGCTAAGAGGAGCAGTACCGGTGATACAGTGATTATGCGTAGAATTAATGTAAACCTTAATTGGGGCACACTGTATTCCTTCCAAAGCCTCACCTTGTGTGCAGCAACAAGCAACGGCATATCGAGAGGGTGTGTGCGCACGTAATGCATTCTGTCTGCCTCCTCAGTCCCATGCGCCCACCATTCGATGGGGTCATCCGCCTTCATGCCCAGGCTGCACTCGCTCGCTCCATACTTGACTATGCCCTGGGGGGAGAAAAGTCAACGCAAGTCAATGGAAGTCAATCAGTGTGAGTGGAGGGGTCTCCTTGGTCCCATGCGACCACCATTCGATGGGGTTGTCAGCATTCATGCTCATACTGCACTCGCTCGCTCCAGACTTTAATATGCCCTGGAATGAGCAAAGTCATCGAGAGTCAACAGAGGTCAGCAAGAGTCATGGGTTCCTACGCATGAGGACAGATGGTGGGAGTCAGCCTGGCACGGGTCAACTAAAGTCAACAGGCCAATGACACTCAACAGGAGCCAACAGGAAGAAAGGCCAATGCAATCAGCAAGCAATCAAGCAAACAATGCGGCGAAGAATCCTCCTAACACATGTTTGCTGAAACAATTCCTTCGAAAAAAACAAGACCAGATTTATTAAAAACTGAAACACTACAATAACCCACTGCACTCACGCGAAAGTGGTGATGTCTGAGTGCGTCAGTGGGCAAGTCCTTGCCTCCCCCTATGGGGCCTGCAACCACGTGATTCTCCACCATTCGCACCTCCTGAGGCGCCTCAAAAGACGCACTCACGCGGCAGTGCTGATGCCTGAGTGCGCCTGTGGGCAGGATCTGCTGAATAGCTCAAGACGTCCCCACAAAGCAAAGGCGGCAGAAAGCACTCACGCGAAAGTGGTGGTGTCTGAGTGCGTCGGTGGGCAAGTCCTTGCCTCCCCCTATGGGGTCTGTTACCACATGATTCTCCACCACTCGCACCTGTGACACGGCGAGGAGGATAAAAGGGTGAGAGTGGTTCGTGTGAGAAGAATCGTTTTGGGACGCCCCGAAATCCCAAAACGATTTCCACAGACAGGACATCTTCCGCATCGGATCCACAACCGGGTCCCATTGACCCTGATGGTTCAGAAGACGGCTAAGGAAACAGTCAACACGCCTTGGAGAGTCTCGGAATGCAAGAGCACACACCTTCCTTGGATCGACAAACAGCTTGCGGTGGCCCCAGTGGTCGAGGCACAGCTTTGGGTCGGTGGTGTTGTCCTTTGCCTGGCAGTAGATGAACGGCCAGTGCCACAGCATTCGCTCCAACGGCCACCTGGGGTCTGCGATTGGACGAGGAGAAGCAGGGGATAACGAAGGGTTTGATACAGACAGCAAATCATTGGGCTGACTTTTGAGGCACATTGTGGCCGGCATACGGCCTCTGTAGGCTGAACCCACCGGAGTCACCCCGGTCGCATGCCGCTATTGCCCTGGGAGGGACCATGTACTGTGGTCTCCTTGGGAGGGAAGGCAGCGCTCAGCTCATGACCCACCACAAGCACCCATGGCTCAAATGGGGCAGCTGTTGGCCCAGGTGGAGTTCATAGGGCAAGGGCTTCTAAGAACTTCACAATGTGATGTGACAGCTGGCACACAGGTGCTTACCGTTTTCCCCTTGGGCAGGAAGGCAGCGCTCGTGATCCCACCACAGGCAACCATGGCTCACATAGGGCAGGCCCTCGTGAGGGGTGAGCAAGTCATGCACGCTCATTGGGTTGGGTACTCGCTCCTGGGGGCAAACGAGCAGCGCGGTTGGGGAAAAGAGGTGGCAGAAATAACTGATAAGGGTTTTTGTGAGGGGCGAGAGGAGGCCTGAACTCATTGGGTTGGACCCTGGAAGCCTTGAGCCTCCTTGACTTGGGGAAGTCTGGGAGGAGCGTGTACCTTGCTTGATGGTACTAAAGGATTCTTACTTGACCATCAATAAAGGTGAATTCGTCAAAGTGAAGGTACGTGAATCACTTGGAGAGGAAAGGGTGGAGTGTGTACGCCAGTAGCAAAAGCAGAAGCAGAGCGAGGAGTGGAGTAAGGGTGGAACTACCTGGCCATCAATGAACAGGAATTCGTCAAAGTCGATGTACATGAGCCACTTAGAGAGAAAGAGTGAAGAGTGTACGGGGGTGCAGCGTGCTTACTTGACCGTCAATGAAAATAAACTCGTCAAAGTCAAGGTACATGAGCCACTTGGAGAGGCGGCGGAAGCGATACACACAGTCGTTCACTATCATCACCTGGTTGGGAGGAAGAGAAGGAAACAAGGGACGGAAGGGATTTGGTTGACACACATGGTCGCACTATCATTACCAGGAGTGGGAAGTGAGGGAGGCCAAAGGGCGAGGGAGATGCAACCAAATGATACACACAGTACTTCATTATCAACACTTGGTGGGGGGTTGGGAGAAAGGAGACGGGAGGGATGGATAAATGCCTGAGCTTCTTGTTTGAAAACAAGTAAAGGCATGCTTGATAAACTCAGAACGCTGCATCGTTTCAATACGCGATTTGCCACCAACCCATGCACCAACCCATGCACCAACCCATGCACCAACCCATGCACCAACCCATGCACCAACCCATGCACCAACCCATGCACCAACCCATGCACCAACCCATGCCACCAACCCATGCACCAACCCATGCACCAACCCATGCACCAACCCATGCACCAACCCATGCACCAACCCATGCACCAACCCATGCCACCAACCCATGCACCAACCCATGCACCAACCCATGCACCAACCCATGCCACCAACCCATGCCACCAACCCATGCCACCAACCCATGCCACCAACCCATGCCACCAACCCATGCCACCAACTTATGCCACCAACTGATGCCACCATCCCATGACACCATCCCATTCATCCATTGCAATCCCAGCTCACCTGTCCATAGTACCATGACTCATAGTTCACCACATCACGGAAATCAGTCACTTCCACGATCCCTCCTTCCAGAAACGGCTGCAGGGGATGGAAAGGAAGAGAACGGTTGGGGAAGAAAGGTTAAAAGAGTTAGGTGATAGAGGAAGCAGAATGACTTACGGATGAGAAACGGGAAAGAATTAGACAAATATATATATATATATATATATATATTTATAATCAAAGAAAAGAAAAGAAAGGAAAACTCACCTGCAACACAGAGCGCAGCTGCGGATATCCACACCTCACACCAAGCACATACTGGTCCACCCCGATGCGTACGTGCAGGAAAGGAGCCACGTACTGTCCCCTTACTGCTCACCTGGAGCACGGAGTGCAGTTGCAGGTCAACCCCGCCCACATCATAGAGAAAATAATGGTCCACGCCCATGCGGATGTGCAGATCCATCCACTAACATGTAGGGAATGCATGACCCATACCTGAAGCACCGAGCGCAGTTGCAGGTCCACCCCGCCCACATCGTAGAGAACATAATGGTCCACTCCCATGCGGATGTGTAGGTCCATCCACTGGTGGACGCGATCTGCTCTGACCTGAAGGCATGCCACATGCCACATGCCCCATGCCATATGCCATATGTCCATGCCACATAGCACATGCCCCATGCCCCATGCCATATTCCATATGTCCATGCCACAAAGCACATGCCCCATGCCCCATGCCATGCCCCATGCCCCATGCCCCATGCCCCATGCCCCATGCCCCATGTCAAATGAAACATTCCACATGCCGGTCGCATGCCACATGAAACACACCACATGCCGGTCGTTTGCCGCATAAAATATGCCCCACGTGACATGCCACATGTCTCATACCACATGAAACACACCCTTTGCCGCATGCCACATGCCCCGTACAACATAAACCAGGCCCCCAGTAAGAGTATTCCCATAAGAAGAAAGTGATTCTTTCATCCGCATGAGCACCCCTTGTCTGCGAGGTGACTTTTGAGTCGACTCAAAACGAGGTGACTTTTGAGTCGACTCAAAACGAGGTGACTTTTGAGTCGACTCAAAAGTCACTTCTTTCATCCGCATGAGCATCCCTTGTCTGCCTCAACTTTGCATGGAAGTGACTGATGGTTTGATTTGATAATGGTGTGCCTGACTGAATGGTGTTCACCCCGCCACCGACCAAGCTAGAGTTGAGCAGGTGCTCCGCGCGGGTCGGGCCGGCCCGACCCGACCCGTGGTTTAGCCCGGGTCGGGTCAGTATATTCATTTGCCTGCCCCGCGCGGGCCGACCCGACCCGACCCGGGCTAAAACCCGACCCGAGCGTGGAACTCGGGCCGGGTCGGGTCAGGTTTCGGGCCAAGATTGACCCGACCCGAAATCGGGTCAGAACCAATGAATTTGGGTCGGGTTTTTGACGCGACCCGATTTCGACACTGAGGGAACCGAACACGCCCTAGGTCGAAATGTTGTCGAGGGGATTTTCTCCCCTCGACAGCAAACCCTAGCCACTCTTGATCTCGATATTGGCCGACGGCAGCAGGGAAGCTAGTCGCCTAAGCATAGCAGCTACTAAGATTCCACCCGTTCTAACCTCTATTCCAGACCATCCTAGGTAGATTCTTAACGTTACCTGCTGTCGACAGTGGATCTTGTGGCTGAAATGATGCTATTTTACAGATCCGCGTTTTTCTACTATTGGGTGACACTTCACAAGATAAACGCATCATCCTAGTCCAGCAGTAGCTCAAGGGCGCTTAGCAACTTCCGGGATACCATGTCGTATAGGGTTTTAGGGTCCGCGTACAGTGTGTTGGTGCAGCACAACTTGTGATGAACACCCCCAGCCCCCTCTAAAGGGGCGGGTCTACCTGGCCCGACCCGGCCCGACCCGAACCCGGGTCTCCTTTGACCCGAGTGAGTAGGCCCGGGTCGGGCTGGCTGTTTCAAGAATCCGGCCCGAGCCTGGCCCGACCCGACCCGACCCGAGGGTCCGTGTGGCCCGGCCAATTCGGGTCGGGTCGGGCCGGGTCGGGCCGGCTGCTCAACTCTACCAAGCCATGTCCCATCCCATGACAACTAGGTAGCTCCTGTGTGATGAGACGATCTTTTGAGTTGACTAAAAAATCGTCTCATCACACGCGGATTTTGTAGTCGACTCAATAATGGTGTGCCTGACTGAATGGTGTTCACCCCGCCACCGAGCCATAACCCATCCCCCATGATGCTGCAGCTTGCTTTTGAGCATTCTCAAAAACAACCTCCACCACCACCGAGCCATGTCCCATCCCATGGCAACCAGGTAGCTCTTGGGTTCGAGAACACACCTCAGTTAGGTTTTGGTTGTAAAACGGTTTGTAAGGATTCTCAAAAAGTGAGGAGTGAATGGGAGGGGAGAGGGAGACATGGGGATTGAGAGAGAATGCGGGCTCACTGAAAGGTGAATTGAACAAGAGCAGTGTGTAATTGCCTGCTTGGGGATGAATAGGAAGGGTGAAGGCTCTATAGTGTGAAGGTGAACAGAGGCTCACGTGCTATCAGGTGAAAAGGAAAAGAAACTCACCTGGTGGTGGATGGGGGGAGAGCAGTGCGTGATGTTGTGCAGGAAGGGCGGATGAGGCACGGCGTTCACCACCTCCCCCGCCTGCTCCTCATACACCACCACGTCCTCCCCGTCTATCCGCATGTGCAGCCACCCCCCATCTGCTACATAGGCTTCCCTGTGCAGGGTACAGAGGGCAGAAAGGCAGGGTCGGGGAGAGTAGGGCACTCAGGACACCATACTGACACCACCTCTCCAGGCCCGCCTCCTCCTCATACACCACCCACCACGTCCTCCCCGTCTGTGAGCATGTGCAGCCACCCTCCTTCCGCCACGTACGCCTCTATGGACAAAGTTGCAATGCAGCACATGACACATGGGGCAGGACAAAGCACAGGGTCACACAGAGCACGGCGTTCACCACCTCCCCTGCCTGCTCCTCATACACCACCACGTCCTCCCCCTCTATGCGTATGTGCAGCCACCCCCCATCTGCCACGTATGCCTCTCTGCAGTGGAGCATGGGACACACGGCAGGGCACAAGGGCAGGGCATTTGCCTCTCTGGTAGAACGTTGCAGTGCATAGGGCATGGGGCATGGGGCATGGGGCATGGGCAGGGCACAGAGAAGAAAAGAACCCCGTCTCACCTTGTAAGTGTGCACATCCGATTCAAATGACTATTTCTGAAAGAAATAAACCCAAGTCCCACACCTCGTTTCACCACTCACCTTTTGAGCGTGCAGAGAAGAATGAGCCCCGCATATTTCCACCAATGGTGTTCTCCCACGTGTAGCACCTCCACACTGCCATGTATCCACCCCCTCGCTTCTTCCTCCGCCTCCTCCCTCCTCTCCTCCTCCTCCTCCCTCCTCTCCTCCTCCTCCTCCCTCGACTCGCCTGGTTTCTCCCCATTCACAGAGGGATCACTCTCAGGTGATTTATCAGGTGAATCAGCAGATGAACCATTACCTCCCGCACCTTCTCCTCCCCCTTCCCCTCCTCCCGCCTTTTCCCCACTTTCCTGTGCTGCTGTAGCGTCCCCTCCACCCTCCTCTAGTTGCCTCCTTGTCTGAGACGCCTCAAAGCTCTTAGCAGCAGTCCCCACATTCAACTCCTGAACCACCATCCGACCCTCTCTTCCTCTCCTCAGCACTCTCCTCCCTTCCTCCTCCATCCTATCATCCGTGTTCCACCCCTCCCTTCTCTCCTCCTCCTTCCTCCCCTCCCCCCTCCTCCCCTCCGCCCGCACCACGTACCTCCTCTCACCCGTCCTCTTTCCTTCTCTGCGTCTCTCTCCCCTTCCACCTACCCTCTGCCCTATTTCGTCTCCCCCCACCTCCTTCACCATCAGCCTCCTCCTCCTCCTCTTCCCTCCCTCTGAAGCGCCTCTCTTCGCATTTTCTCCTCTGCTGCTCTCTCCTTGCCCTCCCCCAGCTGGTTTCCCTGGTTCCCACACGCATTTGCCCACCTTACACACGGAATAACACACACATACACACACACATACACACACACACACACACACACACCACCACACCAGGTACGGGTTACAACGCGCATTGAATGCTTTTTAAGGCGTATCAAAAGTATGTTGCCCTCTACTTGCCCTCCCCCAGCTGGTTTCCCTGGTTCCCACACGCATTTGCCCACCTTACACATGGAATCACACACAACGCCAAGTACGGTATGGTATGGTTACAATGTGCGTTGAATGTTACATAACAAACAATCCAGAGATGACAAACAAGTTGACAAAAGAAACAACTAATACTGGAATCAGTTAACTATACACAATTCTGCACTCCCGCACTTTCACACCTCATTCAGCACTTTCACACCTCATTCAGCACTTTCACACCTCATTCAGCACTTTCACAGGATCCACTTGCATCACACTTCATTCATCCATTCTCTCCTACTCCCTTCCCTCACCTTTCATCCGTTCTTCCTCTCCTTCCCCCTCGTTCTCCTCCTCTTCTCCAGTTCCTCTCCCTCCCTCCCATCGTCCTCTCACCTCTCCCCACCCCCCTCCTCACCTGCCTGCCTTCATCCAGGGCATGGGCAGCCAACCAAACAGCAGCGAACTTGGTGGGAGAGACGCAATACCCGGAGACCTGAGCAAACGACACCAGCTTTCCTCCCTTCATTTGATGTTCAAACCTTCTCCCATCCCATCACGTCCCTCCCTTTCCTCTACCTCCTCCCTCCCTCCCCTCTCCTCCTCCATCCTTTTCCTCTCACTTATCTTCCCCTCCTCACCTTTCTCCCTTCATCCAGAGCTCGAGCGGCCAACCCAACAGCAGCAAACTCGGTGGGCGAAATTCGATCCCCGGAGAACTGAGCAAACGACACCAGCCTTCCACCTTGTCCTCAAACCTCAAGCTTTTCCCAATCCCTTTGCTCACCTTCCTGCCTTCATCCAGAGCGCGGGCGGCCAGACCAACAGCAGCGAACTCAGTGGGAGAAATTCGATACCCGGAGAACTGAGCAAACGACACCAGCCCCACGCGCCTGAACGTGTGCTGCCGCCACTCCGCCGGCCGAAACATGTGCGCGATATCCCCACCCTCAGGCTCATTAGATAGACCGCTGTGCCCAGCACCGTTGCTGCTGCTGTCCGGAGCTGCAGGTTCGGCGCTTGGTTCGGCGCTAGGTTCGGAGCCGTCCGGAGCAGTGTTGGCGGTGGCATTGGCAGGAGAGGAGGCAGGAGTGGTGTCAGTGTGTTGTTGTGCTGACTCTCCTGCTGCTCCTGCTGCTGCTGCTGCTCCTGGCGATGATGGTGGTGAGTCGCTCTGGGTAAGAGTCTGAGCGGTTGAGGTGTAATATGCAGAGGTGGAAAGAGAAAAGGGCACAATCAACCAGGCAGGGCAGGTTGGAACGATATTTCAATCGAGGCGCCTCAAAAACACAGTAAGTTACAGTAGCTTCTTTCGGTGCGCCTCTGAGAGCTTGTGTAACGTGTTTGCAGGAAACACATTATCATTGTTTTTTTCCTTACCAACTCACGAATATCTTCTGCAAAAGTCAATGTTTGTGTAAGAGTGACGCTTACCGATTGAGCAAACTGTGGGGGTATAGAAGAGGACGCACGGATGAGTGCTTGCTCCTCGTCCTGGAAGATTGAGAAGATGTCCAACCAGAAAATGAGCACCTGGGAAGGGAGAAGCGGATGTTGAGGGCGGAGAGGGTGGGGAGAGTAGTGAGCACCTGGCTGGCAACTGCCTTGCTTGCTCCTCGTCCTGGAAGATTGAAAAGATGTCCAACCAGAAAATGAGCACCTGGTGGAAAGGGAGAGGGGGAGAGAAAGGGGTATGTACCAGGCTATTGCTGCTTGCTCCTCATCCTGGAAGATTGAAAAGATGAACACCTGGGAACGGGAAGGGGGAAGGGGACAACTGGGAAGACCTGGGAACGGGAAGGGGGAAGGTGCTCCCCTGCTCCCCTTCTCCCTTCCCGTTCCTGGGAAGGTGCTCCCCCGCTCCCCTTCCCCCTTCCCGTTCCTGGGAAGGTGCTCCCCCGCTCGCCTTCCCCTTCCCGTTCCTGGGAAGGTGCTCCCCCGCTCCCCTTCCCCTTCCCGTTCCTGGGAAGGTGCTCCCCCGCTCCCCTTCCCCCTTCCCGTTCCTGGGAAGGTGCTCCCCCGCTCCCCTTCCCCCTTCCCGTTCCTGGGAAGGTGCTCCCCCGCTCCCCTTCCCCCTTCCCGTTCCTGGGAAGGTGCTCCCCCGCTCCCCTTCCCCTTGGCTCTTGAGTCGACTCAAAAGTCACCTCCGGCCTCCCACACATATCCGACACCTACGAACTCACCAGTAACAGGCAGACCGCCAGAAGAATGTAAGGCGTAGAACCCTTGGGCAGCTGTAGCGAGGATTAAAATGGGGAGGATTGGAATGTGGGGAGGATTGGAATGTGGGGAGGATTGGAATGTGGGGAGGATTGGAATGTGGGAAGGATTGGAATGTGGGGAGGATTGGAATGTGGGGAGGATTGGAATGTGGGGAGGATTGGAATGTAGGGAGGATTGGAATGTGGGGAGGATTGGAATGTGGGGAGGATTGGAATGTAGGGAGGATTGGAATGTGGGGAGGATTGTAATGTAGGGAGGATTGGAATGTGGGGAGGATTGGAATGTAGGGAGGATTGGAATGTGGGGAGGATTGGAAGGATTAAAATGGGGTAGAACAAGGTTGCCTGCACAGGCAGGATTGGGAAATTTACTTTCGAGAATTCTCAAAAGTAAAATCCACGTAGATGGGGTAGAACAAGGTTGCCTGCACAGGCAGGATTGGGAAATTTGCCTGCCTTGCACAAGTTGGGGAATTCGCACAAATTTACAGGATGGTAACTGCGCTGCATCGAGCACAACACAACACACACGGGCTGGATAAGGGAGGGTTTTGTCGCACCTCTCGACGTTGAATGAGAACGTGCCATTGCTGAATTACGGACGAAGACGCAGCTGACGTCATCAGAGCCTGCCATCCCTCTCCGTGGGAAGCGGACGCTGACGTCACTGGCTGCTGCTGCTGCTGCTGCTGCTGCTGCTGCCGCTGCTGATGATGCAGAAGCGGCTGCTGCGGATATTGCAGCTGATGATGCTCTTGATGTTCGTCCTGATTCCCCTGATGCACAGGGTAATGCTCAATATTCCGATCGTCTTGATGGTGGCTATGCCGATAGTCTTGATGGCCGTGCTGGTGCCTGGAACCTTCGCTTTCAGATGCTGAGGGGGATGCAGTTCGCCCGCTTCCGTTGCTCACGCCGCTTCCACCGCTTCCGGGGCTCGCTGCTCTCCTGTGCATCCCCTTGCTCTTCTCCTTCTCTCTCCCTCTTCCCTTCTCCTTCTCCTCTTTCTCTCTCCCCTTTCCCTTCGCCTTCTCCTCTTTGTCTCTCCCCCTTCCCTTCTCCTTATCCTCTTTGCCTCTTTCCTTACTACCCCTCTCCCTACCCTTTTCTCGCCGCCTCTCCTTATCCCCCTCCCTCCCTGCCATCGCCTGCTGTTTTTTTCGATAGCTGCCGCCTTTTCAGTCGACTCAAAACTCGGCCATTCCCTGCTTTTCTTGATGGCTCTCTGTTACAACTGGCGGGTACTCGTGCAACGGTTCACGACAATCAGAGCACTCGTGGGAGGAACAACTGGGTTGCGATGAAAGTCGATACGTAGCAGCGTGCGGGGGGAAACCTTCAAACCGCACCGAGCACTCTGAGCAAGTCTGACTGATTAAGCAGGTCGCATTTGGGGAGCATGTGAATGTGAATGCAAATCGCGATAAAGTTTTTACGGGAGGAATGTAAAAGCTGGGAGCGATGCAGACCGTGAAGGAACAGGATTGTCAGCGTTCCGCTTCCGATCCGACGGTCAGCCTACGCTCCAGAAGAAATATACGGTTGATGTCATCTCGATTCCGTACGCAGGTGCTCGGAGAACATGAATGTTGTGTCAGGTCGATCAATGATGCACAGCCCAGTCTTGATCAGCCACCGCACTCTAGTCCCGCTTATTGCATCTAGAACATTTTAAAACTATTCTCACCCTGGCAAATAATGATTCTGAGGATATTGATCAACTCTGCTACCACGTTCGCAACAAAAGGAGCAGCACATAATGGTACTGGCCACGGGATTGCCGACAAGCAATTCTGCTGTTTCTACAAGCTTTTAAGATTCATTTTTGCTTTCAGACGAATCAATTTTTAGCAGGCTCTAAATTAATATATAATGACTGTTTTTATCCTCATACTAGCTGCTATCCCGAAAACGCTGTTGTAACGCGGATTCCAAGGGTAGCTGCTTTTTCATCACCGCGTGGCCTCGTTGCAAGCACGAAACAACACAACTCGCACCACAGTACTGCGTCACAGCGGTGCCGCGTTCTCCGTAAATCCACAGACCCCCATCACTTGGTAACCCGGTTTCTCCGTTCTTCTCCTCGCATTGATGCTAGTTTACCATCGGTCATTGCTCGCATCCGCCATTCCTCACAGTCGATCCCGGGGAGTCGCATAGTTAGTCGCGCCGAATCGTCGCTGATCGCAGACAATCGGCGCACTAGACGCGACTCGCACTCCACCACTCCGTCGCCTGCCTTTTCTCACCGCCTGCGTCCGCGAATTCCAATTCTGCACTTCTACTTCGATCTTCTCAAAACTAAGCAACGGATTTTCCGCCTTCCGCCTTCCGCCTTGCCCCTTCCGCGGCTTCCGCATTCCGCCTTCCGAGGCGTTTCTCGTTCGGCGATCCGCGTACCGCGTTCTCCGGATTCCGGGGGTCTGCCAGCCACCATGCAGCACCTACGATCTCGCGGCGCCTCCGTCGGCGAGATTCTCGCTGCGCGGTAAGCCTTGCTTCCGCGCGGCAGGTTTTCTTGCGACTTCTTGATTCTCGCTGCCCGGTAAGCATTGCTCCGTGTGTACAGCAGAGGTAGCCTCTTGCAAGAGACTTTCTTTGCTCCGTGTGTAACCGTGGGTTCTAGGCTCCTACTACCTGAACACGCATCAGCACTCTCAGTAAACCTGGGAGATCTACACTATAATTCCCTTTTAGTCACTGTCGAAACATGTATTCTGTTCTAACAGTGGATCCAACTATAGTTTCGTGTAGAATCCTGCAATTCATTCTCACAGAAGGATCTCCTCTTTTCTGAGTGGCTCGCTTAGGGCTCATCTTTCTTCCCCACGCTCCCCCTGCTTTCTCCTCTCCCTCCCTATGTTTTCCCAGCCTCTCTCCCCTCCTCCCCCGCACTTTCCCCGCAGCTTTCTACCATGCTTCTGTCCACGTGTTCCCGTGCATGGCTGAGGGACGCCAGAGCCAAGAGACAGGCTCGGCAGCAGGCTCGGCAGCAACACCAAGTTCGGCACCAGTGACAGGAGGAGGAACGGCAGCATCAGCAGCGGGAGCAGCTGCAGGAGCTACAGCAGCAGCAGAGGCAGTCAGGCAGAATTTGAACAGGCAAGAAATGAACAGGCGATCTCGTTTTCACGACCAATGTTTGTGACTTTTGTTGCTTGGTTGCTTTCTTTACTTCGTTGTGATTGGACTGCCGTTGCTTGAAGAAATCGTACCCTTCCCCCAAACCTTCGAGATGAGTTTTGAGGCGCCTCAAAAGTCATCTCAATGATTGGACTGCCGTTGCTTGAAGAAATCGTACCCTTCCCCCAAACCTTCGAGATGAGTTTTGAGGCGCCTCAAAAGTCATCTCAATGATTGGACTGCCGTTGCTTGAAGGAATCGTACCCTTCCCCCAAACCTTCGAGATGAGTTTTGAGGCGCCTCAAAAGTCATCTCAATGATTGGACTGCCGTTGCTTGAAGAAATCGTACCCTTCCCCCAAACCTTCGAGATGAGTTTTGAGGCGCCTCAAAAGTCATCTCAATGATTGGACTGCCGTTGCTTGAAGAACTCATACCCTTCCTCCAAACCTTCGAGATGAGTTTTGAGGCGCCTCAAAAGTCATCTCAATGATTGGACTGCCGTTGCTTGAAGAACTCATACCCTTCCCCCAAACCCTCCACAGACTGCGCTACCGCAGCAGGCAGAGGGGCTTCCTGGAGCTGCTGACTGAACCTGCTGCTGGGTGGGAGCTGATGCATCTCACGCCCCTCCCTCGCCGCACACCCCGCACCCTCCTCGCCTTAACCCTCCCCCCACAGGCTGCGCTATCGCAGCAGGCAGAGGGGCTTCCTGGAGCTGGACCTGCTGCTGGGCAAGTGGGTGGTGCTTTCTTCCCACACCTGATTGCACCATGCTCTGTCCGTCCCTCATCGCACTCCCTTCCCGCTCCTCACAGATTGCGCTACCGCAGCAGGCAGAGGGGCTTCCTGGAGCTGGATCTGCTGCTGGGCAAGTGGGTGGAGGAGCACCTCCCGTCCCTCGACGCCTCTCACTTGTCTGCTCTCGCACGCCTCATGGACGAGGTGAGAAGGACCTCTCTGTGCTGTGGGACGAGGTGAGAAGGACCGCTCTGTGCTGTGGGACGAGGTAGGTGAGGAGCAGGCAGAGGGGCCCCTAGGAGCTGCATCTGCTGCTGGGAAAGTGGGTGGAGGAGCACCTCCCCTCGCTCGACGCCTCTCACTTGACGGCCCTTGATCGCCTCTGTATACCTCCTGCCCACACCCGCGCCCTCTCTTCAAATGGTATCGTCCCATCCCTCCGCATGCATACCTCTCCTAATGTCTCTCCATCTCTCTCTCTCCCTGGCAATATTCCCCCCCCCCCCCCCCCCCCCCCCCTTCTTATTGCACACCCAGGAGAGTCCGGATCTCTTCAAGTGGTTTACAGGTCAGGAGAGGGCCCCACAGCATGTCTCTCAGAACCCTGTGAGTGTTTCTTTGAAGTGCCTCGCAGCTTCTCATGCGAGCATTTTCCTCAAAAGTGGCGTCTCGAAAACAACTCCTGCAAAATATGTGTGCAATATGAATTCTATAGGTCGAAATAAGAGTGCTTGCCTCACCGCTTACCTGTCCGCCTCCCCACCCACTCATTCATTCATGCTAATTTTTTCTGAACCCCCTAAACCCCATCACCCATCTCTTCCCCTGCAGGTGTATCTCTCTATTCGCAGCAAAGCAGAGGAGAGGCTGCATCGCATGCATCACCAGTGACCCTTCTCCCTTTCCCCTCGTCCCCTCTTCCCCCATCTCCCCCTTCCCTTTCCAGGTATACGTTTCCATTCGCAGCAAGGTAGAGGAGAGGCTGCATCGCATGCACCCAGCAGTGAAGGCCACGCCTGGCCTGCCGTGGGTGCGAGGATGGGAAGACATTCAGAGGCAACCAGGCGCTCCCCCTGCTGGCAACCAGTAGAGGCTTGAGTCTGACAGGGCAGGCGAGAGGCCATGCTACCTGTGTGACGTCACGCGTGGCCTGCTGTGGGTGAGGGGCTGGGGGGAGATGCAGAGGCAACCAGGCGCGCCCCCTGGTGTATTTTGAGTCGACTCAAAATACGCGTGGCCTGCTGTGGGTGAGGGGCTGGGGGGAGATTCAGAGGCAACCAGGCGCGCCCCCTGCTGGCAACCAATAGGGGCTTGAGGCTGTCGGGGCAGGCGAAAGGCAGTGCTGTGTGTGTGACGAATGGGTGAATTGTTCTGTGTGAGGGAGCATCATGTGTGGCCTGCCGTGGGTGCAGGGATGGGATGGGAAGACATGCAGTGCAGAGGCAACCAGGCACACCCCCTGCTGGTAGTCAGTAGAGGCTCATGGTGTTCCTTGTCCATCTGCTCGGCACCGAATAAGGACCATGCATATGGCTGTGTTGTGGATCCAGACGTAGTGTACCAAATGTAGTGTACCACATGTAGTGTAACAGTTGTAGTGTACCGTATACGGCAGGACAAGCTGTACATAGTGTAATGAAACCCTGAAACTGTGTATTGCGTCCCCAGCTCCTCTTGCTCCATGCACTCGACCAGGATACTTCCCCGTTGCAAAGCTTAGCTGCCTCGGTAGGTGGAGTAGGAGAAAGGTGAGAGCAGCAGCGGCACGTGGAAGTGCTCCCTCTGTTGCTCTGGCAGCACTCGAAACACTATCGACACCTGAGGGAAAAAACCTCCACCAATGCCACTGCCACTGCCACCACCACCACCCCTGCCACTGCCAATTGGTGCATCCCCAGCCTCTCGGGGTCCATGCATCCGACCAAGATACTCCCCTGTTGCAAAGCTCAGCCGGTATATTCCAGCCCCTACGCCCCCTCCTCCCTCGTTTTGACCCCTGGCAAGCAGCCCAGCAGCCCTGCCATCAGCATTCGTCACCCCTTCTCCCACTCGCTCCCATCCCAACCGCACACCACCACTCTCACTGCTCCCACCAGCTTCACTCTCCCCCTCTCTGCTCTCCCCTCCAGCTTCTATCTGTCGCTCTAGCACCACGTTGATGCCGGCAGCGGGTCTGCCCAGAGCCACATCCAACACGTGAGTGGAGATGGACGGATGCTTGGCGCTTGCAGTGGGTGGGGCTGTAGCGGGTGAGGCTGTAACGGGTGGTATTGTGGCGGGTACTCCTGCGGTGAGCATGGGAAAGCAGAAAGAAAGGGGAATCGGGAGTGGAGAGTTCAGGGTTGGATCAGGAAAAACACAAGGTTGGCTCATAGGGAGGTGATGCATCCACTCTTATGCCTCCCCTCCAGCTTCTATCTGTCGCTCCAGCACCACTGTGATCCCAGCAGCGGGTCTGCCCAGAGCCACGTCCAGCACGTGCGTGGAAATGGACGGATGCTTGGCGCTTGTAGTGGGTGGGTGGGGCTATAGCGGGTACAGCTGTGCTTGGAAGGCCTGGAGACATTGGGGAAGCAGGAAAAGGAGGGGAATCACCAGCGGGTCTTCCCAGCGCCACGGCCAGCACGTGAGTGGAAATGGACAGAGGCTTGGCGCTTGTAGCAGGTGTGACTGTTGCTTGGAAGGCCTGGCGACAATGGGGAAGCAGGAAAAGGAGGGGAATCAGCAGCAGTTGCAGTATGGTTAATTCAGGGACACGAAAGCACCCTCTGGCAAAGCAGTGGCATTTGCGTCAAAATAAAGCATGAATCACATGACATGTGCACAACACAACAGCACGCACACACCTGGGGAGATGTGTGCTGCGACTCTAGCCAGACGGTAGGTTGCAGGGGGGGAGACTGGCCGAGGAGGGGGAAGAAGGCATATGGAGAGGAAAGATAAATGGACGGGATAGGGAGGGAATGGAAAGGAACGAACTGGGTTAGTTGTGGTTGATTGGAGTAGAGAGGGTAATGAGAGAAGGGAAGAATGAAACCAATATTAAGGGAAGCAACGAGGAATAAGGAAGGTGATAAAGCAGAGTGATATAGAAACAGGGGCTAACAAGGCCAGCGGGTCAGCCACACGAGGGCAACGCGTGAAAGGCACACCTGTGGTGTTGGCACCATCCATCCAGCAGTAGCTTCTCAATCTTCTCAGGACCTCAGATGCTCTTCCAGTCGGACTTGAAGGGCAGAGAACACAACACACACTCTCTCACACACACACGCACGCACACACATCTGTGGCGCCAACACCATCTGTGGCGCCGACACCATCTGTGGCGCCGACACCATCTGTGGGAGCATCCAGCAGCAGCTTCTCCAGCCTCATCCAGAAATAACGAGTTAGCCGCTTTTCTGTGTTTTGAGTCGACTCAAAACACAGCAAATTCTCCAGCCTGGGCCGCTTGTCCAGTCAGACTCGAAGGACGAAAAAATACACTCACTCTCTCACACTCACATGCACACGCACCTGTGGCGCCAACACCATCCGTAGGAGTAGCGTCCAGCAGCAGCTTCTCCAGCCTCAGCTGGTCTTCCAATCAGAACAGAGAACAAAAAACACACTCGTTCTCACACACTCTCTACCACACGCAGACACGCACCTGTGGCACCAACACCATCCGTAGGAGGAGCATCTAGCAGCAGCTTCTCCAGCCTCAGCTATGTTTGCACTTAGACTTATCCCACGCACGCACGGCCACACATATACACACGCACCTGTGGCGCCAACACCATCCGCAGGGGCATCCAGCAGCAGCTTCTCCAGCCTCAGCTGTGTGATCTTCTCTTGCTCTTTCGCTGCCAGCTGCACCTCGTAGATGGGCTGATTGCCCAAGCGCTCCTGTAACAGTGGGGAAAAATTGGACCCTCGACATTGGTATATGTCACACAAAACAAAGGCTGTGCACTTCAAACACAGCGAATCATGCCTGAGGAAAACGACGGAGCAGTCACATGAATACCTTAAGCGCAGCAAGAATTTCCGGCGCGGGCTTGCCCTGGGCACAAATGATGAAGATGTGGCGAAAGCGCTGCTCGTAGCGGCCATTGCACTCTGCCATCTCCTGCGTGAGGCAATGGTAGGGTAGGTAGGTAGGGTAGCAGGTAGGCAGGCAGGCAAGCGGGCAGAGAGGCAGACAAGTAGAGAGGCCTATAACTTGTTCCATGCGAAAGCATTTCTGTTGCTGCTTTGCCCTGAGCGCAGCCGATGAAGATGTGGCCAAAGCGCTGCTCGTAGCGGCCATTGCACTCCGCCATCTCCTGCGTGAGACAGCTGAAAGGGTGGCACGCAGGAAGGCCTGTGCGCGGGCGGGCGGGCCGGCCGGCGGGCGCGCGGGCGGGCAGAGAGGTATAGAGAAAGGCAGTCAGGCAGGCAGGTATGAAAGCCTATGATGTCAATGCTTGCATGGACCATTTCTGCTGCAAACGCAGATGAAGAAGATGTGGCCAGAGCGCTGCGCGTAGCGGCGATTGCACTCTGCCATCTCCTGAATAGGTGTTGGTCAGGCAGGCAGCCCGCAAGAGGGAGAGAGGGACGGAGGGAGGGAGGAAGGGAGGCAGGCAGGCAGGCATGCAGAAGGCTTTTTTTCAAATTCCTAGTGAGATGTGCTTGCCCAGAAAACTGTCTATGTCAGCGCAGACATTGTTTTCAAAAAGGCTTAAAGGCTCCTCGAACATCAGAATATGCTTGTGAATCGCATGACGCATGTGAACTTGCCTGGAAGAATGAGTCGTCAGATGATTGGAGCGCTGCTGCTTGCTCCCCTTGGGACCATCTGGTGACAGTGGAAAAATGCCATGTGCATGCACGCAAGTTTAATCAAGATGGAAATGCATGCCAACACATGCGAACACATGCGGATGCATGCGAAGTCATGTGAATGCATGCGATAGGGCATGACTACTTGTAAAAGCACCAAGATGCAAACACAGCAATGCCTATGCACAGTCAATCCCCCATCACTATAAGCAAATATCATTACCACAATCGACAATCACCCGTCCCAGCCAACAACGCTTGAAATTTCAAAGCATCACCTATTTTCGTTACTATCACACCGTTAATATCACACGCCGTTACTATTTCACGGCACTCACTGCTGTGTGGAGAACTTTCTCTTGAGCGATGCCACGTCACCAATCCTGGGATGAGCACTGAAGGCCTCCAGCCAACCAGAGACGTCCACCTGGCACAGGATAGAACGCATTACGGCACATATAACTATCTAGCTACCCAGGAATGACCTATTTCGTGTTCAGGCATCAGCATCAAGGGATGTGTCGCGTTCAAGAATGATACGAATTCGCTACTATGGGTCATAGAATAGCAAAGACGACATAAATTCCGTCAATCCTCGTTACAGCCAGCCCTCAGCAAGGACCCCGGCACAAGAACACTGATAACACAATACTGGATGTCTGAGAAAAGGTATGACGCTATTGTAAAGGACGTGTGGGGGGCTTGCCTGGTTCCACCACACGTCGCTAGCAGCACTTTGCAAATTCTCAAAGCTTCTGAAAGGCCGGCGCGCTGCGAGGCCAGAGGCGAACCTCTTGGAGCCGCAGCAGCGAATCAACGCCTCGCTCGCCTCGGCGTCGGGAACCGCGTTGAGCCATCTTAATCCCGAATCGAGCCGCGTCGCTCTCCCTTGATCAGACTGCTGCGGTTCAACCATTGCGACTGCGCGGACGAACGCTTTTGAGAACTCTCAATTGCGGATGAACGTTAAATTGGTAGGCGCGTCACGACAAGAGGAGGCGTCGGTCGCACTTGCGTTCTGCGATCCTGGTGACTAGTGCACCTGACTAGTGAGTGCAGCAGCCTCGTGAATTATGTTTCTGGATGAAAAGACCTGTCAATTGAACCGTACTAAAGCCCCTTAGAAGCAAACGTCACCGCAATCGAAACGCCCGTAACTCAACAGAACAGTGGTACGCTTTTGAAGCACACGTTGATCAGATTAAATTTGAGGAAGTGATGCTCAAAACTGATTTTGTTCAACTAACCTGCTCTGGCACTCCACTTCATTCCGGAGTCCAGAACTCCTAACCCTCTAAATTAGCCTACAGTATTCATATACATAATTTCTATCCTTGCCCACTTCACATAATGGACCCATCCTGGAAATTGCGCACGCAACACGACTGCCACCCTATCTCCTGCTTGAAGCGACTGCACAAACGAAGATTCAGCGCTCCACGTTTTAGAATGCTGTTGCCAACGTCTAACGGCGTGAAGGTTGCGGTAGATTTCCTCTCTGGAAGCGGAGAGAGATCCGTCAGGCATCATTCTCGCGAGCTCAGCGAATGTCCATGAGTTGTTGTAAGTGTTTTGGTCTTGGGGATAACTGCTCCATCTGACATTGCGAAAACAAGGGGGGATTGGGGTGGGTGGGAGAGAAAGGGGTGGTGGGGAGAGGAGGGTGAAGGGGGAAAGAGTTATCTTATGCTGAGTGCATAACGAAAGGAGTTTAGTTTGAGCGACTTAACTCCTTACTTGACAGCAACTTCTAAAGAGAGCTGTAGACACAGAAACACAAAAATGGCATCATCAATATCAACCACAGATCACTATTGAAAATAAAGAAACGCACATGTTGATGTAGACAGTCGAGACACCACTTACCCTTGGTCATGAGCTTCAGCGTCAACTTTAATCTCCTTAATCCGACCCTTGTCGAAATCCACAGGCTGAGCGATCACATACGTCTCTTCCCAGTCCCCGCCACTCATCCTGTCACTACTAAAAGATGTGTCTTTAACATAATAGCCAGCGTACTCAATGATATCCTCAATAATATCGTCAAGAAGGGGAGGGAGTGTTCCTTCGAAACCCGTTCGGAACGCCGACACAACTTCGCGAAATTGCGAGACGGACGGGGCGAAGGATGGGACGAGCCGCATGGAATGTGTATCTAAGTCGGACATAGGACGACGCGCTTCCGAAGCAAAGGAACGGGGAGATTCGGAGCCAGAATCAGATCCCGAAAAGGAGTGGTGGGGAGATTCAGCGCCGGAAATGGAGTGGCGCGGGGACTCGGCCCTCCGAGATGTGCGACGCCATCTCCCACGCCCAAATCTAAGTTTTCCCCATCTTCGCCCACTGGCCATAGTACTCGCAATGACTAAAATCACTTGACACAGTGTTTAAGGAGGGCAAGCAGTGCTGAACCTTTGCTGAAAGATTGGTGAACAATGGCCCCCCTTCCTCATCATATATCTCAATGATATTCCCCATTGTCTCTGCAGCTGCTCTTAGTTCGCACCCATACCGTGTTTAGGGCGCGTCGCCTCCATGCTCGAAATCGTCGGACGTTCGTAGATGAAGGCGGGCCTCAAGAAAGGCGGACCAAACGCGTAATAGAAGGAACGTGTGTGAAGGCGTGTCCCACACGGTACGTCTGAATGCGGTTCAATGAGTCTCACAACGGTCAATTTGATACATAGAATGGTTGAGTCGGATGTTGAGCACATGAAGAAATGTTAGACGCAGGCTTGACTTGTGTGACCTGCAACTCTCCTGCCACGCCACCCCAGCCTGTTCAGGCTTTCGCAAGGGGTGCATCGCACGCGTTCGTCAGAATGGGATTAAGAAAGCTGTTAAACGATGCGGTTAGCTTATATTTAGAAAGGTTGGGTGGGGTATGAGAAAACGCGATCTTCTGTTGACACCAAAATTTGTATCGTAGGAGGTCTCGGTCGAGTGCTTCTGAGCACGTTTGAGTACGATTCTGTTGGTAGAAGAGCCCCAGATCTGACTTGGGCTCTGACACGAGCTCTGACACGAGATCTGAGACGAGCCGAGAAACACGTCTCTGCACTGACTAGAGTGACCTAACAAATCTTGTTACACGCCTTGATTGTTCCCTGGTACGTTTTGTGAACTAAAATCAGCGCCTAAGAACACGACCCGCGCCTAAGACACATGAGCAGCTACGGGTTTCCTGTCACCGCTGAGCTGTTCCAGTCATCTCTTATGCAAGGATCCGTGCCGCCATGGCGGGTTCAGCGCGGTCCTGTCAGCGCCTTTCGCGGGTGTTCCACGGAAACGTACGATCCCTTTCTCGAAAAGTTATACACCCAGGCCAATCCCGCCAGGTTACCAGCGATTTCTTTTCTTCAGCTGACGCTCCTCGGGAATGCCGACGTCCGTTCACCGATTGTGTTACACTAACTGACGCGTCTCGAGCGAATCTCCGTCCGTCTACCGACTTGGTAAACGTCTCGGACTTCGTTACTCCGGCCGTCGCGGCGCGATTGTTCGTTCCGCCGCTTCTACCGCGCTGCGCCGCTGCCGCGAGCGGAGGCTCCGGGAAACTGCTGTGGTGCGGCGCTGGCGGAACGCGGAGCGGCGGAAGGGAAGCCGGAGCGGCAGGATTCCCCGGATGGGCGGAGCAGCGCCGAGTTGGGGGCGCTTGGGCGGAACCCTGGGGGGTGGGGGGCGTGATGGCGGAACCGCGCAGATATCTTCACCATATTACGGTGGAAGAGGAGAAGGTGAGGGGGGGGAGGGGGAAGGAAGGGGAAGGTGTGAAGGTGGGGGGGGGAAGGTTTGGGCGGAACCCAGGGGGGTGAGGGGCGTGTGGGCGGAACCCAGGGGGGTGGGGGGCGTGTGGGCGGAACCCAGGGGGGTGGGGGGCGCGTGGGCGGAACCGCGCGGATATCTGCACCATATTACGGTGGAAGAGGAGAAGGTGGAGGTAGGAGGGGGGGGGGGGGGGGGGGTGGGGAAGAGGGGAAGGGGGGAAAGGGGGAGGCGGATGGGGGGATGAGGGGATGGGGGGATCGGGAAGGTTGAGGGTATGGGGGGAAGGTGTGCGTGTGAATGGGGGGGGGATGGGGGCACGGGTAAAGGTTGGAGATGACGGGGGAGAGGGGGGGGGGGGGAGGGTGGTGGGGGGGGGGGGGAGATGAGAGCGGCTCGTTAGGGAAACAATGAGATATCGAGCACTCAACTATCGGGTGAGAGCAGCAGTGTAAGGGGGCTTGTGTGTCCCCTCCGTATCCCAGTCCCCCTTCCCCCCACCATCATCCCCTCTCCCATCATCCCCTCCCTCCCACTGTCATCCCCTCCCTCCCACTGTCATCCCCTCCCTCCGTTCTCCTTTCCAAACCCCCTTTACTTCATGCAGCCCGAGCACAAGTACCGGGTGAGGGCAGCAGTGGAAATGCGCTTTTGCAGCACCTCTCTCCTCCTCCCTCCCTCCCACCGTCATCCCCTCCCTCCGTTTTTCTTTCCAAACCCCCCTCACTTCATTCTGTGTCCCCACCATACCCCATTCCCCCTTCCCCCCCCCGCTTTACTTCATACAGCCCGAGCACAAGTACCGGGTGAGGGCAGCAGTGGAAGGAGGATTTTCCTTCTGCAGCGATCTAGCTCCCACCAATGGCGTGGGCGGCACTGCTCCCACGTGAGTTGAGAGGGGGGAGAGGGGGGGGTGGGGCTGGGGGGAACGTGGGGGTTAGTGTATGGTGTGATTGCGCTGTGGAAGGAAGGGGGATTGCCCTGGGGATTGCCCTGTTGCAGTGACCTGGGGATTGCCCTGGGGATGGCCCTGTTGCAGTGACCTGGCTCGCACCAATGGTGTGGGCGCCACTGCTCCCACGTGAGTGGAGTGCAGCATTATTTATTGATCAGATGAAAATCTAATATTAATAAAACAAACAAACAAACAAGCTAACTCGTGAGAGCAATAGTGGGGGAAGAGAATTTTGGGGACAAGTGGGGAAGGGGACGAGTGGGGAAGGGGACGAGTGGGGAAGGGGACGAGTGGGGAAGGGGATGAGTAGGGAAGGGGACGAGTGGGGAAGGGGACGAGTGGGGAAGGGGACGAGTGGGGAAGGGGATGAGTGGGGAAGGGGATGAGTAGGGAAGGGGATGAGTGGGGAAGGGGACGAGTGGGGAAGGGGAGGAGTGGGAAGGGGATGAGTGGGGAAGGGGATGAGTGGGGAAGGGGAGGAGTGGGGAAGGGGATGAGTGGGGAAGGGGATGAGTGGGGAAGGGGATGAGTGGGGAAGGGGATGAGTGGGGAAGGGGACGAGTGGGGAAGGGGACGAGTGGGGAAGGGGACGAGTGGGGAAGGGGACGAGTGGGGAAGGGGATGAGTGGGGAAGGGGATGAGTAGGGAAGGGGATGAGTGGGAAGGGGATGAGTGGGGAAGGGGACGAGTGGGGAAGGGGATGAGTGGGGAAGGGGATGAGTGGGGAAGGGGATGAGTGGGGAAGGGGAGGAGTGGGGAAGGGGACGAGTGGGGAAGGGGACGAGTGGGGAAGGGGACGAGTGGGGAAGGGGATGAGTGGGGAAGGGGATGAGTGGGGAAGGGGATGAGTGGGGAAGGGGATGAGTGGGGAAGGGGATGAGTGGGGAAGGGGATGAGTGGGGAAGGGGATGAGTGGGGAAGGGGACGAGTGGGGAAGGGGACGAGTGGGGAAGGGGACGAGTGGGGAAGGGGAAGGGGACGAGTGGGGAAGGGGATGAGTAGGGAATTGGATGAGTGGGGAAGGGGACGAGTGGGGAAGGGGACGAGTGGGGAAGGGGATGAGTGGGGAAGGGGATGAGTGGGGAAGGGGATGAGTGGGGAAGGGGATGAGTGGGGAAGGGGTTGAGTGCGGAAAGGGATGAGTGCGGAAGGGGATGAGTGCGGAAGGGGATGAGTGGGGAAGGGGATGAGTGGGGAAGGGGACGAGTAGGGAAGGGGACGAGTGGGGAAGGGGATGAGTGGGGAAGGGGATGAGTGGGGAAGGGGATGAGTGGGGAAGGGGATGAGTAGGAAATAACGCACTCTCCTGCCCTGCACCCTCCTTCCCCCCCAACCAGCCCCTTGGACTATGCAGCAGCAGCAGTTGCCATGTGTACCGCCACCACTGTCAGACTGGTACGCCTGCTTCCCCTCACCACCCCCTTCTGTCTTCCGCCTGCCCCAATTTGACCCTACCCCCCACTATTGCTGCCCATCCCAATTTGACCCTACCCCCCACTATTGCTGCCCATCCCAATTTGACCCTACCCCCCACTATTGCTGCCCATCCCAATTTGACCCAACCCCCCCCACTATTGCTGCCCATCCCAATTTGACCCTACCCCCCAGATTTTTTCCCTTCCCTCTTCCCCCTCCCCCCTTCCCTTTTGCAATCACTCCATGTGCACCGTCACCACTGTCAGACTGGTACGCGCCTGCCCCTACGTTCCCCCTCTTCTCCCACACTTACTCCTTCCTTGGTCTTCCTCCCCCTCTCCCCCATTTACACCTTCCGCCTCCCACCCCACTACACCCCACTACACCCCACTACACCCCACGTGCACGTCATAGTGAACCAACCCTTTATCTCTCTTCCTGCTGTGTATTTCTCCTTCCCTTCCCCTTCTTTCTCCTTGTCCTTCTCCCACAGTATGCAGACAGAAAGCAGTGGCCGCTAACACACATTGCTGTCACAGTGGAACAAACCACCCCCTTGCCTCGTGACCTGCTATCCCCGTTTCCTTCCCGCCTTTGATGCGCCATGCACCATGCGCCATGCACCATGCACCATGCACCATGCACCATGCGCCATGCACCGTGCACCATGCACCGTGCACCGTGCACCGTGCACCATGCACCATGCACCATGCACCACGCACCATGCACCATGCGCCATGCGCCATGCACCATGCACCATGCACCATGCACCATGCACCATGCACCACGCACCATGCACCATGCACCATGCACCATGCACCATGCACCATGCACCCCTCGCCCAAGCTGCTCAATCCAAGGTACATTTTGGGTTGACTTAAAGATGCACATGCCATTCGCTATGGGCCATGGCCTTGGCCATGGCTATGGCCCATCTATCTCAGATGCGCTATGGGCCATGGCCTTAAATTTACACAAACACAACTCTGTCCGTTTCCTCCTGTGTAATGTTCCATTATCCACTCTCATACTACCCTTATACTGGATTTACTGTTGAAGTTTTATTCATGGATAGGTACCTCATCCTAGTTGTTCTTTTTCTCCTTCATAACATTCACAATCAAACATCATCCTGCCCTGAGAATTCTCAAACACGCTATGCCGTGCATGGTGTGAGGCTGGGCCTATCCTGCTGCTGTATCTCCGCCTCTGTTCCTTCCACTGCACACCCCTTCATTTTGTCTCGCGCCACGATACAGATGGGAGATTACTGGACGGCCTTCGGTTGTTGCTGCACTTGGACGGACCCCTTTCCACGGAACAAAGGGAGAGGCTTTTGGAGATAGCAGGTGACAGCACCTCAAATCTGCTGGTAGAAGCGTTTTTTTTCTTAGGTGGAAGGAATTGCATTCAAATGTCGTTTGTTGTGTGTCTGTGTGTGCGTGTTCTGCTTGCGTGTGTGCGTGCATGTGCTTGGGTGTGTGTGTGTGTGCGCGCATGCGTGTGTGCGTGTGTGTGTGCTGTGTGTACAGGGAAATGCCCGGTGAAGCAAATGATGCTGGGTAAGATGCCTCAAGCCATCAAGACGACACTGTGTGCATGTGCAAAAATGGCCACTATTTCTGTATATCATCTGTTTAGAAGCTTTCCAAGGCTTGTGCACTTGTGACTTCCCTCCATGCTTTTGCTGTTATGGTAACAGTTCAAGAAGTAGAGAGGCGTTACATTCCCAATACAGACTCTTCTAGGGGTGTGAGGCAGCTTGTCACTACGTAAGGTGTTCCGGTCTCTTAATTTATTCATACCCCCCTAGTACAGAAATCAGCAATCCGGATCTACAATGCCGGTTGTTATCTCATTACAGCACAATGCCACACTACCACAGACCGAATCCAAACCGTTGCCGCCGGTCGTACCAATCGTAGAACAGCAGTGAGAGCGGCAGCACAAAGAAGAAGAGGATGAGGAAGGTGCGATGGCTGCTGCCGTGTGCGGCTGCCTTCTTCAACTCCTTGTTGCCCTTGTCTATTCTCTCCGATGCTGCCACTGCCTGCCAATTCCAAGAGCACGAGCAACAAATGGGGTGGGCAAAGGAAAAGAGGATGAGGAAGGTGCGCTGGCTGCCATGCTGACGCCGCGGGATGCTGCCTTCTTCAACTCCTTGTCGCCTTTGTCTATTCTCTCAGATGCTGCTACTGCCTGTGAGATGAAAGGGACAAGCGGAAAAAAAAAAAAAGGCACGGGGCAACGAAGAGGATTTCGAGAGCGCGATGGTGAGAAGAAAGCAAGATGGCTGCTGCCTTCCTCACCTACTTGTTTCCCTGCTGCTCAGAAGCAGACTTCAGGTGGCTGTTCAGTCACTGAAGCCTCGCTTTTGCTGCATGCATCAGATGCATCATGATCAACTTGAAGGTAAGTCCTCTTACTGTGGACCTGTTCGACCTCTTATGAATATACACGTGGCTAACCCTGAAGTAGTGGTTTGAGACGTCTCAAAACACTACTTTATACACGTCGTTATTCTTACTGTGGACCTGTTGGACCTGTTATGAATCCCTATCAGCACACAAGCTTCAGCACGGAGCTGCTGACTTTTGAGTCGACTCAACAATCAACTTGAAGGTAGGTCCTCTTACTGTGTGTATGAATCCCTATCAGTGCACACACTTCAGCACGGAGCTGCTGAACCTGCTCGTTCTGCTGCAGCACCACACTGGTAACTGCTTCATTGCTTGTGTGTCACTAAGTAAAGCTCATACCTCAGCGTACAGCTGGTGAACCTGCTCGATCTGCTCCAGCACATGCTCTAGTAACTGACTCATTACCATGTTGCGTACCAAACAAACCCTACTTCAAGCAGCGATCTCACCTCAGCATACAGCTGCTGGACCTGCTCGCTCTGCTGCAGCACGTGCACGGCAAACAGGTGGTTCAGAGCCGCCAGCTCCATCACCCTCGCCTCTGCCTGTGCCGTGCTGCTCAACAGCCCCCTCAACTCCTCCTGCAACGCCACCATCTCTGCATCCTGCATCACCTGCTCACGGCCCTGCTCTCGCCCCCTATCGTGCTCACCACCCCTCCCCTGCTGCTCGCCACCCACTTCCTGCCACCCCTTCCCCCCGCCCTGCTCCCCTCCATCTCTTCCATTCTCCCGTATCCCCTTGAGAGCATGTATCCGCCCCTGCTTCCCTAATGTGCCCTGCCCTCCGCCCTGCCCTCCCCCTTGCCTCTGCCTCTGGCTGTCTGCCAGCATCCGCTGTAGCCTGGTGGATCTCAGACGCTCAAAGGTGGAGGAGAGCAGCTGTAGGTGTTCGGTTAGGATGAGCACCTGAGAGGGGGAATGGAGGGATTGGAGGGATAGGAGCGGGCTGGAGGTTAGAGGGCGAGAGACACTTTTGAGAATTCTCAAAAGGCTGGAGGTTAGAGGGCGAGAGACGCTTTTGAGAATTCTCAAAAGGCTGGAGGTTAGAGGGCGAGAGACGCTTTTGAGAATTCTCAAAAGGCTGGAGGTTAGAGGGCGAGAGACACTTTTGAGAATTCTCAAAAGGCTGGAGGTTAGAGGGCGAGAGACGCTTTTGAGAATTCTCAAAAGGCTGGAGGTTAGAGGCGAGAGATGCTTTTGAGAATTCTCAAAAGGCTGGAGGTTAGAGGGCGAGAGACGCTTTTGAGAATTCTCAAAAGGCTGGAGGTTAGAGGGCGAGAGACGCTTTTGAGAATTCTCAAAAGGCTGGAGGTTAGAGGGCGAGAGACGCTTTTGAGAATTCTCAAAAGGCTGGAGGTTAGAGGCGAGAGACACAGGTTATCATGGGTGCCGCTTGTGCAGCCTGGTGGCTCGCAGGGACTCAAAGGTGGAGGAGAGCAGGTTCAGATGCTCCGTTAGGATGAGCACCTGAAAGCGAGGGGATGGGATGGGGATGGGAGGGGAATGGTAGCGGGCGGGGGGGTAGAGGAGAGAGAAACAGGGCATCATGAATGCCTCTTGTGCAGCTTCGTGGCTCGGAGGCGCTAAAAGGTGGAAGAGAGCTGCTGCAGATGCTCCGTTACGTGCACACGCATCTATAATCACACGCACAAACTCACCACGCCATGCTGATGGGCTGTCAACTGAGCATTTCGCCCCGCTGCCCCTCCTGGTGGGGGCAATCTGCCTCTCAGCGCCTCTATCCCCTCCTTGCACTCCTTCACCATGCCGCCCACCTGCACGCACACACATAATGCGAGGAGGCGGAGGGTAAGAAGAGCTTTGATTGAGGCACAACCAGCCTCGCGTCTTCTGGTGGAGGCAATCTGCCTGTCAGTGCCTCTATCCCCTCCTTGTACTCCCTCACCATGCCGCCCACCTGCACACAAAGGCAGAGTATGCAAGGAATAAGTACACTGAGAATTGGAAGAGGAACGTTGGAGTTGAAGGGCAGTCTTCCTCTCAGGCAGAGTTGGAAGCGCCTCTATCCCCTCCTTGTACTCCCTCACCATGCCGCCCACTTGCGCGCGCACACACACACACACACACACACACACACACACACACAGAATGCGACGAGGGGGAGAGAAAAACGGGTTTGAATGGAGGGACCACCAACCTTCCCTCTCCTGGTGGGGGCAATCTGCCTGTCAGTGCCTCTATCCCCTCCTTGCACTCCCTCACCATGCCGCCCACCTGCACACACACGATGGGTACACAAGGGGAAAGCACAGCGAGAATGGGAAGAGGAACGTGGGAGTTGAAGGGCAATCGGCCTCGCAGCAGCTCTATCCCCTCTTTACACTGCTTCATCATGCCGCCCACCTGCACGCACACACAGAAAACGGGAGGAGGCCGAGCCGAGCGCACGAAGGGGTTAAATGGAGGCACAACCCAGCGTCCCATCCTCTGGTAGGGGCAATCTGCCTCGCAGCCCCTCTATGCCCTCCTTGCACCCCTTCACCATGCCGCCCACCTGTACACACACACACGCACACAGGAAACGGGCGAAGGTCAAGCGCAAGAAGCGGTTGAATTGAAACGCAAACGGTCTGCCAATCACCCTTTTTTCTACCTGCCTCCCTGCTCCTGCTTTCATTTGCTTCAAACGTGTCTCGCCTTCTCTCCATCACCCGTTTCCCCACCACATGTTCTGAAGCACTGCCATGCTCCTTCCCGTCACCTCCTTCCTTGCTTTCCCTCCCTTCCCCCCTAGTCCTAATTTCGTGCCTGCCTCCCTGCTCCTGCTTTCATTTCACTAACCTTTGCTTCAAAGGCGTCTCGCCGTCTCTCCATCACTGCGTGCCCAACCACGTGGTCCGAAGCAGCACTGCAGTACTCCCGCCCCTCGCTCATTAGGACGGAGTGCAGCGCACGCTCGTCTGATAGCTGCCTCAGAGGAGGGGAAAGGGTGGGAAGGGGTGGAAAGGGGTAAGGAAAGGAGAACCTTCGTTGGCGGTCCAATGTGGCACTGCAGTCTTCCCGCCCCTCGCTCACTAGGACGGAGGGCAGTGAACGCACGTCTGATAGCTGATTCAGAGGAGGGATGAGGGGGAAGAGAAGGACGGGGGGTAGGAGCGGGAGTAGGGGAAGGGTTGGGAAGGGGTAGAAAGGGGTGGGGAGGGCGGAATCTTAACACATGGTTCAAAGCAGCACTGCAGTGTTCCCCCCCCCTTGGTCATCAACAGAAAATGCAGAGAGCGCTCGTCTGATAGCTCATTCAAAGGAGCGATGACGTTGAAGAAAAGGTTGGGGTGAATGGGGGGCCGGGAGTAGTAGTGGGAGTAGGAGAGGCACGGGAGAATGGAGCAAGGGGGAGGGGGAATAGGCGCCTTGGCTTCTGATTGCGTACAACATTGCAACATTCACTTCCCTCACTTCTCAATCAAGGAAGAACAGAAAACGCACGACTCACAGCTGATTCGAGAGAATGGAGGAGGCAAAAGAGAGAGGAGAGGGGAAAAGGAAGGAAAGGGGAGGGGCGTGGGTGAGGAAGGAATGAGCGGGGTGGAAAGGAACACATCCAGCACGTGCTTTGAAGCGAAGCCTACTTGACAAATCACCCTTTCACTTCCCATTATTCCCTTCTCCCTCCCTCCCTCCCTTCACCAGTCTTTCCCCCACCCAGATCCTCTCCAACGCACGCCCTCCTTCCTCACCCTCCCCCCCTTCCCCTCCCTTTTTCTCCCCCCCTCCCTGTAAACACTTCGCCTCCTCCCTCTCTCCTTCTCCCCCTCCAGTCAAGGCGCACACACCACGTCACATGCCAGCCTGGCAAAGACATCCTTCGTGGAATCTTCGCCGCCTCCCGAGGTGGGTTTGAGCATCATGGCGGATGAGACCTGCGCCAGGCGAGCCTGGAAGGTGGGGGAGAGAGAGGGAGAGAGAGAGAGAGAGAGAGAGAGAGAGAGAGAGAGAGAGAGAGAGAGAGAGAGAGAGAGAGAGAGAGAGAGAGAGAGAGAGAGTGTTTGCTTGGTTGGGTTCCCCTTAGGTTTTGCTTGCTTGCTTTCGTGCTAGTTGATTCCTTCCCTAGACTTTGCATGTCTGTACCAGCCCCTCTTATCAATACTAAGGACCGTTAGAGAGAGAGAGAGAGAGAGAGAGAGAGAGAGAGAGAGAGAGAGAGAGAGAGAGAGAGAGAGAGAGAGAGAGAGAGAGAGAGAGAGGGGGGGGGGGGAGGGAGAGACAGAGAGGGGGGCGGAGGGACTTTGAGCCGCAGGAGTTTGAGCATCATGGCGGATGAGACCTGCGCCAGGCGAGCCTGGAAGGCGGGGGAGACCAAGAAAGAGAGAAGGAGGAAGCGGAGGGAAGAAAAAAACAAGGAGGGGGGGGCGGGTTAGTAGCGGTTCAGGACTGGAGGAAAGCTGGCTAAGGAGAGCGGTGGTGTGGGAGAAAAAAGCAGTTGCGGGGGATGGGCGCGGAAGGGGAAAGGGGAGAAGTTGAGGGGAGGGAGGGTGGGTGGGGCGGGGAAGAGAGTCAGAGACAAATAAGTAGACGTTGTAGGTTGAGAATGCAAGAGGGAAATCCTTCGCGAAACAAAGGTAAGTGCACGAGCACATTTCGCGCACCTGGTCGTACCCAAGCCGCACTGCTAGAGACTTCACCGCATCGCGATAGTCTTCCGTTCGATCTACGGCCATGGTACCGTTATGTGCCCGGATTCCAACCAAGTTCCGCCCGAACTTGAACTACCGAAACTGATCGAGACACGAAGGAGTTGAAGAGTTTCCCTAACTAACGAAGAATGCTCTTCCTCTAAATTGTCATCTCAATCCCGTCACATATTCCCTGCTTCGAAATGCCATTCGTCGATCTGTCCGCTTTATTAGGCTCTCGAAGAATTGTGCAAGGCCATCGGCACGATTGAAGTGCTCTTTGACAATGCCAAACAAGTGCAAGGTCCTCAAGTGTCTCGACAAACATATTTCCAGTGGAGTTCGAGTGCTATGCTGAAATTTAGAATGACAATGCAAACTAGAAAAAAAGAAATATAATGTGGACATACACCGTTCATATACCGTCAAACGTAATATACTTCTTGATATTTTTCCGGGTTTGGTGGGTAAGCTGTGTAAGTGTATGTGAAGGGTTTGATGTTTTGTACACCACAAATAAGCTATTGGATCCACGCCAGCCCCTGGTTTGGGCTTGCTGGGCTGCCTGCTGATTCAGCCTGGGCACGGTTGACATGGCGCGAGCTTTCCCAAAACTGAGGATGACGTCACACTGCCCTGGCACTGTCCCACATCCACGTGTTGCAGAATCCTCATTTCCTGATGCCTGGCTCCCACCAGGCTCAAGCCCACCGATTTTCCGTAGCGATTTCGATGCTGTTTTTGTGCTGCTACGGAACCGTTACAGGGAATGCTTGCTGGACACTTCGTGACCTGGTGCTTCGTCCTGCCTCAAAAGCTCCAGTCGTGGAATTAGAAGGCTTCGTGGTTCCATAAAGCTTTGCAACTTCAAGGCTTTGCTGTCACGTCTTTTGCGTATTTCATTTTCAGTCGACGATATACCATCAGCTGCCTTGTCCTCTCAACTGTTCGACTTTCGCTATCATGGAGAAGGCCCGTCTTAGGCAGCAGGTTATCGCCGACCACTTGAGTCCTGGTCCGGTTTTCCAGCGAGCCGATCTGGTATGCTTTACACGCTTAGATGCACTTCCCGTAATAGTGTCGTTAGTTGGGCACCGAATCTGACCTAGCGGAACCAATCGTTGCGCAGGTCGCGTCGCCGTGCCTTGCTGGGGACAGTGCGGCATATGCTCGCACGGCTGGCTATGATGACGATGTCGTAATTGTGAGGTAAGATTCAGGAAAGTCACAAAATAATGCTGGAATATTACCTCTTCTAGTTTCTTTCGAGTTAACGATGATAGCTTGTGGCTTTCCACCATTCTGACGGAATGTTTTTTGCTGCTTCACAGTGCGCGTCGCTCGGCCCTTACTAAGGCCAAACGTGGCGGCTTTAAGGACACCCTTCCGGATGACATCCTGGCGCCGGTGCTTAGGGTCAGTGCATTCATTTTTTATTTTTATTTTTTAAAATCAAGATAACCAACTACGTTTTGCAATTCAAGATAACAACTTACGACAATAAAAGTTATCCAGCACCATTAATTTCTTGTTTCACGAGCCTAACATTCATTACTTTCATTCTAACCAGGCTGTTGTTGATGAGGCTGGAGTGAGGCCAGAGGAAGTTGGAGATATCATTGTGGGAACTGTTCTTGCTCCAGGAAGCCAAAGAGCGAGCGAATGCCGGATGGCTGCTCTTTTCGCTGGCTTTCCTGGTGAGGAAAACTTCAAGCTGTTTGTTCCATTCAATCGTAGATGATGTTTTTTGTTGAACAGCAGTGAGAGCATGTTCTTTACCCCGTGCAGATACTGTGCCGGTGAGGACGGTAAACAGGCAATGCTCGTCTGGCCTTCAAGCTGTTGCCGACGTGGCTGCGTCCATCAAGGCTGGATATTACAAAATCGGTATGTGATCTGAAGTTGCAGTAGGACGTTCCAACTTTTTGGGTATTGGCTGTACCTTTGTAAGAATTATACAAACATGTGTCGCTGAAACGAGTAGTTGTATTGAACTCGTGAGCAGGCATTGGTGCTGGGTTGGAATCTATGACGGTCAATCCTATGGCCTGGGAAGGAAGCGTCAACCCGAAGGTAAGGGATATGCAGTCTATTAATTCCATTTGAACAGAACATCCTCAGGCTCACTCGAATGATGTTGAGTGCAGGCTGAGATGAACCAGAAAGCTCAGGACTGCCTTTTGCCTATGGGGATCACATCAGAGAATGTTGCTGAGCGATTCGGAGTCAACCGGAAGGATCAAGATGATGTTGCGGTGAGTGGAGTTTCCTGTATACTTCGCAGAGTTTCAATGGGCGATATTGAGCAGTAATTGATATTTCTTTTTTTATATATATATTTTTTTTTCTCACAGGTGAAGTCTCACAAGAAGGCTGCAGCAGCGACAGCTGCTGGAAGGTTTCGTGATGAGATCGTCCCCATCAGCACCAAGGTAAGTGTTGGATTACCAAGTTACAACTTCATTGTGTGTCCTGGTCAGGATTCAGGCCGTGGGTTTATCGACTCCATTTTTACCTTTCAGATTGTTGATCCAAAGACTGGTGATGAGAAGCCAATTGTTGTGAGCGTTGATGATGGCATTCGTCCTGGAGCTACCATGGCTGACCTTGCTAAGCTCAAGCCAGTCTTTAAGAAGGGTGGAACGACCACGGCTGGAAATTCCAGCCAAGTGAGTGACGGTGCTGGAGCAGTGCTGCTGATGACCCGTGGGGAGGCACTTCGACGAGGAATTCCCATCCTTGGGGTTTTCAGGTGTGTACATTCCCAAGCGCTACATGAGGGATACAAGTGGTTTTTTTCAATTTTAATGGTCTACCAGTCAGCTAGCGCGCCTGGTCTCCCTTTGCACCATGGTTACGTTCCTGTTTTTAAGTAGGTTCTATCAGATTTGTACTCTCTTAAGTTTTCTTCGACCATCTTGTACAGGAGTTTCTCTGTTGTTGGAGTTGATCCTGCTGTTATGGGGATTGGACCTGCAGTCGCCATCCCTGCTGCTGTCAGCGCAGCCGGATTGGAGATTGACGACATTGACCTGTTTGAGATCAATGAGGTGAGCCCTGTCGCGTCATGCATTTGTGCCAGTGGCAGCTTTGACTTGGCTCAGCTCGTTTTAAACTTCTTTGCTGGTTCTTGAAACGGATGTTTTGTGTTTAACCTCTTGTTGCTTTCAGGCATTTGCTTCCCAGTTCACCTATTGTGCTCGCAAGCTTGAGCTTGATGAGGAGAAGATCAACGTGAATGGTGGAGCGCTTGCCATAGGTCATCCCCTTGGAGCCACAGGTAAGTGAATGCCATGCGCATTTTGAATATTCATTTGTTCCGCCTATGGGACATTTCTTTGATAACTGTGTGTTCCTGTAACAGGGGCACGTTGTGTGGCAACGCTTCTGCATGAGATGAAGCGACGAGGAGTTGATTGTCGGTTTGGCATTGTCTCAATGTGCATTGGTAAGTGCAAGGCTCAATCAAATTCCAGCTGAAATTTCTGTCGGTGCAGTGCAATTCCAGCTGTGTACTTCTAGAAAGAGTGAACATGCTCATATTCCCCGCTTCCAGCCTTTCCCCATGCCTACATGGTCTGTCCTTACTTATCTTGTTCCCTCACCATACTCTTGCCATCTGTGTTCCACTGTTTCTGTGACTTTCCAGGAACTGGCATGGGTGCAGCTGCTGTCTTCGAGCGTGGTGACTACGTATGCCCCCTCACTAACGCCCTCCAAGCTTGACTTCACAGCTTCATATCGACAAGTAACTGTTCGATGGGGACAACACACAGATTCAGGTTGTAGATAAGGTTCTGTGAGCATCTGTCATATTTACTGAGACAGTATTATGAGGATTTTGCATTTCTATGGATGCCACAGGCCACAGAGAGTGATTATCTTGGAGAAACAGTACATTAATCAACCAGCAATGGAGGCTTCTTATTTCCTGAATGCTAACCAGAATCCTCAGTTCATAATGTAGTACCGTAAAATATTAGGAGTGACCAGAAGTCCAACCTGACAGGAATATCATTATATCAAATATTGAACACTAAAGTACATCTTGCCAACAAAAATGAGCCACCGTATACTGTAAAAACATGTGAGCCTCAGGCAGATGAGAGGTGGGTTGGGACCTTGGGAGCCCGGGAGGGTGTGGGGACATAGTCCCCTGGGGTGTATTTGACCACACAGTCGTAGATGCGACCGCCTAGGAAATCAGCCACCTCCTTGTGCTTCACCTGTTATAGACGATGGGTAGGGAAAGGGAGAGGAGAAGGGGAGAGAATGTATGGGTAACGAGAGGGAGAGGGGAAAGTGCAAGAACAAATCGTAATGAGGTGAAGGGAGAGGGGCATTGTCTATATGCCCGAGCAGGGAATGTCACCAATGACACACAGAGTGTACATGTCAGTGGTACACGTGACCAGTGAAGTGCGCCACTCCAAACACCAGTACATGTCACGAGAGCCACAGTGCATTTGACCATTCCAAACACTTACACACCTCACCATGCCAATGTTAAGCTTGTCACATATCATGAGCATCACAGTGCATGTCACCATTGCCAAGCACTTGAAATCTCACCATGCCGATGTTGAGCTTATCACATGTCATGAGCGCATGCAGATTGGTCTCTATGGCACGGCCCTGCCACACAGGCGACGGGGAAGGGAATGGATGGACATGAGAAGGGAAAGGATTCTTTGTGCAGAAGCATGTGATGCTGAAATGGCTTTGGGTTTTAGTTGCAAAGTCACACTTGCATCACTCCAAGACATAGACATCCGTGGTTGACAAAAATCTGGATATCATGATGCATGCATGAATCACATACCATGCCCTCCATAATGACCAGCTCAGCGTCTTCAGCAGCAAATGCCAGCTCAGGGGATATGTGTGCCAGGTCAGCAACCTGTGCGGGAGGGACTCAGGGATGGGAGGAAAGTAAGGCCAGAAATAGAGAGAGAAAGATGGGGTTGACCAAAATGAATCGTAATGGAATCACAAGCATAAGTGAAGTCGTCATAAAAGACAAGCCGGAAGGATACTGCAGGGGCCTATTGAAGAACATTAGTGGGGTACAAGAACAACAATGAGGATTCATGAAAGAGATTTATCAGGGGTCTGAACAAGAAGGCTCACGGGAACGTCGCTGCCTGAGTTGACAATAAGAATACGCCCACTGTCAATGCCTGCGCTTATAGTCTCGTCCTCTAATGTCACTTGCACCTGATTGTTTATGCACATAGAGCCAGACAGACAGACGGAGGGCTGAGAGGGTAACAGACCGAGCTTGTAAACGCCACCACCAGCATCAGAGAGACAGACATCACAGCAGCAAGACTCACCAAGGACATCGGAAGATCCACCTTTTGCACAAGGAAGAGGAGCTCGTTATAAGTGACGCCATTGATAGAAGGCAAGTAGTTAGCTGCCACCACCACCTGTGCGCCTTGCCCCACCACCTCCCCACTAGGTCCTCACCCGAAGAGGCTCCTCCATAAGAGAAGCAGCACCCACCTTTTGCACAAGCGAAAGGAGCTCATTGTAAGTGACGTCATTAATGGAGGGCATGTCGTTAGCCGCCACCACCACCTGTGCGCCTTGCCTCACCAGCTCCCTCACCAGCGGCAGCACCCCCAACACCAGGTCTGCCCCGGAGTTGTCGCAAAACACGACCACCTGAGGGAGTGGGATGGGCGAGGGGAGTGGGATGGGCGAGGGGAGTGGGATGGGCGAGGGGAGTGGGATGGGCGAGGGGAGTGGGATGGGCGAGGGGAGTGGGATGGGCGAGGGGAGTGGGATGGGCGAGGGGAGTGGGATGGGCGAGGGGAGTGGGATGGGCGAGGGGAGTGAGCACAGCAATTGACTTGAGACTTGGTCAAGCCACGCCGTCTGAAGCACATCCACGTGGTCAAACACCCACGGCATCAAAGCACAAAGCACATCCAAGTAACCTATGCCGGCTTAAAACAATCAAGCTGGGGAAAACTCACCTTCTTCCACGTGCGGTCGAGCCACGCCTTCTGAAACTCAGCCACGTGGTCAAACACCCACGGGCGTGGCAGCAGCTGCTGAAAGCTCTTCTCAAACGACAGCCCCTCGCCCTCCACCAGTGCTGCGGACTGCATAGGCGAGAGGGGGACGGAACAGGAGGGATGGGGGTGAGCGAGAGAGAAGGGAGAAGGGGGAGGCGCGAATGCAAAGAAGATTGATGAGAGGACAACAGAAGCAGCTGCTCAGAACTCTTATCAACACAGCCTCTCGCCCTCCACCAGTGCTGCGGATTGTGCAGACAGGTTGGGGGAGGAAAGGGAGTGAAGTGAGGGAGGGAGGGGGAGAGTGGAAGAACAGGAAAAAGATTAACAATGGTACAGCAAGAGCAGTTAAAGCTCTTTCCAACTGGATCCCAGTAACATCATTGCGGCGTTCCAGGAGCACTGTAACACACATAGTGATGCTACAAATATACAATCACGTTGTTAGCTCCCAGGTCGAAGATGTTCCCAGCCAGCACGCCCTTAACCAGCAGCTCTATCCGGCTCTTGATGTCAGAAACTCAGATTTTACACATTACCGGTGTTATACATCAATTTCACTTGTGTCAAACTCACGTTGTTGGCTCCCAGATCAAAGATGTTCCCAGCCAGCACGCCCTTGACCAGCAGCTCTATCCGCTCCTTCAAGTCCTCCACCGCATCAATTCTCTTCAGCGTTGCCGGCAGCATGGCCAGCGCCTTCTCGTTCTCCTCCGCCTGGATGGGGTTTCCATTGAGGGTTTGGGAATTCGGGTTTGGAACGTAGAGTTCACGGTTTAGGAGGAGAGCCGAGAGGAGGAGGAATAAAGATCTGCCTTTCCTCCTCCCAGGCACACTTGTGCGCAAGACCTGTGGTGCCTCCAGACTAGCTCTCAGCCTCTCAGGCGCTGCATCCGAACATGACGTCAGAAGCCCCTCAACACCTTCCCATACGTTTCTTAGGCTACCCATTGCGTGAATCCGCTCTAAACCGTGTCACACCATCCTGCACCCATTTGTACCTTGGTCTTCTTGAAGATGTCTTTGAAACCGGCCTCTGTCAAGCAGACTTCCCTCAGACGGCACAAATTCTGCAATGGGCGGCAAATGATAGGGAAAAAAACACATAGTTTCTGAGGCGCCAAAGAAAAAGTTAAATCGCACCTGGGAGCTTTCAACTATCCAAGAACAAGTCACTTGAACATGCAATCAGCTATTGTATTCAACCAATCCAATAGCAGTTGCGCATTCTACTCACAACTGGGTTGGGAGGGCCACCATGGCTGCTTGGATCCTTGGCAAAGTCATCGAGGATCGCTGCGTATCTGAGCACGAGGGGAAGCAGAGGGACAGGATCTCGCATAGAGGATGGATTAGACAAACAATGGGGGATAGGGTAGAAGAGGAGAATGAGGAGGAAGAGGAGGGGGAGGAGGAGGAGGAGGAGGAGGAGGAGGAGGAGGAGGAGGAGGAGGAGGAGGAGGAGGAGGAGGAGAGGAGGAGGAGGAGGGGAGGAGGAGGAAGAGAGGAGGAGGGGGGGGCAGGAAATGACAAAGTAGAATTTGGCTTCACAAGGAACAGAGAAGAAAGTAGAACGAAAAGAGTGCGAGGGAGAGAATGGGATTGGAGAAGTGGTTGGGAGGTAAGTAGGCCGAAGACATGAATGACTGATGAGTGAGTGAGTGAGTGAGTGAGTGAGTGAGTGAGTGTGAGTGAGTGACTGAATATCTGACTGTCTGACTGACTGGCTGGCTGGCTGGCTGACTGAATGACTGACTGACTGACTGACCGACTGGATGGCTGGCTGACCGACTGACTGACTGACTGACTGACTGACTGACTGACGGCCTGACCGATGGGTGACTGACGGACCGACTGACTGACTGGCTGGCTGGCTGACTGGCTGGCTGACTGACTGGCTGACTGACTGGCTGACTAACTGGCTGACTGGCTGGCTGACTGACTGGCTAACTGGCTGGCTGACTGACTGTCTGGCTGACTGACTGACTGACTGGCTGACGGACTGACTGGCTGACTGACTGACTGGCTGACTCACTTCTCTTCGAAGACTTTCGCCTTCTCTGCAGCGTTCTCCACAGACTCGTCGCCAGCAGCTCGTTTCCTGCGCACATGGAATGGAACAATCCACAGGAAGTAAATCCACAGGAAGGATTTAAAACGTCTCAATTTTTTGAAGGGCTCGATGCAGCTGTTATGGTGAGACGGGTCCAACGGCGCCTCTAAGGCAATGTGTGTGGTCCCCTCACACATGAAGGCCGGACGACGGACAGATACTGACCCGAAGGGCTCGATGCTGCGGCGGAAGACGTCAATCCACGTGATCTCGGTGTCGGTGAGCTGGCCGGGGGGGTCCTTGGCGCTGCGGAAGGGGATGGTCCAGGGGGTGTACGCCTCCGCGCTCAGCAGCAGCGGGAAGGGCACGAGCGTGGATGCGGGGATGGCTGCATGCGGCGCTGCTCCCTCTGCGTCTGCTTCGAAGCTCTCGGAAATGGCTGGGGCCTCCTGGTCCTCCGCCTTGAGCGTGCTGAGCTTCAGCCCCTCCTTCTTGACTGCCAACATGGCTGCATGGGGGGAGGCGAGAGGGGAGGAGAAAGGAATGGAGGAGGACATGGGATATAGATGGAGCTGCCTTCCTGGTCCTCCGCCTTGAGCGTGCTGAACTTCAAACCTTTCTTCTTGACCGCCAACATGGTTGCAGAAAGGGGAGGATGGAGGATGTCATATGAGTCAACTCCGACATAGAGAAGAGGAGAAAGAGGGAAATTCGGTTTTGAACGGAAGAGAAACTGGGAATGGAGAGAAAGAAATGAGCAGAAAGGTACGCATAACATGCTTGAACGATGGCTTTCAGTAAGACTCCACAGTCCCTGGAAGGAACACGTCTCAGACAAACATCGAGACCGCGGTTTCAAACTGCGGGGTTCCGAGACGGTGGCAGCGAAATCATCGCAATGTGCAGCCTCACTGACTCTGTCACTCAATACCAGGACGGGAAGCATGGCTGCTACGCATTCCGTCATCGTAAGAACTCAGCTGCTACGGACTTCGCCGATCACCCTTCGTATCCAGCACAAGTAGGCTTCGGAAGCGTACGTCCGGCATCCAACATTGCCTTTGAAACGCTTCAAGAGCCGCACGTCTAGGATCTAGCATTTCTCATGAATCCGCATTTCTCATGAATTCCCATCGAATGTGAATGTTCGGCATTCCCGAGACAACGACGTGGCATTCTCGGTAAGATCCGTAGTCCAGTACAAGCTCTTGAATTTCTTTGAACATAATATCGATTGCAGATCAGAGAACGCATTTTCTAGGTTATTAGACAAAGTGACTGCGTACTGCGGGAAAACTATCCAGCAGGAGACGAAATCCAAGAAACTAGTATCCTCAACAGTTCGTTCAATGTGAGGAGAATCGATTGTTTCTGGTGAAGATTCAAGCCGTTGATACACCTAAGATATATTATAGGAGGAATCATTTGCCTTTCCAAATGCACCAAGTGCAATCTCCGCATTGCTGCCTTACATCCATCCGTCCCTTCTAAATCCGAAGAGGAAGACGTACCTCCGATGCTTTAAATAGCAGGTCCTGAGGGGATGGACCGAGAAATTGACCGGAACAATGCGATGTAGGCGACTTCTAAGCAGCGGCAATGGCGCCTAGAAACAATGGCAAGCGAATCCCAACGGTCAAGAATGAGTGAGCGGTTTGCGACAGTGAGCGAGCTGTCGGAGAGGGGACACGAATTTTGGTGAAAGGGAAAGGGAAGGAATGGGATGGGAGGGATGGAGGCTTGTGGAGGATCTCGGATTGTTGGGAAGGAGGGAGGGTGATCTAGCCGCTCGGCAATCCCTATTGTGCTGTGGTGAAGTACACTCGAACCCTGTGTAACACCTTCATATAATCAGAATGATATTTTGTCACGGGTGGATCAATGGGTGGAAGATTGAAGAGGAATGTTGAAACATCAAGAACCTCAAAAATAGGTACTAAATCAGAGGTGTAATAAATTCACAATTTCTCCATTTCGGCTGAGTATGAATCTAGTTCATGAGGTGATACACAAGATTGGTGTTTTGAGCTGATGCACCTATCCAAAAACTATAAAAACATCGTACTTTCGAATCTGTTCAAATGAAGAACACTTTTATGACGCTAAGGCAACGGCAATCCAAAGCATAATCAGAGCTACGTTATGCTGAAATAGAGAAGCTGAAGCGGCTCCACAGTTGCCTCGTCTGCATGATCCTTCCTTCACATCACAGACTCACGGACGTTGGTAGGACGCAGCATGCACGGTCGGAAGTGGAGTAGCATTTCTTTGCCGCGAGAAGTGCGCATACATTAGTAGTTCTTTCAGCCGATGATTGCCTGACGCCCTTTGCAAACCAAAGATGATGACGGGTGATGGTGTTTTAGGGACGAGAAGCGCGGCGGCGGTGAAGGAGATTAGGGTTCACTTCGCGACGGAACTTTGAGCCCGACTCGAAAGGGGCACCGTACCGCTAGAAGATGCGCATGGCCGATGACGTTGTTTCTCGAGCGAGAAACGCGGCGGCGGTGAAGGAGATCAAGGTTGACGCCACGTCGGAGCCGCTGCTCTGCCATCGATTGGAGAAGGATATCTTCCCCGCGGTGCGTTCTGCTAACGTGGCGCGTAATGCTGACGTGGTGTGATGCAGGCGCGTGCTTATCCTGCTGACGTGGGGCTTGTTCAGCTGACTTGGTGCATGCGCTGCTATGTTAGCCCATCCGTCCACTTTCCCAACACCAACACGTTTCATCCACGTGTCAGGTATTGCGAGGAGCAGTGGCTGATTGGCCGGCGCTGACCCGATGGGACCTCATCAACAGCTCTCACGCACGGGAGTACTTGCAGGTGCAAAACATTCCTTGTAGCACTGGTCATTCAGGCGCGTCAGTGAGGTCGTTTTTGAGGCGCCTCAAAAACGACCTCAATGCATGCAGGTGCAACACATTCCATGTAGCACTGGTCATTCAGGCGCGTCAGGAGTTCCACGCTCCCTCAACTAGCGTTTCATTCCATTCCATGCGCAGTCCGATAATCTCATGCACAATCCTTCATTGAAGTGTCCTGGTTATTCACCTTCTTTCTAAGTAGCGTAGCAGTAAGTGCATCTATAGCAATTAAAGAGATAATTGGTTCTCTCGTGCAGCTCATCATGGCTTGCACAGAGCCAGCCAGCGCGCAGTTCTGAGAATTCTTGAATTTGATTACCATATCTATAGCATCTAAAGAGATAGCTGGTTCTCTCGCGCACCTCACCATGGCTCGCACAGACACAGGCAGATAGTTCTGCCACCTGCTCAGAAACTTTTCCTTCGCCGCTGTAACGGTTTACCCTCCGTCTCCCTCCCCCACGCACACCAACCCCCTTCCCTCTCCCATTCCATGCAGCATCTGGTCGGATCAGCTCCCGTGCAGCTCATCATGACTCGCACAGAGCCGTTCCTTTCTGTCGTGCGACTTTTGAGTCAACCCAAAAGCCACCCCTGCACATTGACTGACCACCTCCCTTCCCCTCTCCCATTCCATGCAGCATATGGTGGGATCAGCTCCCGTGCAGCTCATCATGACTCGCACAGAGCCACTCACTTCTGTCACCCGCTCACAACAAACCCAAGGGGGACAATCACATGTGTCACAATCACATGCCTCGAAGCAGCCCTTCGCTTACTTCAATGGGGCATTGCGCAAGCACGAGCGGGTGGGACCGCCTCTGTTCTGCTGTTTTTTGTGGGCCGTGTCATGCCATGCACGCAACCGTATGTGCATGCGTGCTTTGCCAGTGAAAGGTAGTACCTTTTTTTTTTTGGTTATTAAGGACAAGCAAACATCCTCGTTTCACTATGCTGCCTTCACCCCTTTTCCTTTGTAAATGTTCTTAGCATTTTTCGTCCCTTTTTTTTCCCCTCAATCTCGGACCCTTTCTCTAAGCAGATAGCAGCTACCTTCTCTGATGCGCTAACGCTTGCATGTGCGTTGCCCAATGCTGCGGAGGCTGAAGCAGGAGCGAGGGATGGAAGCGGTGGTGTTGGCATTGCCACTCCTGCCACTGGTGACACTGATGCTGCTGATGGTGCTGCTGGTGCTGCTGACGGTGGTGCTGGTGGTGGTGGTGCTGGTGGTAATCGCGCTGCTGGGAATGGTGGTGCTGGCAGTGCTAAGGGGAAGGGAGATGGGGTCCGGCTGCAAGGGGTTGAGGGGAAGGGAAACGCGGGGCGAGGGGACAAGGAGGATCAAAGCAGTGGCCTGCAGGAGATGATACGAGCCATGGCTTCTGGTGCCGCTCCACTGGCATTCTACCTCGCCCAAGTATATGCATAGCCACTCTCACACATGCTCCTGCCTCCTGCCTTCTGTACCCTCATCACTTGCGTTCGTCCAGTTCCCCTCCTTTCCATTCCCTCTCACCGATTTTCTTCCCTGCACCTCTTCTCTTCCCCTCCCCTCCGCTCCCCTCTACGTGCCACATACACATACTCAATGAGCAGAACCCCATCTTTGATCGCCAGCAGCCACATCAGCAGTTCCCTCTCTCGCCCTTGCTACAAGATGCTCCTATTGTATGGTAACCAGGAGGATTTGCAGTACCTGTTGAAGTAGGCATGACCACGGGTTGGGGCCCAGGCTTTTTGGGCTGCAGTGGCCGCTTGTTGAATTTTCCCAGCCCAGGCCCAGGCACAGGCCCAGGTCCCTGCCCAGGCCCCGGCCCAGACAAAGGTCCCTGCGGGGCCTGGGTTTTGAGACGTCTCAAAGCCCATTTTTGAAGACTTTTGAGGCGCCTCAAAAGTCAAAACCCAGGCCCCGGCCAGACCAAGGGCCGGTTCACCTACCCTCTGAGAACAAAGTTTGCATGTTTACAATTCTTTCCGCTGCTGCTGTTGTGAGCTCACCGTTTCGATTTGGTTTACTAACGTAGGATTACGTCTTCCAACTCAGCTCTCTCTGGCCTGCCCGTGTTCACCTCACCAGCCGTCGGTGCTAGACGCGTCTCGCCTCACATCGGCCAATCTGTGGATGACACTTGGCGGCCCCTCCTCCTCCTCGCCTCACTACGACCTCTTCCACAACCTGCTCTGCATTGCAACTGGCTCTAAAACAGGTGAGGATGGTGCTGGTGGTGGTGATAATGATGTGGTGATGGTGGTGATAACTGTAGTGATTGTGATGGGGGTGACAATGGTGATGGTAAAACAGTCTCACCTACTCTTCCACAACCTGCTCTGCATCGCTACCTGCTCTGCTCTATGACAGTTCGGGGTGCTGGTGGTGATGGTGATGATGGCGGTGATGATTGCATTAGGAGCTGCCCCGATTTTCTCCCATTTGTGCATAGAAACGTCGAGCTTCACTACCTCATGAGAGATTTTGAGCTCAATTTCTTACATCTATAATGCAGCTTCCCTCCTTCCTTCTATCCCTTTCTGTCGCATTCTTGGTACACTAGCGCTGCTCGGCTGTGGTCCCATCTCCGTTTCCTGTCCTTCCATCCATCCCGCCCTGCTGATTCCATCCCCATGCATCTCTTGGCACCCCATCCCACCACTCTCCACCTCACTGCACCACAGCAGGTCGTCTATATCCCCTACCAGTAGCCCAATTTTGGTTTTGTCTCCTCCCTCTCTCCTCCCTCCTACCCTTCCGTTGATACCGCACTTCACCGCACCCCACCCCTCCCCTGCACGCCCCGCCCACCCCTCCTCACCGCACTGCACCAGAGCAGTTCGCCTGTGGCCCCCATCATCAGCAGCGCATCTTCTGGACCCCATGCCCCTCTACTCTGAGTCATCCAATCACGTGTCAGCACCTGTCACTTGTCCGTTACTAGTTCTGAGTTATCTCACACTTCCGCTTCCTTTTTTTCTCGGATTACATGTTGCTAAAAGTCTTCGAAAAGATTCTGCAATTCCTGATTCTTCCTCTCTTTCACCCGATCCTTTCTCTCCCTCTCGCCTCACCTTGCCCATCCCTCTTCCATTCTTCTCTCTCCTTTTCTCTTCGCTCTGGCCTCATGCCCCCGTGTTCTCTTCCCATGCAGCCATTCGCACCCGTCTCCTCTCCATCTCTCTCCAGAGGCAGCAGCGGCAGCAGCCACCGTGACTCTTCATGCCGGGGATGCGCTCTTCCTGCCTGAAGGCTGGTGAGATGGGAGGGAAGGGGGAAAGGGGGGAGGGGGGCAGAGGGAGGGTGATGAACACATGGGGTGCTGGTGCGTGGCTGGGTCCCTGGCAGCAGCGAGTGTGCTTCTTCATGCTGGGGATGCGCTCTTTCTGCCTGAAGGCTGGTGAGCTAGGGAGAAGTGGGAGGGGGTTGGGGGGAGAGGACTGATGAGTGCATGTGCTGCTGCTGGTGCATGGCTTTTGAGGCGCCTCAAAAGTCTGATGAGTGCATGTGCTGCTGCTGGTGCATGGCTGGGCGACTGTAGTAGCAGCAGCAGCGCCGGTAACAGTGGCGGCAGTTACAGCAGCCACCGTGACTCTTCATGCTGGGGATGCGCTCTTCCTGCCTGAAGGCTGGTGAGAGGTGGGAGAGCAGGAGAAAGAAGGGTCAACTGTGTATTCTTGTTACGGCTCAACTGTAACTTTGCACTTCAATCATTCCTTGAAGAAAACTATAGGCTTTTAGGCAGTTTTTGCTCATTACTGCAGTACCATCTCTCCACACCCTACTTCTTCCTAAACCTTAAAGCCGCTGTTTGTGGCGCATAAATAATCATCGCCACACGCCCTGCCTCTTCCCCACACTACCTCTCTTTATGATGCCATCCATACCACCATGGCGAGGCAGGTACCATCAGGTCAGCAGCACGCCAGCCACCATTGCCATCAACTTCTGGTGGCCCTCCCTAGTGTGCCTCTCGTTTGGATCACACATGGATCTTTACTATGCGAGGAGAGTGCTTACAAGGTGAGACATCTTGGTTGTTCTGCCGTTTGCCCTTGTATCATGTCTCTCCCTAGTGTGCCTCTTGTTTGTATCACACATGGATCTCTACTATGCGAGACGAGTCCTTACAAGGTGAGACTGTGTGGTTCGTATGTTGTTTTTTCTCCTTAATGTCCCTCTCGTTTGGGTCAGACATGGACCTCTACTATGCGAGGAGGGTGCTTACAAGGTGTGTCTGTTTGGTTTTTGTGCCGTTTGCCCTTGTATCATGTCTCTCCCTAGTGTGCCTTTCGTTTGGGTCACACATGGATCTTTACTATGCAAAGAGAGTGAGTGCTCTAAAGGTGTGATGCGAGTTTGCCTTGCACTTCTGTGATTAGTGTTTTAAATCCGCACCTCTGTGTCCATGTGTGACCTCCATGTTTAAAATCCGCACCTCTGTGTCCATGTGTGACCTCCATGTTTTAAATCCGCACCTCTGTGTCCATGTGTGACCTCCATGTTTTAAATCCGCACCTCTGTGTCCATGTGTGACCTCCATGTTTTAAATCCGCACCTCTGTGTCCATGTGTGACCTCCATGTTTTAAATCCGCACCTCTGTGTCCATGTGTGACCTCCATGTTTTAAATCCGCACCTCTGTGTCCATGTGTGACCTCCATGTTTTAAATCCGCACCTCTGTGTCCATGTGTGACCTCCAGGTTTTAAATCCGCACCTCTGTGTCCATGTGTGACCTCCATGTTTTAAATCCGCACCTCTGTGTCCATGTGTGACCTCCATGTTTTAAATCCGCACCTCTGTGTCCATGTGTGACCTCCATGTTTTAAATCCGCACCTCTGTGTCCATGTGTGACCTCCATGTTTTAAATCCGCACCTCTGTGTCCATGTGTGACCTCCATGTTTTAAATCCGCACCTCTGTGTCCATGTGTGACCTCCATGTTTTAAATCCGCACCTCTGTGTCCATGTGTGACCTCCATGTTTTAAATCCGCACCTCTGTGTCCATGTGTGACCTCCATGTTTTAAATCCGCACCTCTGTGTCCATGTGTGACCTCCATGTTTTAAATCCGCACCTCTGTGTCCATGTGTGACCTCCATGTTTAAAATCCGCACCTCTGTGTCCATGTGTGACCTCCATGTTTTAAATCCGCACCTCTGTGTCCATGTGTGACCTCCATGTTTTAAATCCGCACCTCTGTGTCCATGTGTGACCTCCATGTTTTAAATCCGCACCTCTGTGTCCATGTGTGACCTCCATGTTTTAAATCCGCACCTCTGTGTCCATGTGTGACCTCCATGTTTTAAATCCGCACCTCTGTGTCCATGTGTGACCTCCATGTTTTAAATCCGCACCTCTGTGTCCATGTGTGACCTCCATGTTTTAAATCCGCACCTCCACTCTCCAAAGAGATTGCTCACAAGTTCATCCACTTCTTTGTAATCCACTAGGTCTGTGGATACCTGATAGGTCTAATAGGGCATAATAGGTGTACTTTGGACTGATTTTATCTAAAGAGACTCATAAGATTCCTTCCCTCAATCTATTTCTTTGCCTGACCACCTGTTTCTCCCGTTTCCATCCCTTTCCGCTGCCCCTCTCCCCTCTCCTCCTTTTCCTCTTCCTTCCCTCCCTCTGCTGGTCGAAGCCTGCTTGAAGCTCATAAGGTACGTACTTCTCTTCATCCTCGTCATAAGCCTGCCTTGTTTCTCACATTGCTCAATAATCTGACTCCTTTTATCAGCCGCCTGATAAAAAACTTGCTCACACACAACATTGAACGGTGCGACCTTGTTTCTTTGCCTCTTCGTCCGGTTGCAGGAGTGCAAGGCAAAACGAGCAGCACTAACAGACGCAGAAAGGACGGAAGGTGAAGGGGCTGCTTTTGAGGCGCTTCAAATGGCAGGGACAGTGGAGGGTGAGGGAGGGGGAAGTATTAGACAATCAGCAAAGCCGGCAGCAGGAGATGTGCATTTACAATCCACAGGAACGCTGCGAGGAGGGATGGGGATTGGAGGAGGAGAAGGAGAAGGATACGTGGCGCGAGAAAGGAAGATGGAAAGAGAAGTGGGAAGCAGAGGATCTGAGCAAAGCCAGCAAGAAGCAGAAAGAGGGGGAGGGGTAGGCGGTGGTAGTGATTGGAGGGTGGTTGAATCAGCGGGAAGTGAGGGGGTTGATGCATGGGAAACGAGGGGCGTGGCAGTTGGGGGCCGACAGGCGGAGCAGCAGAAGAGGAGGGAGAGGGAGGAGGAAAGGGAAGAGGGAAGGGAAGAGGGAAGGGAGGAGAGAAGGGGGGATGTAACGGAGAGAGGCAAAGCGCCAGATGAAGGAAGGGGGAAGGAGGAGGGGAAGGGAGAGGGGAAGGAAGAAGTGAAGGAAGAGGAGAAGGGGAGGCGGGAACTGATGGAAGGGTTGAGTAAGGCGGAGAGAAGGGCTGTAGAATCCCTCGTTCTTGCTGCTTCTGCTGCTGCCTCTGCCACTGCTTCTGCTGCTGCCGCTGCCACTGCTTCTGCTGCTGCCTCTGCCACTGCTTCTGCTGCTGCCTCTGCCACCGCTTCTGCTGCTGCCTCTGCCACTGCTTCTGCTGCTGCTGCTGCTGCCACTCCTCTAGCAGCCGCTGCTGCTCATGCTTCCCCTGCTATTGGTGCCTCTCTTGCTATTGGTGCTCCATCCTCTGCTGCTGGTGGGTTGGGGAAAAGGAAGCCTGTTGGCGCGCGGAAGGATGGGGAGAAGCGGAGACGAGAGGAGGGGAGATACCAAGGCAAGGAGAGTAGTGAAGCGGGTGGTGAATTAAAAGAGGAAGGAAGAAAGAAGAAGAGGGGGAGGTGGGAGGAGATGCAAGAGGAGGAAGAGGAGGACCAGGAAAAGGAGGGGGAGGAAGGGGACAAAAAACTAAGAGACGTTGCTTCGAGGGTGGAGACTGTGATTGCTGCTCTACCCCCGGCCTCACTGCGCAACGTGCTTCTTGTCATGGCTGTATGTACTTATCTTTAGACTTGTCCAAAATCGCTCGAAAGGGCTGTATGTGCTTCGAAGGTGGAGACTGTGATTGGTGCTTTGCACCGGGCCTCCTTGCGCAGTGCTTCTAGTCATGGCTGTATGTGCTTCCCTTGAATAATACACTCGCTCCGCATTTCATGTGATATGAGCCACACCCACTATTTTAGCGTCAGGAGGAAATGGGAGGCACTATTTTAGCCTCCCCTGCCTCCCATTTCCTTCCTACAGCACGCCTTCTCACCGTCCTCACACCACCTGCTGGTGCACTGTGTCTCTCCTTTCCTCCTCAACTTTTCATCCTGCACGCCTTCTAAAAAATGACATGACAATTTTCATGCTCTTTCTCTTCTTCCCCCCCAGCCCTTTCTCCCCACAGCACGCCTTCCCCCTCTCCTCGCACCATCTGCTGCGCCGCGCGCTCTCGCCCATGTCTGCTTTCCTCATCATCTCTCACCTTTAGATACTGATGCTGTGCCTCTGTCCCACCCCCGCTCTCCCCCCTTCACCCTTTTTCTTGTTCCCACAGCACGCCTTCCCGCTCTCCTTACACCATCTGCTGCACCACGCACTCTCGCCGCTCTCTGCTTTCCTCATCACCTCTCGACTAGATGCTGATGCCGTGCCGCCGTCCCTTCCCCCCACTGCCACCACTGCCACCACTGCCACCACTGCTACTGCCGCTGCCTCTGCTGGATGCGGTGATGCTGTTGCTGCTGGTGCAGCTGATACTGTTGCCTATGGAACGGAAGCAGCAGCAGCAGCAGGCACACCAGCAGTGGAGGAGGATTCTTTGAGGAGTTCTACGATGCTCTACCTGATCCCCCTTCTGCAGCTGCTGCTATCCTCCGAGGCGTGGAAGAACACAATAAAGAGGTCAGTCAAATGGAGCGAGATGTCTATTTGAGTTTTACGACGCGCTTCCGGATCCCGGGTCTGCAGCTGCAGCATTTCTCCAGGGCGTGGAAGAACACAATAAACAGGTCAGTCAGTCAGCGGGTTTGCAGCAACAGAATCAAAAGCAGGAGCACCAGCAGCAGAAGAAGGTTTCTTCGAGTAGTTTTACGACGCGCTTCCTGATCCCACATCTGCAGACTGCAGCTGCTGCAATACTCGAAGAAAGCAGAAGTGCATCGTAAAAGAAAACTACTCGAAGATCCTGCCTCTGCAGACTGCAGCTGCTGCAACACTCCGAGGCGTGGAAGAGCACAACAAAAAGGGCGGTCAGATGGAGCAAGATGTCCTTTTGAGTTTTACGATGCGCTTCCTGATCCCGCCTCTGGAGCTGCAGCGACACTCCAAGGCATGGAAGATCATAGCAAACAGGTCAGAGGGCAGCGTTTAAAATGAAGTGTCTTTTGAAGCCAAATGGAGCAATGTGCGCGCAATTTCAGTCAGCCATTGGTGGAGAGCTGTGTTCGCCCTTGCTTGGCGTGAACACTCAAGTCTCTTCTCATATACACCTCCAAACATACCGTGCCTGCCTCTTTTTGAGTCGACTCAAAAATAATTTCAGTCAGCCATTGGTCGACTGCTGGGCGCGAACACTCAAGTCAAGCCTCTTCTCAAATGCACCTCCAAACATACCGTACCTGCCTCCTCATCGGAAAACTTTGGATCCCTGCCATGCCTACCTGCCATGCCTACCTGCCATGCCTGCTACTCCTTTTGAGTCGAATCAAAAGCATGCCCCCCTGCCATGCCTACCTGCCACGCCTGCTACTCCTTTTGCAGTCACGGAAAGAGGTGGTTGTGTGTGCGACTGCAGCACTTTTTAACGCATCATCTCCTCCTTGTACACTCCCTCACACCCACCCTCATCCCTCCCCCCTGCACCCGTGTGCGATTGCAACAAGGTGACGTTTGAGTCGACTTGGAAAATCACCTTGGGTGCGTTTGCAACACTTTCGAACTCATCCTCTCCTCCCCTCTTCTTCCCCCTTCTTCCTGCTCTCCTCAACCTCCCTTGCAGTCTCTGAAAGAGTTGGTGCAGCTGGTGTGTGCATCTGAGGCATTGGAAATTTCATCTTTTTCTCCTGATACACCCCTCACACTCACCCTGCCCTGCAACCCCCATCCCTCCACCCTCTCCCCTCAACCCCCCTTGCAGTCGCTGAAAGAGGTGGTGGAGCTGGTGTGTGCGTTTGAGTCAAGACCCGAGTAGGAAACACCTGCAAGTGTATGGGAGTCTTGTTAGTCACAGAAAGAATAGCCAACCCATGCAATGCAATGAAACCTGCATCATGTTCCTCCCAAATCAATGACCTGAAACTGTTTTTTTCATAGCACTACCGTATCTTCTCACTCTCATTCGAATACTGATGTCATGAGAGCTGTGTTTCCCAAAAGAGTCCTGATGCATGACCATTATGCAACGATACACTGCATGTACAGAATACCACGGGTTTTTTTTTTTTCTTTCTTTCTTCTTCTTCTTCTTCTTCTTCTCCTTCTTCTTCTTCTTCTTCTTCTTCTCCTTCTTCTTCTTCTTCTTCTTCTTCTCCTTCTTCTTCTTCTTCTTCTTCTTCTCCTTCTTCTTCTTCTTCTTCTTCTTCCTCCTCCTCCTCCTCCTCCTCCTCCTCCTCCTCCTCCTCCTCCTCCTCCTCCTCCTCCTCCTCCTCCTCCTCCTCCTCCTCCTCCTCCTCCTCCTCCTCCTCCTCCTTCTCCTTCTTCTTCTTCTTCTTCTTCAATCATTCCCTCCAATGAAGACCACCTTCATGCAACGAAATACTGCATGTATTGACCTGTTGGTGCATGCAAAGGAATTCAGCAGAACGATCCATGATGTGACTGTGTGAACAGGGAAAATAATGTCAAATGTTGTAGCCTATAGTGAGGTTTGTCTTAGGGGGTACAAAACTTAGGGTTAGCTATATGTACCCCAACCAACATCAATGCATCATCCATTCTTCATTCTGACATGGTATCAGTTAGGTTAGGATCCTGTGGGATCCCGTTCCGCCGTTCTCCGTTCGTACCACCCGAGCCTGATCCTAGCTCTCGTTCGTCTCCTTCTCGTTGTTACCGAGCCTAGCGCCGAGCCACGCTCTCGTTCGTATCGTTCCAGCTGTTACCGAGCCTAGCAACGACCCACGCTCTCGTTCGTAGCGTAGCCCGCCCCCCCCGTCGCGTCGCCTTCCCCCCCCTCGAGACGCGCCCGTCCCTTTCCCCCTGTCGCGTCGCGCTCCCCCCGTCGCGTCGCGTCCGCTCCTTCCCCCCGTCGCGTCGCCTTCCCCCTGTCCCGTCGCGCCCGCCCCTTCCCCCCGTCGCTTCGCCCTCCCCCTGTCCCGTCGCACCCGCCCCTTTCCCCCCGCCGCGTCGCCCTCCCCCTGTCCCGTCGCTCCCGCCCTCTCCCCCCGTCGCGTCGCCCGTCCCGCAGTGCCCGCCACTGTCGCTCGCGACCGCGCTCGTCGCCGCCGCGCCTGCCGCCGTCGCCCGCCCCCTGCGCGCCTCGCCGCGGCCCCGCCGTCGTCGCCCGCCGCTGCGCGCGTCGCCGCTGCGCCCCCTGCCGTCGCCCGCTGCGCGCGCTGCTGGCCCCTGCTGCCGAGCGCGCTGCCATCGCCCGCCGCTGCGCCCGTTCCCGTTCCCCGCTGCTTAGTCCCCTGTTACCTCCCGCTGTCACGCCCGCTGTGGCGTCCGCTCCTCCCCTGTCCCAGAGTACCGCCGAACCCTAATTTGCCTCTCACCTACTGCTGTCCCCTCCCTCTCCGTTCGCGTTCGTTTTCACTATGGCGACTCAGCGCGTCCTTCGTTTCGACGCTGACGGTAGACCTATTGATTTTTCCGTCTGGCTTCTTCGTGCTCGCCGTCTGTTAGAGAGTCAGGTCCAGGCAGGCGAGACCCTCTGGGCGCACGCTACTGGTGCCCTACCTGCGCCCCCCGACCCTACGCCTTTAGGACCTGCCCCTGACGACGCCGCTAGAGCCCGCTTTGCTACTCAGCGAGCTGACCAGACGGCTTGGACGTCACGTGACGCTGCGGCCTGCATCGCGCTCAGCAGCCTCCTCCCTGAGTCTGAGGAGGTTCACTTCACTCAGGTTCGCACCGCTGCTGCGTACCTCACTGCGATTAAGGCCCGCTACTCTACTCCCGCTGCTGTCTCTCTTGGCCGCCTGTTCCTCCCGTTCCTGTTTCCTGACCTAGCGTCTTTTGAGCGCTCTGCTGACTTGATCGCTCACCTCCGCTCGCTCGACGCTAGTTACCGCGCTGCTTGCACTGAGGCACAGCTTGCACTGCTTCCTCCCCCTATGGCGATTACTATCTATTTCATCGCCACTAGCCTCCCTGACCGCCTTGCCTCCGTTCGCGACGCGCTTCTGCTGAAGCACCCTAGTGAGCTCACCGTCGAGGTCCTTGAGTCTGCACTCAAGGACGTCGAGAGCAACCTTCGCTCGGTAGCCGCTGCCTCTGGTGCTGTGCCCCCCCCACTCTTCCACGGGTGCACAGTCCCGCAGTTACCCACCTTTACTGCCTCACTTGCCACTGCCGCTACTGACGCGACTGCAGCTGCTGTTACGACTGCGTCGCGGTCCCGCGGTAGGAGTGGCAAGAAAGGCGGTTCTGGTGGTGGTAGTGGAGGTGGAGGCGGAGGTAGTGGAGGTGGCGTTGCGCCTGGCGGCGGTGGAGGTTCAGGGCCTGGAGAGGCGCCTCGTGCAGTGACTGGTGACTCCACTGCGCCTGCTGGTGGTGGCGACGCCCGAGTTCGTCAGTCGCCTCCTGTACTTCCTGCCCCGGTTGGTGGAGCAGCGGCGTGGTACCAGGCTCAGCGTCAGCAGCAGCTTCTGCAGCACCAGCAGCCCCTCTCCTCCCAGCAGCCTCAGCAGCAGCAGCTGGCTCCAGGGTCGGGGCTGCGTCAGACCCAGCGCGGTGCTGTTTACACTCCCTGCACCTACCAGGTTCTGACAGGCACTCGTCGTGGCCACCCTTGTGGCCGGTTTCACCCCCCTGGTCAGTGCTTTGCTCAGCTCACTGACACGGTTCGTTTGGTCTACGGGGTTGGTGCTCCTGCCCCTGACTGGCTGCCTCTTGTTCAGCGTTACGGCTCCGCTCTGTGGGGCATGTCTGCTGAGCAGTTAGTTGATCTGATTGGTAATCCCCATGCTATGTATGCTGTTGTTGACTCTAGTGTTTCTGACTCTGTTTACTCTGGTGTTGTTAGCTTAGGTGCTAGCCTTGCTCAGTTGCCTGTTGCTAGTGTAGGTTCTTGTGTAGACTCTAGTCCAGCGGCTACCTCAGAGGACGGTTCGCTGTCGTTCACGCTGGACTCTGGAGCCTCTCACTGCTTCTTTCGTGACAGCACGACACTTACGCCTCTTCCTGCGCCTGTTTCTGTGGCGCTGGCTGATCCCACTTCGGGACCAGTCACCGCGCGTCACACTACCACCTTGCCGTGTCCGGCTGCTCCTTCTGGGTCTCTCACTGGGTTTCACGTCCCCTCGTTCTCCCGGAACTTGGTGGGCGTGCGACCCCTCGTGAGTCAGCACGTGGGTGTGTGGTTTGAGCCTTCTGGAGAGACTGCGGTGTGTGTTGACGGGGACTCTTACCAGCCCCTCGCCACTTTTGCTGCTGAGCCGGGCTCCGGTCTCTACACTCTTCACACTGGCCCGCGCGCTCAGCAGCGACTGCAGCAGCAGCAGCAGCAGCAGCAGCAGCAGCAGCAGCAGCAGCCGCAGCCGCAGCCACAGCCGCCCCTCCTGCCCCCGGCCCCTGTTTTGCCCCCCGTTCGAGTCCTCGCGTCTCACCAGGTTGCTCCGTCCCCCCAGGTAGCTGTGTCTTGTCAGGTTCCTCCGTCTAGTCCGGTCGCTGCGTCGTGCTCCTGTCGGTCGCTTGCCCACCCCACCGTTCTGTGGCACCACCGGTTGGGGCACCCTTCTCCTCCTCGTCTTCGCGCTATGTCTCGTCAGCGTCTTGTCTTAGGTCTCCCGCGTGTCTTGCCGTCGCTGCCGCCGTCCCTTGCACCACCGTGCGGTCCTTGCGTCGAGGGTAGGCTGCGCGCCACCCCTCACTCCTCCTCCCTTCGTCCGGCCACCGAGCCTTTTGAGACGCTGCACTTGGACGTCTGGGGCCCCTCTCCTCGCCCTGGCCCTGAGCGTGAGCGTTTCTTTTTGGTGGTCGTTGACGACTACTCCCGCTACACCACAGTGTTCCCCCTGGCGAGGAAGTCTGAGGTGACTTCTACGCTGATCAGGTGGTTGCTTACCACCCAGGACACTCGTGGTCGTCGTGTCAGCTGTCTCCACTCCGACCGCGGGGGCGAGTTTCGCTCCGGCATTCTCGCTGGATTCTGTCGCGAACAGGGCATTCGTCAGTCCTGGACGCTTCCGGAGTCCCCACAGCAGAATGGGGTTGCTGAGCGTCGCATAGGCCTGGTCATGGAGATTGCCCGCACCTCCTTGACTCACGCCCGTGCCCCCCATTTCCTGTGGACATACGCGGTCAGGTACGCCGCGCACCAGCTGAACCTCTGGCCACGCGTCTCTCGGCCGGAGGCTTCACCGACCAGTCTTTGGACAGGGTCCCCTGGTGTCGCGTCGAGGTTTCGTGTCTGGGGGTGCTTGGCTCTTGTCCGCGACACCTCCGCGGACAAGCTCTCGCCTCGCGCCGTTCCTTGTGTCTTCCTTGGTTTCCCTGAGGACTCCTCTGACTTCACCTTTTACCACCCTCCCTCTCACCGGTTCTTTGACTCCCGTGACGTCCGTTTCGAGGAGTCCACCCCCTACTACGTCAGGTACCCCAGTCGAGGTCTCCCGGTCCCTCCCCCCCCTCTCTTCCTGACCGCCGCTCCCCCGCCTGCTCCCCCGGTACAGCCTCCCCCCCCTGGTCCAGCCCCGTCTGGTGTGTCTCAGGCTAGCCCTCCCCCTTCGGTAGCCCCCCCTGTACAGCCTCCCTCCCCACAGTCTTCCTCGCCGCCTCCTGCAGGTGCTCCCTCTCGGGAGGTTGGTCCTGCGACTGTCCCTGTACAGGTCTCTGGTTCTGGGGGTGCTGGAGTTGGAGCTGAGCCGCGGGTTGCAGAGGACTCTTGTCTTCCGGGGGCTGGTACTGGTCGTGCGGAGTCTGGGGGTGCTGGTGCGGAGTCTGGGGGTGCTGCGTCTGGGGGTGAGGGTGTTCCTTCGGTTTCTGGAGAGCCTGGGTCTGGAGCTGGTGTTGGTGCTGCCTCTGGGGGTGGTGTGCTTGGTGCTTCGGAGGTCGACTCTGGGGCTGCCGCTGCCCCGGACACTACTCCTTCCCCCCACCCCTACCCGACCAGGTTCCAGGCTCGTGTTCGCCGTGCTCGTGAGGAGCAGCTGGAGTTGGAGAGAGAGGAGAGAGAGTTGCAGCGGCTCGAGGAGCAGGAGCGACAGCAGCAGGAGCAGCAGCAGGAGCAGCAGCAGGGGCAGCAGCCGCTGGAGCAGCAGCAGCCGCAGCAGCCGCAGCAGCAGCAGCAGCAGCTGCTGCCGTCTCCTCCTCCTGTCTCGGGTCTTCGGACCCTTGGTCTCCCGTCTCCCTCTCCTTCCTCCTCCCCCTCTCCTCCCGTCTCTGGTCCTCCGCTTCCTCCTCCTGACCCCTCTCCCGCTGTTTTCCCTCGTTCTCAGTCTTCGTTGTCTCCTCCTCCTTCTCAGACTTGGGCCTCTCGTCGCTCCCCTCGTGCTCGTCCCTCGTCTCCTGTTCCCTTCACTGACCTTCGTACAGCCTTCCTTTGTTCTCGTCCACCTCGTCCGTCTCCGTCTGTGCTTCCGTCTCCTCCTGAGTCGGCCCTCACTGTGTCGCTTCCTTCTCCTGTCACTGACTACTACCGCACGTACCGTCCTGTTCTCTCTCGTGTTCTCGCCTCTCTTGTTACCCACCCTCGTGCCTCTCTGTCCTCTGTGTCCGCTCTTACTGCCGCAGTCACTGAGTTTGCCTCTACCCGCCGCCTTGACTTCGCCACCGCTCTTGTGGCTGCTCCTCCTTCCAGTCCTCTGGCCGTCGGGGGTGTGTCTGCCCTTGGCTGTGACGCCCTAGAGGACAGGCAGTTTGAGCTAGAGTTCCTGGCGGCCGCTTCCCCTCATCTCTGTGCCATGCTCCTCGCCCCTGAGGGTGACCCCGACGCCCTTGACATTCCGACTCCTCGCACTTACGCTGAGGCAGTGTCAGGGCCTTGGGCCTCTCAGTGGAGAGCTGCCATGGACGCAGAGATGGCCTCCTACAGATCCACAGGCACCTACGTCGATGAGGTTCCCCCTCCGGGGGCGAACGTAGTCGACGGCATGTGGATCTACAGGGTGAAGCGGCCACCGGGATCTCCTCCGGTCTTCAAGGCGCGCTACGTGGCTAGAGGTTTCAGTCAGCGCGAGGGAGTTGACTTCTTTCAGACCTTCGCGCCCACCCCGAAGATGACCACTCTTCGGGTGTTACTGCACGTAGCAGCACAGAGAGACTACGAGTTACACTCTCTCGACTTCTCTACTGCTTTCCTTCAGGGCAGTCTTCACGAGGAGGTCTGGTTGCGTCGTCCCTCTGCCTTCACTGGCTCTTTCCCTCCTGGGACCCAGTGGAGGCTGAGGCGACCGGTTTACGGTCTTCGTCAGGCTCCTCGTGAGTGGCACGACACCCTGCGTTCTACCCTGTCTGACCTTGGGTTCCAGCCGTCTTCTGCTGACCCGTCGCTGTTCGTTCGTCGTGGCCCCACACCTTTCTTTGTTCTGGTCTACGTTGACGACCTTGTTTTCGCCACCCCTGACAGGGTTGCTTTGGCACACGTGAAGTCCGAACTGCAGAAGAGACACACCTGCACTGATCTTGGTGAGCTGCGCCACTACCTTGGCCTGCAGATCACCAGGGACAGAGCTGCTCGCACCATTACACTTTCACAGTCACACATGGTGCAGCAGGTCCTTCAGCGGTTCGGGCTTCAGCACTCCACAGTACAGCGCACACCTCTTGCTGTTGACCACAGACTCACTGGACCCTTTCCTGACGAGCCGTTCGAGCCTAGTGGTCCCTACGCAGAGCTTGTGGGTTGCCTCATGTACCTGATGACTTGTACTCGCCCGGACCTCGCCTTCCCTCTCAGCGTTCTTGCGCGCTTTGTTGCGCCAGGGAGACACCGTCCTGTTCACTGGACAGCAGCTGTGAGGGTGGCGAAGTACCTAGCGACGACATCAGGCGTGGGGCTAGTTCTTGGAGGGCAGCAGTCTGTCGTACTTACTGGTCACTGTGACTCCTCTTACGCTGACGACGCTGAGACTCACAGGTCTACTCAGGGGTACTGTTTCAGCCTGGGTTCTGGAGCTGTTTCCTGGCGGTCCACGCGCTCCTCTTCGGTCTCGACCTCTACAGCTGAGGCTGAGATCTACGCTGGTGCCATGGCGGCACAGGAGCTGCGTTGGTTGACCTTCTTGCTCACCGACCTTGGTGAGCGGCCGAGCTCTGCACCGACCTTGTTCACTGACAACAAGGCGTCTATTCTCCTTTGTCGAGAGCCACGACTGGAGAGCAGAGTGAAGCACATTCACGTCAGGTACTTTCTTCTGCGAGAGTTGCAGAGGCGTGGACATGCTCGCTTTGAGTTTGTGGAGTCCGAGGCCAACACTGCAGACATCTTCACCAAGGCACTTCCGCCTTGTGACCACCAGAGGTGCTGTGTGCAGTTAGGCCTTGTTGACACTGGTTCTCGTGTTGCTTAGACTTGAGTGTACTGTTTACTTTGCTTTCTATATATCTCTGTTACTTCTTGGACTGGCCTTGTGGCCACTGTTGTTTGTGCTCAGACTGTGTGGTGACGTTGTGATCCACCCTGAGCTTCGTTTCTTGGACTGGTCTTGTGACCGTACTCGTTTGGTTCTGCTAGACACCCCTCACTTAGGCTATGGGGGTGTGTCAAATGTTGTAGCCTATAGTGAGGTTTGTCTTAGGGGGTACAAAACTTAGGGTTAGCTATATGTACCCCAACCAACATCAATGCATCATCCATTCTTCATTCTGACAAATAACACACCACCATCCGCCAGCGTTCTTGCTTGGCAACTCCTGCAAATCGTGCGAGCTACTGGTTTCTAATCTCAATTTTATTAGACGCCAAAAGGTGAGTGTCCCACACAAAGTCGTCCCCAAAACCTCCTTCCTTCCCATGTTTCTTTCTGAGTGAACTCAAACCTCTTCCTTACTGAAACTATTTCTCTGCAGCCTTAGCCTTGTTGTAGGCCTCCAGTTCAGCAGCATAGCGCACCTTGTCCTTCTGCGACAGTTGCTCGTACTTCAACTTGTCACCAGCTGCATGGGAGAGAGAAATGGCAAGGGGATGAGAGATAGTAGGGGAAGGGTGACAAGGGAAACAGAATGTCTTGTCCTTCTGAGACAGTTGTTCGTACTTTACCTTGTCACCAGCTGCATGGTTGAATGGGATGGAGGGGTACACAAGGGGGTGAGTGAGTGAGATACAGTGGGGGAAGGGCGAGGAGGAGAACAATTTGTCCTATACTCCTGAGACAGTTGCTCGTACTTAACCTTGTCACCAGCTGCACGGGAAAAACGGATGGAGGGGGAAACAAAAAGGGGAGAGGGTAGGGGGAAAGGATGACGACTGAAACACTTTGTCCTGTCCTTCTGAAAAGCTTGCTGTCACTTCACCTTGTCACCAGGTCTCAAGGAGAGAGGAATGGAGGGGGGAAAGAAGGGGTTGAGGTGGGGGGAGAGGGTGAGGAAGCGAAACACATTGTCTTGTCCTTCTGAGAAAGTTGCAGGAGATGGAGGGAAATGGAGCGAGAAGAGTGTAGGTAGAAGGTGGTGAGTTTGGGGCGAGGAATGGGAGGCAGGGAGAAAGAGGGAGCAGTGAGAGAAGATGTGCATACAGTCATTGGTGAGGGAAACGAGGAAATAGAAAGTTGAGGAAATAGAAAAGTGAGGATGGCAAAGATGAGTGCACGATGGCTGAACACAAATGATGATTTTCTGAAGGCATTTGGCCGTTCTTGGTTCGCGAACGGGACCTACCATAGCTGTGGGATTTCCAATAGGCAACTGTGGGAATTACGGAATCCTCGCCAATGACCAACCTGTGAGGTTTCGCAACCATTCGCCAACGTCATACCTGCGAGGTTTCGCCACCGTTCGCCAATGACCCTGCCGACATCGGCGAAGGCTATGTCGGGCTTCTCGCGAATCACTTTCTGTCGCACGGGCGAAAAGGGAAATTCGCGGGAATGCAGCGAAGGGAGAGCTCGGGAAATCTTTGAGAGAGGAAGGCCTGAATCCGGAAATATCTAGATGCACGAAATTCACGAGAAGAGAAATAGAATGAATTGCAGATTCAGGCGATTGACGGATATCAAATCCACAAGGAGTCGAATCCGTGGATCGAATCGTGGTTTGAGGGACAAAAGGCCAACAAAAAATGCTCGATGGACCATAGAAGAGACAAAAACAATCACAACTATGCTGACAAAAACTAGCTGGACGAAAACAACAGCGATGTACTTGAGTCAGAAAGCATGAGATGGCGCACGCACAAGTCGCTCTTCAGTCGTGACGACCATGTAAGGGGACATGGGTCGGTAAGGACAGCCAGGTGCGTTACGAGTCAACTTTAAACACACAAAGTTACACGCACAGGTCGCTCATGAGTCGCGAAGACTATATACGCCGACATCGGTCGCTTAGGACTATCATCCTTCGGTTTTCGCGTCGCCTTGGGCTTCTCGCCTCCCGCCTTTCCCGCTGATGATGATTTCTCGCCTCCGGCCTTCGCGGCGAAGCATCGGAACGCGGTTCCGGCAATTTCGGAGGCAGATCCGGGCGATGCGCGGGAGAAAGCGAGACGGAAAATGGTTTGGGGAGCTGCCATGGCGTGGAGCATGACAGGTGTGACTATAACGAGGGCACGGGAGCGTCGAATGCGGAGAGGTGGATGCGAAGATGCGGAAAATGAGATGGTGGAGTGGCGACGACGGGAAGCGACGCGAGCGATGCGCAGGACGGTTAGACACCGTTTATGCCAACGAGAAGCGATGCGAGCGATGCGCAACCGTCGATGCGGAGTGGTTTGGATGCGAACTGGAATCGATGGCAGTGGGGTGGTGGTGGGAGCATTTTGTTCGCTGATCGGGGGTCGGTGGGGGGGGTTAGGTGGTGGGCGGAGGCGGGGTTATTTGAATGGAGCGGAGGAAGTGGGGGCCAGGGGAACTGACGGAGACAAGTTGCTGGAATAGATAATATCAAGTTTAGGCGCGATCTGGTGAATTTTAGTATGGTGGAGAGAGGGCTTGGAGGGTCATTATTTGCGCTGGGAATTAGCTAAATGTATTAACCTTATACCAGTAGAGTAAGTAAATTACTTCGCGTGCTCAAAGTAACTGCACGTGGAAGTGGATTATGACCGCATGCCGAGTCACAAATTTCATTGCCATAAATATACCTCCACGCACCTCAGCATTAAAATAAGGCTTCTTGGATACTGTAAGCCTTCATAACCAAACAGCTCACTAGGTCCAACCATACAAGAGTCCTTGTGCCTGAAATAAACCATTAATTGCTTGCATCATCCGCTCTTCTATAGGTAATCGTCAGGGTCGCCTTTAAGCACATCGGATGCATGCCGCGGCTCTCTTCCCAAAGCATGAAGCGGCTCCTCTGATGATGTAGCCCCCATTTCAAGAAACTTGGCACGCTCTGATTCGTCAAGGAACTGATCGCCGCCTTTAGAGATGTAGACCATGGATGTGATGAGCAGTACAAGCACACCCATTACTGCCACACCCGCAATCACCCAGACCACCACCCCCAAGCCTTGTGGTACAGGCACTGAGGGAGCTGGAAGGATTTGAGGGGGGAAAGAGGGGGGAAGGAGGGAGGAAGGAGGGAGGAAGGAGGGGGGAGGTGAGAATATATGGGGGAGCATGTGGAATGGAGGTTTGCATAGCAAACCAGAAGCTGGAGGTCACTGCGCACTCTGATTCGTCGGCAATCTGATTGCTGCCTTTAGAGATGTAGACCATGGATGTGATGAGCAGTACAAGCACACCCATTACTGCCACGCCTGCTATCACCCAGACCACCACCCCCAAGCCATGAGGTGCATGGAAGGTGGGAGCTGGAAGGAAGGAAGGAAGGCACAGGGAAAGGGGGAACAAGGATGAATCCAACAGAGAGAGAGAGAAAGACAGAAAAATCATCAGATACAGAAACAGAGACAGGGACAGAGAAAGAGACTGAGACAGAAACAGAGACGGAGACAGACAAAGACAGGGAGAGGGGACCAGCTCACTGTCGCCTGTACTCATCTCCAAGTCTCTAACACATGCGGGGCACGAGAGCACAAACTCAAGTGTGCCCTTTGGGTCGGCCAGCAGCAGCTCCCCAAAGCCGGCAGCACTGCTCAGGTCGGCAGACAGTGACAGAGACAGAGACACACAATAACCCAGCTTAACCCACCGTCGCCTGTGCTCATCTCCAGGTCCCTCACGCAAGCAGGGCATGAGAGCACAAACTCGAGCGTGCCCTTTGGGTCTGCCAGTAGCAGCTCAACCCAACTCAACCCAGCTCAGCCACTTAACTCACCGTCGGCTGTACTCATCTCCAGGTCCCTTACGCAAGCAGGGCACGAGAGCACGAGCTCCAAAGTCCCCTTCGGGTCGGCCAGCAGCAGCTTCCCAAAGCCCGCAGCACTCAACCCAACGCACACGGACTCAACTCACCATCTCCTCTGCTGATCTCAAGGTCCCTCACGCAAGCAGGGTACGAGAGCACAAACTCGAGCGTGCCCTTTGGATCGGCCAGCAGCAGCTCTCCAAAGCCCGCAGCACCGGGAGCAGGCGAGTGGCCCTTGGGGGCTGAGAAGTTGGACTCGCAGAGCGGGAAGAGCAGGTCCGAGACAGAGACAGACAGAGGGAGAGACAGGGAGAGGGAAATGCAACTCACCATCGCCTGTGCTCATCTCCAGGTCCCTCACACACGCAGGGCACGAGAGCACAAACTCCAGAGTCCCTTTTGGATCGGCCAGCAGCAGCTCTCCAAAGCCCGCAGCACCGGGGGCGGGCGAGTGGCCCTTGGGGGCTGAGAAGTTGGACTCGCAGAGCGGGAAGAGCAGGTAGGGGCTGTCTGCTATCCACCCCTTCTCGTACATGCCGCACGACTTGCACCCGCCACTGTCCATTTGGAAGAGTGGCTGGGATGAGGGAGGGAGACGGCAAAGGGGGGGAAAAGGAGGGAGTGGGGTTGGGTGGGGAGAAAAGCAAAGAAGATTTGGAATGGGAAGGAGTACGCGAAGGAGGGGAAATGGTGGAAGTGGGGAGGACATGGAGGGGCGAGTGGGCCTTGGGGGCTGAGAAGTTGGACTGGCAGAGGGGGAAGAGCAGAGCAGGTAGGGACTGTCAGCGACCCATCACCTTATAACCGTCATCCAGCTGTTCCGACCCTCACCTTCCACTCAGCCTCACCTGCCTGCCAGTCCTCCTTCCCCGTGAGGTTCATTTGAATGTTGAGCGGCGGAGGGTAGGTTGGAGAGATTGCCATCAGCCCCACACCACCCACCTCCCATCATCAACAGTCATACAGCAGTTACAACTTACACCTGCCCTCACCTGCCAGTCCTCCTACCCACCTCACCTCCCTCTCCCCTGCCCTGCCCTCACCTGCCAGTCCTCCTTCCCCGTGAGGTTGACTTGCACGTTGATTGGCGGCGAGAAGGGCAGGTCGGAGCGATTGCCATCCGCGCAAAGGAGGAAGACCTGGGGGAGGAACACCCAGTTGATGTGCTTGTGCAGCGTAATGCTCGTTAGAGTCACATTCGCAACAGCTGGCAAGAGGGGTCGCGGGGGACATATATGGTAAAGCAGGAGAGAGAGGAGTGAGGAGAAGGGGATTATGAGGCTGGGCGATTCAGAGGGGTTGTTATCAGCGCAGAGGAAGGTAGACCTGGGGGAGGAACACCCAGTTGATGTGCTTGTGCAGCGTAATGCTCGTTAGAGTCACATTCGCAACAGCTGGCAAGAGGGGTGGTGGGGGACATATATGGTAAAGCAGGAGAGAGAGGAGTGAGGAGAAGGGGATTATGAGGCTGGGCGAGTCAGAGGGGTTGTTATCGGCGCAGAGGAAGGTAGACCTGGGGGAGGAACACCCAGTTGATGTGCTTGTGCAGCGTGATGCTCGTTAGAGTCACATTCGCCACAGCTGGCAATCAGGAAGTGGGTAGGGGAAAACAGGAGATAGAGGAGAGGAGTGGGGAGAGAGCAGAAAAGGAGAGGGCTGAGAAGGGTGTTCTTATGTTGAGAGGGGCGGAGAGGGGTGCGGGACAGTGAAGTGGGGTATCTTGAAATCTTGACCCCATGCAAAGCGGACGACGTGGTGAGGTACAGCCCTGCCGATTGATTGCAAGGGTGTGGCGGGGAAGCTTTCGAGTCGACTCCAAAACAGCAGGGAAGCTTTCGAGTCGACTCCAAAACAGCGGGAAAATTTTTGAGTCGACTCCAAAACAGCAGGGAAGCTTTTGAGTTGACTCCAAAACAGCAGGGAAGCTTTTGAGTCGACTCCAAAACAGCGGGGAAACTTTTGAGTCGACTCCAAAACAGCAGGGAAGCTTTTGAGTTGACTCCAAAACAGCGGGGAAACTTTTGAGTCGACTCCAAAACAGCAGGGAAGCTTTTGAGTCGACTCCAAAACAGCAGGGAAGCTTTTGAGTCGACTCCAAAACAGCAGGGAAGCTATTAAGTCGACCCCAAAACAGCAGGAAAGCTATTGAGTCGACTCCAAACAGCAGGCAAGCTTTAAGTCGACTCCAAAACAGCAGGGAAGCTTTTGAGTCGACTCCAAAACAGCAGGCAAGCTTTAAGTCGACTCCAAAACAGCAGGGAAGCTTTTGAGTCGACTCCAAAACAGCAGGGAAGCTTTTGAGTCGACTCCAAAACAGCAGGGAAGCTTTTGAGTCGACTCAAATGCAAAGCGGACGACGTGGCGAGGTGTAGCCCTGCCGATTGATTGCCAGGGTGTGGCGGGGAAGGGGTGGAGGGCGGGGGGTGGGGGATGGTGTTGCTGCAGGGGAGGCGTGAGAAGAGAGAGAGAGACGGGTACGGCAGAGGACGAAGCAAGTAAACCGCTTCGCGTGTGCGGGGCGATCGATGCTACTGCAACTTGGATTGAGACGGCGGCTACGCGATTCTGAAGCATCGATTGATGCTAGGGTTACGGCCGCTACAGCTTCAACGGGGGCGATTGCGGAGAAGACGGTAAGAGGGGAGAAGGCGTGGGGGGTTGGGGAGGGGATGCGGGGGAGATGTTAAAACAACCATCTTTGAAGCGCTTAAGGGAGATTGGCCGCCACGTGGACCAATTGAAGAACGACGGACACTCACCCGCCACGTGGGTCACTTGAAACGCCATGATTGTAACGAAGATCGCGAGCGCGGCTCTTCCTGTTTGAAGTAACTCACGCGACTCCGCCATGGGGACTTGCGCGATCTCGAGTCGCTGAGAGCTTAATTCGATGAATTCAAAAAATCAGGACGAGTTTCCTTGAGGTGCTTCCAAGTAACCCACCGGCTCGCGAAAAGTGCGGAGATCCTGACCTAGTTGTCAGCCGTGCAGCGACAATATAACGGGTAGGTTGTAACGAGTCTGAAGCGGCTAAAACGTCCAACTTAAACCGCCTAAGAGGAGAGGCGATGGAGAAGCAGGCAGACTCAAGAGGCACTCGCGATGAGCAATTAAAAAACGATCGTTCAGCGAAGAATTATCGAAGCGCCTCGAGGGAACCGTTCCGGAGGGACCTAAGGGACCTATGGAGTGACAAGCACAAGCATGTGTCAGGACATTACGCTACGCTACGCGGAACGGATCGCGGATTGCGACGACAACCCGTAAATTAGGAGAGTGACTTAGATCCGAATCACACCTCAGCAAATAATAAATAGCATACACCTGATGCCTGATTGAGCCCCTCCCGGTTGCCTTGTGAAGGGGGCGTATAAGCTGTATCGAGCATTTCGCATAAGTTTCGTCAATTCGCAGCTAGCTAAAAAGGACTCGCAGGTGCTTATATAAAGGATCTGTAACCACATTCGTTGACATTTTGACTTCAGTCTGTTCGTTACTATTGGTTCATAACCACGCGACGCGCTTGTAACGTGGGTGCAACAGGCTGGGGAAAAAACCTCGGGTGCAGCGTTTCCATCTGGTGCAAGCAAATTCGCGTGCATGGGGTGGGCATCAGCTGTACGACGTCAGAAGTATGTTGCAAGTGTACGATTTTCCCATGTGTTGAACCCATAGATAAAATAAGGAGCACTTTTCGGGGGAGGGTGATGCACCAGGGATGGTTCTCCGGTGAGGTCCGGTGGAGTTTCGACTGTGTGCGAGAAAACTCGGCTTTCGCGAATTCCCAAAGGCGCAGCCTTGGGGTTTGTCTGGGGTGTTGGGGCAGAAGTGATACTGTACAGGTAACATGACCCGCATTTCGATTGCCCGGTCGGTGAAAAGTGCGGTTCATTTGCGGTACGGTCTGAACTGGGTCAGGACAGCCACGGGCTCCTTGGGCTCACCGCGCTGACTGCCCTGAGAAATGTCTATTTGTGACTACATCGATGGGAGATGATCAGTGTGGACACCATTCGCAGCCAGATGCATTGCTGACACAGCGTGACGAAATCACTGATGGGGGCATCCCTCGAGCCATTTGTTTCGGCTGGTGATTGCGCAAATCACCCCTCCAACGCTCCAAGCCCCTCTTGAACCCGTTCCACCGCTTTTTCCACGACCACACATACCTATGCCCAACAACAGGAGCTGCATTGCAATGCACCCCCCCCATTCACAATCCATCCAACCCGCCCATGTACATATCATACGTGTTAGTGAGCAGGGCTATTGCTAGGATTTTTGCTAGCTCGGACGATCCGGGCCCCTGTGAAAAAGACCCTGTAAAATCCGAGCCAGCGGGAAAAAAACCTTGACGAATCCGGGTTCGAGCCAGAAAAGGCCTGAAAACATGCATTACCAGAATTTCGCGGGAAACTCACAGTGGGTTGCGCGAGGGCTGGGGAGATTGGAGATGGAGTGGCTCTGGAGGGGTGAGCGAGATACTTTTTGTAGACTTAGAAAAAAATACGATGAGGAAGAGTACATAGGGAGAACAGGGCAATCAGACACTCTCTCCTTATTGGCCTTCTAAGCCATGTCGACGTAGAACGGGGCAATCAGACACATGGAGGCCAACAAGGAGAGAGTGGTTAGGAAATTCACTAAAATTGGCCCAACGTGTGTTTAGAGGGAGACCGAGAGGAATGCAAGGCAGGTCGGGGAGAACATGTCTGCTAAAATTATACGGGTCCCCTTGAGAACTCCCCGGAGAGATCCGAGCTGACTCAAAAATCACCCTTCAGTTTTACGGGCTGGTCCGGAAAAAACCTTGTGAAAATCAGGGCTCCTAGAAAAAACACCCTATAATTTCAGTCAAAACAGGGTAATTGCCCTGATAACTTAGGCCCTGTTAGTGAGAGGCTCAAGCACACTTCGAGCCGCTGCGTGCTAATGATCAATCCCTCATTCACAAACCTACCGTTGCTGCTCTTCTGGTGTGTCAATCCTAATCTTTCTGCTTTTGAGTCATGACATCGCGGCACGGCCAACGAGTCGCGAAGCCTTCACCACACGGCCAAGCGAGTGAGGCTGAGCTCGCGTCTCGCGCTGCGCTTCCGCCAACCGCCTCGGACCTCCACTCCATTCCCGTTACAGCCTCCAGGTCCGCGTTTGCCCTTCCCCCGTCCGCCGTTTCCGCCTCCCCTGCGCCCGTTAGCGCGAGTCGAGCTGCCTCCGCGTCGACCGTCACCACCCTCGGCGGTGGTTCCGATGGGCTACGCGCGAGGAACCGCAATGGGAGCTGGAGCTTTCGACGCAGCGGCGTCAAACGCGGCGGTAGTCACGGCAGAAGTCCCGGCGGTAGTCACGGCGACGTTTACGGCGGCAGCGACGGCGGAATCAGCAGCGGCATCAGGAACCTTAGCGGCCGCGTAATGTCCGGGATATTTGGAAAACGGCGCGACACGATCCCAGACAGCGGCCCTCTGAGACCCTCGTTTCACGGTGGGATGGTGCGGCTCGTGTCACATAACTTTCCGGACATTCCGCTCGAGGAAATGAAATCCGACGCGCTTTGGGGGAAAACCTGGTGGTGGTTCGGACGAGTATTGGATCCGCGTACAACGCGTATGAAGCAGTGGATGAGATTCGTCGCCTTGGTTCACTCCGCATCGCTAGCCGTTGATCCCTGCTTTCTATACCTAATCTCTTACAGTCCGGAAGTGTCATGTCTATTTCTGGAGACGATTTTCTCGATAGTCCTGATGGTGCTTCGGAGCGCGTGTGACTTGGTTTTCCTGGTGGATGCGTTTCTGTCGTTGCGCACGGCTTACGTGTCGAAGGAAGCTATAGCGAGGGGGCACGGCAGCGAAATGGTGACTAATGCGAGGAAGATCGCGCGGTCGAGGTGTTCCCTCGGCGGGGTGGTCTTCGATATCATCGCGACTTTGCCGATTCCGCAGGTGGGCATGATTGGTGGTTGGTTGAGGCAATTTTGAAACGGGTACATTATTGTAACATGAAACTTGTAACAGTAGAAAAATCGGTTCAGATGATTTGACAGCAATAAGATTCATATAACTGTACAGAGAGTGCTGAAGGAATCTGGGTAACTTTGTAATGCTGACGTTTGTGATTTACCTGAAAAAACTTTTGCAAGCCACCCCTCCGCTTTTCCCTCCCTCAATGTTTCCAGGTATTCGTGTGGGTGATTGCCCCCATGCTAATCCAAATGGACAAGGCTTCGTATGAATTTTCTACAGGCGGCGTCACTATAGCTTTCAGCGCTATCATTCTACAGTACGTGCTGAAGCTGATTCTTGCCGCCCGGTTCACCGTGCGAGCGCAGCGGGTCAACGGCTACATCTTTGGCGCAGCGTGGTGGGGCTTTGCGTTGAACTTCATCGCGTACATGATTGCTGCTCATGTGAGCCAAAAAAGGCCCTTCTTAGGATTTGGCGTGCAGTGCACGTGTAGTGAGTAAACAGTTGTATCTTTGGTGTTGCAGTGTTGTGGGGGTGGAGGGCTGCACATTGAATCTCCTGGCCTACATCATTGTCAACCATTAGTTCCGGAATGAGTGTCGTTGAAAATGCGCGAGTTTGGGAATGTGTGAGCTTGTGAATGTTCACCTTTCCTTCTCCCCTTCTCCCCTTCTCCCCAACACTCTCCCCTTCCCCCCATCCCCCCTGACCGTGCCTCCCACCCGACCAGGTGTTCGGGTCCCTCTGGTACCTGCTGGCGTCTGAGCGGGTGGCCACGTGCTTCCAGACGCTGTGCCAGCAGGTGAGTGAGAGGAGGACACGATGGCATGATGTTGAGGGCGTGATGGCATGCCATGAAACAAAACCATTTCCCTGCTGGCGTCTGAGCGAGCGAGTCGCCACATGCTTCCAGACGCTGTGCCAGCAGGTGAGAAGGCATGATGGTGTGCCAGTGAGAGGATGGATGGCTTGTCAGTTAGCCAGTGAGAGCATTTCCTCTGGCATCTGCTGGCGTCTGAGCGAGTCGCCACATGCTTCCAGACGCTGTGCGCCAACAGGTGAGAGCCTGAGAGGCTGTCATGTAATGCGATGCCATGCAATGCCATGGAAGCCATTCGATCCCATGCCATGCCACGACATGCCATACGACACCAGGCCACACCACTCCATGCGATTCGATGTGAGTGAGATGCAATGCCATGCCATGTCATGTCATGCCATGCCATGCCCTGCCATGCCATGCCACACCATGCCCTGCCATGCCATGCCACACCATGCCCTGCCATGCCACACCATGCCCTGCCATGCCACGCCACGCCACGCCACGCCACGCCACGCCACGCCACGCCGCACCACGCCGCACCACGCCACGCCACGCCACGCCGCACCACGCCACGCCGCACCACGCCACGCCACACCACGCCACACCACGCCCTGCCATGTCGTGGCATGATCGACCTCGCCTGATCGACCCTCTTCAGGGTTAGATCACCTGACGTCATGTCCCAACCCCCCCTCTCTCCTTCCCCCTTCCCACTCTCTCTTCCTTCCCCAGGTCCCCACGTCTGTGTGCAACCCCAACTACGTGACATACCCCGAAGCATACGAGACAAGACACCAGCTCCTTCTCTCCCCTCCCCCCACCCACCTCTCTCCCCTCCACTCTCTCCCCACTCCACCCCGCAGGTCCCCACGTCTGTGTGCAACCCTAACTACGTGACATGTCCCGAAGCATATGAGACAACGACGGCCCAAGTGAGCCCTGAGTGGGCGGCATGGGGCGCCAATGCCACTCTCCAGACAACGTGCTTTGAGGGGGAGGGGGATTTCAACTTTGGCATCTACCACATGGCGCTGCAGCTGATGAAGGATGGATCTGCTGTTGCCAAGATCTTTTTTGGCCTCTTCTTTGGAATCATGACGCTAAGGTGCGTTCGTATGCTATGCTACATCGAGTCACTTTGTAAAGAGGGTGACTGTGAGGGAGGGGAAGTTCACCTTTGGCATCTACCACATGGCGCTGCAGCTGATGAAGAATGGATCTGCTGTTGCCAAGATCTTCGTTGGCCTCTTCTTAAGGATAATGACACTCAGGTTCGTGCGTATGCTACATTTAGTCACTCGATAAAGAGGGTGACAGTAGTACGGGACGGGAAGTTCAACTTTGGCATCTACCACATGGCGCTGCAACTGATGAAGGATGGATCTGCTGTCGCCAAGATCTTCGTTGGCCTCTTCTTTGGGATAATGACTCTCAGGTGAGAATGGTGGTGCATTTCTAAGATAAGAAAGGGCACGTTCAAATTTGGCATCTACGACGTGGCACTGCAGCTTATGAATGAGAGATGGCTCTGGTGCTGTCGCAAATATTTTTTTTGGGGACTCTTCTGTGGAATAACGGCTCCAAGGTGACACTTTCGTTGAATCTGTTTTTTGAGAATTGTAAAAAAAAAAAAAAAAAAAGAGAGAGAGAATTCCCAAAAAGCAGATTCTGTTTGGGACTCTTCTTTGGAGTAGATGCCACGGTGACATGGCACATGGCTCCAAGGTGACGTGACGCTTGGGTGATGTTGCCCATTCCCCAAGTCACACTCGACAAACCGCCTCTTATTCCCTTATTTTTCCCTTGTTCCTCCCCACCTCACCTTCCCCGCCTGCCCCTCGCTTCGCTGCCACGCATCCCTCCCAACCCCCCTGAACCCCTCTCAGCTCCTTCGGGAATGCCCTCGTCCCCAGCACCAACTTTGTCGAAACCACCTTCGCTGTCATCATGGTGCTATCGGGGCTCATGCTTTTTACTCTACTCATCGGGAATATTCAGGTGCGTGTTAGTAACGAATGGCCTTATGGTGGGGATGAGTATGCCACCACCTTCGCTGTCATCATGGTGCTGTTGTCGGCGCTTATGCTCTTCACGCTGCTCATTGGGAATATCCAGGTGCGCGTGTGGCTGTAACAGTTTGCCTTATAACGGGGATAAGTGTGCCAGCACTGTCATCATGGTGCTATCAGGACTCATGCTCTTCACGCTGCTGATTGTGAACATCCAGGTGCACGTGTGGTTGTAACGGATTTTCTTAGGGTACATTCGGGACGTGACATGTTCCAAAAGAAAGTGTCACAAACATATTTTTTACTAATTGTGTAACTCCGAAACCAGTATTCGTGACTAATCCGAAGCTTTCGGGGCTCATGCTCTTTACTCTGCTCATTGGGAATATCCAGTCTTGCTCCACGCACGCCTTGCACTACCCCTGCAGGTATTTGTTCCCAGCATCACGTCGCGAATTGACGAGATCCAGCTACGAAGGTGAAATTTGAGTCGACTCAAAAGGACCTCACCTGGTGGATGAACGAACCACCACCAGCATTCTTTTCCCCCATGCTCCAGCCCTGCAGGTTTTCCTTCACAGCATCACATTGCGAATGGAGGAGATGCAGCTGCGGCAGAGGGACCTAGCTTGGTGATTCTGTCTAGGTGCATGAACCACCACCAGTTACCACCTACCCTGCCCTTCCCCAGGTAGCTACGAGTCAGAGACCTAGCTTGGTGGTTGTGACTAGGTGGATGAACCACCGCCCCAGTTACCATCCAAACGGCCCACTTGTCACTCCTCCCTCCCATTATAATATCTCTGCAGGCCTTCAGGTCTTCCTTCACTTCACAGCATCACATCGCGAATGGAGGAGATGCAGCTGCGGCGGAGCGGAGGAACCTCTTTTTGGATGACCCGCCACCAGCCGCCACCTGCTGCCCTGCCCCAATTCCCATCACTCCGTTCTCCCCTGCAGGTTTTCCTTCACAGCATCACGTCGCGAATGGAGGAGATGCAGCTGCAGAGGAGGGACCTGACCTAGTGGGTGAACCGCCACCAGTTGCCACCTGCCCTGCTCGCCCATCCCCATCCATTCTCACCCCGTTCCCACCCCATCCCCTACCCATACCCAGGTTTTCCTTCACAGCATCACGTCGCGGATGGAGGAGATGCAGCTGCGCAGGAGGGACCTCACCTGGTGGATGAACCGCCACCAGCTGCCACCTGCCCTGCAGAGGCGCGTGCTCCGGCAGGAGCAGCAGAACTTCACTGCGACCAGGGGGATCGACGAGGAGGGGCTGATCCGCAGCATGCCCAAGAGCGTGCGGAGAGATATCAAGCGACATTTGTGCCTTGACCTGGTGAAGAAGGTGAGCAGAGGAGGAGAGAAAACAAGGGGCGATTGAGCCTCTAACTGGTGAAGAACGTATGAGGCGTGTTGAGACACCTTATATCAGATCAGACCTGACGGGGCAGGATTCAGTGTGTGAGCGACTCAAACCAGGGCGAATATTGAGCTGCTGTTCTCTCATCTGGGTGCCTCTGTCGCCTCCCGTCTCTTCCTTCCCCTCGTCTCAGGTGCCGCTGTTTCAAGTGGTGGACTCGGCTGCTCTCGATGCAGTGTGCGAGCGACTCAAGCCGCTCATTCTCATTCATGGCACGGAGGTGTGAGCTGGTAGTCATGCACACAACTTGTACATGCATACATGTACGCACATGTGCACACACATGCACACATGCACACATGCATACATGTACGCGCATGTGCACACACATGCACACATGCACACATGCATACATGTACGCACATGTGCACACACATGCACACATGCACACATGCATACATGTACGCACATGTGCACACACATGCACACATGCACACATGCACGCGACTCAAGCCGCTCATTCTCATTCATGGCACGGAGGTGTGAGCTGGTACTCATGCGCCAATGCGTGTGCAGAGCTACATTACATGCTTAACACACTCACGTGCTCATGCACACATCCTCACGTGCTCACATGCTCACATGCACACATCAGCACGCTGCACGCATGAGCATATCCATCAACACATGCACTCTTGCATTTATCAGCGCAACCAACCATCGCCGATGCACATCTCCTTCCCATGCGTCCGTCACACGTCCATCCTGCATCCATTTTCCATCCAGCATGCATGCATGTATCATGGGTCATGGCGAGGCCATCACGTACGGTGAGGCAGGGCAAGCCATTCTCCTTGTAGGTGTCCATGCATGTTGCTGTTCAATACTTTAAGGAGCGATTCTTTTGGGAGACAAAAAGGAGGAAAAATGGGGGACTTGATTCCTTTGCCTACGTCCACTCGTCCATTTGTCCATTCCTTCATTCATCCGTTCGCATGTGTACATCCATGCCTGAGTGCATGGCAGATCGTACGTCAGGGCGAGCCCGTGTGCATGATGCTGTTCCTCATCCGAGGCACCATCCGCAGCACACATACCATGAGCCATGGGACCGCCAGGTGTGTGCATAAGCACCATCCACATTACAGCATACACGCACCATCCACATTACAGCATATACGCACCATCCACATTACAGCATACACGCACCATCCACATTACAGCATATACGCACCATCCACATCCACATTACAGCATACACACACCATCCGCAGCACACATACCATGAACCATGGGACCGCCAGGTTTGTGCATGTGCATGTTAGCACCATTCACAGTACAGCATACACGCACCATCCACAGCACACACACCACCTACAGCACGCAGGCACGCACGCACGCACGCACGCACGCACGCACGCACGCACGCACGCACGCACGCACGCGCGCACGCGCGCGCGCACACACAAAATAAGCCATGCAACCCAGTGATATATGCCTGTTCTTGTTCTTATGAGCTTGCAAGAAAGTCTGCCTTTCCGCCCTCTCCCTTCCTCCTCTCCCTTCCAGTTCCATTCCCTCCCCTCCCTTCCTCAACCTTTCTACCTCCCACTCTCCGCCCCACTCATTTCCCCCTTCCTTCCTCCCTCCCCCCTCCATTCCGGCTTGTGTCTCATCCGGGATGGCAGCTTCTGTGGAGAGGAACTACTCTCATGGGGACTGAGCCACTCCCCAGGCCCCAACCTGCTTCCGCTCACTAATTCGCGCCACTCTTCCATCCATCTGCCCTTCCTCCCCTTGCAGCTCGTGTCTCATCCGGGATGGCAGCTTCTGTGGAGAGGAGCTGCTCTCGTGGGGTCTGAGCAACTCTCCGGACACCAACCAGCTGCCCTCCGCTACTGCCACTCTCACCACAGTCACGGCAGTCGAGGGCTTTGTGTTAGAGGCTGAAGACTTGCTGTTTGTGACAACGCACTTCAAGGTAAGCATATGTTTACAGGATGCACGGGGCTCGGAGCACAGCAATGAGCTTTCCTCCACTACAGCCACTCTCACCACAATCACAGCTGTCAAGGGCTTCGAGTGAGGGGCTGAAGACCTGCTCTTCGTGACAGACAACGCACTTCAAGGTACTGGGATGGGAAGGTGTTAGCGCGGGAATCTGCTCGCTGCTGCTCGCTGCTGCTCGCTGCTGCTCGCTGCTGCTGCTGCTGCTGCTGCCACTGTCACGGCCATAGGACATGCAAAGAAATTACGTGCCACAGTCACAGCAGTGAAAGCACTTCAAGGTTCAAAGAAGGTTTCAGAACAAGCTATTGCTCCTCCCTCCCTCCCTCCCTCCCTCCCTCCCTCCTTCCCCTCCCTCCCTCCCTCCCTCCCTCCCTCCCTCCCTCCCTCCCTCCCTCCCTCCCTCCCTCCCTCCCTCCCTCCCTCCCTCCCTCCCTCCCTCCTCCCTCCCTCCCTCCCTCCCTCCCTCCCTCCCTCCCTCCCTCCCTCCCTCCCTCCTCCCTCCCTCCCTCCCTCCCTCCCTCCCTCCCTCCCTCCCTCCCTCCTCCCTCCCTCCCTCCCTCCCTCCCTCCCTCCCTCCTTCCCTCCCTCCCTCCTCCCTCCCTCCCTCCCTCCCTCCCTCCCTCCCTCCCTCCCTCCCTCCCTCCCTCCCTCCCTCCCTCCCTCCCTCCCTCCCTCCCTCCCTCCCTCCCTCCCTCCCTCCCTCCCTCCCTCCCTCCCTCCCTCCCTCCCTCCCTCCCTCCCTCCCTCCCTCCCTCCCTCCCTCCCTCCCTCCCTCCCTCCCTCCCTCCCTCCCTCCCTCCCTCCCTCCCTCCCTCCCTCCCTCCCTCCCTCCCTCCCTCCCTCCCTCCCTCCCTCCCTCCCTCCCTCCCTCCCTCCCTCCCTCCCTCCCTCCCTCTGGCTGTCTGACTGCCCACCCACCCGCAGTTCAACTGGAAGAGCCAGCGCATTCAGCGGTGGGTGCGCTACTACTCGCTGCACTGTTGACGGAACAATTGCCTCTCTCCCTCCCTGTTTCCCACCCTGCATGCCCCCCTCCCTCCTTGCCTGCTTGCCTGCCCCGCTGCCCCCTTCCCCCCAGCCCAACTGATTCAGCGATGAGTGTGCTGTTACTCGCCGCACTGGCGCACGTGGGCTGAAGTATTGCCTCCCTCCCTGCCTGCCTGCCTTGCCTGCTGCCCTGTCCGCTTGTCTCTCTTCCACCCTCCACATGCAGTTCAACTGGAAGAGCCAGCGCATTCAGCGGTGGGTGCGCTACTACTCGCCGCACTGGCGCACGTGGGCGGCTCTCACTATCCAGATCGCGTGGCGCCGCCACGTGGCACGGCGGCACGCCACGTCACTGCAGCGGTCGCTCGATGCTCATGCTGACGTGGATGCACGCAGTGGCCAGTTCACCACCGATACTGCCTCAGTCGCTCCTCCTGCGGCTGGTGCCCCTGCCACTGCCTCTGCCACTGCCACTGCCACCGCTTCTCCCACCACCACTGCTGCTGATTCCACGTGTGCCACTATGCCTGCTAGAGCCAGTGCTGCCCCTTCGCTTGGTCTATCTGCATCAACCCTTACCAGCAGCACTGCTCCTTTGAAACCTGCTGTTCCAACAGCAGCAGCTGGGCAAGCGAGGGGGGTGTCAGGTGGTAGCAGCAGGGATGGGACAAGGGCCGGCCGCCGGAGGATGGATGCAGACGAGATCGAGGCGCTACAGAGGCGAGACCGAATGAGGCTCTATAGCGCGATTTTTTCAT